GTTATCTCCATGATTTGTGTTTCAAGATTGACGGCTAGGATTTTATCCCCTTCTTTAGGATGATACTCCGGATCATCGGCAGGGAAGGTAACCTTGTTGGCCCACCAATCAATTGTTGGATTGGTAAGTATCAACCAGTCGTATCCAAGCAGTATGTGCGGTGAAAGTAGTGATGCTACGATGACATCTATCAAATGTTCTTTCCCTTTCACATTGATGTGAAGGGTGACATAGTGCGTTACTTTCTGGGATCGACCATCAGCTCCTGCGGCGTCAAGAGGGACGGTGTCATGCACCAAAGTTGATTGGTAGCATGGAAAGGTGTCAAGAATGAAGCAAATATTCAAAAAGACTCGCCTTTGCGCCACACAGGCATAGTGCCACGTGGAATAGTAATTAATATTGCCCTTTTTGAACTTGTGGCTGATCAGCACCACCTCTATTAGGCAATCCAGTCACGCTCACCTTTGCTTTTCCATTCGGTACTTTCCGCATTTCGGCATTTCGGCAAATTTTTGCGTCGCCACTGGCTACACATTGCATTGCGCCCTCGCTTTTGTCGTTTCCCTTACTCCCCTTCCTTTGCCTAGCCCCACCATGGGCCCCTTCCTCTCCTTTTCATTCTCACCCGACAGTCGTTTCTGGGTCCCCATTTTAGTTCACCTCCTCGTCACCTCCACCCTCCTCCTCCTCATCTTCTTTGCTCCCCCACCATTTCGGATGTCACCACTTCCTATCCGCTTCCGTCGCCAATCCGTTGACTACCACGTGCCACTGCTGATATCAGCAAAGCCCCGGCGGCCGGTCCAAATAGGGCAACAGGTCCATCTTCATGACGTCGATCTGCCATCATATACTATCAAAACATCGGTCGCTCGTCTTGCCTGGTTGGAGCATGGGTGGGTAATTTTTGAGCTGGAGAAGGTTCATCCCCTTGCGTCGCCCATGTTCATCGCTGTCCCATTCACTTGGGTACACTTATCTTTTGTCCATCGTCTTCGCTACAGCTACACCTACCACACGCTGCCTGGGACTTACTTGTTCCAAATTGGGACTACTCCTCTCCCTCCCTCGTTTGATCAGGTGGTCCAACACAACCAGTCCATTGGTAAGGCCATGGAACTGTCGGATTTGGACTAGGTGGTGGACCGGTGGCTCCAGTTTCTTTTTCTTCAGCAGAACATTCATTTACAGTGCGATTATTTTTGATTTTTGAATCATTTTTATGGACACATATTTTTTTAGAATGCCTGACTGACAATAAAGGAACTGTGTTGATACTGATAGTGTTTTGCCTTGCCCTTTTTTTACTGCATCTTCCCATGACATCATGATTTTCCTGCTCTCTTTTTGCTATTGGACTTTACTTTATGGCTGTACAAACCTGTGACATTACTCACAGCATTCATTGTTCTATCCCTTTCTTTTCCTTTTTTTGACAATCTTATCCTGTACTACCTACGCAGGATTTGTCAGTGTACATTCCTTCCTTCATATTCTTTCTCATTCTTTTTGCACAGCTATACTGTGCATAGCCTACTTTTCTTTTACTATATAAACCCCTGTATTTTACCTTGTAAAAACAACAAAGAACTTGAATCCAGACTTTCTCTCTAATCTCAAGTTCACTACTCACTACTACTTGTGATCCAGTGTGGTCACAACACTTCCCACTGCTACCACTGTCAACTGCTGTTATCGTCACTTCCCACTTTTGAAGTCATTGTCATCCCTTTCGATTAGAGTCCTTCTGAGCACTACGGTTTGTGCGTCAGGAGCCTGCTATCACTGGGAACCTCGTCACCTCGTCATCCTTGTTGTTCTCAAACCTACCTTGTGCTACAATTAGCAAGGTAGTGCTTGTCTATACTCGCCACAACGCCCCCTATCTTTCTATATTCCAACTATCCCTCCTCCTCAAAACCCACACCCATACATCTCTGGGTTTTACTTTGAAGGATCTTTATACGTACCACCCCACGAACAACCAGACCACTCCACTGTTCTAGGAGGCAAAGCCCATAAACAAGTTCCGTGGAATCTGGGAGGATTTTGTGTTAGTTTGTTTTGTGTGTGGTTTTCTAACAGCAGTTCTCATCATCGAGCTTGTCACACTACTGAGTACTGATGAGATAAGATAGGTCTTTGATGCCTCATGTGATCATGTGATGAAAAGTGTTACACTTGGTGGCAAACAAAGTTGCTATCGCTTCTTGCTTGATATGAATTATTTAGGATTTTTTGTTTGAGAGAAAAGCTGAACCTCAGTAAATACAAATATAATACTGTAAGAAGAACTAAGGAAAATAGTGCCATGTAAAGACGAGATAGATTTTTTGTGGCAAAGATGATAAAAATTCAAGTTGGTAATTTGCCTCGTCGCGCCAGTGGTCACAAGCCAAATCACGTCATGTGATGGCGTCGGTTGTGGATGACGCCTATCTTACACAATCCTGAAATGCGTGTAACATAATGTGACATAGCGTGAGAAATATTGTTTGTGCTGAGAGTTGTTCAAAACGAGCGCGTTTGCAAACGGCTCTCGTTTTGAAACGGAGGCTGCCGAACAGGCCCTTACTCGCCTTCCGTACCAGCTTGTCTCAAGACTCGACATAGTTATTCCAACACAAGGTACAGTCTTTTAAAAGCACTGATCCTCCAAAATTCATGATATGTTTCTAAACTTCGTAGCGGCCAACCTTGACAAAGCTCTCACTCGGGAGTTCAGCATCTCAGACTGTATACAACAAATTCTCTTGATACAACACACGAAATGATCCAATCCAGAGGGATAAACAGGAAGGCGGAAATGTCAGCTTACAAGTGTATTCACCTATTAAAGCTACTAAATAGAAACTGACTCTGATCAGTTTTGTCCGATGTCCCTCGTCCTAAGTGATCGAAGAGAGATTCTGAAGCGAATGAACAACACGTTCACTTTATGCTGCTGTGACTCTTGGCTACTTGAATAACTTTTGAGGACACGGTGCACAGAGGCCAGGGATCCAGTTCCTCGAATAGATTCACAAGTGGATGTAAACAAGTATAACGATACAGTATAAGGGTTTCAGGATCCAGGTATCGCTGATACCCTCCTAACTATATAGCTGATGCGACGCGTCCAGTGGATAGCACCATGATAAAGGCTTTCGATGTTACTATCCTCCTTGTAGATGACGCGTGATCGCAGTTTCCAACTGCTGAGTTTCTTGAGGATCTCGTTAAAGCGCGCAACGACTTCATCCATAGTAGGCCGCTTTACTGGGTCATCTTGTACCATGTCTTTCACAAGAGGTAACATAAACTCGAGTCCGCGTTTTGTCTGAACGACAAAGAAAGCATGCTTAATCAGTCCCTTTTATTAACAGACAAGTAACTCACCAGAAGAAAGTTTTCCCTAATCATATTTCCTAGATAATAGATGTCTGTGGGGAACGGATTACAAGCATCGTCCGACTTTTGAAACTCGGGAACAGTCTTGTCACCTCCCCATATGGGGTATTCCAGGGGAGCGTTGTTGTCAGCGGCATAACGGCGGGATATACCAAAGTCGATGAAAAAGTACTTTGGTGGGCGCTCAGTACGAGTGAAGTATCTAGCCTTGCCACTGAAGTCACGTCTCATGTCCAAATCTTGAGGATGATAAGGATCGATGTACAGAGGGGTCGCATCCATCATAACATTGGGGCCCATACAGTCACTGGCGGTCAGTGAGGGATGATAAAACGATTATCTGAACAAAACATACCGATGAGCAACATGTTGTTTGTGAATAAATCGCAACCCCTTTGGGGTAAAGATCGTCAAAGCTTCATTATGCGCTCCAAGGTTTACTTACCAAAAACAGCTGACGAAAAAAAAATACTACTTCACCGCAAGTATCAAAGCGAGGGCGATGGAATGGCCGCAATAATGGCATGACCAAGAGGGCCTGATCATGGTCACCCGGCACATTAAGCACATCGTAAATCGGTACAGAGTAATTGGAAGGGTCAGAGGCAAGTGGTTCGGTCGAAAATAGACGACCAATTTCAATCTCATAGGGGTGCCGAGACTTTGTGATTAGCTTCAAAGTCACAAAGACTCCATCGGACATCCGAGTCGCATCGAGCACATGACCCATCTAAAAGATAGCTAGTTATTGGTGAATCTACAAGCGACAAGGTAACGTACCATAGGCACATGACTGTCTTCGCACTCTGCCCACCACTTCTCGGTACCTTGCCACGAAGGGACCCAGCCAGGCGCGTATCGCGGGCGCAACAAATATCCAGTTTCCTTCAACCATTGATATTGCTGACACCACCAACGTTCAGCATTACCAATGGCTCCAGGGATAGTCGACAGAGGCGATCCAAACACTTGACAGGCTAGTTCTTGGAGCTCCGCTTGTTCCCGTGCTTGCCTTCCTTCTCGTTCAGCTTGACGCTGGCGACGACGAGAAAGCATTGCGAAGCTTGCAGTCCAGCAACCCGCAACAGTAGCCTGCCTAGAGGCCCAAAATTTAGCTCGTTACCAATTTCACGTAAATATGGACCCACGAAGGGTCGCGGATTCTCGAAGTTAGACCTCCGACGCTGCGGGGCTGACTGGGCAAATGTAACAATGCGTTTTCTATTCGTCCTGAGGCCCTCTTGCTGCTCTCCTATTCCAATGGAACTCAAGAATAAAGGCTTGTACTATCTATCTTTCACACGCGCTATCTAGTATGCTTTTGGCTGTTATAATCCTGCAAGTAGGCTTCGAATGACTTTGCATCCCTTTCCAGCAGGCTCTTAGCCAGTTAAGTGGTTCTCAGACAGACAGGTCTGACCAGCTATTCGGCCGACCCCTAACCAACAGACGATTATCATGCCATTCCAAATTATATGCAGACTATTGCTTTTCTCATAGCGTTTATGCCTTGTGAGCCTACACGAGCATGTCTTGTATTCAAATAGATGGAGACTCGTGGAGTCCGCTGGCGTTTGTTTCTGCTTATTTACGCCGGGTCCACTCATCTGGATCTTTCAATCATAATCAGCGACAAGTCTATTCACGTTCCAACGACTTTCTATCGGGCTATATTACATACTATATCTCCCATTCCTCTCGCAACATATGCAGAACAACGAGCCCGAATTCGATCTCGTAGCTGCTCTCGCTACACTGTCAGAAACAGTTAAAAAGTGCTCTAATCTAGAGAAAGGTCGATTATACCACAAGTTATCAGTTCAAGTGTTCCGTCAATGTCAAAGATATTCTGCTGAGGCTAGACTGGATACAAGGAAGGATATTGAGAAGATAAAAGTTCGTATGGAAAGGTGAACATTGTTTCAATTACCATCCCCAGTTTTAATGTATATCATCTTTAGACTAAACATCATTGCGCTTGATCTCGAGCGAGAGAATAATAGATCGAGCAAGTGGGACCCCCGAAAGATAATAAAAATGTACTATCAAAATCGTGGCTTTGCTGAAGAATGTCTTGCTGTCTTGAATTTTGCGAAAGTAAGCGACTGAGCACATTGTAAGCACACTGCTTATAGTCAGCTAGATCACTTCAGATGAGATAATGATGATGAGAGTGCAAAGCACTGAAGGTTAGTCAAATATCACCTACTATATCTATTGACAACGTAAAGCTTTGATTCCACTAGATCGCGAATCACAGATCAGTATAACAACGAGCTTCTTCACCGCTATAGATATTATTACTCAGAGCGGTGAGAGATTACCCAGGAATTCACTTGGAAAGACTTAATCATCCTATGTGTTTGTGTTCAGATGCAGATTTAGATGAGAATGATGGCGATGGCGATGGCGATGGGGCTGATATGGGATCACGACCAGCTGATGGAAATCAGACCGATGAACAAATCCTAGGACAAGTCCAAGATTTTGCTCAGGTCTTACAGTCGATACCCATGCGTCAACTTGGAACATCCGACGTCACTGTAAACCAGACTATCATTTTCCAAAGCATTGTAAATCGGGGTTCCGGGACCACTACGAATCCCACGATCAATGTGGGTGGATCAAATACTAGGGGTGAGGTTAAATAATTTATTCTTTTCAATCCCGTAATGCAAAGCTTACAAGCAGTACCTCATGCAGGCAGTCGACATACGACGACCGCTTCCCAACTATCTACATAAAATGTATATCAAAGCCTGAAACCGTTAACGACCAAAGACGGCATCTTGTAGCAGTGGACTGAATGGACACGGAGTGCGGCATCAAATTCACCGCCACGGTATAATTCTGTCAAATACGAAACACTCAGACTACGCCCGATGGCCCACTGTAGTATCAACGAGATGGAAGATTAACAGATTGGTATAGCCCGGCCATTGAAGCCACGTTTCTTGTCAATGTATTGAGGATGGTAAGCATTGATGAATAGAACGGTTGCATCCATCATGAAACTGATCTCCGTAGTCGTTGGATATATTTCAGGATGGAATAGTAAAGACAAAGAACACCGATCGGCCATACGTACGTTACTGAATGCATTGCAGACCCTGATGAATAAGCCTTTCCTTGAATGTCTCACTACAAGCAACAGGCGAGGGCAGTCGACTACTTCACTATATGTGTCGAAGAGTGGACTGTCAAACAGTTGACACAATAGCATGACCAGAATTGCCTGGTCTTTATCATCCAGTACCTGGAACACACCGTGAATCGGTCCGACACGGTACATACAATTAATTACCTTATATTCGAGTTCTGCTCAAGTCTCCTCTTCCTTCTGTCGGCGTCAGCGTCTGCATCGTCTCCTAAAAGGGCTGTTAAACAAGATCATTAAGACCCTTACTGTACTATGTACTATATTTCTCACTCCGTTCGCTGTCTCCAGTTCCAAAGACTCCTTTCTCAAGATCGTCCTCGTCAGTGGGAATGTGCAGTTCCAACGTGATTGTTATCTTTTTGCCAGAGGTACAGTCCTGAATCCAAAGTTTTGGCGTGTATGCCCGTGTATGATGGCTAGTAGTCTGCTCGGTGATGGTAGATGGTCGATGGTGTTTGTTTTTATATGAATGTGTAGGAAGTGTGGTGGTTTCCGAAATCGTGTTGTTTTATTGTAGTTGCACTTTCAAATGTTAGAAGTTTTGTGTTTTGTTGTTTTGTGAGCGGCTATGACATGTGTTGATTTGATATCAGTTAGGCTTGCCAGTGGTGGCGATGAAACGACTGGAAGCTGAAGGACATGACATTGACTCGAAGGCGAATGCTGGTACTTTTCACCTTACGTGTTTTACAGGTAGGTAGAATGAGTTCGATTGAGTTACAGTCGCAGTTACATGAAAAGCAAAAGAAGGAAAAGCAAAACAAGAGTACACGATGGGCAATCATGGTATGGTTGAAAATTGAAGTAAGGCCAGGGGGTGTACGATGTGCTTTTTTTTCCTCTTCTAGTATTTCGTGCCGTAGATTCCTTCCTCTTTGGCTTTGATTTCTGTTCACAAAGAAGGGGGGAGAGGTGTATCAGCATCAGCATTATCTATTATGGATGGAAGGGAACGTACGAAGGGCGAGGTGTTTAGAGTGGAATCTGCACAACGCGAGGTTACCTGCCAAATGTTGTTGGGAACAGATGGAAAGAGCGTCGCAGATGCATCAATCATTATCATTATATATTAGTGCCAGTGGAGAGAAAAACGCCATAACACAAAAAAAAACGCACCCATCATGCACCAGATCCCTTCAAGCCCAGCACCCACTTCGCGCCATGTAGACTGTAGCTCGCCCTCTGCGTCGAGCCCCCAGATCGGGTTCAGCTTCTTGCCAAGCTCGTCGCCGAGGATTTGGCGGTAGGCGGAGGAGGCGTCGGAGTATCTGTGCGGTGGATGTGAGTGATGGCGGTGGCGATTTGGTTTGGGTTGGGTTAGGGATAAAACACGCACCCAGTTGCGAAGATGACCACATCTGCATCGATCGTGGAGCGGTTCTCGAATTCGAGGCCAGACGCGGTGAACCGCGACATGGGACTGTCGGCTTTGAGTTTGATCTTGCCGTCGACGATGAGTTGCGAGGCGCCAACATCTGTGTCGGTGTGAAGGAGAGGGTAAGCTGTTGGGCGGCAATGTTTTGGTCGTGCAGAGAGGAGGGGCTTACCGAGGTAGTACCCTCCAGCCTTGGTCCAGGCTAGGAGGAGAATTCCTGTGTCTTCCTCGCCCATGCTGAGCTGGAACCCACGCGCACGCAGACCGTCCAGCAGCTCTCTATAGAAGTTGAATTTCAGAGTTCGGGGTGGATAGATATAGCATTATGGTGGAAGAGCGTACTTGTCTGCTTCGGCTATGTCCCTGACTGCGCGCTGGTGCAAGAACTTAAGGAGGTGGTTCGGATATGATGCGTTGATTCTGTCAGCGATATCTGTGGGTGGACTGCCTTCCCAGTATAATGCTTACGAGGGTATAATTAGAGGAAGAAGATGAGAGATCGATGAAAGAGGACATACGGAATAACCTTGGACACCCTTCTTTTGTAGTCATGATGTACGTAGGACTGCGTTGGCACATGGTGATGTCTGAATTGAGGCAATGAATGGGGATCAATATATTGCTAGTTGCAACATAGATGGGAGTTTGGCTCACCAATTCCATGTTCATAGTAATCAGCACAGATATCATGCGCTATTCACGCATAAGTAAGTTGTTGAAGGACCCGGTGAAGAAATGCCCTTACCAGATGTACATGAACCGACGACCACGACCTTCTTCCCTGCGTGATCGAGAGCTTTTCCATGAGAAATTGAATGTAGGACCTGCCCTTTGAACTCGTCCTGCAAGTACCCGATTAACATCATTCTCCATGAGCTTGATTAATAACACACTATGCCAGGGTACGTCGGTATACGAGGGATGCTGCCCCCAATGCCCAAGCAGAACACGACATGGTTGACCTGGAATACTCGTTCGCTCCCATCAGCGCGCTTCACATTCACGCGCCACTTGTACTTGGAGGACGAGAGTGGAACGACGGCAGTGACGAGGGATGAAGTCCAGACATTGAGTTCAAGAGACTGGGCATAAGATTCGAGCCAATCTGCCAGTTTTAATGCAGGCGTGTATACAGGCCAAGTCGGTGGGAAGCTGGGAAGATTTTTCATGATTGAGGGTAAAGTTAAAATTTGACTACGGGTAAACACGTACGGGATGTATGGCATATGGTCATACCCTGAAAGTCTAAACGTGTTATCAATGGAACATAGGTAGAGGAATGATAACCCACAAACTGGATCGTGAAGACACAAAGCCTCATAACGCTTCCTCCAATTGTCCCCTATCCTCTCGTTCTTCTCTATAACGAGAGCACTCAAACCAAGCGCTTTCAGTCGTGCCGCGATTTCAAGACCACTCTGACCACCACCGAGCACGAGGACCTGAGGCTCCGCATCGATGAATTCTTTTTCACGCGCTCGTTGCTCAGCCCATTTACCATGGTTAGGGAGGGAGTTGCGTAGGAATCCGATTTGTTCTGGGAAGCCCTTCAGATCTTCTAAGTTCGTGAGGACCGTGTGTGCTTTCCAAGTGCCGTCTGGCAATGGGACGAGCCTGAATACACCTGAAGCAATGCCTACGTGGGTTTCAAAATCAAAGAGACCCTGGATCCATGCCAAGTCCGGGTAGGGCTGCTCCAAACCGACGAGATCTTTCCTGAGCTTGAACGACGAGACTTTGAAAGTGGCAAGCTGATCGATAAGGAACTTTTTGATAATGGGAGTGGACTGGAATGTCCGCAAGTTCCATGTGAGTGTGAACATGTCGCGCCAGAATGCGTCGTCTACGAGGAGGTTGATGATGTTATCGACGCTCCCATCTTGCATGTTTGCTGCGAAAGACGCGAACCATTCTTCTGCTACTTTGTTGGCATCGAGGTCTTGAGGAACAACACCCCGGAGTTTGTCTAGTGTTGGGAGAGAAAGCTGAGAGGGCATGGCCGCTCGCTATGGATGAAGATTAGAGAAGAGGAAGAAGAAGTCACCTTAAATAAGTATTGTCAGCTGACTCAAACGTTTCGCACTGAGCGTAAGCCTATTATTTATTCTATACGAATCCCTGATCGACATGGGATAGCAACTAGTAGATGACAATTATCCGCATAAACGCAAAACGTCTGTCGCGAATCGTTTTTTGCATCTGACAGCTTGGGGCGTTCGGACCATGAGTGGGTGGGTGCGTATAGTGCGGATGCCGGGGTAATGAGGTTCGAGCTTGTTGGCGATGCCGGACAGGTAGGTGTTCACTGATCTGGGATTTATGAAGGACGACATGTAGATGATGTAGAAGCTGGGGGTGTCACCTGTTGGGTGGATAGGAATGTGATGAGGGATTTTGGAAGTACGAGAGAAACAGACCTCGCACAGAAGTTTGACAAGGCCAAACTAGGAAGGAGCTGTGGATCAGATAGCCTGTAGACTTTAATGGAGAAGTTTCACCTGGGGATTTATTTCAGTTCTCCTTTTCTTATAAATCATCGTAGCAACCGTAGCCCACCTCAGTCTTTCCCCCCAAAAGCTGAGGTGAGCATATACCTATTTTGACATTAGTCAAATAAGACAAGATTTGAGTGGGCTACCAGACAAGCCACAAGCCACAAGCCACACCAACACCGTCGCCGAGAGCGTAAGCTGGAACAACCCCAACCGTTCCCACGATTATCGGGGCTCCAGTATTGAGTCAGGCTGACCAGGAAGCGTTGAATGCCTGCAGATCAAGATAGAGTAAGTGCGATTCACCCAAGGAGGGACGCAGAATCATGACCGGAATGATGGACCGCCGCTTGTATTTCCCATTATGGAAAGAGCTCTGGGCGTGCTTCTATGAGTGCCAACAGGACCTCTCACAGCAAGCATTAACAACTTTTGTCACACTCATAATGGATGAAAAAGTCTGAAAGTAGTTAAAAATTTTGATTGCATTTTGGACCTACAAAATGATATCTTTTTGTTGACATATTTCCATTAATACTATATTTTTGTGTGGATATGTAGATATGTCAACAAAAATACATTATTCTGATAAAATCTTGCAGGTCCAAAATGCAATTAAACATTTTAACTACTTTCAGACTTTTTCAATGATTTTGGGTGTGACAAAGTTGCTGTGTCTGATAACCGCCTATGGAACCTTGATGAGGCATCTGGACAAAGTTTTGCGAAAGTGGCAAAATATCTACCTGGACAAAAATCCCATATTGCATGTAACCCAGACTCCCTAAACCATTCAGTGGTGGGAATTCAAGCTTAACAAAAAAAAGTATTATACAATATGGTGTTTTTCTGACTTTACACTCAACTCTTACTTTGAGTTGAACATCCACTGCTAGGAATGGTAAAGTTTGGTTCAGACAAATTGTTCAGAACCACTTAACCCTAGGTTTGTAACTACCAAAGTTTTTATACTTTGGCGCACAACTTGACAAAACTGGATAAACCTACTATCTGTTAAGATACACAATTTTTGGACTTCTTTTTTTCATTCTCAGCTTCAATCTGGACACTTGTGCCATATGATACTCTCCTGATTTTATTTTTGGGGTCACACAGCACCTTTTGTATTCTTAGATATAACTCTCTTGTGCGGTGGAGTCAGCCACAGGCTTAGACTCTACATCAGTAAAGTGTCAAATTTCTTGACGGAACTTGGTCACACTTTGGTGACTTTCAAGACTGTTCAAGAAATATAAGGAATTAAAGTTCTATCAAGTGAACAAGAAAGCGAGCCAATTTACCTTTAAGTTCATTTAGACACAGCAAAGAATATGTAGGCTGGTCTCAATAGAAGCATTCAGACATTTTGATCAAAGTGTTATCCAAGCGTAGTCCAAGTACATGAAATATAAAATCAAGTTTGACAAGTTATGAATCATCCTTGGCTAAGTCCAAAGGCATGATGGTCTATATATTTATTAATGTAGAACATTGTTACGCACAAAGTGCTTAACAAAGTCTGAGGGTTCGTCAAAGTTTCAAAGAGACTTATCCAAAGACATGTTCGAGGAGGTAGTTCTGAGTAGAGTTCTTCCAACGAGAGTTGGTCTTCTTCTAAGTAGAAGTCTGATCTTAGGAGTCTAGCTTTGTAAGCGTAAACTGTGTAGAATTGTATTGAAGAATACTACTACTGTTACAAGCATATTTATAGGAGCTGGAATCGGTGATAGGAGTTAGGTCATATCTAGGGCTGGTCTGTCTATTGAGGACTAAGTACTATACTAAGTAATGCGACTGCGAAGAGAACAGAAATATACGTGAAGGAAATGAGTCATTGGTCCGATGGTATAACCGATGAGTAAAGGAAAATGAGTAGTCCGTAAAAGAGAATAGAAATTGTAACAAACGTAGGAAATTTATTGACAAAACCGGATAAACCTGGTCTCTGCCAAAGCAGCCATTGTTCTCCATGGAGCATAGCCACCACTCCATGGAGTAACCATTGTTCTCCTAGGAGCACAATTGTACTCCTAGGAGTCATTATACTGTAGCGAGTAGCACCTCCGACTATAAGTAGTAGGGGGTTTAGTATAGGAATACCTCGGTCGTTTCTATAGCCTCTCGGGCAGCGGCTGAGTTTTACTTGGTTTTATTATTTATCTAGTGAGTTAGTGAAATCAATGTCAGATGGGATGAACCAATGACCATAATCGCCAAATACAGGCATGAGATGTGCACTATGAAAGATACAGTCTAAATGAATAATTTTGAGACTGGGTGATCCATCATTATTTGTATCAGGCTGGACCTTCCACAACCCAGTGGGTTCATCAGGCTCATCCAGAATATGAGAGAACCACTGTATAAGAGCACATGGATAAGTAGTATTATCATGTGAGAAAGAAAGGAATGCAAAAATGCAAATGACATTGAGTCCTCAGATTCCTGGAATTGAAGGATTGCGCTCGATGTAACAACCAAGAGTTAGTTACTCTGGCGCACACTAAGACAAACTATAAAGGTAGTGGTGAGGGAGTGGTTACCCTTTAGGTAGGACCGAGTTAGTTGTTGGCATACAACAGGAGGACTTGCTGAGGAGTCTCCTGGATCTATTGGGGTATATATACTAATACAGAGTGTTTGTACTTATGTACTGTACAGTTGATAAAGACAGTGGCTGATGATGTCATGGGGCCTAGCCCGCATGACCAGCTCCACTGCATGAGAGAGTTGTATCTAAAAATAAGAAAAAAGACAAGGTGGCGCAAGAAAGAGGAGTTTGAACAAAAAAAGGGAAGTGCTGCGTGGCCCCATGTGTGAAAGCTAAAGTACAAGGTTAAAGCGGAGAATGAAAATAACAAATAAAGGGAAGTGCTGCTGTCATGCACCAAAGTTGATTGGTAGCATGGACAGGTGTCAATAATGAAGCGAATATTCAAAAAGACTCGCCTTTGCACCACACAGGCACAGTGCCACGTGGAATAGTAATTAATATTGCCTTTTTCGAATTTGTGGCTGATCTGCACCACCTCTATTAGGCAATTCAGTCACGCTCACCTTTGCTTTTCCATTTGGTACTTTCCGCATTTCGGCATTTCAGCAAATTTTCGCGTCGCCACTGGCTACACATTGCATTGCACCCTCGCTTTTGTCGTTTCCCTTACTCCCCTTCCTTTGCCTAGCCCCACCATGGGCCCCTTCCTCTCCTTTTTATTCTCACCTGACGGTCGTTTCTGGATCCCCATTCTAATCCACTTTTTTGTCACCTCCACCCTCCTCCTCCTCATCTTATTTGCACCCCCACCATTTCTGATGTCACCACTTCCTATCCGCTTCCGTTGCCAATCCGTTGACTACCACGTGCCACTGCTGATATCAGCAAAGCCCCGGCGGCCGGTCCAAATAGGGCAGCAGGTCCATCTTCATGACATTGATCTGCCATCATATACTATCAAAACATTGGTCGCTCGTCTTGCCTGGTTGGAGCGTGGGTGGGTAGTTTTTGAGCTGGAGAAGGTTCATCCCCTTGCATCGCCCATGTTTATCGCTGTCCCATTCACTTGGGTACACTTATCTTTTGTCCATCGTCTTCGCTACAGCTACACCTACCACACGCTGCCTGGGACTCACTTGTTCCAAATTGGAACTACTCCTCTCCCTCCCTCGTTTGATCAGGTGGTCCAACACAACCGATCCATTGGTAAGGCCATGGAACTGTCGGATTTGGACTAGGTGGTGGACCGGTGGCTCCAGTTTCTTCTTTTTCAGCAGAACATTCATTTACAGTGCGATTATTTTTGATTTTTGAATCATTTTTATGGACACATATTTTTTAGAATGCCTGACTGACAATAAAGGAACTGTGTTGATACTGATAGTGTTTTTGCCTTGCCCTTTTTTTACTGCATCTTTCCATGACATCATGATTTTTCTGCTCTCTTTTTGCTATTGGACTTTACTTTATGGCTGTACAAACCTGTGACATTACTCACAGCATTCATTGTTCTATCCCTTTCTTTTCCTTTTTTCACAATCTTATCCTGTACTACCTATGCAGGATTCGTCAGCGTACATTCCTTCCTTCATGTTCTTTCTCATTCTTTTTGCACAGCTATACTGTGCATAGCCTACTTTTCTTTTACTATATAAACCCCTGTATTTTACCTTGTAAAAACAAGAACTCAATTCCAGACTTCTTCTCTAATTTCAAGTTCACTACTCTGCTACTTGTGATCCAGTGTGGTCACAACACTTCCCACTGCTACCACTGTCAACTGCTGTTATCGTCACTTCCCACTTTTGAAGTCATTGTCATCCCTTTCGATTAGAGTCCTTCTGAGCACTACAGTTTGTGCGTCAGGAGCCTGCTATCACTGGGAACCTTGTCATATTGTCGTTCTCAAACCTACCTTGTGCTACGATTAGCAAGGTAGTGCTCGTCTATACTCGTCACTAAGCCCCTATCTTCTATCAATTCAACTATCCCTCCTCAAAACCCACACCCATACATCTCTGGGTTTTACTTTGAAGGATCCTCATACATACCACCCCACGAACAACCAGAGCACCCACTGTTCTAGGAGGCAAAGCCCATAAACAAGTTCCATGGAATCTGGGAGGATTGTGTGCTAGTTTGTTTTTGTGTGTGGTTTTCTAACAACAGTTCTCATCATCGACACCGCATGGCCCCATGTGTGAAAGCTAAAGTACAAGGTTAAAGCGGAGAATGAAAATGAAAGGAAAGGTCCAAAAATTGTGTTATCATAACACTCGACAAAAGCACAGTTGTAACAAGCTGCATGCTTTTTCCACAAAGGTGTGGCACAAATTGTTTCTTGGTGCATACCATTGGTTCCACTGCAGTCGCTTGGAGTATAGAAATATGCAACTGCTGAGTGCATCACAACTACCCTTGAATTGAATATGGGGCATTGGTGCAGGGGTATATCAAAGGCTGAGGGCACGTTATGGTCATTTATGTGCTCTTGGCTGTAAAGGAAGCACCAGAGTAACTCAACAAGGTGGGGCTAATGAAGCTGTACACTGAGCTCATGGCATTTTGTCGGATATTGATGCACTAAAAGAATACATTAGTATAATATGTATTTGTAGTAGTCAAAATGTACCACGCTGAATTGATGGTTTGACATAGCTGTAACAACCAAGAGTTAGTTACTCTGGCGCACACAGGAACACACTATAAAGGTAGTGGAAGATGGGGAGTGGGTACCCCTTGGGCTGCAGTGAGTTAGTTGGTATACAACAGGAGGACTCGCTGAGGAGTCTCCTGGATCTATTGGGGTATATATACTACTACAGGTTTGTTTGTACATGTGTACTATACAGTTGATGAAGGCAGTGGCTGATGATGTCATAGGGCCTAGCCCGTATGGCCAGCTCCACTGCGTGAGAGAGTTAAGTCTAAAAGTAAAAGAAAGGCAACGCGGCGCGAGAAAGGGAAATGCCGCGTGGCACTTAAAGTATAAAGTTAAAGCGGAGAATAAAAAGGAAAGGAGATGTCCGGAAATTGTGTTATCGTAACAATAGCTGGGCATCATTGGGCCTGGAACTGGCCTGCTATCATTATCATTGTTATGTTTGATATTGTGATGCTCTAAGCTTGCTCCTGCATTTGATGCCCTTGTATTCTCTGTGGTGTCCCTTTGGTTTGTGTAGTCCAGAATGTTGCCTGAAAGTGTTCCTCAGGCTGTAAAATCAACACAAGAGGCCGCAATTTTGTCAAGCCTCTGGTTGATAAGCAGCATTTGACCCAATGCTCTGTATCTACTTGAACAACGCTATGGTTGTTTCACAGCTGTAATGTGCCTTGATTCAGTTATCAAAGAATAAAGACCGTTTGGCGACCTGAACATTCAGATGAGTTGTGTATAATGTTGAAGTGAGTGTTGCTGTGGGAGAGAAAAGCTGGTCAGTCAAACATTTAGTATCTGGAAGATGAAAATGCTATGACTGCATCTTGTACTTTCTGAACAGTGCTATCACTGTGAATATCATGTCAGACCAGGTAGTAGAAGTCAAAAAATGCCTAAAAGGTGTGTATTATATCAGGTGGGACATGCCCTTCAATGGCAGTGAGATACACCTTTGAGTCATCACCAGTCCACTACTTGAATCCATGGCCTTGAGGAAACTGTCAAAGTCCAGGAAATGAGGGACCTGCCGCAATCCTGGTAAATCATATATTAGAAATCATTGGATTATTTTGATAGAAAAAATGTTTACCTTTAATCAATTTCATTTAAGATCTCAATCAGTGTGCTTCTTGCTATATGTGAGACAAAGGTATTCTCCTACCCAAGTCACAAGGTGGTCCTTAAAGGTACCTTTAATGATTTGGTGAAGAAGGTCTGGAGCCAAGATTTCATGTATGTCAACACAAGGAAAATTATGGGTGAACGGCTAGATGGGGTTTTTGAATTGGATTCATTTGAATGTAAAAAAACTCACTATAATGTCACTAACAGTACCATATTGATCCCACAAAACACCTTGATCAAGAACCTTGGTGTGATCTTCTGAGTATTGACCACCTTTGCCATCAAGGTAGTTAGTTGAGCCATGCAATGCAACTACAAGCAGAAGATATTAGTCCAGATAGTGTTATGGAAGAAAAGCACCCACTGGGCACACCACCTTTAAACTATGCATGCAAGAAGGACCTGCTTGGGGTAGTCAGCTATGTATGGGCCAATGCTATAAATAATATGTTTAAAATGTATGTTAGAGCATCAAACAACCTATGGAGTTAACATTTCAGGTTCAAGATTTTGAAGAATATGTGACAGTGATGTGTGGAATAGTTGTTGGCAAAACTTGCCAAAAATGTTACGCTTGGAGTGTGCAAGCCTGGTAACACAGAGTTTCTGGGTGTGCAAGTTGTTTCTGATAAGCCCATTTGTGAATGGGTTTGAGATGTATTCTGATGATGAGGTTTAGACTGATTAATACCAAGTTACACCGTTGAAGTGTACAATTGTATTGGAGATAGTATTTACAATATAGGCATATATATAGTGCCTACTTTAGGGTAGGTGTTTGTGTTGAACAAACAATGACGGGTGATACCATAACAGGTAATAGTATGTGGGAAAACATTGGTAGGTAGCGGTGTGTAGCTACTTGAGAAAAATAAATAAAAGTCTATAGCAAACACAGTTCATAACAAAAACTTGGATCATTTGTGTACTTCTTATCAGCTAAATAAACATCGGATTTAGTATATGCAAAATAAAGGTAAAAGTTAAATGTTACATACTTTTTGGGATGGCCAAGAAGCCCAACAACACTATAGCATTCCTATGTGCACAACAAGCATTATTATGAACATTCCCCACGTACAGTGGATAATATTTGTTTTGCCCAGTTGCAACCGAAACTGTTGTTTTCTCGCTTCCTAAGATGACTGGCACAAATGGCAAACCATGTGTTGTTGGATCAAAAGAAATCTTATCTGCTTGCTTCCAGGCCCATTCACCTACATGAAATCTTTGTACTCACTCTCTCCCTCAGCATTGAACTTCTGATAGGGTGTGAAGTCAGTTTTGCCACAGAAATCTTGATTGAAAAGCACATTTTGTATAATAGTGTGGGGATCTCTAAACCAAACATCAAACTCTTGGCTCATCCACTAGGGTGGATTATCTTCAGGAATTTCACTATTGTAGGACAACAAAAATGATTCCCATGGCACGTCTCCAGTTGAGGTGGTGTCAATCATTTGGTATAGATCATCCTTACTGGCACAAGGGACATCTTTGTTAACAAGTCCATTTTTGATGAATAAAGCCCTCCACAGATCTAGGAGTGTGTTAATGTCTCCAGCAGACATCTGTATTTTCTTGTAGAGGAGTCCGGCAGTCTCAAACTCTATGTGATCGCAATATGGGGACCAATCATCTGATAGTGGATTTTCTGGTAGTACGAGCTTTGCTCTAGGAGGAAGACAGTTCCCACTGTCATTGCAAGGTTATCCTGTAAATGGTTAGAAACAATGATGTGGTACAAAATGTAGCCTTACCATCTAAAAATACATGATATTCATTTTCACCTTGCAGCTGACTCGGATCTTGTAGCTCTGAGTCATTTTGTTGTCCAAAGATTTCTGGCTCATTTTCAGGATCAAATGGAAGTGCTGGAAAAGGTGGATGGAGTGGAGTGCTGGTATCCAGATGGTAGGTATGAATGTGCCTGTTTAAACCAGATATGCTGCAAAGCCAGCAATTGCATTGGGTGTTCCCACAGGGTATGGTGAAGCAGTTTTGTTGTGGGTGGACGGGCTTGCTACCATGCTGTGGAGGCATTCTAAGTTGATTTTTTGTCTGAAAGAAAAAGCCAAGTAAGAGAAAATGAGCACCATGGATGGTGTGACAACACAAACAATTTCATATAAGCTTTACTTACTAGGCTTGAACTCCGTCAAATTTTTCTCTACAATGCAAGCCTTGCATCCTTCAGTCCTATTAGTCTATCAGTCCACATCTTGCATCCTATGCGTTTCTATCATGCCTAACCCAGGAACTTGTGCCAAGAATGCCCAGCTGCATCCTGGAAAGATTCTACTTGACCTGCAATAGAAAAAATGTTCTCAAGAAGAGGTAGCACAGGAAAAGCAGCAGTTTAAACTCACCAAGTAGGAGCTACTACGAGCAATGAAACTTGGCCTTGCTGCTACTGCACAGTTTGAAGACAAAAATGCAAGAGAAGGCATAGAACAGGATAGACCTATTCTCCCTCCCTCCCACCAATACTGGGCAAGTAGCAAAGATAGCCCTCAGGCTGATACCAAGGATAGTATTGGTACTATTAGAGAGACACCAGCACCTTTCCCCTTTCAATGGCGCCTGTTCCGCCTGTCCTGTCATAAGAGTAGCTTGAAAATTGTCACAGACAGCAAGGATGAAAGGACATCTGTAGGCAGGAATGGCAGTGACAATGAGGAAGGTGAAAACAACTTGGAACCTATTGATCTGATGGATATCTTTTCTGAACCAGATAAAGGTCAAGCTGAAGCTGTTGAAGGAGTTGAAGATGATAGTTTGGAGCGAGTGTTGAAAACAATGTCATGCACCAAAATTGATTGGTAGCATGGACAGGTGTCAATAATAAAGTGAACATTCAAAAGACTTGCCTTTGAGCCACACAGGCACAGTGCCATGTGGAATAGCAATCAAGTTGCGCTCACCTTTACTTTCCATTCAGTACTTTTGGCATTTCAGCATTTTGGCAAATTTTTGTATTGCCACTGGCTACACTGTGCACCCTTGCTTTTGTCGTTCTCTCTTACCCATTTTCCTTTACTCAGCCCCACCATGGGCCTTTTACTGTTTTTTTTATTCTCATCAGACAGTTGATTCTGGCTTCCTATTGTAGTCCACTTCTTCGTCACCCACCTCCACCCTCCTCCTACTCGTCTTCCTTGCTCCTCCACCACACTTGATGTCACGTCACTGCTGTTGATGATGAGAATTGTAGTTAGAAAACCACACACAAAACAAACTAACACACAATCTGTAAGGACCGTTTTATTATTTTCTTATCTTTGTTATGTCTTGGTTCTCGAACGCCTTTCCCGTTACACCTCTGGCTCTAGGGCTAGAGGTATCCTTTGCCATCTTACTTCTCATAGCCCTCACAGGCTTTCTTAACCATCGCTATCACTTTATATCACAGATCAGAGACTGGGCATCGCTCCCAGCTAGCCAGCACACTGGGTAGGGACTGGTAGTACCCATCTCGCCAACCAGCTCCAACCCCCAGTAAAGCTTGGTAATACTAATAACGCCTTATCTAGAATCGTACCTCATCATGAGGATACGGTTCCTGACCACGCGTGACAATCTTCTATTATTAGTACAAGTCTCTCACCTGCTGATTAATCAAGTCAGAAGTCGTACGATAGTTGCTTCCCCTTTTTCTTATTGGTTGATTAATTCCTCAGACCACTCTTCGTATATTCTCTTTTCGGTCTGAGGAACGGACAGTTCCCTATATAAAGACGTACCTATTCATGTATAGCTCCTTAGCTTTCTATTACTGAATTTACCCGCTTTACTCCTCAACAAGAACCTTTGAAGCTTACCTCTTAAAAGTCCTCGACTCGCTGTATTCAACAGCGTCTGTTGACCTCAAGCTCATCGAACCCTTACTCCCTGCAAGTGCAGAAGGAGATAGGTTTAGTTCTTGTTATAGTTTATCGTTGCCTCACACAATCCTCCCAGATTCCACGGAACTTGTGTATGGGCTTTGCCTCCTAGAACAGTGGAGTGGTCTGGTTGTTCATGGGGTGGTACATATGACAATTCTTCAAAGTAAAACCCAGAGATGTATGGGTGTGGGTTTTGAGGAGGAGGGATAGTTGGAAGATAAAGATAGGGGCTTTATAATAAGTATGGATGATTACTACCTTGCTAATTGTAGCACAAGGTAGGTTTGAGAATGACAAGATGACAAAGTGACAAGCTTCCCAGTGATAGAAGGCTCCTGATGCACAAACTGTAGTGCTCAGAAGGACTCTAATTGAAAGGGATGATAATGAATTTCAAAAATGACAAGTGACAATGACAGCAGTTAAGAGCAGTAGCAGTGGGAAGTGTTGTGACCATACTGGATCACAAGTAGCAGAGTAGTGAGCTTGAGATTAGAGAAGAAGTCTGGATTGGAGTTCTCTTTTTTTACAAGGTAAAATACAGGAGTTTATATAGTAAAACAAAGGTAGGCTATGCACAGTATAGCTGTGCAAAAAAAATGAGAAAGAACATGAAGGAAGGAATGTATGCTGACAGATCCTGCATAGGTAGTATAGGATAAGATTGTCAAAAAAAGGAAAAGAAAAAGATAGAACAATAAATGCTGTGTAAGTAATGTCACAGGTTTGTACAGCCATAAGATAAAGTCCAAAAACAGGAAAAGAGCAAGAAAATCATAAAGTCATGGGAAGATGCAGTAAAAAAAGGGCAAGGCAAAAACACTATCAGTATCAACACAGTTCCTTTATTGTCAGTCAGGCATTCTAAAAAAATATGTGTCCATAAAAATGATTCAAAAATCAAAAATAATCGCACTGTAAATAAATGTTCTGCTGAAAAAAAAGAAACAGGGGCCACCAGTCCACCATCTAGTACAAATACGACGGTTCCATGGCCTTACCAATGGACTGGTTATATTGGACCACCTGGTCAAACGAGGGAAGGAGAAGAGTTGTTCCAATTTGGAACAAGTGGGTCCCAGGCAGTGTGTGGTAGGTGTAGCTTTAGCGAAGACAATGGACAAAAGGTAAGTGTACCCAAGTGAATGGGACAGCGATGTACATAGGCAACGCAAGGGGATGAACCTTCTCCAGCTCAAAAACTACCCACCCATGCTCCAACCAAGCAAGACAAGCAACCAATGTTTTGATAGTATATGATGGAAGATCGACATCATGAAGATGGACCTGTTGCCCAATTTGGACCGGCTGCCGGGGCTTTGTTGATATCAGCAGTGGCATGTGGTGGTCAACGGATTGGCAACAGAAGCGGATAGAAAGTGGTGACATCAGATATGGTGGGGGAGCAAAGACAATAAGGAGGAGGAGGGTGGAGGTGACCAGGAGGTGAACTAAAATGGGGGATCCAGAAGCGACCGTCAGGTGAGAATAAAAAAGAGAGTAATGGTCCCATGGTGGGGCTGAGTAAAGAAAAAAAGTAAGGGAGGGCGACGAAAGTGAGGGCGCAATGTGTAGCCAGTGGCGACGCAAAAATTTGCCAAAATGCCAAAATGCAGAAAGTACTGAATGGAAAAGTAAAGGTGAGCGTGACTGAATTGCCTGATAGAGGTGGTGCAGATCAGCCACAAGTTCAAAAAAGGCAATATTAATTACTATTCCATGTGGCACTGTGCCTATGTGGTGCAAAGGCGAGTCTTTTTGAATATTTGCTTCATTTTTGACACCTGTCCATGCTACCAATCAACTTTGGTGCATGACACCGCTCTCCATCTGTTTCTGTTGCCAATCTGTTTGACAACCACGTGCCACTGCTAATATCAACAAAGCCCTGGAAGCCGGTGCAAGTTGGGCAACAGGTCTATCTTCATGATGTCAATCTTCCATCATATACTATCAAATTATTAGTCGCTTGTCTTGCCTGGTTGAAAGGTGGGTGGGTAGTTTTTGAGCTGGAGAAGGTTCATCCCCTCACGTCACCTATGTACATCACTGTCCCATTCACTTGGGTACATTTATCCTTTGTCCATTGTCTTTGCTACAGCTACACTTACCACATGCTCCCTGGGACACATTTGTTCCAGATTGAAGCTACTCCTCTCCCTCCCTTATTCGACCAGATAGTCCATTACAACCAGACCATTGGTAAGGCCATAGAACCATTGGATTTGGACTAGGTGGTGGACCAGTGGCTCCAGTTCCTGTTTTTTTCAGCAGAATATTAGTGCAATTATTTTGGATTTTTGAGTCATTCTTATGGACACATATTTTTTTAGAATGCCTCACTAACAATAAAGAAACTGTGTTGATACTGATATTGTTTTCTTTATCCTCTTTTTACTGCATCTTCCCATGATATTATGATTTTCTTGCTCTCTTTCTGCTATTGGACTTTATTTTATGGCTATACAAACCTGTGACATTACTTACACAACATTCATTGTTCTATCCCTTTCTTTTCCTTATTAATCTTATCCTGTACTACCTATGCAGGATCTGTCAGCATACATTCCTTCCTTCATGTTCTTTCTCATTTTTTTTGCACAGCTATACTGTGCATAGCCTACCTTTGTTTTACTATATAAACTCCTGTATTTTACCTTGTAAAAAAAGAGAACTCCAATCCAGACTTCTTCTCTAATCTCAAGCTCACTACTCTGCTACTTGTGATCCAGTATGGTCACAACACTTCCCACTGCTACTGCTCTTAACTGCTGTCATTGTCACTTGTCATTTTTGAAATTCATTATCATCCCTTTCAATTAGAGTCCTTCTGAGCACTACAGTTTGTGCATCAGGAGCCTTCTATCACTGGGAAGCTTGTCACTTTGTCATCTTGTCATTCTCAAACCTACCTTGTGCTACAATTAGCAAGGTAGTAATCATCCATACTTATTATAAAGCCCCTATCTTTATCTTCCAACTATCCCTCCTCCTCAAAACCCACACCCATACATCTCTGGGTTTTACTTTGAAGAATTGTCATATGTACCACCCCATGAACAACCAGATCACCCACCATTCTAGGAGGCAGAGCCCATTCACAAGTTCCATGGAATCTGGGAGGATTGTGTGTTTGTTTGTTTTGTGTGTGTGGTTTTCTAACTATAGTTCTCATCATCGATAATGTGAACATGGCTTTCCAAGCATCTTCTTCTTTGAGCTGTGCATTGCTCTTTTGTTACAGTGTTAGGCACCAATTTGGAATCTGGACTAATCATAAGAATCTAGAGTATTTTATGATGGCTTGAGACTTGGATTGAAGAAGGGCCCACTATGCAGTATACTTGTCTAGATTTAACTATAAATCAATTCATAAGCCAGGTACTTCTATGGGAAAGTGGATGTAACAACCAAAGTTTGTATACTCTGGCGCACAACAAAGACAAGCAAGGAGGGGTGAATGAAGGAGAGGGTAATCTCCCTTAGGATAGGACCAAGTTTGTTGTGGGTAAACAATAGAAGGACTTGCTGAGGAGTCTCCTTAATCTATTGGGGTTTATATACATCTACAGACTATTTGTACATGTGAACTGTACAGTTTGTTATGATACACAATTTTTGGATTTACATCTTTTATTTCTCCACTTCAACTTTCCTTCTTAGTTTTCACACACTCGTGCCATGCGGCACTTTCCTTTTGTTCAAACTCCACTTTCTCAGGCTGCACTGCTTTTTTTATTTTTAGATACAAGTCTCTCACGCAGTGGAGCTGGTCACACGGGCTGCGCCCTATGACATCATCAGCCACTGCTTTCATCAACTGTATAATACATAAGTACAAACACTCTGTAGTAGTATATAAAACCCCAATAGATCCAGGAGACTCCTCAGTAAGTCCTCCTGTTGTATACCCACAACTAATTTGGTCCTATCCCAAGGGGTTTACCCATTCCTACCTTCCTCACTCTTGCCTGTCTGAATTGTGTGCCAGAGTATCAAAACTTTGGTTGTTGCACAGTTACCAAGGGTAGTGGCTGATGATGTCATAGGGCACAGCCCTTGTGGCCAGCTTCACCACGTGAGAGAGTTGGATTCAAAAATAAGAGGCAGCAGTGCAGTGCAAGAAAGTGGAGTTTGAAGCAAAAGGAAAGTGCCATATGGCACAAGTGTGTGATAATGAAAAAGAAGGTTAAAGAGGAGATTGAATGTTTAAGAGTCCACTGAGCTCCCAGCCCTTGGATATCAACACTCAATTGCACAATGTTGTCTAACAAGGCCCAGGCTTTGACTTCTACAATTCCAACAAGGCGGACTCTCAGCACCACTTTGTTTCAGCTCGCCTCAGCCACTCATCACAACACTACATGTATAGATCATTTTGACCTTTCAAATACAATTTCTTCCCCTTATTGATGGGTCTTGCCTTCGGTGATTTGCCCCCATTTCTGGTCTCACAGTGCTGGTCAGACCAAAAGACCAAATTACTGAAATGACAGGTCAATATCAGCAAATATGGAAATATAGCTTTCACTCAGGATATCAGTGAGTTCCAATATTTCCAAGTGGAAATATGTTCAGTAAGCAGATCTACAGACTCGGAAACGAGTCAACGACACATTCATAAGCAACTACACGAAGCAGCCTCGAAGTACACTGGAGAAGCTAGGAACTCAGTTCCTCGAACAGAACCATAAGCACTAGTAGGTGTATCCAGAATAACGATAGAGACCGTATAAGGGTTTCAGCGTTCAGGTATCGCTGATACCCTCCTAACTATATAGCTGATGCGACGCGTCCAATGAATAACACCATGATAAAGGCCTTCGATGTTACCATCCTCCTTGTAGATGACGCGTGATCGCAGTTTCCAACTGCTGAGTTCCTTGAGGATCTCGTTAAAGCGCGCAACGACTTCATCCATAGTAGGCCGCTTTACTGGGTCATCTTGTACCATGTCTTTCACAAGAGGTAACATAAACTCGAGTCCGCGTTTTTTCTGAACGACGAAGAAAGCATGCTTAATCAGTCCCTTTTATTAACAGACAAGTATCTCACCAGAAGAAAGTTTTCCCTGATCATATTTCCTAGATAATAGATGTCTGTGGGGAACGGATTACAAGCATCGTCCGCTTTTTGAAACTCGGGAACAGTCTTGTCACCTCCCCATATGGGGTATTCCAGGGGAGCGTTGTTGTCAGCGGCATAACGGCGGGATATACCAAAGTCGATGAAAAAGTACCTTGGTGGGCGCTCAGTACGAGTGAAGTATCTAGCCTTGCCACTGAAGTCGCGTCTCATGTCCAAATCTTGAGGATGATAAGGATCGATGTACAGAGGGGTCGCATCCATCATAACATTGGGGCCCATACAGTCACTGGCAGTCGGTGAGAGACGATAAAACGATTATCTGAACAAAACATACCGATGTGCAACATGTTGTTTGTGAATAAATCGCAACCCCTTTGGGGTAAAGATAGTCAAAGCTTCATTATGAGCTCCAAGGTTAACTTACCAAAAATAGCTGACGAAAAAAATCTACTACTTCACCGCAAGTATCAAAGCGAGGGCGATGGAATGGCCGCAATAATGGCATGACCAAGAGGGCCTGATCCTCGTCATCCGGCACATCAAGCACATCATAGAGTGGTACAGAGTAGTTATAAAGGTCAGAGACAAGTGGTTCGGTCGAAAATAGGCGACCAATCTCAATCTCGTATGGATGTCGAGACTTTGTGATTAACTTCAAAGTCACAAAGACTCCATCGGCCATTCGAGTCGCATCCAACACATGATCCCTCTAAACAATAGCTAGTTATTAGTGAGTACTACAATCGACAAGATAACGCACAGCAGGCACTTGGCTGTCTTCGCACTCTACCCACCGCTTCTTGGTATCTTGCCATGACGGAACCCAGCCAGGCGCGTATCGCGGGCGCAACAAGTATCCAGTTTCCTTCAACCATTGATATTGCTGACACCACCAACTTTCAACTTTACCAATGGCTCCAGGGATAGTTGACAGAGGCAATCCAAACACTTGACAGGCTAGTTCCTGGAACTCCGCTTGTTCCCGTGCTATTCTTTCTTCCCATTCAGCTTGACGCTGGCGACGACGAGAAAGCATTGCGGCATACGGAGTTGGATAACTTGTAGTGCCTCCAGGCTAGGAGTGATTTAGAACAGAATTTTGGTTCGTTACCAAATTCATGTAAATATGGACCCATAGAAGGTCGCGGCTCATGAAGTTAAACGTCAAACCCCCCGACTATGTCACCGCGATGAGTCTATGATGCCACTACAACGTGCAAAGGCCTATCTAGAAAGGCTGACTCAATCAGATACCTATCGCGATACTATCGCCTGTGGTTTGTTCGCTGGCGTGCTCTGTTCAGGTCGACCTAACATGTACAAGAGAAATTTGTATGAAGCCGAAACTTGGGGTCACTACCAATCACCCGACCAATCATAAACGGCTTTATGTGACGATAAGATATCTCTGGTAGTATATCGGCCAGTACACCCGCCTGTCATCTTAAGAAGGGTCGCGGGAGAGCGGGGTTCGACTCCCCGCCAGAGAGAATTTTTTGTTCATTTTTACTCACATCCATGTCATGATACTTCGTGGTTCATTGATAGGTCTATGCTCTTACTATCCAGCTTTTAATAATTAGAAGCTCGCCATTTCACACCGAAATAAAAAATTCAGGACAAGAACATATATTTCATCGCTTTAGTTTCTCAATAAGCTCGGGAACAACTTCATATAAATCCGCGACAAGTCCAACATCCGCTACTTGGAAGATGGGAGCATCGGGGTCCTGTTGTAGTAAATTTAGCACATTATACGTTAGCACATGTACACGACCCTACCTTGTTCACTGCGACGATGAGTTTCGAGTCTTTCATCCCAGCGAGATGCTGGATAGCTCCTGATATGCCGAGGGCCATGTAAAGCTCAGGTGCAACGACTTTACCCGTTTGGCCTACTTGCAAGGAGTTATCCGCATATCCAGCATCCACCGCCGCGCGAGAAGCTCCGACGGCGGCCCCGAGGATGTCGGCCAAGGGATAGAGAGTGGACTGGAATGTCTCTGCATTCTTTAAAGCACGTCCACCCGAGACGATTCGACTAGCAACACCCAGTTCAGGCCGGTCGGACTTGGTCAACGACGTGCTAACGTGCTCTGAGGGAGAGTCGGAGACCTGTACGGGGTCGAGGGTTTTCAGCTCAGCCTCTGCTCCTTCGGAGAATTCAGCGGGTGAGAAGGCCGTTGACCGAACAGTGAAGAATTTGATAGGTATCGAAGATGGGGCACGAACAGTTGATATGGCGTTTCCTGCATATATGGGGCGTGTAAAAGTTGTGCTGTTGGACGACGCATCGTGTTCAACCGATGTGATATCGGAGACGGCCGGTACATCGAGTTTGGCTGCGACTCGAGGCAAAATAGACTTGGCAAGAGATGAATGGGCGGAAATAACATGTGTAAAGGGTGATCCTTCAGAGAGGAGCTTTTCGAGAAGCGGTGAAACTGTTTCAGGCAAGGGAATGGTGTATTGAGGGGAACTGGAGTGCAGAACGGAAGATAGCCCTTGCAATCTGTCCACCGATATCAATTTACTGATAGCTGAAAATGGTAGACAGTCCAACTTACTTTTTTGCTGTCTCTATGATGACTTTGACTTCATCTGATCCACCTAACACCAGACCGGTGACTTGGCCGCCTAGTTGGCCAGCAGCTGTGAGGGCTGAAAGGGAGCCGGAATCGATGACACCCTGACGATGTTCGAGGAAGACTAGCGCATTAGGTGAAGAGGCGGTGGCATAAGTACGCAGAAGTGTTCTGCGAAAACTGAAAGCTTGTGTTCGCAGCATGTCGGTACTCCGTGTGTTAATGCTCGTTCAGTCGCAACTCACAAATTAGATCCGGGTACCCATATGGGTGTCTACTTTCCCACGCCCATCCAACGAGACAAAATGATCCGAGTCAGAGGAGATCGACTTACCGCTCACTGGACTCTTCAGTAATGTCGAATGTCATGTCGCTCATACACGTTTATCTTGGTGCGTTAGGAGCAGAGGCCCAAGTTATTAATTCAAGATTACAATCTCTAAAATCTGCGCTTTGGTTTGATTCAAGTCTGCTCGCTGTCACCATAACTTGAACTAGTAATCGAACCATCATGCATCATGGCCCCTGGATCACACACCGGTTACAATTACTATTTATCCTAAGGCCATACATGCTTTTCAATCAAACTTGTAGTCCTTGTCGGCCTGGATAGGCATTCAAATTTCCTACGCAAGATGGGTGGTATTCCTCGACTCTCTGCTTCGAATCAATGTCGATGCTAGCATGCGGTGATGGATCACCTCAATTTCTCATATGGTTCCGCCATAGTTGTAGTGGATATATAGCGATATTGACGAGAGAGATTTGCCGCGACTAACATGTCTCCTTCCACACTGAGGCTGTCAGTGCTCGTCAGTGATATCGAATACACTGCAAAAAGTGATACTCTGTCTATTAGAAAACATCGCAACACTGACATCAATATTTTTGCCGTCATTCCATCTGGATATGGCATGAGGACAGCAAAGTTTCTTCCGTGAGTGTATTGCGATTGGGAAACCTTGCTGCCTATACTGAAAGGAAAGGATTCTCGCAGAGGGGCGGATGTTGTGAAAACTGTTCATCAATTCCTTGGCAGGTTCCAGATATCTGCTCCTCGATAGTTAAAGTGAAGCACTTCGATTTTCCTTTATCCTTTACCACCCCGCGTCAGGCCATGATGCATCGATTATTTTGGTTTACAACATTCACCCTCTTTTTGCTACTTGCTACTCCGAGTAATGTCCGCGCTGGAAACACTAATTGTGTTGGGACTATGCTTGACTGGTACACCAGTGCGGTCGGAGAGTCACCATGTGAGTTGCAGATTTTATTTGGAGGATAGCGCACGCTAAACTATCCTAAGGCATGACCTATCAACGTCTTATGCAGATATGTGACCCTCAATGTGGGAGATAAGTTGTCTCACACAATGTCACCTTAATAATCCTAGCTCTTAGACGAGGTTCCGTCATTCCGAAGTACTGCACCAGGTGACAATTGTGATACACAGCTTAGTATGTTCTTTGGCTTTAGCGCTGTCCTATATTTCAATCGTCTCCTTCACAGATAAGTGTTGCTGCAATTCGATATCCTGGACGCTTAGTATGCTTTGCATGAAGTGGGTGGTAGATAAATACATTCTTCTGAGCTAAACTCTTTGACTTAAAGTTGCCAGAAAGACGTTAGCGGAAGTAGCCCTAACGGCATAGACGCAGGTATAGGTCTATTGATCCATCCTATATTCATGACTAAAGTGACTTTATCTGCAGGCGCCGGTGCGTATCAAAAGTACCTCACTGACGGGACAACGTGTTCTTCTACAAATCAATCGTGAGTGAAAATTCTTGCGGGTGGTAGTAGTCTAATATGAACACGTTCATAATATTTTTCGACTTCCAGCCTTCCCACCGATATCCAGGCTGCAGTTTGCAAGGCGGGTATAAAGTTGGATGACTCTTTATACGATATATTTTGGGATGACGGGGCATGGTAGCTATTATTTTTCCTTGTCTCTGAAACCTCTTTTTTTGACATGAGCGCATCAGGTATTAGTACGTATTTGGCTTGATGTCGCCACTGTATCCTTATTAGTCTTCAAAGTGTCTACATGTCTAAATCAGCCCAAGGGAATGAAATCGCAAGTAACGATAACACATTCAGTCATTGCCAGACTCCCGGATTACTGGTCCCACCACCCTCTACATCAAGTCCACCCTCTACATCAAGTCCACCCTCTACATGGTCTACAGGTCCACAATCTACACTATCATCCTCTACAAGTTCGCAGTCTTCACAGTCTTCATCCTCTTCAAGTTCACAGACTTCACAGTCTTCATCCTCTTCAATCTCACAGACTTCACATCCTTCATCCACACTGAGTTCACTGCCATCTCCAATTTCTTCGCTGTCGACCTCACCGTCTCCGGGGGGTTCATCCCCTTCGACAGTTCCTAATACAGCGAGCCCTTCCAATATGAGTACCATTGTTGGTTGTGCCGTCGGCGGAGCTGTACTCTTGGCAGTCCTCCTGGCAGTTGCTTGTTTCTTAAGGAGGAGGCGACGTGGTAAAGGTGTGGTCACACCTGTCCCACCTTCAGGACCACTCCTCACCCAGTCTCGATATCTTTCCGGGTCTTTGGTGCCAGTTACAATGCCTAATACAGGTGAGACCAGAGCTAGTGAACGAGGGATTGCATTGACGCTAAGCAAACAATGTCGACAAATACAGATCTGTTGGATCAGAATACGCACATTTTGCCTAGCAGTGGCTTTAGTCAAGATACCTTCAGCTCAGACACTTCTTCGTACGCTTCCGAGCAAGCTGTTCGTGAAAACTCCGTTGGCGCGTTGAGGCCAAATTTACTTGGTTTTAATCCTTTAAGACACGCCTATGTCCTGGAAGGAGTTCACAGGGAAGGCCCTAGAGGAGAGGAGCTTCGTAGAGCGGTGTTCGAGGTAGAAGAAGATGCAGGAACATTTGGACAGACTTACATGACTACTCCGCCTCCATATAATCCTGCCTGGGATATTTTCCAAATACAAAATGAGGTGAGTCTATCGACATTGCGCATGTAGTACCCGAAGTCTCAGCTTCTGGCAGGAAATCGGTAATTCCCAGGCTCAACGACCGGCGCAAAGTTCGCTAATGGAAGATAAAGACTAGTTTGTGCAGAGGATAAGCTGTTGATGTTTTTGCGACGTTCTAATATTGACTTGATCAGTTGAAGATTCTTTTCTAATTTGATGATAGTTTGCATTGCGTGATGTATCGAACATCTATCTTGTTGAACTTAACGATTTTGATTATTCGGTCGATGCTAGCTTTAAATTTTACGCTGCAAGGACTCATGATACTGTCATCATCACTGTTATTATAATTAGCTTCAAAGCATAATCTTTGTGGCGTGACGCCACTACTCTGGTACTAAAGTATCAGCTCCGAGTCACTGACGCTTTTCCGCATGTCTCGCGTAATTCAGAAAAATCAACGGTGCTGGTGTATAATCATTAAACCACTCCCAGAAACAACAGGTATGTCGATGTGATTTTGCTGGCACCATTTTGACACTATTCACTATACCAGTACGCCAGCTCGCTGCGATGTCACGTGTACCCCCCACGATCCCTTTGGAACTCGCACACCGTTGTCATATATATATGTATGGCTGTGTATACCTGTCGATGCTGTCCGTATTTCACTTCCCACAGCCATGAAATCTCCCGGACGGGATGCGGTGTATTTCAGCCTGGGTGTCCTTTGATTGAATCAATCTCAAGTACGTTGCGATCTTGTACGGCTTCTCACGTGTTTTTGAGATAGTTGTATTGAAGTTATAACGGTTTCAGCAAGGAAAGATATGCTGCGACAAGCAACTCATTGTCTCTCGCGGTTTAAGTCGATATCAAGTAGGTCACATTGTGTTGTTTGGATGATGAGGCTGCCACATTGAAATAGTTGATATCAAACAGGTCACTCAATTCCCTCGAGCACAATAGACGCCTAGTGCTTCGTATGGCAATTGAACAACTGTATTCTTGCAAGATCATCATGAGTTTCTGAGGCACAATCTGGAAGCTTTGCTGCATATGCTGAAAGTTGACTTTCCATCAATTCAGTTGACAGATGGGATAACACGGTATACCTGCTCTTCGCTACTAAAGGCCAAGCCCCCTCCATCTTCATCTTCACGCCTTTCATCCTTTACTACTCCCTGCAATGACTCGGACGCGCCGGCTAGGCCGGCTTGCAGCCACTACTCTCTTTTTCTTTTCTCTACTTCCTATTCCAAAGACTGTCCACGCTGGAAACACTACCTGTGTTGGGACTATGTTGGATTGGTACACCAGTGCGGTCGGAGAGTCGCCATGTGAGCCATAGAATTTGTCTGGATCATAGTGCATGCTAAGATAATCAAAGGCATGACATATCAGCGACTGAGGCAGATATGTGACCCGACTTGTGAGTGATATTTCCTCTTATGCGATGCCCACTTAATCATTTTGGCACTTAGATCAGGTTCCGTCCTTCCGAAGTAATACACCAGGTGACAATTGTGATACACAGCTTAGTACGTTCATCTTCACCGTCGTCCTGTTTCGAAATCTCATCCTTTATAGATAGCTGTTGTTGTAATTCGATATCATGGGCCCTTAGTATGCTCTGCATGAAGTCAGTGGTAGATGCTTAGCTTCGTCACTTCTTTTTTGAGCTAAACCATTGGATTCTAAAGTTGTCAACAAGATGTCATTGGAGGTAGCTCTAATGGCATAGACGCAGGTAAGATTTCTTTCAACTCATCCTATTTCCATAGCTGAAGTGATTGTAATCTGCAGGCGTCGGTGCTTATCAAATGTACCTCACTGATGGGACAATGTGTTCTTCTACAAATCAATCGTGAGCGGAAATTCTTACGAATCGTGTTCGGCCAATACAAACGTGCTCATGATGTTTTCCAACCTCCAGCCTTCCCACCGAAATTCAGGCTGCAGTTTGTAATGCAGGTATAAAATTGGATGACTTTTTGTATAACCTATTTTGGGGTGACGGAGCTTGGTAACTGTTATTCTTTCTTTTCTCTGAAAATTATTTTCTGACATGAGCGCATTAGGTTCTAGTAAGTATTTGACTTGATGTCTCCACTGTATTCTTATTGGCCTTCAAAGTGTCTACACGTTTCAAACAGCCCAGGAGGATCAAGTCGCAAATAATAACAACACCTTCAGTCATTGCACAAGTTCCTGGGCAACGCCCCTACAGTCTCCACAGTCTTCACCTCCTCCAAGTTCACAGTCGACACAACCTTCGTCCTCGCTGAGTTTACAGTCCTCTTCTTTGTTGACCTCACAGTCTCCACAAGTTGGATCGTCATCCTCTCCAAGTTCACAGTCTTCACATCCTTCATCCACACTGAGTTCACAGTCCTTTCAAATTTATTTGCTGTCGACCTCACGATCCCCTCAAGTTTCTTCGTTGTCGACCTCCCAGTCTCCACGGGTTTTATCCCCTCCGACAGTTTTCAATGCAGCGAGCCCTTCTCATATGAGTACCATTGTTGGTTGTGCCGTCGGCGGAGCTGTACTCTTGGCAGTCCTCCTGGCAGCTGCTTGTTTCTTAAGGAGGAGGAGACGTGGTAGAGATGTTGCCACACCTGCCCCACCTTCAGGACCACTGCTCACCCAGTATCATTCCGGGTCTTTCGTGCCAGTTACAATGTCTAATACAGGTGAGACCGAAGCTGATTAGCAAATGACTGCATTGACGTTAAGCAAGCCGTGTCGACAAATACAGGTCTGATGGATCAGAATACGCACATTTTGCCTAGCAGTGGGTTTAGTCAAGATGCCCTCAGCTCAAACACTTCTTCTTACGCTTCCGAGCAAGCCGTCCATGAAAATTCTGTTGCCTTGTTGAGGCCGAATATACTTGGTTCTACTCCTTTAAGCCATGCCTATGTCCCGGAAGAAGTTCACGCAGAAGGTCCTTTCAGGGAGGAGCATAGAGGAGAGGAACCTCGTAGAGGGGAAAGGGAGATAGAAGAAGATGCAGGAACATTGATTTCATTGAGTGGCCAGACTTCCAGGACTGTTCCGCCTCCTTATAACCCTGCTTGGGATATTTTTCAAAGACACAGTGAAGTGAGTCTACTGTCATCGTGCATGCAGTATCCAAGGTCTCAGCTTCTGACAGGAAACCAATAACTCCCAGACTCAGCAACCGGCGCAGAGTTCGCTGATAGAAGATAAGACTAGTTTGTGTAGAGGATAAGCTGTCGATGTTTCTTGCGACATTCTAATATTGACTTAATTCGCTGAAGATCCCTTTATTTTGGCGACAGTTTGCATTACGTGATGTATCGACTATCTATCCTGTTGAACTTCGTTATTAGGTCGATGCTAGCTTCAAATTTTGTAGCCTTTACGCTGCAAGGACTCATCTGCAATGATATACTATCATCATCACAACTATAATCAGCTTTAAATCATAATCCTTGTGGGGTGACGCCTCTCAAATCATGCATCAGTCATCACGACTCTGATACTCTCAAGCCAAGTCGTTGGTGCTTTCTCACATGTCTCACATGTTTCGAAGAAGTCAACAGTGCGGGCGTACCAGAAACAACAAGGATGCCGTTATGGTTTTACACATAGTTGTCATAGGTATGGATCTGTATATTTTTGCTCACACGGCCACCTCTCGATACTATCCGTATTTCACATCCCATAGCCATGAAAAATGCTGGACAAGATGCTGTGTAGTCCAGCCCGGGCGTCCTTGATTGAATCGATCTCTAGTACGTTGGGACCTTGCACGGCCACGGCTTCTCACGTGTTTTGGCGATAGTTGCAATGAATCTATAGCGATTTGAGCAGGGCAGGATTATTGCGACTAGCGACTCATCTGTCTTTTGCAGTTCAAATGAGTGATATCAAGCAGGTCAGACTCTGTCGTGTAGATGATACTGCCACATTGACATAGTTGATATCAAGCAGTTCGGGCAATTGTCGCAAGTACAATAGACGCCTATTGCTTGATATGGTACCTGAACAACTGTATTCTTGGAAAATATGCTTCCGAGGCATCAGGAAACGTTGTTCTATATGCCGAAAGTTGGCTGTTCATCAATCCAGCTGACGGATGGGATAACACGGTATATCTGCCCTTTGATAGCCAATGCCAAGCCCCTCCCCCCTCCATCTTCAACTCCACGCCTTTCATCTTTTTACTACTACCTGTAATGACGCACCGGCTAGGCTGGCTTACAGCCACTACTCTCTTTTTCTTTTTTCTGCTTACTACTCCAAGCAATGTCCGCGCTGGAAACACTACCTGCGTTGGGACTATGCTTGATTGGTACACCAATGCGGTCGGAGAGTCGCCATGTGAGCTATAGTTTTTACCTGGAGGATAGTGCATGCTAAGATCTCCCAAGGCATGACATATCAACGATTGAGGCAGATATGCGACCCAACATGTGGGTGATAATTTCTCTCATACAACGTCCACTTTATCATTTTGGCACTTAGATCAGGTTCCGTCCTTTCGAAGTAATACACCAGGTGATAATTGTGATACACAGCTTAGTACGTTCATCTTCACCGTCGTCCTGTTTCGAAATCTCATCCTTTATAGATAGCTGTTGTTGTAATTCGATATCATGGGCCCTTAGTATGCTCTGCATGAAGTCAGTGGTAGATGCTTAGCTTCGTCACTTCTTTTTTGAGCTAAACCATTGGATTCTAAAGTTGTCAACAAGATGTCATTGGAGGTAGCTCTAATGGCATAGACGCAGGTAAGATTTCTTTCAACTCATCCTATTTCCATAGCTGAAGTGATTGTAATCTGCAGGCGTCGGTGCTTATCAAATGTACCTCACTGATGGGACAATGTGTTCTTCTACAAATCAATCGTGAGCGGAAATTCTTACGAATCGTGTTCGGCCAATACAAACGTGCTCATGATGTTTTCCAACCTCCAGCCTTCCCACCGAAATTCAGTCTGCAGTTTGTAATTCAGGTATAAAATTGGATGACTTTTTGTATAACATATTTTGGGGTGACGGAGCTTGGTAACTGTTATTCTTTCTTTTCTCTGAAAATTATTTTCTGACATGAGCGCATTAGGTATTAGTAAGTATTTGGCTTGATGTCTCCACTGTATTCTCATTGGCCTTCAAAGTGTCTACACGTCTGAAACAGCCCAGGAGGATCAAGTCGCAAACAATAACAACACCTTCAGTCATTGTCCGAATGCCATCGTGACGTCAACCATCAGCTCAAGTTCCTCCACTAGTGCCGCAACAGGAGCGGTGACTGGGACCCCACTGCCTTCACAAACTCCATCCGTGCCAACAGTTTTGGATGCAGCGAAGTCTTCTAACATGGGTGCCATTATTGGTGGAGCGGTTGGTGGGGTTGCGGCCTTGGCAGCTCTCCTGATAGCTCTTTACTTCTTGAGGAGGGGGAAACGCCATAGTAGGGCTGATGCACTGGATATGGATGCAGCTGTTCCTACTTTTAGATCATCTCCCAACCAGACTCAGCTCTCCTCGCTATATTTCAATCCGTTCACTGCGTCTGATAGAGGTGAGATCAACTCCAATGATGAATAAAGTTGAAGGACTGCTTTGACGTTGGACAAACAGCGCCGACAACAATAGTAAGCAGCTACATGGATCACAATCCGCAATTTCTGTCTAGCAGTGGCTCCGACCGCAATGCCCTCAGCTCCGAGTTTTCTTCTACTGCTCAAACCTATCGTGAAGACTTCGTTGGCCCACTGAGGCCAAATGTACTTGGTTATGCTCCTGTTCACTATTCTCATGCACAGGAAGGGTCTCGCCGGCAGAGCCCTTTCACGGATGAGCCTAGAGTAGAAGAGCCACGGAGAGCAGAAGGGCCACAGAGAGCAGAAGGGCCACAGAGAGCAGAAGGGCCACAGAGAGCAGAAGGGCCACAGAGAGCAGAAGGGCCACAGAGAGCAGAAGAGCCCCAAAGAGCAGAACCCCGGATAGAAGAAGATGCCGGGACATTAATTTCATACTCCCAGAATCTGGGGAGCATTCCACCACCTTATAATCCCGCTTGGGATATGTTCCAAAAGGAAAATGAAGTGAGTTGGTTTATTGTTATCGTGCATATTACACAATATCTCAAACGCTGACAGAAAACAGACGAACTATTGGCAGGCTCAAGCACTGGCCCAGGGTCCTCTGCCTGAAGACAGCCCATCCGTGTCTAGTGGGCAGCGAGTGTAGACTGTGGGCATTTCTTGTAGGTATTTAGTATATATAAGGTCAACTCAGTTCTAGCATAGCGGTTGCTTGGAGACGGCACACAATAATGATCTTCTTGACTTTTTTTTATTTAGTTGATTCGAGTCTGCGTAGCCCTTACACGATGAACATCCATAAAATACATTGTAAATAAAATTCATGGTTTCACAGTTTTGGCACGAGCTTGAATGAAGCTTAAGCAGGGCCCCGTAGTCACGTGCTTTCCGGGACGGCTCCCAGTTGTGCCGCTTCACATGTAGAGCGTAAATCCGAAGCTACAACAGAGCTTACAAACTTGAACATATTAGTGATTTGCTCCTCTCACCTGCGCTATCGTGGACGATGTCTTTTCAAGGATTAATATCAGGATCTGAATGTGGAGTCCAGTCAAACCCACTTTCTCAAGTACTCAAGCACACCGAGGGGGACAGAAGCTTGCAACAGGTATGTTCATCAACTCCATGATAGTCGGCATGGGCGAACTGACTGGTTGATTAGGATAGAATTTCTGGACCATCCTCTTCACGGGTATGTCAGATGCTCATTACACTTGTTCTGCACATTCATCATTTTCACAGCTCCATCACCTCCCCGGGACTGCCCCTCAGCAAGCCAATGATCACGATGTAGCCATGGCAAGGCAGTTTTTTGAGGCCCAACAACCCGGACCTGGACAAAACTTCACTCTTCCGCCACATATACACCCTGCTGAGCTCCTGCGTCTTGGTGAACTCAATGGCCGCCCTGATCTGAATGAGGCTTGGATGAGGGAACAGCAATATAAGTCGGTGCTTCAAGAGCCGATGTCTCAATCATCCTGGGCTGCAGAGTTTGGTCACAGCGCTGATCAGATACAACCTACAGCTGTCCCAGAACATAATATGTCAGGTAGGATCCCACTGAAAGCGGTTTATGTTCGAATCATTGATCTCAGCACTGACACGTTCGTAATTAGTCCAACAACGTCCTTCGTATATGGGCAACAGTGGAATGTATGGGGGTTCTATGCCTTATGGAATATACGGTGGTGCTATGAACCAGAGTTCATACCAAGGTTTCAGCAATAATTATGCTCTTGCATCGGATCAGGCCAAAGGAAAGGGTAAAAGTAGAGAGGTGGACTTCGAAGAAGCGTTTGCTCAAGCAGCAGCGTCTTTCAATCCAATTCAGGCAGAAACTTCGAGGATTGTAGAAGTCGATGAGAGCGTAACAGACATAGAGCAAGCCCTGAGAGGCACTGTACTGGAAGACGACACAAAGACGGGAGTGCTTGGCTCGGACTTTCCAACGTATGTCAGGTTCCTCGGATACTTTGCGTACCTTTAAACTCACGTCATCCATTACTAGAGTGTGGGAACACTTGCAGCAGTCGGGGGTCCCGCCTCCGCACGAAGATATGGCAAAGTGGGAGGCAGAATTTAATCAGCTGATGACATCGCAGAGAGAGGAAATAGACCATGATTATAGCACTGCTATGCAAGATACTTGGGAGAGTGGTTTAGGGGGATTCGGAGAGCACGGGTTTGTGGAGGAGCCGCAAAAGTTTGATGATGAAGGTTTACCCATCCTGAGCGAGTACATTTTCGGTTAGTATTAGCATTTTTAGGCAGTCACACCACTGACAATCGACAGTAGAAACTTCTAACAAATACCTCGATCCATCCACATCTACTCGGTCCCCTCTTGGTGAGGCCAAACTTCTCTTGCAGCAGAATGGCTCGTTGTCAGAGGCAGCACTACTACTTGAAGCCGCCATTCAGAAAGGTGACTTAGGTGAAGGGGGCTATGAAGCTTGGATCCTTCTGGGGGAAACCCGAAACATGGATGAACGTGAAGATCTTGGAATGCGGGCTCTTACCGAAGGTGTAAAAAGAGCTGAAGCTGCGGGTGCCGACGGTGCAGGCATGCTAGTAAGCTGAAACTCACCGCTCCCATGTTCCAAAGTAATCTGATCGGACTTATCAGTCACTTGCGATATCATATACCAATGAGTCATACGACAGGGGTTCATACACGATGTTGCTGCGCTGGCTGAGAGCTCGATTCCCAACTTATGCCATCCCAGAAGAAACTGGCAAGGCCGTTGCTTCAAATTCTACATGGGACTCGCATGGTAAATTGACTGATGCTTTCCTTGGCTTGGCACGATCGCAGTTTAGTCAGGGGTTGGTGGACCCAGATGTGCAAATTGCTCTCGGGGTACTTTTCTACAATACTGGAGAGTATGACCGCGCAAAAGACTGCTTTGAGAGTGCATTATCTGGACGACCTCAGGCAAGTAAAAACAACCAGCTGTGTATCTGGTTTACTAAATCGTCCGATTTTTTAGGATTACCTTCTATGGAACAGACTAGGGTCATCTTTATCGAACGGCAACAAGCCAGAGGAAGCCCTTGGTGCATACAGAGAGGCACTCCACTTACGTCCTACGTACACTCGTGCAATCTATAATGTTGGAGTAGCATGTGCGTCCCCGTCTCCTCGTGTTTTGTGGGGCTTCATTTGCTGATTTCGGTCCCATGTCGAAATAGGTTTGAATATAGGCGCACATCAAGAGGCTGCGGAGCACTTTTTGAGTGCTTTGGCAATGCAAGAAGCTACAGGGGGTGGACAAACTAGCGATCAACTTTGGTTTACCCTGAGGCGCACTTTCTTGTCAATGGTATGTGATCTCAAGGTTGACAGGGGGTCCCCTTGTGGACTAATCCCCGTGTTCAATTTCAGGACCGAACTGACCTTGCGGAAATCGCAAAGCCCGAGAGTCACCCGACCCTGGAGTTGTTCCGTCAGAAAGGTTTTGATTTTTAGATAAGATCCCGTAGTATGCCTATTGTTCACAGCATGCAGACACTGCCGGTACAGAAGCGGACAACAATGGATATAGACATCTGTTTGTACATAGGGGAACAGCTGACACTTGCGTTAACATCTTAACTACCGTCAGTACTTTTGTGAAAGTCGGTTCCTTGGTGCAAGGGTTGATCGCAAGAGATAACTGCGGAAGTGTCAACAGGATGAGGTATTCCAATCTCCATTGTCTGTGTAAGCATGTGCTAGCATGAAAGCTGTCGCAGCATAGCATACGCTGCAAGTTCGCGTGCTCTTCTCAGGAAGGTATGCTCGATCCAGGGTAAAGTTAGGACGACAGACATGCCGAAAGATGATCTCTGGAATTCGTTAGCTTCTTTGATGTGTGATCCACGCCAGTGGAGTGGGTAGCTGGAGCTACGAGGCCTGAATGAACTACTTTAGTCGAGATAGTTGTGCTAGAAACGAACTTGGAACTGCTTCGACTTTCTTTGGCCTTACCCGTTTACACGATGTGACTTGCCATTTCAGGGGATAGGATTTGGTTTAAAAAGGCGAGCGTAATCGTAGGTCAACCAGTTCCCGTACTTTCCTCTTCACCACAACCCCCAATCGTCAAATCCAACACCTGTACGTGCTGTCGCAGCCGTTATAGCCACTTTCTTCTTGCTAAACGTTTCCTTCAGAAGCCTCTTCCTCCTTTGAAAGAAATGGCCGAATCCAACGAACAATGCAGCTGTACCTCTACGTCAGTAGAAGATCTTCTAGAGCAATGTTTCGAACCTCTTAGCTGACCTGTGCTAATCTTGTTCATATATAGCTGCTCTTGCAAGAGCGGAAGCTGCACCTGCAAGTGAAGCGGGAGCCGCCAAAGTGCGCACTCGTGATGTAGAGGCAACGCACCCTTTACTCCCTATTGTTGTATGATTATGAGCGGCGTTCATTGTAAGCTTGATGATTGGAGCACATTGCGAATGTAGATGTACCAGAGCGGGGGGTGTTACGTTAATAGTATCAATGTTCTTGGATTAGCGCTGTGAGACCCAGGAACTCGCTCCCGTGGTAGCCTTCGTAACGAAATCTCGAGGGGTTACTTGTGTTGAGTCTCACGCTGACATTCCTCGGTGTCCCTTTGAAAGGATTCATCATATTGGCGCCGCTGCCGGCCACAGGGTGAAGGAAAGGCCTCTTCTTGAGCGTGTAACACATGTTCGGATACGAAGAACCTACGATAAGACTATTTGCGTCCAGTCCGTTGTTTCCCGGTATAAGTAAATTCCATTATGGATCCCCCATTCACCGAGAACTCGTACGTTGGGCTCGAATCGCGAGCTGCAGAAGACGGTGCGACCTCTTGCCAGTTCCGCATGGTTCATAATTGTTGCAAAGAAGGGTTTTCCGCAAGCTAATCACTATTCACTGCAGTGCTGCATTCGAACGTGATGTCGTGGTTCTGTGGAACCTGAGCATGATTGTTATGTACCGGCCGACCGGTGCCACAATAACATTCATTATGTCCGCCCTACTGACATGGTCCCCTGACCAACCTCAACCGGCAGACCATCCTCGTCGAGTGCTCTTATGGTCGTAAGCGACAGTTACAAATATCAGACATAGCAGAGGTCACTACCATTGGCAAGGGAATCGATCGAGCTCGTTGGGGGCGCTATCACGCCAGAAGTTACCGCCGTGGGTGTAAAGCAGGCAGAAAATATGTCCGGCTCAAATATCTCAGGTCATGGGTTATACCACTGATACGCTCACCGGACCGAAACAATACAACTATATGCGCATTATAAGAGAGCAGACATTCAACACCCCGTCTAGAGAGCAGTTGTCGTCTGAAGGTCATCATGTCTTCCGGAGACGTCGAGATGTACGTTTAATGCCTCTTCGACAACTACCTAGTAGTAATTCATAATTCTCTGGCAGTCACTCTGTGTCTAAGCCTTCATCAACCCCCAACAATGCTAAGTTAAACAAGATTTCCTCTCAGCTCACCCAAGAGAAGGTAGAGCCTTTGGTCATCTGTTCATGAATATATCTAATTTTTTGTTTAGACCGGGGGAGGGGCGCAGGCCATGCGTGGGTTCTTATCGTACTTACACCTCGTTTGAACTTGCGTGGATTCAAAATCGATTATTCATTACAGTTTACGCTGTTGGTTTGACTGAAGATGACATGAACAAGCCTCAAGTACCATGAGTTCACTACTGGTATATCGTCTTTACTGATGGCGATGTGTGACGCATAGATTGGAATATCCCCAGTCTGGTGGGAAGGTAAATGCCGTTTTTCTTCGAATAAATTCTGCGCTTACTCCTGGGACCTGTAGGGAATCCTTGCAATTCGCACCTTGTACGTTTTTCTCCTTGAGCGGAAGCGACCATCCCTTTATAATGTGGAGAAATAGCTCGATTTAGCCATGAAGATAAAAGATGGATGCAAGGAAGAAGGTCTCGTTGGCCTCACATTTAACACCATTGGAGTTAGGTAACGAACCCCGCTATTCACAATAAATGAATCGTTCTTACATTAAATAGTGATGCTATCACAATGGGCACGGATGGTAGGTATTTTAATCATGGAAGTTAACTTTCTTGGTACTCACGTGAGTTACAGGCATGAGATACTCGTGGGTTTTCCTCAAACCCCATTCTGATAATACGCAAGTCAATTCTCTCCTTGTTCAGACTCCCGAGTCGCGACCTCATTGCGGACTCCATTGAAGCAGTAAGTTGTCTGTATTCATGCTGAACTCCCCGTTAATCGTAATTATTTTGTAGGTTGTAATGGTAAAGACTCAACACCTTCGTCTTCTTTTCACTTTAACGGGCTTATTGTTTTTCACAGGCTCAACACTATGATGGCAATATTTCGGTTCCAGGTTGCGATAAGAACATGCCAGGTGTCTTCATGGCGGCAGCGCGCCACAACAGGCCTACCATCATTGTTTACGGGGGGACCATCCAGATTGGAACCCGACATGTTGACTGTCCATCCATGGGATTCGAGAAAGGCGGTACTGTAAACATCTCTGACGCCTTCGAATCATATGGTATACTTTTCAATTCAACGAAAATTGTCGGTATCTGATCGGTCGCAGGTGCCTTTGCTGTGGGGCTTATCAACGACGAGGAACGGTTTGACGTAGTCAGACACTCATGTCCAGGCCCCGGAGCTTGCGGAGGGATGTTCACGTGAGTAAATGCTGCACCTTTTTGTTACCAGGGCTCCTGAGCATTCGCTAGTGCCAATACTATGAGCTCTGCTCTTGAAGTACTCGGGATGTCGTTACCATACTCTTCTAGTACTCCCGCTGTTTATCCAGGTGAATAATGCATGGCTAACATCGAGTAAATATGTGCATTGCTAACTGGTGATCCTCACATTACAAGAGAAGGCACAAGAATGTTACCGAGCCGCAAAGTATATGAAGAAACTCCTCGAGCTTGACCTCAAACCCAGGTCCGTTCCATCTTGCATCCTGCTACCTTTTTGACACCGAACTTATATATATCATTAATACAGAGATATCCTAACTCGCCAGTCGTTCCTGAATGCAATCACTATCGTTAATGTTCTTGGTGGATCGACCAATTCGGTGAGAGGAGTGTCCATCATTGTGCAGTTTGCGTTATTCACGACAAACTGCAGGTCCTACATCTGCTGGCCATGGCCCGTGCCGCTGACATTCCCCTCACAATTGACGATTTCCAGGAAGTTGCAGACAGGACGCCATACCTGGCTGATTTGAAGTAACCTTCACTTCTTCCACATCGAGCCTGCATTGTAACATTATTATTTCCAGGCCTTCTGGAAAGTACTATATGGAAGACATCCACAACATCGGTGGTATCCCAGCTATCATCAAGTATTTGTTGAAAACTACAAACCTCATTGACGGTAACCAGATGACCGTCACGGGGAAAACACTTGCTCAGAACCTGGAAGACGTTCCTGAATTGGACTTCGATAAACAAGACATTATTAGGAGGATAGACAACCCCATTAAACCCACCGGACATCTGACCATCCTGAGGGGAAGTCTGGCTCCTGGATCAGCAGTCGCGAAACTAACCGGGAAGGAAGGTTTGCGGTTCACGGTGAGGTCACACCGTCGTCTCGAGTTCCGCTTTCTAATTGTGTATGTACAGGGTGTTGCCAAATGTTTCGACAGGTTATTAGTATTGATATTTCACGCAGGATATGGAATTGACCCGATTTTGTTTTAGTCTGGAAAACTTTTATCCATCCCTTGCGGCAGGTGAAATCAAACCTGGCACAGTGTTGATATTCAGGTACCAAGGTCCAAAGGGTGCGCCAGGGATGCCAGAGGTGAGTATTATCAAAAATATATATCCTTCATAATCTGACGCCCCGCACTCGAATCAGATGCTGGGTGAGGCAAACGCTTTATTCTCAATAACTGTCTCACGTTATGTTCACAGGGCCCACTGCTGCCTTGATGGGAGCTGGATTGGGCAACAGCACTGCTTTAATTACTGATGGCCGTTTCTCAGGAGCTTCTAGAGGTTTCATCATCGGTATGTCAATTGAGCTGAAGAGGCGGCGTTACACTCATTCTTTGTAGGACATGTCGTGCCTGAGGCTACCTCGGGTGGTCCCATTGCTCTTGTCAAAGATGGCGATCCCATCATCATCGATGCGGCTAGTCGAGCTATTGATTGGCTTGTTGACGATGCAGTGAAAGCGAGCCGCAGGAAGGAGTGGGAAGCGTCTGGTAAGAATAAATTGAAAGTGAACAGAGGAGTACTGTTCCGTTATGCAAGAGACGTTGCAGTATGTGTCCATTTCTATTTGTTCCTTAACCGAATGGCTAATGAACCTTTTTACAGCCTGCCAGCGAGGGTGCTTATTGCGACTAAGTCAAATATCCTATTGTGTGTAGCGTAGGCACTATGTGTGTAGTCCGTGTATGATTAACCGTCCATTATCGAAATCAAAGCAAAGTTCGTTCTCAAGAGCCTGATAATATCACCTCCACTATTGTCCCTGGCCAGCATGTCTATAATATTTAAGTAATAGGTGCAGATGGCCTCGTAACTAAGAATGTCTCGGATCGCTTTCAAGCCAGAACAGTACCAACACTTCTATCTGGGCCGTTGGGATAAGGGTTGATCGGACTGTCGGTGGATCTTGGCAAAGCTTTTGAAGAACGACCATCGATATTTACCTTCGGATCTTCTCCTGGAAAGTAGGAAGTCTTAATACTTAGATTGGCATCGTTCGTGTTGCCCTCGGGTATATTTTGTCCAGGTATCCTCCGCCCTTGCACGATAGCGGGATCAGGGGGAATAATATATCGTTGAGGTTTCTTCGGCTCTTTCGAAGGCTCCAACCCTGCAGCTACTCTAGCTTCCCTTGCCTTCCGCTTCCGACGCGTTATGAAGTAGGCGGTGAAGCCGATTATCCATGCAATGCCGAGTAACGTTCCACAGATGCTGCCTGCAATAATGGGAGTTTTCGCTTTATGTCTGGACATAATTCCATGAGCGTTGTTTGAACCACCAGACTACATGGGATGGTAGTTTACCCTTTCAAAGACGCAGATTCTGAGGGATTCCCAGCAAAAATGTGGAAGGTCTGTGTAGGTCCTGTCATCAACATCGATGTTTGACCTTAGACTAGTAATACCACCCGGACATCAATACGCGAGCCCGTTGGAATTCGTGGAGTCTGGAAACATACCTGATATTTTTCGCTGATTTTTTACTCCGCAAATGCGGTTGACGAGTGTTGGGAAGCAAAGAGAGTCGAATGGTGACCTAAGCTGCTCTAGTTTCAATCCCGTCGGCCACGAGCCTCGCTGCGTTCTCCACACCAAGATAAATGCTTGTGCCTGCTTTGACTTTCTAGGCCGTAATGTGGGGCGTAGGGCCCCTAGTCAAGTATTTCGGTGGGGCCGTGAGTGCAGGGTGCTAGGACTAGGCACGCTGTACAAAAAAAATAAGGCTAATGATGAATATGCGTCCAAGATGCTTTCAGTGACAACCAACTCACTTTTTGTGGTCAGAGAAATGAATGCGATATTCTGAATAGTGCTAGCCATTGCAGTTGCAACCTTCTGTGACTGCAGCTCAGTTTAAAACTGACTCTTCACAAGAAACCTGGAGCTCGCTTATGTCCGAGTCGTATCCGAGTATCCGAGTACCGACAGCCTGAGGTTTGTTCGATCACTGGCATGATAACTTACTTTTGTTACCACCACTTGTCTGAGGAGACATGTCCCATTTCACAACGGTCACTGCGACTTATATTCTAGTGAAATATTCGAGGTCTTACCCATCGTCTGCGCCGTCATCGCAGGCCCAAACAAGCTCAGATGTAGACTGGCAGCATTTCGTGAACCCCGTAATCAAGTTATACCTGGACGTCAAGAAGTCTTCAACAGGCGAACTTGTTTCTGTCCGGCTGCGTATTGCATGGTTTATGGACGACCGTACAGAGGATGTCGATCGACGAGAAGTCGTGTTCGTAAGTTGCTTCAATCTGATGCTCGTCTATCACGCATACGAACTTTGTCTATTCAGGAAGACTTGGAGTTACTGTCATTTTCATCGCTGTCTCCACCAAACCCGCAAGCGGCACAAATAGAACAAGGTCTCCCTCTAAAGGCTGTTTACCGTGATTCTGTGGTTGGTATACGTTACCTTCACCCAAGAGTTATTGGGCCAGGCACTCATCCGGTATTTCTTCATTTGGACATATATCAATGCTTAGTTTATGCACTGTTCTTGAAGGTTTATCGTCGATTTCAAATTACTTTCCTCTCACCTACCGCTGCCCTCCAGTTTATCGACGCGATTCGTACCGTTTGTCCCTGTAAAGCTAACCCATCAACCCAAACGCCAGTTCGTAATCAGACCATGCACACGGATCTCAGCAGACCGCGAACTTCCACTGGTCTAATGTCGCAAACAAACACCCTCATCCGTACCCAAACCTCCCATTCCGCTGCGCCTATCCCAAAAAGGGCTCGCCTAACTTATGACGGAGCTTTTTCTAGGCCTTCAAATCCAGGACGCTTGAATCTAGAAACTTCAACTGATCTTCATGTTCCAAGTTTCACCACCTCAACTCCATCTAGGCAGATGCTTCCTAATAATGACAATACCAGCCAAATTTCATCTTCCTCCGTGACGCTTTCCTCTTCAAGTAGTCGAGAGATGATCAACCCAGACTGCGGTAAGGCGTTATCACTAACTAGAGACCTCTCTCACCCCACCAAAGACAAATCTGGCGTCACAGCTCCGTTTGACTCGAACCGAAATTCTCTTCCAGATTCCTCGCAGCCCTCGTATGCAAGCCGTAACGACTCTGACATGATGCCACCACCACCTCTTCCTTCAAGTGCCCCGCGACCTGTAGAAGTGACAGGACCTCAAGTACCGGATGCATTCACATCAGAGTTTCTAGCGTCTTTACGGGAAACTCCTGCCCTCTACGATCTGCCGCAAGCTGAACTAGAAGACCTCGTCGGCCATGTCATACGGGAAGAAGGGTTCGCGAAACTGGTATATCCTTTTTCTTTATAGTGTCGATTTCCTTCATCTAAAACGTCTCGAAATATTACTATAGCTCGATGCTCTCGATTCTATGTGGAAAGTGAAAGGTTTCTTGGACCGCTAACAAGTCTTTTCACCGTCCGCTCGATTCTCAACTGTTCTCGCTATTCAATGTTGTTTCCTTGTCCTGCTACTCACCATAGTTATTTTCTGTATATCACTGATCACTTGAATTAACCATGTGTTCATATATAAGTTGTTCTATATGTTGCAATGCCATCCATGATCACGATCAACAGGTTTTCAAATTCATGCTGCTTAACCATCTAGCTTTCCAGTAATCTCTATCACTTCTATGCCGTCTCCATAGTAGATCTCATAATGCCTTAGAGGTCCTCTGAGTCTTGTGGGACCACTTCAAACGAAGTCCCAGTCACTTGTAGATCATGAACACTTTCCACACCAACTCCTTTTAATATACGACTAACCCCCTCCTTCTTCACAGCTTCCAACTCTTCGTCGCCTTTCACCAGGAGCATCCCTGCAAACCCAAGAGAATTGACGCTCACTTCCATGCCAATTTCTGGTATAGTGTGAAATTCCAATCGGCGTGGGATCAAATGCATGTGCTCCAGTGTAAGAATCACATTATACGATGGCGTTCCTGATGGGTATGTGGGGTCATGTCGAACGGTGGAGATGACGAGATCGAGGAGGGAGAGGAAGGGAGGGAATATGAGTTCTTCTAGCTGATCAGGACTCGAATCACTGAGTGGGACAGGGAATCGGAAGACGTGATTCGCGTATGGTAAAGATGATATAGAGAATGGCCTCCCTGTATATGATGTTACTGTCTGATTGTCCGATCAAGGAAGACAACTTGCCCGATACTTCTAGCTTTGCTTTTCTTGCCAGCCGCTCGATCGGTGGGCCGCCATCATCCACTGGAATGAACTGTAGGTGTTTATGTGGCTGACTAGCACCGCTGTTCTTTCCGCCTTGTGTTCAGAAGTATTTAAATCCACATCGAGGATCTAGTAAACGTATGGCTCACAGTTATAAAAGGCCATGTAGCGCTTGTTCGCCTTGCGAGCGGCGAGAAGAAGTAGATAGGCTTGCACCAGGTCAGGGGGCATTAGTGGGGATGTTTGTGCGCGAAATTCTGCAAGTAGATGAACCACCAGGATCTTCATGTAGACTATCAAACATACCTTTCGTCACCATAACGAAATGGTGGGGAACGACGGAATATTTGTTCAGCTATAATGGGGGTCTCGAGTCTGAACTCTGGAACGGCTCGTGGGCTTCTGTATGTTGGCACTTACAAGGACGACATAGTCTGCATCGTTGTTCTCGTCTTGCAGAGTTCCCAGTAGTATATTAGGGACGTATGGAGGGGCAAAAGGATCGAGTTTCCTTACTTCCTCGCTTGGGTGGTTGGCGAGCGCGATACCTGTGTCCACAGTAGGAGCGGGGTTGGTCGGTTTCTTCTGCAATGCAGGACACACCCGAATCTCGAACTTTTTGGCACGGAAGAAATGCACACAAGTAATCAGTGATCGTTTCATAAACAACAGAGCCTGGAAACCGGACCAGCTATCTAATATCAGGCTGATAACTACTTACCTCGATACCATCTTCCTTGTGAGTATGGGCGGTCGATGGGAAGAAGAGTAGATCGCCTGAAGAGAGGGCGGTATCGAAGCCTTTTTGTAATCCTGAGATGATATCTGAAGCAGACATGATTGATTGATATTTGAGATACCGATACCAGTAGTAGCTGCGATCACTGTCGGATGATGCTGCAAGATGGCAGCGGTTGCAACTGGAACCGTATGTGTCAGACCGATGCTTTGTGGTACTATTTTCTTGGAGGGAAACTCACACCAAGGCACAACTCGAAATACAATGTGTACCTGTCAAGTTCGCTAGAGGCCGGACTCGGTATCTAAAGGGTATATCTGATATGATGTCTCTCTGAACACTAACGTTAACCGAGACGTTGATCTAATGTTTTATTGGACGCGGAATATCCAGATCAACTCTCGATCGCAGTTCATGATATAGGCTTGAACACCACTGCAGATTATTGGGAGGTTGTAGACTTTGCATACACATAACCAGATTTTCTAAGATGGAATTGTAATCATGATGCGCAATGATGATATACGCGAAAACAAGAGAAGCATCTGCAGACATAACCAATGAGGGCCCATAAAAATACAATACACAGAAAGCCATTGGCGCTTGCGCCCACGTCGCCCCATCTACCAGAGAATGTGAAGTAACACGCAGGACCTAGAACCTGTCTGCCTGACGTGTCTTCTCCCCCTGCAACATCTGCAGAAGGAGAAATGGTCGGTGATACCTAGATCAAACCCGACCTGCTTTCCCTTTATTCTCCTTCGCCTCTTTCAAAATTTCACCCAGCATCTGAGCCCTGGTGTAACAGATAGCGGCAACAAGCGAATAGATAGCGGCGTTTGTACCCTGGTGAAAATGTAAGCTGGCTGATTTTTGCAAGAAGACACAGTGAGGTATTACCTGATAGAAAAGCACCGCTAAAAAGGCCTGAAAGAAAAGTAGCACGACTTTTAAAGGCATACTGCGTTGTAGTGCCGTTCCCCTGAGCCGAGGTAAAGGATACTCCAAAGCGATCATCGTAAAGCCGAGAATCATGGTGAGAATTTGAACGACCGGAACCTTGACGATGATTGTGATGAAGAAAGAAACCTTTGGAGACGGCCTGTTAAGGTGGCATGTCAGTACCGATGAGGGGTGTATAAAACGATTAACACGCACTGCAGTCCACCAGGATTGCGGAGGATGCCACCGATGAAATCCCAGAAGAACTTGCGGAAGTAAAAGCCCCAGAAGCTCGCCCAGACAGCATCTTAAGAAATGTGAGTATAGTCCACCGAAGCGATTAGGGAAAGGACGACTCACATGCACTTGCTACCAAGGCGATGTAGCGACTCAATTCGTTCCAGATGAGATTACCCATTATTTCCTACTTTGTTGACAAGATAAACTTTAGAAGAGACCAAGAGCGCAGCTCAGGAGTGATGAGGGTGAAAATGAAAGAAACGGCAGAGAAAGAGGCGAGGCAGAGGACAGAGAGAGCGCAGCTCTGAAAAGAAAAGGAGCGAAAAAGAAAAAGGGACCAGACACAGGAGAGCGTCCATTGCATTCTTAAGGCGGACAAAAACGCGAATTTCGTGCCACTGTCTCTAAGGTAATTTCCGATCGGTTTAGCCTTATTTTCTCACCATTGTTGGTCACTTAATTAACCGAGATCCGAATCGTTAGCTCCTATTCTTTGTGCCACAACTGGTTCACTTTGTACCACAATACCGCCTGCTAAGAGCACCTCAAATGCCACCAGACATGAACACACACAACATCCACAGTCCTCAAAGGTGTCCTCCTCTGCGCTCGCTGTGGTCGTGATGCTGCCCCTGGGACACATGAGGCAGTTTGACTGTCATGGCATTTATAGCCTACGATGGGAAGAATCGGGTCCGCACTGTCATTCTCTCCACTGTGGAACAGTAATTATCAGACAACGAGTAGCCCCGAGAGCTATCTTTAACACTGAAATGTGACACTTACAGCACGATACCGGCCGGCTTTTTCCAGGAGTCCCATCGATCTGATTACTGGCAGATGGCATGAGAAATGCTTACTACGAAATACTGGTCACTCCGTGCGTTTTCCAGGTGGAACTGGCATGAAAAGGAAATATGCCTCCAAATTGTCAGCCTCAGAAATTTTGTCCGTGTCCTGACTCAGGTCTTAGTCGTAGCTCAAACCTGCCTTAGTCACGGTTATGGCACCATCAATGTATCAAGCAGCTAGAGAGGAACAGGTTCCTCGGCTGTGCGTTGAACCGCCTTTGATCTGCGTGCAGACTTCACTGCAGATTGACAGACACGATACGTATAGACGGTCTGTCATGACCATGTTAATATGCAACATTCTCTTGTAACTGTAACCATACAATCTGAAACCGGGAGTGCATACGGGGAATGCGACTTTTGTGACACAGGAGGACATACATATCCACTCAAATTCACTTGCGGAAGGGTGAAATGGGACGAGTCTTCGATATCGTGAGCAATAGCTGAGCGCCTTTTCCAGCGTTTATCATGATGCCGAGGAGCATTTTTCATCATTATACCGCTCACGCTGATATGAAGCAACAGAAACAGCATAGACAAATAGTTGCTAAGAGACAAGTTTTTACGCAGACGACAGGCACTGAGCGACATGCATATGTATGCCAATGGATTTAATAGTAAATGGGATCGAGGCCTTGTATCACAAAACGCGTCAACAACGACAAGCACAGTGCACGGACCTCCAAATCAGATTGCGCTGTTAGTCGCGCTGCGTCCTACCTCTTCTTTCTCTACAGATACATGTCGAAGAATACGAAAAAAGCTGTAAAGCCTCCCATAAAGCTTTCAGCATCTCGAGATGTGGTTTCTGTCGCTCCTAGGCATGTTTCAGTGAAATACCAAGGTAAACGAGATGAGAATGGACTAAGACCCTCAACCTCGCGAGCTCTTGTGCTGCGAAACGGTAAATATGGTGCACGAGGAACGGGAGAGCTTATGTTAGCTAGCAAGATTAGCGGCAGAGAGAAACTTGATCTTTTGGCAGGTTGGTTGTAACTGTTCCTCCGTCACTCCAGGCGCTGAATGCTAGTTAAGAGGATCTTCTCAGTCGATCCAAGAATGCTGTTATGTCTCCCTTGCGACTGGAAACTTGCGTGAAAATAGCAGACTCGCAGTTCAACGGTACGCGCACCAATGCGCTGTATGATTTGGATCGAGAGTCTCTAAACATTCGAATAACTCAGCCTATTTGGACGATATCTCCAATTTGCAAGATCCTGACTTGTTCTTGGCCGAGATAAAGGAAGAACTGATGGCGCGCACACCGTGCAGCGACCAGCGAGGTGCTGAAACTCTTGAGAACCCCACCTATATTGCCTCAGTTATCGCAACCAGGTACGACTTAGCAAAATGTAATATATCTGATAAGCATGACGCATTGATCCATTGCATACTATGTTGTGTGAATGTTGTAGAATTCACAATGCATATATGCTTGCATCTGCATGGAAAATTGTCCTAGACAGTCTTCATGATCTACAGCAAGCTGGACTCGTCGACAAAACTGCACAAGCCCAACTCAAAAGGGACCAGAGTCTGCGATCTCAATATTTGCTTTTGTGTGATATGGTCAACGTATTGGCAGATATCGGGCAAAAGAACTTTTCGGTGCTCGCCACTACGACTCGTGAGATGCCCTCTCGTTTTATGTATCTGATGTTTCTCAAGGTTGTGTCCTTCAGCCCATTATGCTCACTATTTCAAGCCTGCTGAAGGGACCGATCCTGACGATCCAGAGATGACCTTTGACTGGGGCGCACTGAAGGACGCAGGTAGATCTTTCCTCGATTCCATCATCGTCGAACTGTGTTTCCCGCATGCTCCGTATCCTAAGCGCATTTTGTATCAAATCCTGCACGATGCTATAGGCGAGGCACCCCGAGAAGCAAAGCGCTTCCCTCAATATCTATGGGATGCAGTGGGCGACCTCTCTGTAAGGCTCAACTTGATTCATCTGGTCGTATCCATGACTCTACTTTCTCTTCCAGATAACTTTACAGCTGCAGGAATTACTTGAAAGCACACTATTTGGACCAGAGGGCGAAGCTTGGAAGAAATTGCCACGCCAGATGCCGGAAAAATATGATCAGTGGATTGATGCCCAAATATATTCTCAGCAAGCCTCGAATAGTCACAACAACTTCAAAGATCTCGTACATCCGTTGGATAAAACCAAGGATAAGGTTGTCCTTGAGAATATGTGGAAACATGTCAATCTTGTAAGTTTCTGGTATCAGGTCGTTTGTTCTCCGTCATTCATGTTCTCCATTCGTTGTCGTTAAAGAACTATAAAGCTGTTTCAAGTATGAATATCGATACCCTGTGGCAACTGGACGAAGCATTACATCGCATCCCGCAATGGAGTTCTTTTTATGTACCAGGCTTGAATGTAGGGTCAGATTCCGACTCAGACGCACCTCCGGGTCTCTTTCGTTCCAAAGGCAGGCTTCCTAAAGCAACCAGAGCAAAAGGAAGTAAAGGACGAAAATTACTTGCGATTACCGATGGGCCAGCAGATGACGATAGTGATGGGTCTATGCCAGGCTTGCAATCTGTCTCGGATTCCACGGGAGATAGTGATAATTATTCAGACTCTGATAAAGAAGATATGGATATTCAAGATATGGACGAGGATGACGACGACGACGAGAGTGGGTATGACAGTGAAGAAGAGGCGGAGTACCGTGATATGATAAGAGAAGCTATGGATACAGCGATGGGCATACCCGAGTTCTTTGATCCTAATACTCCAGTCCCCGAGCTGGATGCGGCGGATGGAAAAAGGGGAAATCCATTCTTGAAGTTGCTTGGGTCTCTAAGAGGTAGGATTATCTCGATGGTGGCTATGTGGGTTCCTTATGGATGAATTTATCATAGGACGAATGTTCTCCTCCAAGACAAGGCTTAGTACAACTGCGCGGACAGGTCCTCTCAAAGATTTGTTTGGTAAAAAACCTGCCCCCCAAAAGCCTACCCCGCCGACGCAGAAGGATGTATCAACCTCCCAGATTAATTGGACCAGCGTACCTATAGATGACTTACCTCCTTTGGAGCCCATCTCCGGCACAACGAGACTACCGAGGCGTAACTATACTACACCCAACACGCCAGGTGAGTGTCAAGTATCAATAAAGTACCAGCTGTAGACTAAGGCTGTCATTGCGCAGCCGCAATTGCAGCGGCAAGCCTAGGGTCGAATAATTTCCGTACAACAGTGGAAGAAGTAGAAGATGAAGATGCGGCAGATTCGTCTGCGAAGAAGAAGAAGAAAAAGAAACCCAAGAAAAAGAAAGTACGCCCAGCTGACGGAGAGCTAGCGCCAGTGCAAGAAGACATCCCCTCGAACACCATGGCCCCGGCTCCCTCGCCTAGTAAACCAATGACTACATCTCCTCCTACCTCACCTCCTAGAACTATGCCGAGGAGATCAAGCGGGAGTGGTGGTGCCCCTTCGATACACTCCCACATGTCGACCGCATCTCTGTCGCTTCCGTTAGAGCAGACTACTGCCCAGTCTTCTCATTCGTACTTACAGGAGCGTGAAGGACCCAAGGCTAAGATTAAATCCCGGCCAGACCACGCCTCACTCTTTTCTAGTAAAAGAGGCTTCCTCTCTGAGTTGATTGGCAGCAAAAGCAAGACGGAGGCTGCGGAAAAGTCCAAGAAGACCAAAGGAAGTAAACACAGTTGGTTCAGCAGGCTGACAAAAAAGACGAGTATCTACATGCATCAATTGCTGGGTACTTCTGAAGTAGCGGATGAGAAAAGTGCTCCTATGAAATGGGAAAACTTCTTGAAGGTGATTGGTTGATAAAACATTCTTGTGTTTGTGCACTTACGATGAACTGTTAATACAGGTCATGCGCGAGATGGGATTCACTTATGATCCTAGCACGGCAGGCTCCAGTGTGCGGTTCGATCCCCCTGATCCGAAAGATAAGGTGAGTATTTCATGCTAGCGCCCCGGTATATGCTGATGACATGTACACTGAAGTCCATCACATTCCATAAACGTATGTGCGCTTTTTACATGACATGACGCTCATTGAACGGTCGATCTAGCCCATCCAGATACGACGCTACATCCAATAAAGCTGAAGGAGTACGGCAATAGGTTGAAGAGATACTATGGCTGGTCAGAAGAAGATTTTAACAAGATGCTCAACTAAAGTACGCTAGCTTTTGACGGATATATACGCGAAAGCTCACTGTGTTTATAGTTTAGTGTCTGGAAGACGCCTCTATGTGATGTACGAATACCAATCCCTGCCTTTGTCAATGACCTTTATCATGTCAGTTTCTCAATTTTGAACTTACGTTTTTGGAAATCCTACGATCCTCCTGGTATGGTTTACCGCCATTTTTAAGTGAAAGCTATAAAAAGCGAAGTAACCTTTGGTAACATTATAACGAGCTGAATAGCATCTCTCTCAGCGATCTTCATGTACGCAATCTGATATATGTTCGTGATTCCTACCACCTTCATGAAAATGAGATAACTAAGTTTGACTTTAACTCAGTGGATTGGGGCGTCTCGCGGACTGAATCATAAGGTAAGGAATAGCGGATAACTGATGGAAACCTCTGCAACGGAAAATGAGCTTTCATACCAAGGTATAGTAAGACGTTGAGCTTGAATGACTGGCAAGATCAAAAGCCCACCATGTTCAGCTATGCAGTTGGCACTTCCAACAATTGCTGAACCATTTGGATTAAGCTGAGGGTGCTCCCTTTGGCACTGTAGGCAAACTGTCTCAAACTATAATATTACGATGAGCCTCGTATATTTTCCGTGATGCCAATTGGCATTCAACAGTACAGTGTACAAGGTATAAGGCTAAAATGATGGATCTTCTAAAATTATGCTGCTTAAACGAATTCTCCCCACACCGACTGATGGAACTGGCGTTTGATGTGTCCATAATCAGGAAAAGATCGTGCAGAGAGCTCATTGCCCACTTTTATCTCGGGAACATACCTCGTAAAAAGCTTAAGGAAGGTTACGCGATGAGTATCGCGTCAATTATGTAATATTTTATTGATTAATCTTCCCACGCCTGTATAAGACCTAAATGCGGAAGGATTGAGCTCCCTGTTGCGAACGATGACGGCCAGGCCTCCGCCAGCGCGGCCGCACGTTGCACTCAATCCATCTTTTAATGTTCGAAACACTGCTGATTGGGCGGAGGACGATGCCTGGGACTCTGGGTCCGATGCTGAATCTCCTCGCCAGTCTACCCTCTCACGTTCATGGAGATTGTCCCCTGCGACCTCAAAACGCACACCATCTTCCCCTATAGCAGCACCAAAGCCCGTTCCCAGAATGTCAAGCAATTCTTCTTCATCTGGTCTTGCATCTTCCTACACCCACCTTAACCCCCCCAGTCCTAGTTCTTATCCTCCAAGGTCAGAGAGCACCCAATCTCCAAAAAATGGGCTCGGATGGACTATCGTCAGAAAGACCAGTGATCCTCGAGAACATGTGAATATTAGAGATCAGTCTAAAGACGAAGATGCACATGGTGACGTTGACCTGGATGGAGATATGGTGGTTGGTGATCTTGAGCCGGATGTCGTGGAGCAAGAACCAGGAAGGAAATCTAGGTCTGACTCGGAACGAGGGTCTATCAAGTGCGACGCTGGTGACATCGTGAACGGTACACAAACTTTTCAAAGTTTAGTGATTATTCTTTATCGATGATATACTTAGATCCATTCCACGGGTTGCGTCACTCGTCGCCTCAATTTCCCAATACGCACCTCAGCGCGAAGGGAAACCAGTCGCCTCAAGGAATCGAAAAATCAGAGAAGATGATGCGGGAGCATTCCATCCGCTCGAGTAGACGAGTCAAATTTGTTGAGTGCTTGAGCAAAGAGGATGTCAACATTGGTGAGCCCTTGAACCATCCAGGAATTCGAATGATTAGTGACACCCTTTAATCCGTGGTGATAAAGCCGATTTGCGAAAGCTTGCCTGGGCAGGTGTTCCTAATGAACTACGTCCCATAGTCTGGCAGCTACTCCTTGTAAGTGATTACGCCGTACGTCCCACTTGGTGCCAATAGTTTTTCACAGGGGTATCTTCCTCTCCCTTCTCCTTTACGTTCTACGACGCTTTCCCGAAAACGAGGAGAGTATCTTGACCTTGTCGAACGTGCATTACCTCGCGACAGACAAGGTCTTGATCAGCAGATATGGCATCAGATCGAGATAGATGTGCCCCGGACCAGGCCAGGTGTACGGCTTTGGATGCAGGCGTCCACTCAACGTGTATGTATCATAAACTAAAACCCATGCTTGGATACTTATCTCTTCCTTTCAATAATAGAGCCTTGAAAGAATACTCTACGTTTGGGCTATACGACATCCGGCGAGTGGGTATGTTCAAGGAATCAACGATCTGGTGACACCATTTTTTCAAGTGTTCCTTTCAGCATATATAGGTACGTATGTTGCAATTTGTCTGAACTGAATTCTGTAATCGCATGTCTATTTTTTTCCTCGACAGACTCGGATCCTGAACAATTCGACACCTCTCTACTACCCTCACATGTTCTCAATGCCGTCGAAGCAGATTCGTTTTGGTGTCTTTCTCGACTTCTTGATGGCATACAAGACAACTATATCTCCGCACAACCAGGTATCCAGCGCAGTGTAAAGCGAATGGCCGAACTTGTGGCGCGGATAGATGGTTTGTGATTCCAGCATGGCAGCCAGTCAGCCATTATAATAACTGTATGGTTTGCACATAGCCCCGCTTTTTGCCCATCTCGAAGCCCAGAGTGTGGAGTTTATGCAATTTGCGTTCCGATGGATGAACTGCCTCTTGATGCGCGAGATTAGTGTTCAAAATACCATTCGCATGTGGGACACATACCTGGTCAGTCCATATCTTCAATCTTTAGACACAATTCTGATTTGATTCATCGAGTAGGCTGAGGGCCCAGACGCCTTCTCACAGTTTCATTTATATGTTTGCTCTGCTTTCCTTGTAAAATGGAGCAAGAAGTTGCGCGAAATGGACTTTCAGGTACAAAATCCACGCGTCATCTTAATTCAAGATTTGAATTGCTATTAACACACATTGCAGGGCATAATAATGTTCCTTCAGTCTCTTCCTACTCAAGATTGGGGGGATCATGAGATAGAAATGCTCCTCAGCGAAGCATTCGTACTTAATTCCATATGGCAAAATGCACAGAGCCACTTCAACGCTTAAGGAACACATGGCACTCAAGCCGTGGCAATATGTAATGTAGGACCATAAGAGAAGTCAGCTAAAATCATGCTATGTAAAATGTTATGAAAGTTAGAAAGTGTAATGTTAATATCTGGTCTGCGACCAGGCAGTACTATCCTTTTCGAGGAGCATCCCTGTGAAAAGACGAAGAGTGTAGGTCCTTTCCAGAAAGGTGGTAGTATGTGAGACTACTGAGCATGTCCTTCGGCCTGTGCAATCTCTCGGTCTAAAGCATTCTTCAGTTCTGACGCTTGTTCTTCGGTCTTCATGCGAAGCTTAAAGAGTCTGGAAATGCCTTCGTCATGGCCCATAAATGAGACGAATTTCGTAGCCGCTGTCGGAGCAAAACCTGTGTAAAACTTGAAGTTCTGCAAGGTACCAGTTATATAGTTCTCCTTGGCAATCAAGTGATGCAAAAGACGTACAATTATGATCTTGCCTGTACTGCTATTTCTCAGCAGCATGCGCCGAGCGTCTGTCGTCTTGTGTTTCTTTAAACGAAGCATACCTGGTGACGTTCGTTGCACATTGATTTGAATTGAAGAACATAATTTATGGGCTACTAACCTACTCCCATGTCTTTCCATTCGGATTTTTCATCAGTTTTGAGCATTTTATAGACCTTGCATTTCGCAGCGTGAGTGGTCTCTTCGTCTTCCTCTCCTTCCCCTTCTTCATCATGATTTGTACTGGGAAGAAGCTTGGATGAATCTTCCTCTGTCCCCTCCACATTTTCGGACGGAGTGGCGTTCCTTGATTTTTCGGCTGGAGGTGAAGCAGTGTTCTCAGAACTCTTGGGCGGGGCACCAAAAGAAAACCCTGTCGAAGACTTGGCCGAGTCTTCCTCCCCATCCTTCGCTTGATTTCCAAAACCGAAACCAACAGGATTACCAATGCTGCCAGTTCCTTTACCGAAACCGAAGAAACCAGTCTTTGGGGGAGAACCTCCGCCAAAGCCAGTGAAAGGGTTGCTGGTGCTTGACGGCTTGTCTGCCACCCCAAATGCCGTAGAACTACCGAATACACTAGTAGTGTTGCTAGTGGTTGTATCCGAGGACCCTGCTGAGAAAGATGAAATTGGACCGGTAGTGACACCGAAACCTGAGGAAACCGGGGCAAACGCAGATATAGGCTTTGTTGATGGCGCGTCCGAGACTGAGGTCACTTTGGACGAAGAAAAGAAGTTGGGGACACTAGTGCCAAATGGTGAACTTGAGGTTTTTGGTATTGAGGGAGCATCAGAGGTAGGAGCAAAGGGATTCCCACTCGACTTTGTACCAACACTCTCCTCAGCTTTCATAGGAAAGCCACCGAACGTACTTGTCAAAGATGGAGCGCTAGAAATACCAGACGAGAACAGAGAAGGCTTAGCACTGACATCGTCCTTTTTTGAAGCGCCTGTACTGAAAGCTGATTTTAGCCCTTCTGGGTTCTGATTGTTACCCGCAGATAAGGAGGGACCAAGCGATGATGAAGGGTTGACTCCGCTAGTTTTTGACGCAAAACCAAAAGCAGACTGTGGTTGGCTTGAGGTTGTAGAGGATGATGTGGCACCAGCTGTGAAGGGATAACCACCTGGTTTGGCCACAGACGAGGATTTTTCAACGCTCGGAGTAAATCCACCTCCGCCACTGGGACCGGAAGTAGAAAACGCACCAAAACCAGAGAAACTTGACGGAGGTGCCGGCATCACCGCTGCTTTGAAGATATTGATATTTCCGGGGGCTGATGAGGGTTCAGATGTAGAATCATCTTTTGCAGGTTTAGACTGCTTGTCATAATCGGTCTGCACTGAAGTGCGCAAATTTTTGTAGCTCTCTAACAGGCCGACAACGTCTACGAATGGATCTCGCTCAACCGCTTTAGAAATGGCAGACAGGAACGACACATTGAGACCACGAAGAGATTTGTAGTATTTGACCTCTGCCAAGTCTTCTTCTTTTTTGAAAGATGAGCTTGTATACGTTGACGTACTCGATGTTGAATCAGAGGCGCTAGGACCAATAACGGAAGCAAAAGCCTTGGTAGCGGGTGACGCCAAAGAAGATACAGAGGGAGTGGTGAAAGAGAAGGATGATGTTTGTGAAGAAGGATTCAGTAGGCCACCAAATGTAGAAGAACTGGACGTAGGCTGCGATGAAGGTATTGCGCTACTGAGAGCAGGAGTAGGAGGCGTGAAGGTGAAAGGACTGGAGGTAGTGGGTGCAACAGATGTTCCAAAACCAGAGAAACCTCCAAATTTCGGCGCACTTGCTGATTTCTACAGTGCTTTGAGAAGAAAATCAACAGCAAGACCAAGAAATGCTTACGGGTTCCTCGGAAGAAGAAACAGGACTGGGCGAAGGGGCATTGAGCGAGGAATTCCCGGCCATTACACGCTTAGGCAGAGCCTTTATCCTATGAAATTTTGTAAACATAGAGTTTTCAGGGATGGGTATATGCCACATACTTTCTATCAGCAAGAGCAGATTCATCCGCCTTGCGAAAACCTTGAGCAGGGTTTGGTACTTCCTAACTCAACTGTGAGCTATGCAAGTCGAATAAGGTACGAGAGACCAACCTGTATATCATCGTCTGCATCGTCCTTTGAAATCTGCCTTTCAGCTCCTCTTTTCATGATGCTCAGGAGACAAAGACTGGCTTGAAGATGCCTGTAAAGTGTAAGCTTGCCTGTTAGTCCAAGTTCAAGCGAACGCGACACGGGCATGCGGGTGAGAAAATGTTACATAATCATCAACGCTAGGGTTAGGTTTCTATCATTGCGTTTTGAGTCTTCCGTCTTTTGGGCGCGCATTCTCCATTCAGTTGTAACTTATCCCAAGACATTGCCCCAACGTTTCTTCAATCATTCCCGGCGTCTGTTTGCTGTACATACTCTCTTATGTCCTCATCGCCCACAGCCGCGATGGATTCGCGTTCGTCTTCACCCGCAACGCCAGACTCACCAGACGGCATACATCCTGTTGCCATACACCATGACAATGAATTTTCCTCTTGGTATCATTCCTTACGTCCCGGGAAGAGCTTTCCAGAGCTCAGCGCATGGGACGAAGCTTCACACTGTCTCGCCGTCGCAAAGTCCGAAGAGGAGCGCATGCTTCAGCTCGATGATTTGATCGACGAACACGCATACGACGAGTATGACTCTCGGTTTCTACCACTGGTGTGCATGGCTTTGCTGATAGTGCTGTTATTAACAGCCCTTCGTTGTCTGGCATGGAGGCTTTGTTCCCACATACGCGCCCTTTCGCTACTGGTATAAAGTCTCAATCAAACGGTCATGCGCCTGCACCCCAAACCCCGGCTCCGACTGCGCCTCTCATGGAGTCTGATTTCATGGTGTCATCGCAAGGTCAGGTATCTTGCACTAAGCCAATTCCTCCTCCAGCAGTCAGACCTCGCAAGCGAGATCCTTCTACTACCCCGCATAGAGTGGTATATCCCGCAAAGGACTCATGCCATAAGTATGCCGTCTCTCCATTTCCCAAATTAATGTGGGCTTACACCCTACTCAGTCTTTCCATAATGACACCAAATATCCCCGAAAGCGGCACAAAATCTCGTGTCGAGACTCAGGTCCGTGTTACGATTGACTTGGCCCATGGTAGCTCGTCGTCTGGAGAGGCGTTCAAATACGATAGGGTGGGTACCTGGAAATGGCTCAAGTTACCACCAGGCACTTCCACGAAGAAACGTACTCGAAAAGAGGGCAAAATCGGTGAGGTTCGCGACTTTTATGATAGTTATATGCAGTTAACATTGTAAAGATCCTGCGCCTTTAGATATTCTTCATCTTACAGCGGCAGTGACTTGTGCGTCACCGCCTTTTAGTCGTGTAGTGAGCTGTGCTAGCTGTCAAGCCCGTGAAGTGAGTGCCTGTTACCGGTTAAGTGTTTCTCAGCTTCTGATTGCGGTCGGAAATCTAGGCCAAACGCGTTGCAAAGAAACTTGCTGCCCGCGTTAGGCCCGCTCGGTCAGATTCAGACTCGCCCGAGGATGGAGCGGACCACCCCAAAGGCTCTAAAGAGGACACAACAAGCATTATCCAGTTTAACTGCCCCGAGGTATTAGATTTTGCTTCGGGCTCCGCCGTACTACCCGTACGCATCACATGTTACTGTAGGCATCATCGCGAGAAGATTGGTTTTCATGTTCACTTCACCATGATGGATCACAGTGGTCGCGTTATTGGAACAGGAACTTCCCCGCCTATCATGATAACTGATGACCACAAGAGCACGCAAAAACAAGGTGTATCTGGTTTCCCAGATGAGGTAGACTGGTCTCAGTATATACAGGCCGGAGAGCCCGTGGAACCGTGTGCTCCCTCTAAACGCAAAACGCAAAATAAGAAAGGCCAATCTAAGAAGCGCCCTAAACCTTATGACGCCGCGAGTCGAAGTAATTCTGCAAGATTCTCGAGGGAGGCTAGCGTTGGTAGCTTTTCCTCGCCCGTCAATTCGCCATCCACCGTACCTAACACAAGGTCGCCCACTCCTTCACATCCTCCACATTCTTTGGCTTCTATTCAGCCTCTCTCTCAAATCGAATGTATATCTGTAGCAACCATTCCTCAAGAACAAGAAATTACATCTACTACCCAGCACAGCACACTGGCCGGAGAAATGGATTTGAATGATGCGTTCGGAGTTGCTGACATCAATATGCTTGGACCGCCGGAAGCGAAGGATATAGCCTCTTCTTCTGCAGACCAGCTGTCTTCTCCAGTGTCCGGTACTCTGGCATCCCCTATTCCTACACCTGTTCCACCATCGGCTGACCTCATGTCTGACCTGGTCCCTTCCCAAGCAATGCCATTCATGTTTTTCAACCCCGGTTCGCCTTCAATGACATCGGTTCCACTCCCTAAGATTCATCGTCTCATCCCTGCCTCAGGCCCCACTCACGGCGGTATTGAAGTTACTGTCCTTGGCGAGAATTTTCACCCAGCGGTTCAATTGAATTGCATATTTGGAGATGCAGTGGCGAGCTTCACGCAACGTTGGAGTGATAATACTCTTGTATGTGTATTACCTCCTAGATCATCTCCAGGTGTAGTCGCTGTATGGTTTGAAGGTGTTGAAAAAGATAATACCCTCCCTTCATTGTTCACTTACACCGACGAATCGGACCGAGCACTGTGAGTTATTTGTCGTCATGTGTGTAATTGTGTGATTTCTCACCCTATCCCAGCATGGAACTGGCTCTCCAGGTCGTAGGCCTCAAAATGACGGGCAAAATTGAAGATGCCAAAAACGTGGCCTTACGCATCGTCGGAACTACGGGCACCGAGGACTCTCAAAGCAGACCTGAAGCCAGCACCGCCATGCAGGTTGCATCGTCGTCTCCATCATTCAGAGATATCCGCCCTCTTCTCTTAATCCGTACAGGGGAAGAAACTGACTATGAATCTGTGATCGTCAAGTTTCTTAATATGCTTGACGTGGCTGTGGACAATAAATCAGACATTCCAATGTCTGCTGCTATCTCACACACCACCACAAGTGGGCAAACTCTTCTTCATCTTGCCGCATTCCTTGGATTTTCCACTTTGGTGGAGTTCTTGTTGAGGCACAACATCGACCTAGACGTTCGTGATCGAAACGGATATACAGCCTTGCACTTTGCTGTTACAGCACGTTCGAAGGCTTGCGTAAAACTGTTGGTCGACGCTGGTGCTGACCTTGAGATCGTGAACGTACTAGGAAAGACTCCAGAGGAAATAGCACCAACTGGCTTCTTTGCCGACATCATCTCGTCTGAATCAGAGCAGTCTTATGAAGCTGACGATGACGATGACGGAGAATCTCGATGGGGAGACGTGGAAACGGAAGATGAAACCCATGAGGTAACCGTCAAGCGACGCGTCACGGATCGCATTTCTCGTCGCCGAGTGGATGATTCTAGTCAACAAGCTGAGAGAAAACAAACACCCGAAATTCCTCGTATGGATACTTCTCAAGGTGATCTTGACACTTCCTCTGACATCAAGAAGCCAAAAGACGTTGAAGGTGATGAAAAACATACTGCATCCTTCGTCGATATGATTCAGCGCACATTGGCACAGCTTCATGCTCCTCAAGGAATCATCCCAAATATGCCTCAGCTTCCATTACCTCATCTGCCTGAGATGCCCACTGTCCCATGGGCTGCGCTTCCTCAGATTCCCATGGTGTTCCCTGTTTTTGTGCCGATGCCTGCATGGCCATCCTTCCTGACAGACAAACGGGACGAACAGCAGGAATATATTCAGGGCGAAGATGCTGTTAGACCGACGGGGTCTGCTACTATGCGTGCTGCTCAAGAATGGCGAGCTACATGGGAGAAATGGACCGCTCTTGCTATCGCAACTGCTACCATGCGCCAACAACAGAATGTAGAGGAGGCACCTCCCATGTACACACCAAGAGAAAACTCCGAGGATGACCAGCCTTCACAACAACATGCATCATCATCTGTCTCTGACGGCGAGGCGTCTAATCCACCCAATCGACCTTCTAATACAGCAGACAGGCCATCCAGACGGGTTGGGTATGAAAATTTACAGATTGCGGACCAAGAGGTGAATGCTTATGGCTACAGGCCAACGAAGGCTCAGTCACAGAAATTAAAGAAGAAACGTGGGGTTCTTTCATAGCCCATAAATTCCTCATGCTAACTTTCACCCTACAGACGACCGTATGCTTGTCCTGTTCTGGCTTCCTATTCTCCTCAGTAAGTAGCTAGTGATATCGATTTGTTTGCTTCAAGCTGATTTGTTTGCTCAGTTTCGTTACTTTGGGCTTTACATAACGGAGTACGCTTTGCATTGCAGGCAATAAAGACTACCCTTTCATTGAGATCGGGAGTCCATGCTTGAGATTCTTTTTGTTCCCTCAGTGAGTGTACAACTATCATACAATGTCGCCTCCTTCTAACATTGAGATGTTTAGTTAAGTTAAGCTGTGAATGGACACTAGATTTTAGATGCATTCACGAGTTATGCACACATTGGTGTGGCTTGTCGGAATTGCTGTAAGAATACTCGTAGTCAGTTGTACCTACAATTTCGCACCGACAGGGATGCATCGTAATAAACTTTTCGGAACAAGATGGTCTCTAGAGGTTCTTTCATCGCAATGTTTACTCGTAAAGACCTCCATATTGATTCAAAACATCTGATAGGTTACTTTCCTCTGTGCTTTTTGAAAGATTCTTGTATACCCTTTCCAGCCTTGATATCTTCCATACATCTGGCGTCAACTTCCTGGCCCTTGGCCGCAACTTCGATTACCTTCTCCGTCATGTCCTTGGGAACGCAAACGACACCATCTTCGTCAGCGACGATCCAATCTCCGGGGTCCACTCTCACTGATTCGAAAGCATCATCACCTTCACCAACTTGTCCCTGTGGCGCAATCAGGAGAGGGATATTGATGGCGGACGGACGGACAAATGGAGACTGGCCAACGGTCGAATGGCCCCGCGCAAAAACTGGGAATGAGGCAGTTCGATGCTCTGCAAGATCTCTGCAGCGTCCAGAAATCATAACACCGACAGCCCCGCGAGCTTGGGCACCCGCAGTCATTAGGCCTCCCCAAACAGCATTTTTAGCCTCTGAAGATGAAGTAAAAGGGGAAAGACACTGATAAGTGGCGATAGAACGGACTAAAGGGGAAACAAACTAAACGGGGAGGGGCATCTATGACAATGACAGAGCCTGCTGTTGCAGTATCCACAAAGTGGGAGGACAGTTTTGGGGACAGCTTGTCTGATGTCATGACCATTTTGACCGTGTATGCTGGTCCACAAACTCTCAAACCCGACGCAGATGAGGTAGGGGACATCATGTTAATGTCTGGAATGTAGCCGCCATTAGGAGAACCAAGCTTGATAAGAGCATCGGACAATTCGCAGGTAGAAAATGAAGAGAGAGATGGGGGGTGAGTAAGTGTTGACATAGCTCGGACAACAGACTGCAATCTTGCTACTGCACGCTGCATGAAGGTGTAAGGACCAATATTAATATTTGACTTTCAGTTAGATAAGCGCTCTTAAGTAACCCGATCGGGGATATATCACAGCCACAGATATAGTTAGTGTTTTCCCACGTCAATTACCAGCGACGAAGCTATAGATGGTATGAATTACGTAATTAATTTCCACGGGCATTGGTTCGCACCGCTCCGAGTTCTTAGCCATTCACATCCGAATCCTTCAACTCCAAGTCCTAGTTGTTTTTCTTCGCCATGCCAGTTTCGCTCTCTCCATCCCAGCCAAGAAGTGCAAAAAAGTCTCTCAAGAGAGTCTCAAAAGCGATCATGAAGTCGTATCGCGTGCGCATACCAAAATACGACTTGCCTATTCGTCTACGCCCGGTTCGTTCGCTGTTCCCTGCGTCCGAACGTACTTGTGCTCACATACCATCCAGTGGTTCATCTTCTTCACTTGTGCAATCATGGTAATCCTCGCATTCCTGAGCTTTACAAACGTCTCCAGGTCTCTTCCACTTAACGACAAATTGCTGCACTTCATCTGCTTTTGCATCGCGACCGGAGTGTTCTACTTTATATTCGATGTAGAAGAGTAAGTTACTGCTCAATTCTTGAATTAAAAGCATATTTATCTTGTTACTGCTCGTATCAGGGATGCTCGAAGAATATGGTTTTGGCGCCATTCCGGCCTGCTTTTCACCGCAGTGATCTGCTTTTTTTTCGGAGGACTTGTCAGCGAAATCGTTCAATCGATGCTTCCGGTTGAGTACTATTCAGACATCGCATATGGCGAATATCACTAAGTGAAATTTGTAGTACAAAGAATTCCACTTTGGTGATGTCGTGGTTTGTTCATTCAACTTCAGCTGAGATTGCAGTTTTGACGTTCATGTTTTGGTAGGCAAACATGCTTGGATCCACCATCGGCCTATATATAGCATACTATGTCGAACGATATTATCGTCACAGAAGAGAGGTCAGTGTAACTTACATGATGGTGCCTGTTACTGATATCTGACCAAATAAACCCTTATTAGATTGCTCGCTTGTATCGTCCGCTTGATACTGAGTCTGTACTTTCCGACGATGAGGATCTTTCAGAAGACGGAAGTGGACAAGGGACACAACTTCTACCCACACACTATGTAACCTCACCAATTGGTCAGGGCAAACATTCTGCTTCTACCAAAGGGAAAGCATACAAGGCAGACAGACTGGCCGATGTTTGGGACGAACGAGAGGAATTGTTCGGTATCGGAGACGACAGTGACGTAGAAGACAATTCAGGATCCAGTGGAGCACCATCGCACAAAACAACTCATGTACGATTTGAACAGCCGCCACCAAGAAATACTCCCTCTAACTCATGATCGAGTTGTGTCTTGGATATTGATATAATGTATAGTAGACCAACCATCCTTTCCATGGACAATATTTAGCGGATCCATGTATCACTGAAGCACTAGAGTAAAATTGGACAAGTCGGATAATATTTATTGGGATGATGATTCACGGCTATCTTTCTCCCGGAGTGCTTGCAAGTTACATTCCAGCTGTCCCAGCTCATCTTCTATCTCCCCAACTTCGTCCTGTCGTTTCTCGACTAGTTTATCTAGCCTCTCACAAGCTTGTGACGCCACGATCACCACTTTGTTGTCGACAGTCTTCTGAAGGGTATCCTGGAATATAGTAAGATGCATGAATGAGTAGGCTCACTCCAACCTCTGGACGGATAACCCACCTTCAGATCCCTTCTAAGACCATCGCCGACTCTATTCCAATCCTGCATCCACCGACGTTTTGCCCTCTCCCACTTTCCAACGGCCCATCTGATACTGACCACGGTTCCTAACATGCCAATACCAACAGCGGTACCCACTTCTGTTCCTGGCATACCTATGATGTTCTCACCGAATCCAAGCCACCAGCCCAGCCCAGAGCCTCCTAGAACGCCACCAAATGTACCTAAGGCTGCTTGTTGGGCTGCAAGATGGAGACGAGTAGTGGAATAGTCAACTAGTTGACCCTGCCGGGTGGACAGAGGCTGTATGAGGGAAGACGAAATTAGTCTATAGGATGGTGATGAAGAAAGTTGCTGAAGTTCGTTGACGATGAGGGGAGAATGGAAACTACGAGTGGTTGCAGGCGGCGAAAGTTTGGATAACAAAGCAAACGTCGAGGAGGTAAGTCTCTCTTGTATGGAAGATAGCCGGCCTGTATGCAGTATGAGCTAAAACGGATAATTACCTGTCAAAGAACGTTTCAAGTAAGAGCGAGATACCTACTTGGTCTTTAAGATCCCTACACCATGCCTTGTTGACGGCAGATCCAACAAGGGATCCAACCTCATCGACCTTCCAAATCATCTTCCACCAAGTCAGAGAGTCGAGCAAGAGTTTCATCTCCTTTCCGCCCTCAGTCATCGCCTTCTTCACGGAGTCTTCGCCATCACCTTGGACTTCCGACGAACCCAGTACTTCGACCTCAGCTTTAGCTCTTATTTCCTCGACTTGTGCTCTAAGTTCGCTGATGCCCTGGCAAACTGCATTGATATCTCTTCTCTCGGCTTCTATTGACCTATAACCTGCTTCTAAAGTACTGTTGATGTGTACCAGGGCGACTTGTGTTCTGAGGCTTGATAGATCACCACCTCCGAGAGTCATGGCCGTGATTGATCTGGTAATGGCGTCCGTAAGAGCGGACACCTTTGAGCCAGCAAAATTGATTTGGTATTTTTGAATAGCGGTTGAAGAAGTAGGTTCGGCCTTCAGAGTACGGACGGCATTTAGGGCACGGTTTGGATCAATAGCCAGCATTCCTCCTGTCTTATCCTCTGAGGGTCCGGAGAGAAACTTGCTGATTTGGCTGAGCTGTACATCCGAAGGCAAAGAGGTCAAAGCGAGGATCGTATTTTGCCTGGAGAGTAGATGTTTTGCTTTTCTGAAAAGAGTGGAGAGTGGTGTAAGAGCGGGGTTGCAAAGCAGAACCAATAGGTCTGTGTCTAGATAATTGCGAGTAATTTCCTCAATTGTTCGAGTTAGTTGTGCCTCTGAAAAACGCTCTGATAATGGTACTGGGTGCATCTCGATGATTTGTACGGGTAGTGGGAATTGCTGGAGCCATGATGATGGGATTGCAAGCTTCCCTTTCTCCTGAGTATCTGCTAGTGAGGTAGATGGCCAATACCTGGAGAATCTCAGTAAATTATCATTGCATAGAAAGTGGCCAAAAAACTTGGCCATTTATAACATACTGACTCTACATCCAGACTCTTTGGGTGACTTTTCCAACGTGCGTGGAGAATATTACTTTGTGTATCGTCTGAAGCGAAAGGATCTTCTAATAGGGCAGTTAAAAGCTCTTGGGATCCCGCCCAGCTATCGATACCGCACACTAGAGAGTCAAGAAGTTACTTCCATAGACTTTTGCAACGACGCGCAAGGAAAGCAACACGCAGGCTAAAATGCACATACCTCCTATACGGACCTTCGATCCTAATGCCACAGCATCGGATAATCTGGCATACGTTTGGGATAATAGAGCTTCCCAGAGTTGTAAGGAATCTGCAGTTTCCTTGCAAATGTCTTCTGGTGGAAGAGTGCGAGGTAACAGGGAAAGTGTCTTGTGAAGGAGTGTAAGAGTATGATGCCTGAGTGAAGGTACCTCCTCTCTTTTATTTCCATCGAATGCACTTGCATAAGCTCGGCTCTGTGTAACATTCTTCAGCCGCTCTGCTTGAGGGCCCTTGAATTGCGAGCCTAGCCTCAAACATCTTCCGGCTTTGCGACTTCGGGAAGAATAGGATCTTGAAGCTGGGCGAAAGGAGGAAGCATTATGAAGAAAAGCAATGTTTCTGGGTGTAGCAATGCGGAGAACAGGGGAAGAAGTAGGACATGATAGCATTGGGCGTATCTGACCTTCGACTTAGCACTCAGCCAACGCTTTTGGTGCATATGCCGTTGACTTTTTCCGCACGTGATCGAGAGGACGACGCGAACACGACTCAGACGCAGTAGATAAATATACGCGAATGCGCAAATTGTACAAATTCCAGTAGTTATAGAGTAGATAGAAAATACAGAATAAATATAGATGTTACGATATAGCACCAAATGGCCCAGAAACAACAAAAAGAGATTGGATACCGTTATTTGAAGGGTGACAAAAGACTGGTTATCATCTCTTCCGCTTTCCTTTCGTATTAGCTTCCCAGTTCCACGTAGAAGTCGCTTTTTTCTTGGTGGGACTGCTTGATTCTGCCTGTGCGTGGAGAATTGCACCTCTGCTCAAACAGAAATCGATATGGGCATTCAGCCCCTGATTGTCCGTCGCAAGATTCTTTCCGCATATAGGACAGGTATGTGTTTGAGCGTCAATCTCTTCCGCTTGTGATGTAGGTTGCTTGGGTACTGGGATGTGACCCGAACTACGGGGTTTTTGTCGTGAGATGGTAGCCATCGATGATGACCTTCGACCTTCAGAATTGGAGCGAGCAGGAGCTGAAACCGGTGGTCGGAGCTGAGCCTTAAAGTCGTCATTTTCTGAGATATCGTTTGGTTCGTAATCTTCTCCGTCCACTTCCTCATCGCTATCAAATCCAGCCTCTAGTTGCTCATCATCTTCTCCGCCAAACCCAGGCATATAATCCTCATATTCATTTTGGTCATAATCAGAGTGGTCATGTTTGTGTATATTGCCTTCCTTGTTCGTTGCTTCATACTTAGCCTTTTTGCGTGGTGATGCAGCAGTAGGTTCTAGAAACTGATACAAGATATACTTGACCCATATTCAGACATTCGGTGACAGAACCACTTACACGTTTGATACCTCCTGCGGGTGATGACGACCTTAGATCTTTGAGCTTGGTGATCCGTAGTCCAATTAGCCTAATTGACAGAGGATGGCTTGGCAAAAGTTCCTTGCCGATCTATAAATTATAAAAATTAGAAATACGAGAAGTAATAGGTGGTACTGCCACAAGTGATGGCATACAGCAAGCAGATCGTCCTTCTTTGTGCTTATCCACCGATCAAAGGATTTGGCGCGAGTGTAAACTACCAGAGCATCAAAGGTAGCATCAGTAAAAATCCTGCATTATACGCATCGACAAACCTTGATATGTATTTAACTTGTACTTTAGCGTCACTGTTTTTCCTGTCCACCCATTTCTTTCAGTATCGTCTTCAAGTTCAGCAGCTACTTCTTCGAGTTTGTTGAGTATCTGTTGTCTATCGCTAAGTGTACTGAAAGTCCTGAAATGAACCTTAGCGCTAGCGACTTTTCATATGAAGATAGATGCCTGCCTTTCTGCGCCGATACTTTTCCGTTCCTCTCTTTTGCCAGGCTCAACGACATTGGATGCGATACCAAGATGTATCCGTAACAAAAATTGGAGTCCGAATTGTTTGTCCATCAGCGAGAGAGTTGCCCTATGAGTGTAGATGTCGCCACAAGTCTTGTAAGTTTTTCAGTATGAGTTTAGAGGTTTATGCTGGTGAGGAGAGAGATACATACCTTTATGCCTATTGCGTCAAGTAGCCTTTCATTCACACGTCCAACACCAGGTATCCTCCGGATGGGAAGATCCTGCATAAAGGATTTGATGGATTCACGGTCAAATGGGAGGTAGAATTGACCGTTTGGTTTATTCTAATCATTAGGGACTTAGCCTCTATGAAGACGGATGAACGACAGAATATACCTTGTCTGAACATATCTGAACCGAAAGAGGAGTGGGTCAGAATCTCCAACTATGTGCGATTTGTCATGATAACTGACTTTGGCTAACATCTGGGGGGTGGAATCACAGTCAACTTGAGCTACGATATCACAGAGATATGACGTACCTTGTTCGGCGCAATCCCAGCACTTACTGTTAGATTCGTTTCCTTGTGCACAAATGCTCGCATTTCTTGCACACATGCCTGTGGGTCTAAGTTGTGCTCCTCGCAATAGGCTGTGATACTAGATAACATTGCATCGGATTAAACTCATCAACGTCTACGGAAAATTTCAACTCACTTCAAGTAACCTTCGTCACAACCTGCAGCAAGCATGTTGGGGTCATACCGTCTGAATATATCCATCACCTTATCAGACATCTCCTGGTATCGGGTAAAATTGATATTGACGAGGATTAGTTCTGGACACAATTTCTTGGCGATGAAGCCTATGGAGATATAATGTCATAGCATGAACAAATTCTCAAGAAAAACCTAGCTTACCCGGCATACCAGAGCGCACCCCGTACTTTCTAGCATCATACGAGGCGGTAGAAAGAACTCCAGCTCCTACCTATTACCGTAAGACAGGGTTTATATTGAAAGACGTCAGTGCTGAACTTACTCCAAAGGGTTTGCCTTTGAGCTCTGGGTTGTGAAGGAGTTCTACATTTGCATAAAATGCATCCATGTCTACATGAACGATAACCTGGCTAAGGTCACGATGCGACTCTAGCTGGTCGAGCTAGAAGGAAATGCGAATGGTCTCCATCATGAGCATTTGGGTTGGTATGTCTGTCGCACTCACAGTATGGTCAGTACTCTTCTCTATCTGACCTGTTAACGTCGAGACACGAGTTATTGGGTAAAATGAATGAAACCCGCTGTTCACGTACTAATGTCCACTCCCTGTCTTGCATCATCACGTTGCTTGAGGATTTTGTTAATGCGCTCAGTCAATTCTTTGTCTTTCCGCTTCTCGTTCTGAATATATAACACAAAGTACTTAGCAGGATACACATTGAGACTGAACGATATACAGTCTCACGTCGTAGAATTTAGATCCTTTTGAAGCTTCTGCAATAATACGATTGATTTCGCTTTGATCTTTGGCCAGGCTGTACAGCGAGTTTTGTGAGTGGTGTGTAAAAGTATAAGATTCTGAAGATGCGATACAGTAATGACAAAACGAACTAACCCTGCTTTCGTGGTGGATGGGCCCGCCAGACGCTTAACGAGACTTGCAGTATCAGGGCTTGGATTTGGAGGATTCAGTTCTTGCCCCATTGTTTGCTATTTATGACGAACAGACTAGGTGTTTGGAAGGGATAGTAATGTGATTCTAAGCATGAGAGTCCTTGAAGCTTTTGCGAGGTAGTAGGAACACCAAGAATGTATTTGCCACAAACGCGACGCATAATTGCATCACGTGACGCATCTATATTTTCGAACACAATTGGAAGTCTCCACCCATTCCCTAAACGAATGACAAAATATGCTACATGATACAATGAAAGTGTATGGTACAACAAATGAAGCATCTAATACCTTACAGCATACGTCGTAGTCTTCATTGAACGTTTCTCGGATCACTGGCAAGAGTCGTTGGAGGAGAATGAACCTGTACACACCGAGAGGAGTCTTCCGGTTCATTGGGTTGCTTGCCACGTAATCTTCTTATGACGTGCAAGCGCCGAACTAACGCGTGATGGTAGATGATTTTATGGAGGGTGGATGCATAGACTCACCATAGTCAAGCCGCACATGCTCATCTGGGTTTTCTTCATCGGAGTCAATAAGGGGGTCTGCGGTCATTGCGGTGTGCCAGGCATCTGGAAAGAAATACAATGAGATGGCCAAAGCAATATAGGTGAATAGTCATACGCTGGATCATAGATCTTGGAGATACTGGCATGCTTGATCGTCGAGACCGTGGAGGTAACGGGACACTACCAGTGGGCCCTGAGCTGGGCCTTCCCGAGTGCGAATATGGGTCACCAAGTGAATGACGGTGTGAGCGATCACCTAGGCGAAAGGTATGGACTTGTCGTGGTTGACGAGATCCTGACTGGACGTGAGATTCAGTGGATATATGAGCTAGTGACCATGCATTTAGCCAGTATAAATCAGCGGAGATAACAAGACATACGCTGACGACTTTGCTCACTTATCAACGCAGTATCGATGCGACTCATACTCCCCCTTCTTTCCTTATGAGCTTCCTTATGAACCTTAGAACTCCTTTTCCTGTTTGTCGTCGTTTTGGGTTTGTCGTCTTTCTGTGTCGGAAATTCTTTGTTGTCGGACATCTCGTTAGCCCTTGTTTTCATCGAAACATTAGTTATAGGATCCGATTGAGCAGAGATTATGAAGGTGTACGCGCCTCTAATTAATATTGGCAGTGGACTAGCTCCTAGCTGCGAGCCCGTCACTGCAAGGTATGTCCTGAGCAACCCCCAAGGTTCAAGTTGTGGCTAGCGCTACAAGTGAGAAAGTCCTCCGACGCACGGTTTCCGAACCTTGTATTTGAAACATATCTTGAAATGTCCTGAATCGCATGACAAGAGCTAGATATCGCTAGATTTTCGGGAAGTCAATGTTGGAAAGGACACTAACAAGAACCAATCTCATGATGTTCGTGGCAAATAAACATCAGGCCAGCGCTTGATAAGCGCCTGTCAATGAAATCATACTCATCACCAAGCTCATCATTGTTTATATTTGAGCTTAAACATTTGTCACTCCATGCATCCCATGGGTGCATGTGTGATTAACTGCATTTCAAAAACAGTGCATTACAAGCATAAGTAATCTTTAAGCATGCTCGAGCAGCTGGTGGTCAGGTTCAATATTTACCTGGACACCACGGGGCCCAAGAGCTGAACGTTAAACCAGGCGATAAAATCAACCACCGGAAATCATTATGGAGGTACGGAGCGATCAGGAGATAGATATTCTGAATAAAAAACCTTTTCTTCATAATGTACATCTACAACAACAAAACATGAAGCATACCATAGTATATGTGGGTTGTGCGAACGTCCATGAGCTACCGAGCCCGGCTCAGTCCACTCTTTTACCTTGCCGCATACTCTGAGTCAATGTCAAGCATGCGAGCGCTGTATCCCACTTCTGAGTTCGAGTTTCGTCTTGCCTAAGTGGTGTCGCAGGACGAGGTGTAACAGAAGATTCGACCCCAAGTAAGGAAGAAGAGCCTTGTTCGAGAAGTCCCATAGAAGTATACGTAGTGGAGACGAAAAGTTTCAAGAAACCAGAATCCTCTTGTTGATGTTCGGGGAGAGGGAACGACAACGGATCAGACATGGCATTCCCACTTCCACAGCCAATTTCGAGGAAACTGTGCCTTCGCAGAGGGGGAGGAGTTGAAGTAGGTTCGGGGTGGTAGAGCAAATTAATACCGAATCCATTCGTATCCATATACGCTAGATATGGCCAAAGGTCCAGATCAGAGTCGTTGTGGACGACAACGGCATAAACAGCCTGTTTATCATGGAGTATACGTGCTTGGCCATTCACGAGTAGATTGTTACCCACTCTTTTCCGAAATCTGGGATCGACACGATATATTTCCATTCTAACAAGTTCTCGGAATGGATTATCTGGATTTTTCCTGTGGAGATGAAGATGGAAACGCGCAGCCTCATCTAGAAGAGTAGTGCCATCTTTCTGTTTCTCGACTCGAACGATGGGATGTCCAGATGATGGAACGAGATGGTCAAGGTTCTGGACATGAACGTCATGCGTGTGAACGCCAACCGAAATATCTGCGTTGGCAGGACTCTCTACACGGACAATATTCAGGCCATCCTTAAGAGATAGATCTTCCACTGAAATGGAAGCTTTACTGCGACAAGTAAGTCGCTTGAAGAAAGAAGCGCAGGTCCTTTTAAAATGGACACGAAATGGGGTACGATTGTTCCAGCGTGTAATCTGTGCCCAAGAGCCTTTTCCTACGGGTTTGCTATTAGATTTCCGCCTGGCTATAGACCAGGTGGGATGGACTTCCAGGACACGAAGATTATCTAGCGGCGGGTTCAGGGATCCACGACAGTTATGGCCGTGAACACTGAATTCAGTGCCCTCGACAATTCCATGAATGGCACCCATTTCAATCCGCATGCGGTCACTATTGCCTTCAACTGGCACAAATCGACCATCTGTGACAAAGGGTACAGCACTAAAAATGACGCGATCTTTATGCTGCCCAAGGCAAAGTGGGTGCTGCCCGTGTGTAGCGCCCATGGACGACACCAAACGTCCAATCAAGTCCATGCATCTGGTTTGGTGAAGTGGTGCCTTTTTGGTCGCAGCCAGTAACGATCCAGTGAATCTTCCCCCCTCTTTTCCTTCGATAGCCTTCTCTCCGACTCTGCAGGCGAATAACGCAGTATAATTGGAAGTATCTTCTTGATAAAAACCGTGCTCTGCAGCAAATTTTTGTCCTATTGCACCCCTCCATAAACCTGAACACAGATCCTCTGAGCTCGCTTTGGTTGTAGGAGTAAAACGCACGTAGCGCCGATCACGTGAGTCGGAAGATGATTTGGGCGGAGAAAAGCAACAGTCAAGGATGAGCGTAATGTTATCACCCTTAACTTTGCAAAGTTCGGCAAGCATAGCGTTCAGGGAACGATCAGAGATGCCAGCAACTCTGCCTTCCGGACCCCGCGTGTCATGGTCATAGGGACACAAGACTTGAACGCTAGCAAATTTACCTTCACCCCAGTCCCGGGGACGCGGTACTGAACTTCCATGGCCGGCAAAATAGATTATCATCGCATCTCCACGTTGTATGTCTGGATTGTTCACGAAGTGAGCCATGAAAACGTCTTCGATACGCCGCTTGGTCGCATCATTGTTGAGTAGCGTTGAAATATGGGGCTTGGGGACGAGAAGTTCTTGAATGAGCCACTGTTTTACACGTATGGCATCGTCACAACAGGATTGCAAATTCCATATCGATCCTGATTTATAGTCGTCAATGCCAATGATAAGAGCGAATGCACGCGCTGCCATCTACGCCTTTAGTACAGCATCGCGTCAGACAGTGAAAGTTGAGTGGGACTCTGCTGCTCACCTGGTATGCTTTGGTGACAAGAGAGAGATTTTGAGTATAATGAAGAAATGCTCTCAATTCACTTTATACACGCTCTTTGGCATCGCATCGTGAACAGGGGCTCGACACATGTTGGGCCATGCGCTAGACGGCGGTCGTTAATATGACACTAAGGCGAAATTTTGGGTTACAGCAGCTGTAGATATGAGGCGGTCAGCGACACGCACGCCCGTCGTGACCAAAGGATTTCAGGCTCTCTGACCAATGACGGCCAACTTTATGCGCAAAGCATGAGATACACACCTCAAAAACACATGTAAGTGCGCTGTCCCCTACCGCACGGGCTATCGAGTGGAGTGATGCATACGTTTTCGTACTAGACATACCGTGATCGTTCATGCTAGAATATTCCGCGGTGCTGTGATGACGAATGGTGTAGTAAGTTAGGTGCTCGCAGCTGAGGTCGGTGCCGTAAGGCATTTGATGATATTATATCAATGAACCAGTTCATATATTGAATGAACGAGTAGGAACCAGGGTATATCACCCGTAGCATCGTGATAGGGTGTTATGATGGTAAGAACTTGAACGAAAACAACAGTCCCTAGCAGCGACTCGGGCAAAGTTTACCCCAACGGCAGGGTAAATTCTAGTGTGAATGTGAGTATCTCGGTGACGCTTTCGAGTCGCTGATAGAATGCTTGATACAAGGTCATATACTATGGAGTATGTCCCATTATCGGGGTGTTTTGAGGAAAGGTCAAGTTCGAGGTCAAGTCGAGTTTGAGCCGGGAGGAATGGTCTACAAAAGTCGGCATGGGCCGGCAGACCGGCGTCTGCACTGTGACTGAGGGCTTTCCAGCAGACTGGCTCGCCGGGCAGCACCGGGTATAACAGGCCTTCATCGAGTTTGTGCCGTGGCTTTCAGTAAGTTTGTGATCACCGTTCTCTTCAAAGCCTGAGTCAATATTGCTTCAATCTTGACCCGCCTCTGGCAGAAACAGCGTACCTTCAATTTCCTCGGTTTAGCGAGTGGCGGCCTCAGACTTGTTCTGTACGTACAGTCATGAATCTTGTCTGTCAACAATGCAAGGAGCCCTTGCAAGTGCGTTATCCTCGTACATCTCTTGAATGGCAAACTGACACCTAGCCCAGCTCGACGCCTCGTTAGTTGACCTGGCACCTTCTGCCTACGATATGATCGTCGCTTCTTTACCTCCAACACCTTCATCACGTGGGCGATATCTGACGGACGCCGAAAAGCTAGCTCAGCTACCATCATCACCTAGAGCCAAACTCGCATGGCAGAACTCCAAACAGGTCGATAAATCTGGCCCTCCGTCTCCTCTTTCTCCCCGTGCGCAGGGAAAACAGCCCCAGCGTGTTTACCAACCTCCAAATGAGTCCTTTGTGCTCCTGCAGGATAGCGTAATTCGCAGCATTCCATCCCCTGTACCATCTCCTACAGGTTTCAAGAAAGGCTCCGCAATGAAGTCACGAAATAGCCCCGCAAAGTCTGCGAACCAACCTCCCCCGCAGGTAGAGCCAGATCACCCTAATCCTACACCAATTTCACACCACTTGCGCTCCACTCTTCGATTGTTCAATTTGCTCTCTACTCGCACAGATATCGATCACCCTCTTTGTGCAGAGTGTGCGCAAATTCTGTTATCCGGCCTCCAACGACAGCTCGATGAAACGAAGAAAGAACGTGACGGATATATTGCCTTCGAGAAGGAAGTTAGGAAAGAAAAAGAGCGCGAGGCAAACACGATTACTAACGAAGACACAGACAAGAAAATTGATCAGCTAAAAAATGAAGAGCGGACCGCAATTGAGCAGCTGAAACAAGCTGAGTGGGAGCGGGATCAATTAGAGGAGGAAATGCGACTATTAGAACTGGAGGAAAAAACTCTTGAAGAGGAGGAGAACGAGTTGGTTCACGTCTTTTCATCACTACCGCTGCAAAGCTAATCCTCAACAGGTTTTGGCGAGCTCACAACGATCTTCTTCTGTCTTCAGCTCAACAGTCTGCTCAGCTAGCTTCACTCCGTGCTGCTTATGCAGCCGACTATGCTACTCTTGAAAAGCTTGAGCGTACCAATGTTTATAATGACGGTTTTTGTATTGGCCATGACGGTGTATTTGGGACTATTAATGGACTCCGGCTGGGTAGAGTACCAGGGGTTCCGGTAGGTCTATTCTAGGGTATATTCCTACGAGTGCTGATTCAATGCAGGTGGAATGGCCAGAGATCAACGCTGCTTGGGGTCAAACTCTTCTGTTGCTTTATACCATTGCTCGGAAACTCGACTACACATTTGAAAAGTAGGCTTTTATCTATACCATATTCTCGATGACTTATATGTACTTGTACTTTCAGCTATCGCTTAATCCCCATGGGGTCTTTCTCAAAAATAGAGAGAACTGTGGGTGACAAAGCGACATATGAGCTTTATGGCTCAGGTGATCTCCACTTTGGTCGCCTTCTGCACAATCGACGGTTTGATTTCGCAATGGTCGCTTTTTTGGATTGTTTGAGGCAGCTAATAGATCACGTCAAGTCTCAAGATTCACAAGTGGAGTTTCCTCATCAGTACGTGTTCTTTCATCTGCCCACTTGACTCTGAGCTAAACATAACTGGTTTAGAATTATCAAGGATAAAATAGGTGAAGCTTCGGTGAAGCTTCAGTTCAGCCAGGAAGAGGCATGGACTCGTGCGTTGAGACACGTTCTCCTGGCCCTCAAGATTATATTGAAATGGACAACCAATGGCAGCAATGCTTGACGTTGACGGCCTTCCGGATTGCGCAGAACACATGACAGTTGTCGGACCTCATCAGTACGTACGTACACTACTTATCTCATACTTCGATTCTCCCGATACAATTGCAAGCTGTACGACTACTGTGCAATCGGCCCCTGTTTGCTATCACATGTCCATCGCCCAGCTAGGCTGTGGCTTTCGAGGACTCGAGAGATTCCGCGAAGACTGATCAAATGCAGTATTAGCCTGAGATCTGGTACCAGTACCAGTACATACTGAGCTGTTCATTAACGTTCATTTCTCGAAGCGTATGATCGAACCCAACCGTCTGGACATGAACGTGTGGGTGCTGACATGCGCCTCATGGTATAGCTACCAGCAACGTCGTCGCATATTAAGGACGCTGCCTTAGTCAGATATGGGTAGCTTACTGTGCAGTTTGGATCGCTTGAGAACAGGGATAGAGCGCTTGTGAGGGAGAAAATACAAAAACTCTGCCCGTCTGACAAATCTGTCACTCGGCCCGACATCAGTTTCTGAGTAAGGCGGTAGTCGCAATTCTAAGCAATACGCATATGCTTGGTATGTTCTTATCTCCTTCCTTTTCCCTGGTCTCAGCCTACTTATAACTGCACCTTTTATTTTCTCAATTTGCCAGGCTATATATCTCTGATTAAGCGATTTTGGGTGCAGAGACCAAACTGCCATGGGGTTGTTGTATCTCGGAACACCGCTCACCTGGGATGAAGCAAAGAAGTATGCTGATCATGTTAGGTTTCATGGCATCACACAGTTCTTGCACACTTGGGATCGCGTAAAGGACAGGTACGGCGATGAGCTGCTCTGGGGTGATGAGGTGCGTTGATCTCCCGCTGTTATCTACGCGAGTGCTCATAGTCCATAGGTGGAATATATAGTTATTTCCTTCGACGACGAGGGGAAAAACGCCAAATTATCGCTCAGACAGACCGAAATTCTTGCGAAGCTCAGCAAGATCGTCAACGAATTATCGGATGACACTGCCGACTCAGCAACAATTCCCACTTTTCATCCTGAGTATGGCAGATACATGCTGGAGTCGACGCCCGGGTCTCCGTATACCGGCTCGATTCCTGATCTGTTGTCGGTAGAGGACAATATGCGCTATAGGTATGTATTGTCCTTGTCTGAAATAACACTGCTCGTGGAACTCACAATCTTTTGACCGCTGGAGGCGTGTTCTGGCTCGCAAACATCTAAAGGCGAACGAAGTTCCGCTAACTGTCACGTCTTTCCCTCGCTTGGGAGCCCCTGGAGTATTCACAGAACCTCATTTCACAGCCGATAATGCCGTTTCTAGCCAAAGTCTGTTCCTTCCAGAGGAGATTACAAACCCCCATGCTCGCTTTCCGTCAGTATTGTGTCCTTGTAGATTTAACTCGCAATTGACTTGCTTTGCAGCACATTGACAGCCAATATCAGAAGCAGAAGAGGATCAAAAGTAGCCATTAATCTCCCTATTTTCATAGACGACAAAACACCTCGCCCATTCGTTGACCCCACAATTCCATGGCAGCGCTCGATATACCCTGGGGATTCTGGTGAGGAAATTGATCGCATATCAATATATGCATTTCATGAGATACTCTTCAACAACAGAGGCTAAGCGTGGGGCTGCACTCAATGATCACATTTACATGGATGCCATGGGTTTTGGAATGGGATGTTGTTGTCTCCAACTGACATTCCAGAGCTGCAATGTAGATGAGGCGAGGCGTATGTATGACGCGTTGATTCCTGTGGGACCTATAATGGTAATTAATCTGAAAAATTCTGCCACAAATTGCGATGTCCCTAACCACCTTGTTACAGCTTGCATTGAGTGCAGCTAGCCCAATCTGGCGAGGATATTTAGCGGACGTAGACTGCCGCTGGAATGTCATTGCCGGAAGCGTTGACGATCGAACTGAGGAAGAGCGTGGTCTCAAGGTAACCATTTGTTTGTTGAACTTTGAAGAAACAATACTTACATTTTTTGAGGGAATAGCCCCTCGAAAATAGCAAATTTTCAATTCCTAAATCTCGCTACGACAGTGTGGATTTGTATATCTCGACGGACTGGATAAATAAACCTGCATATAACGATGGGATTGTCCCATATGATGAGCCTATTTATGATCGCCTTCGTGGTCATGGTAAATACGTAATTTTTATCGCTTTTCAGCTGTGATCGCTCATTCTTCGTATCTAGGTATTGACGATTTGCTTTCTAAGCATATTGCTCACCTTTTCATACGTGATCCCCTTGTAATCTTCTCGGAGACAATCAATCAGGACGATACAGCGAGCAATGACCATTTTGAGGTATTTCTCTCACATATAAATTTGACGAATGGCTTCAAATCGGTTTCAATAGAACATCCAATCAACTAATTGGCAGACCCTGCGCTTCAAACCCCCTCCGCCGAAATCGCCTATTGGCTGGCGCGTCGAATTCCGTAGCATGGAAGTGCAACTGACGGACTTTGAGAATGCAGCATTTGCAGTATTTATTGTGCTCTTGTCTAGAGCTATCTTGAGCTTCAATATAAACTTTTATATACCCATATCCAAGGTTCCTTTCTCTCCCACCTCTCCCATCTCCTCCAACACTAATTTCTTACACAGGTTGATGTTAATATGGGCAGAGCTCAGCAGAGGGATGCAGTGCACTCAGAAAAGTTTTATTTCAGAAAGGATGTGCTTCCACCTGGTCACACATCACCTACTTCTAGCGTTGCCTCGTCCTCGGGTTCTAATTCCCCCGTAGAGTGCTCGAATTGCAGTCTGCCATCGAAAGACAAGAAGCTACGCAACTGCTTCCCTCCTCTGGCCCGACCCCTTCATGTCGTTGATAGTCCAGTTGAAGAAGAATATGAAGAAATGACTGTCAATGAGATTATGAATGGAAAGGTAAACTCCCTACATACTCATGTCTTACCGTAGTGCTCACTTTCACTTTCGAACAGAACGCCTCCTTCCCAGGCTTATTAGGGCTCGTTGATGCATACTTAGATACAATAGATGTCGAGAAGGCAGAAAGATCGAAGATAGATCGATACTTAGACTTCATTCGGCGGCGATCCAATGGTCAATCATTTCTTGTGATTCGTTTTACATATGTATTAACTGGCTGCTTTAGGTTCTCTCATGACTGCTGCAACTTGGATGCGAAATTTCGTTCGCTCTCATCCCGCGTATAAATTTGACTCAGTTGTGAGTCAGGAAATCAATTACGACTTGATGATAGCTATTGACCGTATGTGAGTATGGTTCCGCCTCTTACGGTGCTGCTTTATACTGACTGGGACGACGATAGCGAGCGTGGTATCGAACGTGTTCCTGAACTTTTGCCAGAAGACTATGGGCGAAACTGAAACTGAACACTCTTTGCACATAACTCAATCAAGTGGTGACGACAAGTATCAATCCATGAACCATCCGATGTCAAGTTTGTACCGTTGATGACTGTGTCTTGGTACAATTAATTTATGGGCATTACTATGTATTGTTATCGTGAAGTGTATCCCTTTATCTATGTGGAACATTGGATTATTTTTTGGGCCTGCGAAATATATATATATATGATATCTGTTATCGATGTTTGCGAGCATGAGTATGATTTTATATATGAACTGCCTGCATACCTACCTTGATACGACCTTGATACGACTTAGCCGCGCAGAGCCATAACTCCTAACCCTAAATTTTGTAGCGACCCGGCTTTATCCGCGCTTTACTCTACCTTTCTACGTGCCCATCGGCAGCCAAATATTTCATTCAAAAGCCATGTCTTCCCTTCGCCTCATCTCGTCTGCCGCTCGTCGCGCGCCGTCGGTCCTCACGCAGGCCAGACGTGGATATGCTGAGGTTTCGGATAAAATCAAGCTCTCGCTGGTTCTTCCCCACCAGGTAACTTCATAGTTAACTCCACGAAAAATCCTATGATTGAGATTATGCGGAAGGCCATTTTCACCTCTACAGACGTGGTCCAGGTGAACGTGTCTGCGGCGACTGGTGACATGGGTATTTTGGCTAACCACGTACCATCAATCGAAACATTGCGCCCTGGAGTGGTTGAGGTCATCGAGTCCGGGAACACTTCGAAGAAGTGGTTTGGTCAGTTCACTTGTGAATAACTCGTGTTTTAGTGCGCTAATATCCGTTCTTTTGCTAGTCTCTGGCGGTTTTGCCAATGTCCACCCCAACAACAAGCTTACCATCAACGTAGTGGAGGCTGCACCTCTTGATTCATTCTCACCAGAGGTACGAAGTCGAAAGTCGATGAACGCACTCCCATGTATACTCACCTAAATGTATAGGCTGTCCGCTCCAATCTCCAGGAAGCATTGAAGGTTGCTGCTGGTAACGGATCTGAGGAAGTCAAGACGGAGGCTCGGATAGAGGCAGACGTTTACGAGGCACTGCAGCATGCCCTTGGTTCAAAATAAACATGGTCTTGCGCTTGCATTGTCTGTAGCGTGATGCCTTATAATTTTATAAAGATTTAACCTTGAATTATGGCTATTCGTTAATTTCCTGGTACTTGCAATTGGGCATTTTGCGGGCTCGGGCAACGCACGCTATGATTCTAGCGAATTGTTTAACCTCCATTTAAATTCGAAGTCCTCTTGCAATTGCGGTGTACTCATCGACGTGGCTGCAATGTTACTACTGCAACGAACTCTTAAATTTACTTTTATAACTGCAATTAATGCAAAGCAACGATCCTAAAAATCTCCCAGCTTTCAAATCGCACAATCTTTGGGACAGCATTATTTCAAGTCTCGAGTCCTTACGGCTGCCCAGTGGATCTGTACTACTAGGGCCGTATTGGTCTCGACACGAAACCCGCGGCTTCTCAGGCAATTGATTCTCACAGGTAATACACGACGACAAAGGGAGCCTTGACCTGCTCATTGAAGACCCAAGTTCACTGAAAGAACCGTTGGCATAAACCTGGCTACAGGTCCGTGCGCGTCTCAAATCACTCCTGCAAATACGTCTCTTTCCACCTGGTAGCTCGGTTCAGGAGCAATAGCAATGCTACCACACGAAGAGGCACTCTGTAATGATCTTTCGCTGCTCGAGGTCGAATGTATCAAATCCAGTTTTCGTTGGCGCGAGGAGGTGCTCTTACAGAGTAGCCGGTCTCGAGGAACGGATGAGCAAGCCGTCGGGATGATTATGCAGAATATCCGTGGGGATCCTCTTGTGCGAACATCTAATGGCTTTACTATTGTCTTAATGGCTAACTTGTTTTTGTCAATTGATTCCAGGGTCGAGAAGCCACGCAGAGATGGATAGACGTCGCATATTCCAAGAATTTTGACGGGGTGGAGAAGCCACCCGCAAATATCTCTGTGGACAATAACACGATTCTGAGGGCCGTTATCGACTTTTTTTGGGCTGCTTTTCACAATGAGAACGAGGCCGCGATTCTTCTTCATAACAGAATACGTAAGGATAATCTACCCGCCCCACCTAAAGGTGAGGTCAAAGGAAATTACAAATCCTCTGCGAGAGACGGCTCATCTCTCCCGTAGTCAGTGCTTTAGGTGTTCGTAAACAGATTGGAGGTCGCCTAAACAAATCATCGAGCTCAAAGACAGTTATGCGCGGGACTGGCTCTAGGCAACAGAACCTGCGCTTGGGCACTGGGGCGAGGGTGAACAAGGGTGATAAAAAAGCGTCTCACGGAGCAGTGGCTTCTGCCAACGGTCCGACCCAAGCTAAGGAAAGGCTGTCGTCTAAAACGTCTCGGCCTTCAGAAAACTCTAAGGATAGTCAGAAAGTACCTCTGGGCCGCTCTAGTAAGAGAAGGGCCGCATCAGTAAAGCCAGATGTCATAGCACCATCCAACTCTTCAGAAGATCTTTTATTGCATACTTCTAATGCTCCATCCACGAAAAGACGTAAAAGGGCGGCCTCGGATTCTCAAAAGCTGTCTTACGAAAAACGCGTACACCGTACTGATAACAGGCGCAAGTCAGGACCTGTATTACGTTCAGAATGTGGTGTGGACAGAAGTGAGATTGGTGGTGCGGGTACAATGGAACCTGATTCGAAGCAGAAAAGCACGGAGAAAAGCACAAGGAGTGCACAAAAAGCTAGGACAGATACAGTGCGGCAGAATCCTGATTTTTCAGGGCGTCCTCAACCTTATGAAGAAGATACACCACCTCGCACCGCCCAATCCTCGTCAAATCAGGGTTATGTATCTTCTTATTCGCTGGATGTAAAACGCTGCGGTTTAACTGAAGCAGGGAAGCCATGTCTTTCAAGCGTATCTATTGACGGAAGCAACAGTAGAAAAACTGCTACGACATCATTTAGCGCATTTCATTTCACGCCATCCGACCAGCCTCAGAACACGGTTAACGCGCATAGGATTGCGAAGAGTGAGAAGAAATCTTCGCCCCAGACAGTTCAACGGGGACGATCTAACGCGCTTAAGGACATTTCACATCCTCCTGAAAAGCGGCTACGTCGCAGTGATGACGGTGCTACTACTACAAGCAGCTCAACGGTCCAAAATATATTCCCCATTCAGGCTCCCACCGAGCTTATACAAGATATGCAGGGTGTGTAATAGTCTTCTGGACTCTTAAAGCTACAATAATAATCCGCCCTCTCATTCCGCCAGTACCCCCAAGTTCGGCTGATAACTCGTTTATTCAGCTTGCAGCAACCGCGATATCAAATACTCAACTCTCGCATGCTACTCTTCCCAGTGCTATCGCGGTGCATGCTACTAAAAGAACTCGGAACGACTTCGAAGAAGTCAGGACCGAGCAGAGAATTTGGCAAGTTAAGCAACGTCCAGGCTTACAACTTTTGGCACCATGTAGGCTTATTCGCAATAAGCCCGGCAAAATTTCGTCTCGTTGTATTGTGCCAAGGCCTTCTGCAGCTTCGAAAATTTCAGTAAAATTTACTGACCCGCAATTTAGCTGTGGCGAATTAGACCGTCACATCCAGCACGCCGGTGAAACGGCATATCTTACGCACACAAATAATACCCCTGTGTTGGATGACTGGAGTAAAGAGAAGGAAGAAGGGCATCCTGAAACATTTCCCAACGATCCTCTCATGCCAGAGGACCAAAATGTACCAGACGTGGCTGCGCTTAGTATTGTGCAGCCACCAGTACTTACTTCTGATAATTCTACTGTAAAGGCAGATTGTCATGTCCAGAGCAGTACCAAACCACTATTGTCCGTCCCACCGCCGATCTGGGCTTTCGTACGTTTAACCTAATGCCTCCGTAAAGGAAGCAAGCTGATGTACACTTAGTCTCGACAGGAAATATGTGAATCCTTCGACTACTTCCGTAGTTACCAGGGTGGAGTTTATTTCAACAAGGACAGGGTAAAAGGTTATCTCCTTAGTGCATTTTCGGCAAAGTATGTGCGTCTGCCAGCGAGGTTCCGTTTGTCAGTCTCAAATATCTTCGATTTTTAGTCGTGATATATTTCACCATGGCGGAAAATTCATTATATCTCATGGGTGGGTGTCTTACTTGGGACTAGTCAGATCGTCGAGCTTATCGTGATGTGGTAGGGGCGGGAAAGCAGAAAGTGTCCTGTCACGTGAAGGGGGCCCGCAGACTCAGCTTGCTGATGATCAAGATTCAACTGACAAATCTGTGCGCGCATTGTTGAATACTTTCGCGAGTAAGAATCCTCTGGTCTTGCTCGTGGATGATAAATATGCTTTGTTCCCATACGATCTTGCCTCCTCGCGATATACTTACGTAGTACTTGGTCATTTCTGGATCTCACATGCATGGGGTAAGTGGTGTTCGCTGTGTTTAGCAGGAAGGTTAACACGTTTTTAGCTGAGTATCAACCGGCCTCCAATACTCGAGGACGAGTCGTCCGTTATAAATTCGCGTTTCAGTGGTGTGAAGAGCAAGGCCCACCCTGGTGGATCCCCAAAACTGACGAGGACAACTGCACCCCACCTACGAATACAAGGTTTGTTCTTCAGCACGCAAGCAAAGTATATATCCCTCAAACCGTTCATTAGACATCTCGAAAATGCAAGCTCGTCTCAAATCAAATGCGTCAGTTGCATGAAGAGTAGTCCTTTTATCTACAAACAAGGTTGGATGTGCCTGAATCCTCGCTGCAATAATTTCTGGCTGCTGTCAAAGGGAACATGCCCCCCATTGCAACTTGATTACGACCAAAGTTTTCTCCAACTATTACCAGCAGAACTCGAGAGACGACCATTGCCAGACCTACGGCCATGTCGAAAACTAAACCTGACGGATGGCATAACTACAACTCACCCGTATACCAAAGGCTGGCATTGCCAATCTTGCGGACGTTTATCAAGCAGGCGAGGCGATATTATTTTGGAGTGGTTGATACTAATATTGTCCGGGCTTACAGATTCAAATGGGAGCAATGGGAATGCTCGCACTGTGGAGTGAGGAAAACATATTTCTTCCAGTATCCGTCTTACTGACAATAAGCTAGGCTTATCAAACAGTCAAAGGACGCCTCCGCCTTCCAAATGAATTCTGGGGCTTCTACCCCAAAAACATGCATGACTCTCTAATTGGAAAAAAATCAGGTGCGTTTCTTCAAGCTCCCTGTTTTGCCCTCGTGTAACCATGATGATAGGTATCCAACCTTGCTCAGCAAGCCTTTTTGACTACGGTGGTGGCTTTACCATGTGTTCGACATTTGTTTTACCATACAAAAGGTTACTTTCGATTCCTTGCAGCGTAGTAAGTTGCTTATGCTTGCAAGCCAGAGGAAGAATACACCTTATAAAAGGCACGCCGCCAGCAAATAAGGCTGCAGATAAGATATTTCAAGATTATCAAGAGCAGGCCGCGAACGGAGAGTTGTTGTTAAGAAGATATCCTCTAAGAAGTGTGAGTTATACCATAACATCAATGTTCCATGCACTTACATCTCTTATAGCACAAGTGTAAGATTCCGTTTATCTGTTATGTGTGGTTGCCTAACTCGGTCTCATAGTGCGAGGAGCATTTCTTACGAACTACTTCTCCCAAAATTGTGAGTTTAGCCTACAGAGCTTTCGTAGAGTGACGATGATTTAAACTTGTACATGACAGCCGGTGAACCATATCAAGTATATATAAACATTGTGCACTAAGACACCTCACTGATTTGACATATCCAGTACGTCGGAGGAACAGGGAACACTGTGCCATTCACCAATGCACCGACCGCAGTTCTTGATGCTTTGAGCCTAATCAAAGACCGCGCACGTAGGTCGTTGAATCACGACATTCCTTTCAACGAAGTATTAAGTGCAGCCTATATGGAACGGCAAAAGATGTCTGTGAGTACACTAGTTATATGTCTTCGTTTTACAGTCTTAAGTGCTGTATTTTATAGTTCCATAGCGACAGTGAGAAAGGTCTAGGCCCAGTCGTTGCTTCTCTATCGCTGGGATCTACAGCCTACATGCACTTTCGAACCCGTAAACTCAAGCAACAACTTGAAAGCCACAAGCAAAATGTTCTAACATTAGTACTCCGGCACGTAAGTTAGAATTTGTACGGTTTTTCCATTTCGAAATTAAGTGACGATGGTGTAGGGCGACGTCCTGGTTATGGAAGGCATTGGGGTGCAGGAATATTATGAGTAAGTGCATGTATTATGCCTGTAATTCGGGATTCTCAGCGGATTGTAGGCACACGGTGGTACCTACGAACTTCCGTATCGCTGCTACAGCTCGCTGTATTGGGTCAGCCAACCAATCTCCAGCCCAGGAGAAACCAAAACCGCATGATTCGGTGACATATAATACAGATAGTAAACTAGCACCTACCAAAGCTGCCGACTAATGCCCAATAGTGAGATGATTAAACTGCACGCCCTAAGTGAGTTTTCGGTCTACGAATGATCGTGATATCCTAGCATCTACGTCTACGCCATCGCTTGTCCAGCCAGAACGGAAATAAAACTGATAGGCGGCTTACACGTGTGAATGGGAATGGTATGGACCTCGAACACTGCCACCGCGATCATCTTGCAAGCGCAACCGCCATCTTGACTTGCCATCGCGCTCCAGCGCTCATCTTGAAGTTGTGTTGTTGGCCAACGTTTTTTGCTATAGCCTAGTTGTATATATTTCTCATTCAAAACTTCGTTGATGACCCCAGAACCAAAAACACCCACAGAATCATCTAACTCGACTACAACGTCGCCAGGCGGTGTTTTGCCTCGTCTTGTACGCTCATTGAGCAAAAGCATCGCCACTACAGCATCTACACTATCGACAGCGAATGCGCATCCCGATGAAACGCTAACGTCGGGTTCCAACATATCCCAAAATGTCTTAAAATATAAGACCGCGGCCATCGCCAAATTCAACGGTTTCGTGCACAAGCAAAAGAGAGCCGATTTTCCTCCAGTATCCTGGTTTACAAAGGAAGACTTAAACAAAAAGCTTCCAGATGTCCCCTTAGAACCCCCTCCTGCCGAAGCTCAAACTAGTGCTAAATCCAGTACCGACCCACCAAACGATGTGCCGATGGAAACAGCTACTGAGGAGCCTCAGAACTCCGAGTCCAGAGACGAAGAAATCAGTCAACCTCCCGAACCCGATACCCTTGCACGGAAAATTCAAACCATGATATCTTCATTACCGTCTTTTACTACGTCGAAAGGTTCACCTTCTACAACACCTGTAGATGATGCTACAGACCCGCCTCCACCAGCTTCGTCAGGCTCTATAATCGCAGACTCAAAATTACTCTCGTTCCTGTCATCTGCTACAATCATGAATGGGTCTATAGAGAAAGGGAGACAATCCGTCTGGTCGATTCTTGATCGTTTACGGTCCCCTACCAGCAAGGATGATGCCAATACACCACCTGACACACAAGAGCACGACGCGGACTCTGACATGGATGACAACTCGTCCGTTATGATGTATGGCCCGCTTGAGCCACATGAAGGCTCCGAGGTTGAAATTGCGTTGTCCGAGATAGTGTCTGTTGACGGGGATGGGGAAGAAGTACGCACTCTGGAGCAAATAGGTTCTCCAAGACCCGTGCCTATATCATTGCCGGAGGAATATATGCAGCCGCTATCCTTTAGTAGCCAATGGAAGGGAAAGTGTAGAGAGGAAGGAAATGGCAGTGTGGATGCTAAGGATTATCCAGTCCAGCCAGAAAAGCCGAAGAAGGTCAAGGAGTATCGAGTCTGGCTGCCATCCACAACGAAAATTTCAGTCGAAACTACATGGTGGGGCTTCAGAATGTATGGGACATTTTGTCTTATTTGTTTGGTTCCTGGAGTTAATCCATTTTTATCAGTTATCTACCGCCCCCTGTACTTGACGTGCTCAATAACAAACAACTTGAAGCTGCTAAGCGCGCAGCTATGATAACGGCGGCATTGAAGTGGCTATTAGATCACCTGCCTGTAACTCTCATGCCTCCTCAGCTACATCCCGCCATGTTAGTCTTGAAACGACTAGTCCCTTATCTGGGATATATCGGAGGGTTTATCGCCTGGGGTTGGTCAGGTGTCAAGTCTTTTGATAAAGGTACGGTATTTCTCTCTCACACGAGGTGTACGTTAACCCATTGGATTTTGTAGGGTATGGAGTGATCCTAACTGCGACATGGATCCTTCCTATAGCACTTATCCCAGGCACATGGGAGTTAGATGATACGCCTCCCATGTCCCCGCGACAGAATCCCACTACTATGGACCCGCAGTCATCCTGGTTACCTAAGTAAATGATATCATGCATCAATTCAAACTAACAATTTTCTCATACATGTAAACCGCGCTCTCAGTTTATTGGTACATCTATCGATTGTATTTCTCGATTTGCTCATACATGTCCCCACAATTGCTACCAAGATCTTCCAACCGATGTTGTATCTCACTTGAGATGGTATACATATTGTCCTTCCGTTCCGTAAATAATCAAAAGAGCAGTAATCATAATTAATCAATAAGTATATCGGCGTATGGTTGAATTATTATAGTTGTCTTTCTGGGTTACTGATTTCATTAGCATGTCAAGCATAGACGCAGTGTTCCGTGACTAGGCGGATAGGGATAGCGTGGGATAGCGTAGATGCAGCTGAATCTTTGGTTACCAAGGACAGCCTGATGTAATCCTGGAAGAAAAATCGCATCACGTCATTAGCTCTGAGTTGTCTGCCTATCAGATCAGTAATGTACCTTGACAGATAGTTCGCCCGTGGTAAATCCGGTGGTTTCTACGCTTTTTTCAAAAGCTAGTTCCCCGGTCCAGTCTCTTGTAGTAAAATTTAAATCCGATGAGGTGTCATCCAAGAGCGTGGCAGAAGGCTGCAACTCCAACTTCCACTCATCGAGCACGTGATGACCGCAAGTCTTCCACCCTCGGAAAGAGATGGAGGTTTGACGAACCAAGGAGACTCGAAGTGAATATATATCTGAGCCTTTTTTTCTTGATGAAGATTTTGTCGACCGCATTAACGAGTCAATGGTGGATGACAGGCCTCTTAGATGGAGATGGAATGGTATTGCTTCTGAAGTTACGAAAACTCGTACTGAAGGAATATACATCTATGAAACGCAACAACGATCATTATTAATCGATTGAAGAGCATAGATGGCGACATACATGACATTCCAAAGTCTCTCCCTCGGAGCCTGATGATGGCCATTTTAGAGACCACGGCTCGTGATGCCATTCGTCGGGATATTGGAGATAGGTGCTCAGGGTACTTGATAGTAACATGGGTCTAGGAGGGCGTATGATGGGATGATACCGCAGCCGAGCAGTCAACCATGATACCCTGTGAAGATAACATTAATTCAGTTGGTATTAAATCTTGATTGAACACTCACTTTGCGAGTCTGTTGATGAGAGGTAGCTTCCACGATTTAAATGTTACAATTACAGTGATTATGTAGTAGGAAATTGCGCCTCCCCAGGCTATTGAACATGTTGGAGGTAGAGGGCGCATGCGTTGTTGAACACGATCCATATAGGCCAAGGGAAATGGGACGTAGAAAGGGACGATGCTAGGGCAAACATCGGTGAGAGATGTTTCACTGTTCCATAGAGTATACATGTTAGAAAATAGGACAGAGTTGAGTGGGCCCGCAGCCCAGTTGGGAGTCACAGATACTGCGCCTTCGAGCTAAAATCAACGGTTGAGTCAGGACTGCATTGTATAAATATATTGTAAAGGTCTTACCTTGACTGCCACCGATAGAATTGTATCCCGCTCATCCAAGGTGATTTCACCTTGTATACAGCCGCCTTGACCATAAGTAGGGAGGCCATCAACTTTGTTGCAGTTTTTAATACTGAGCTGGATTTTAGGCTTCTTGTAGGTGATAAATGAGCGATTTTCCGAGGCCCTACGGCGTCGTGAAGTCCGTGCAACACATTGTTCACCAGCTTGAGGTTTTGATGAATAATCTGGTGGAGGCGAAGGAGAGTAGGTTGGCGGAAGCTCGACCTCGCTGGGTTCTGTTTCTGCAGAGGACGAGTAGTCACAGGAAGATAAGCTGGTAGCACTTGAATTATCCAGTGCCATTGCTTGAGGGTCGAAAAGTGATGAGGTCGAAGACATTCAAGAGGATTCAGATGGATTGCAAGATGCGGCACACTACTAGTACAGCTTGAGGTCTGGCTTTTAAAACACTAGTAGCCCCTTGCTCCTTTATACGCTGACTTGTTGTAAGGTTAGCGCTGGACATGCCTGGCATCTGCATAGCAAAGCTAACGTATCAGCCTATATAAAGAGGAGCTGTGGAAGGGATCCGGTCAAAATGATGTGCTGGGGCGCAGGTCCAGGTCATCATGATCCTGATTTGACAAGGATAGCCTTGTTTCAGGTCAAACAGGTATGATACAACGTTAACCTGTCACGAATGAATACGGCCTTTCCTTTTCATTCTACATCAGCCTGCAGTGCATCTTTTGACTCCGTGATCGAGCCATCGCCTCCGTCCGAGGCCGTCGCGTGGCTTCACTGCCACGTGCTCCCCGGATCCCTAACACTGTCATCGTAGGCAACCAAAGCAGAACTATCACGTCGCCAGGTTGGACCCATCTTTTCACTGGAATCTACAGCCAAAGAAGGCGCATACAATATCCGCTTGTCAACGAATTTGGTTTACACTGGCCATCATTGCAAAGAAAGCTTGGAGGCGAACACCTGCTCGACTGTAACGCCAATGCTGCCAATGCAAAACATCATCCGGTCTTTTACCTTCAATCCAGGTGGACTATATGACTGCGAAGTGCTGTTCCTTAGCAGCCAACTCATGTCTTAAACTGACCTGTTTGAATGTAGACCGTGACCGACAAGTTCCAGACTACACCTTGACGCGCTTCGGGAAATAGCAGTCTTGACATGCTTAGTGTCTTATCATTGACTATACCTCTACCTAGAAAGATTGGACAATATGTCCAGCCTTGGCGATGCCTCCTCGGGTATCTTTTCTATGTACTCTCATCCGATGACCAGAGCCAGCTCGGCTACTGAGAACACAGAGCCGTTGATCACACCCATGGACGAGATTCCTGTTAACAGGAATCCAAAGCAAAATATACTAGGACCTAGGAATATGTCTATCGGGAATTATGATCGCTCTGCTGTTAGCACTCGATCTGCTGCATCTGATATGCTATCTCCAAGGTCAAATATCGTTCCCAGGGGGCCTGGAGAATGCGACCCTGAACCCATTGGTCCTTATTTCTCCCTTCCAAGAGGGTCTGTGCAACGACAGAAGTCCACCAAGCAGCTAATCAGTCGTTACGAGTCTATCACTCGTACCACCCCTTCTCTTCCCCGCCGACCTCCAAGTTCAGCTGGAGCCGCTTCTTCTGCGAGTGTCATCGAGTCCACGCAGACATACTTCAGCACCAAAAAGGGAAAGCGCCGCTCTTCGTTTAGCAACTCACTCCGAAATTTCGTGTCCGTGTTCAAAAAGGGCAGAGGAACAAATAAAGAGAAGGATTCGGATGAAGAAGACGGTCTTGCTAAATACAAAAATCATCCGCCGGGATCAACTTCTAACCTCCTACAAGTACCTTCTATTCCTAGGGATGTTGATACAAAGGATCGTTTCTTATCACGGCCAGCAAACCAAGACAAATATGTGTTCTCAGTGGATCAATCTGCTTGTCGTTTCTCAGGCACATTACTTTATCTTTCGCGCTCATTCAGCTCACCATCGAAGTCCCCAGTCCTCCCTGTTTGGATCACCTGCACTGTATCACTGTATGCGACACACGTGTTGATAACATGGCTCACGCTGCAGGGGAACCCTTCAACGCATGTTATACCACTGTTAACCTGCAGTGACGTGCGTTCTCTTGCCCTGAATCAAATTAGCTCCGACGAGAAAGCATTACTACCTCTCAAATCGGACAAAGACGATTTGAAGGTATTCGAAGTTCTATTTGAGGGAAGACCAAGGGAGAAATTTGCTGCACCATCCGTACAGGAGCGAGCTGAATGGGTTAGTGCAATCTGGTACGCCGATCATGCATTATTTTTGCCTCAAGGACAAGGGAAGTACTGATGTCTTATGTAGGGATGCGATCCTCCAAACCCAGGATCTGCGTCAAGCTGATCATATTCTAGCCCACGGGAATGAAAACGTCGGCCAATTGACTGTTCAAACTGATTTACCACAGTTGCCTCGAGCTTCGAATCATACTGCCTCAGAATACACGCCATCTAGTGCTTTAGGGATGGATAGTGCGGAAAATCACCGTTCTCCTGCTTCGCATCACGTTGAGCGTTCCCTGCCACCTACTCCGATATCCAGTGCCCCCATGCCACCCGCCCCTTTCCCTCCACGCATATCATTGCATGATCCGGGGATATCTCGTTTGGTAGGGTCACCTGTGTCATTAATGCCCTCTGAATTTCCATTGTCCCCTTCGTCACGTTGCCAGAGTCCTTCAATAGCAAACCTGGGCCAACTCTCCGTAGTCAAACAGCGTCTTGCTGAAATCGAGCGGACCGGTTCTGGCACCTCCTGTATTACCGATCCGGCGTCTACACCTACGCAGAGAACACGGACAACTCGGTCCGAACGCGTTAGGAATGCCTTTTCTGAGATTGAGAGGTTGCAGCACGACAGCGGCCTTATTGTGATTTCAGATGCAGGCACTCCTGTTCCTGTCCGGGACGTGACATCACCATGCTTGAGCGAAACAGCTCCCCTATCCCCCGAACAGGACGCTCTGCCGGGACAGCGTACTATCAGGTACCCAACAACCAAATATCTACCACTGGCATTTCCGCCTCCAATACAAGAGCATCCCACTGGATTTTCTTCTCTGTCTCAATACAGTAGAAGTGATACAGTGTGCATAGAGCCTAAGCTTGCACCTTTGGCAGAACTTATCCAAGGCAATGCGGCAAAGCACTACGATCAGACTGCCGGGCTTGGAGAGCAGATCATATCTTTACAGCAAGACATTCACAATCTTCCCAAAGAACTTGGGCCCCTAATGGCAGCTGTCACTCAGCCAACGCCACCGAATGATCTCCCAAAAGGAATCGACCCGAGCGTTTTCCATGACATTCTATTCAAAGTCGAGGACATACGAAAACAGACGTCTACGGATACAGGGACACTGCAAGCGAACTCCATTCTGAAAAATCTGCAAGTCTTGCAAATGCAGCTAAAGTCTGATATGCCTGAGGTCCTGACAAAATTAGACACCATACAAACGACCTTTTCAGCGTTCGAAACGGCCGCGACGAAAACAACTCTGAGTAATGTACAACCTCAAGATAATATTCCAGCTGAGAAAAAGCTCGCGCAAGAACCATTGGTCGATCTATCTGGCATACATGCGAGGCTTGAAGAATTGGTGGCTCTTGTCAGCTCATCTAAGGATATATTAGCTGTTGCTAAAAACGATACTGATCCAGCGGACAAAGCTGCTGAGAGACCTGTTCAAAAAAATGATGAACTGTCTGCTGACAAGGTTCAATTTATCCCTTCTTGTATGATGTATAATGAAACTGACAAATCAAAACAGTTGCAGGAGATTTTGGCATATCTAAGTGCAGATGAAGCTCAGCGAAAAATGCAGCTCGAACAACAAGCCGACAGTGTCCGGTACCTGAATGAGCTCAATTCCGTGAATAGCCCTTTCTTGTGCCCAACTTGTTCTCACTCATGCTCAAAATATGATTTAATTAGTGGCTCGATGCTTTCGTTAACAATGGCACGTCACAAATACAAACCATTTCGAATACTGTCGAACAGCTTTGTCGAAGGCTAGGTTGTAATCCGAATGCTGAAGAAGATGGAGGAGCTGCCAGCAGTTTGCTGGAAGACTTGCGCCAGTTAATTGCGATGCACAAAGATCGAGAACAAAGTGGGGAAGAGACACGGGCATCTGTTAACGAACTGATGGGGGTTGTTCGAGAACACTTGGGTAGTGACGTGCAAGCTCAGAACAACTTGAGTAAGTTTGCCTTGGCCAACTTCACCCACGCCCGAACTGAGCCGTTTCACTAGCGACCGACTCTATCATGCAGTTAATCAACCGCCATCGTCACGACCAGGAACAAATGCTGAGAGCACTGTCGAATGGTTCGCTGACTTTCTCATATGTCGTAAAACTAGCTGACGTTTTGCAGAACTGACGAATGAGATAAGAGGTGAACGACTGCGCTTTGTAGAAGCGATGAAAGAAGCCACCGCTATCAACGTTCAAGGTAGATTATTTCATTTAGTACTTTCCTTTCGTCCTGAAGTAAATCCACGTACCTAGCGCATGTTGAACAGTTCAAGGCCGAGTTAACTCGCGAAGTAGTGGTCATGACGCAAGATGTAGGACGGTTGCATAAAGAGAAGCAAGCCTTAGAGCAACAGATTGCAGACCTCTTCGCATTTTACTCTAAGCAAAAGCAAGATGACGAGGTCAGTAATCTCCATAGCACCCAACAGATTTCTGATGAAGTACCATCACAGAACCGACTAGCACAGGCGCAACCAGCACTACAGCCCCAGGGTCAGATGGAGGGGCTTAGAGGACCCCAGATTATGAGGAACCTACCGGCTTCTGCTCGACGTCGTGCATTGCCTCTTCCAAGATAGATCTCGATATCCTGCGGCGTAGTACAACGTAATTTTGATACCATACAGTTTATTTTGAGGTGAGATATTCACGGAGGATTTGTTGAATAGCGGAAGTACTCTATAATTAAAATTTGGATGTCTATTGTGATTATATGCCTCCGAGGATTAGCCAGTATAAACGGCTTTATGAACTCTGCGATAGGAATGCTCGAGCTTCTTCCCAGTTCATGCGCTCCCGCTCTTTTCCGAGTAGCTCACCTCTCCGTATCTCTTCAGCGTCAATGGCCTTCCAGTCCTTATATTGTGTTACAAGACCAGCCTTCAGTCCATCGTTTATTTCTGGCGGTGGATTTTCAGGGTGGGGATCTGAGTTGAGCGTGTCAGCAGACGATATACCAACTTCTCGAGTAGTGGACGTCGGCGTCGTTTCCACAGTGTCGCTACCAGGCGTTATATCCGATAGAATGGTATCTGCGACGGCATAGGCATCCATCATGGTGGATGCCAGTACTCCCTTGGCGCCGTTGGCCGCCCAGCCAGAACTATAGATGTTCTTGAGGGCGTTTCCAGAAGATGAGATGATGCGTCCTGCCATAGACCGCAGGTGGGTAAGACCAGGATCGTAGAAAGACGTCTCTGGATCCGCACGGAAGCCGAGCGACGTGACGACGAGCGATGTCGAGAGCGCAGAGGTCTCTCCTGTGGGAATGGCTCGGTTAGTCGTTGGATCAAGGGCGGTGTGCGCGAGAGAGAGCTTCGCCGAGGGAGAAGAGGGGGATGGGGGAGTCAGCCCGGTTGGAGAGCGGAAAAAGTCGAGGGACCATGATTTCGAAGTTGAGCCTGGAGGGTTTTTAGACCCTTTTCGGAGGAGATCAAGCACGCGACTTTGTTGGCGCGTTAGTTGGGTGCTGGAGGGAGGCGATAATAGAGAGGGCTCGATAGGTACCATGGAAGCTTCAGGAAGATTAATCATTTCCCTCAGCTCCTTCATAGTAAAAGCTGCCTCTAAAGGACCTCGTCTGCCCACAATCGATACATGCCTTACAGCCGAACGAGAAAGGACTTCTAAAACAGGCTGTGGAACGTCGTATTTCGCGAGTACAGATGGAGAGGTGAGGAGAATGCGAGCTATATCAAGGGATACATTGCCATTGCCGATCAAAGTAACATGGGTGATTTTGTCAAGAGATGGAGGGGCAGGTCGAGAAGGGTGTTGGGTATACCAGTGAACGAGAGAAAGTGCGGGAATGCAGTGAGCAGAAGGAGGTACCGCCGAATGGAGAGTAGGAATGGTACACCCTGATGCGAACAAAAGGTGTGTATAATGCTCGTATAGGGAAGATAGTGGAACCGTAAGTGCATGGGGAATGGAGGATAGGGGTGCATTTCCAATATTCACATTGCCAAAGAAGCGGAAGCGGGGATCTGCTGCTGCAGTATCAAATTTGTTCGTGCAGTTCTTGAAAGCGGTGCGCGATATCAGCAAGACAGATAATCAAGAGTTCTATCAAAATAGAGTAAGATTGATTGCTCACCTTGACCTCAGGATGATCTGGCGCTACACCATATCTGACAAGTCCGTGTGGTGCCCACAGACGATCAAAGAGATGTATTTTGAGTGGTGGTGAACTTGCATTTGAGTGTGGAAGGAGAGACAGAAGCCGAGAAGCAACATAGAATGCAGATGGCCCTCCGCCAACGATGGCCAGCTTCACTGGTCCCATGGGGGTAATTTATAACACCTTGGGACGTATCACGAAGAATGTCGAAGCTGTTATTTCAGTATAGTAGATTGTTCTGGACTTGGACGGCAGGTGAAACCCTTGATAACTGAAACCAACAAGAAAGTCCAAGTAAAACTTGACAGTCAAATTGATCAGAAAAGTTATCGCAAGGAAAAGCTCGAGAGACAAGCGACCCAAGTCCAAGGCGTAGTACCTAAGATGACTCCCAGCCCAGCTATTGCTTTTCGGCCGTAAAAGCGGTAAAGCGTACGCACGTGATCAGACATCTTGTAATTGGGATCTAAGAACTTCAACTTGAACATCGCGCAGAGCAACATGTATTGTACGAAGAGTTTTCCTTACAAGACCGATACGAGGAGACGACCACATTCGCAGTGAACAGTCCTGCAATTGTCGCTTGGTGTCAGAATTAGCCAATCATCGATCTTCCTGTCGTGAATCAGGACATGATCGTTCAAACGTTCAAGGGTGAAAGTAACTTATGGGACCCAACGGTAATCAGCCGAGTTAGGAGCCCTGTCTTCGCCAGCAACAACGGTAGACTACCTCGACTAAGGTTTGGGAGCTGGCTTAATCAATGTCTGTAATAATAAAAATCAAGATGGGCTTTGTCAAGAAATCTACGTTATACACGACCCGTCAACAGCTTTCCGATAGATACCTTATTCCATTCGCCATTCGCCGCCTTCGGCTCTTTTTCTCGCAATAGCCAATCATGATAAGTCTTCATAGGATAAGCTGAGTTTGCAGTCTTGATTTCCTCATCTAGCTCCGAGTAGTCGCCGGACATACGGGCAGTGTGAGAGAGTTCAAGGTCTTTGAGTCTATACAACAACGAAAAAAAGACGATTGTCAGACTTTAGGCACTTGAGAGGTTCGTAAAAAAGAGGTCTTACAGGTCTTGGGCTCCACGGTTAGCTTTGGTGATTAACCAGGCAAATACTTTTGGCACAGCTGGAATCGAGCGTCCCATGGCGCGCTTGTAGGATTCTTCCATCTGGCTTATGGTTGAGAACTCAGAGCTGAGAACGGGTGTCTTGTGAATATACTGTTCATGATTCTATCAAGAAATGAGTCAGTCCACTATAATCGAGGATTTCGCTCGGATGGAGATATACTAACTCTGAAAACGCCAGCCGCAACATTGCCAATGTCTTCAGAAGACTTGAGACAAGTTAGCAACAGAACGGACCAGATACCAGCATATTCTCACGATAAGAGCAACCTCTGTGTCCGGTTTTAAACCTGTCTTCAAAACAGAGAATGTAATAGACCCAATAAAGCCATCAAAATTCTCCATGAAGATTACTGGGCGTATGATGCTGTCAAGCTTGATGAGAATGAGAATAACGAATTTGTTGGGATGATACTTACGTCCATGGCAAACCTTTCTCACCTAAAGACATACAATGCTGCTCGATACGTGCCTTCGCAAGGCCTGAAAGCTTGAGATCATTCTCATATTTGGGGCCGGCTCTTCTGGCTGAAGAATAGATGTAGGCAGAGACGCCATACTCGAGAGCAATGTCGGCAAGCATCTAAAACCATCACGGCATCAACAACCCAGTCAATTCATTGGCACAAAGACTATGGTACCTTTCCTTGCCTCTCCTCACCATCAGCCGAAGCACCAAGGCCAGGAAAAGCTAACACAGAATACACACCCCAGATGCCCCCATCAGGTTTTGCTTGCTCGAAAATCTTGGTTATTGTTTCGGGAATGTCAAGGTCACCTTCAACAACTGTTACTTCATTCTCTGCGGCGATGTGCTGGGCACTCGGACTGGAGGCCTTTCGAGTAAGTGCATATATGTGATATTGGTTCTCGGAGTCAGCCGTTGTAGGATTGAGTAGAGCTCGGATTAAGGAATGACCTTGCTTTCCAGTAGCGCCGGCAACGAGGATCTTTCGCCGCATGTCCAGAGCCTTACTGGTGCCGAACTGTGCACCGAGGCGGAAATACTATTACTTATTATGGTCACGGTCGTCGGCCAAAGCAAACGCGTCTAAATAGAATGCCGACGCGAGTCTTTGTACCGTCACGGTCATATTATTTCCATGCAGGCCACATTGGACGCGTTCGCACTCAAGCGTGAGCTCTGGAAGACATTTTTAGGAGCCCATCGAGCTCACTGAAAAGTAGCATTCACAAAGGCACTGACATGTCTCTCAAAATACGGTGACGACCTCGTCATTCACGCAGAGCACGACCAGTTTTCCCTATGCGCTACGAACTCGTCCTTATCAGCTTATTGCCGATTCGTGTATGGAAAACGGTTCTTCTCTAGGTATAGTGTTGGACAAAGGAGAACAGATGGGGCTTCAAGTATTGGAGACGAAGATGTGAAGGGACAACTTATGACCAAAGTATGTAGTCGTCAAGTACAGTCCCTTTTCAATGTTCAGATCTTTCATCTTTGCACTAGGCTCTTTTATCTATATTAAAGCACCGCACTATCGACAAAGCGGTGGAACGCTGTGAGTTGTCTATTGTAGAGGGTGCAGCACCCGACGAAGAACAAGGTGGTATAGAGGACGATCATGACACATTGGAAAGCAAGTTGATAGTTCGTTTACACTGCAAGCATGGTAAGCATGACAATCTCTGCTGATCTCATTTTCATGACTTCATAGATTCGTAGGAGTTGTTAAAACACATCGTTTACTCCTACAGACTCCAACATCATTATTGTCCCCTGGTAGCCCAGACCCTGCAACTGAATCTCGTCTGACAATCGGACCCAGAGCGATCAGAGATATCACAGAGCATTTCCAAGGTGGAAGAGGAGGAAAAAATGACCCACAGTTAGTCTGGACTTTTGGCCACACGGAGGTTGAAGTAAAGAGTCTTGAATCGTCCATCGATACGAAAGGTCTGTTTGATATTCAGTTATTGAGTAACTACTTACATAAATCACGTCCTAACAGGTAAAGCGCAATTGTCCACCGAGCTGACCATTAGCGTAGACGAATTTGACGTTTATGAGGTCCTTTCACCACCTGTCACTATTGCTTTTCATCTGCGAGAGTTTAACGTACGAGAAATTGCACCTTATTATATCTCCTCACTAACAGCATACTTCTTTTCAGGCTAGCGTAGCCTTCGCAGATTCCATGTCACTATGTCCCGATTTCCGCTTCACTGAACCAGCTGCCCCACTTTTCATCGATATAGAAAGCGACGAGTGCAACTGCCTCTTCGTTATCTCAACATCTCAAGTCCACAATGCTCCAACGAATGCTCACATTCCAGCTGTTCCTAGAAGTAATCCCAAAAAGCGTCTACACGAAGAAGAACAAGAAGAAAATGGCCTCGATGCTGGTACTGCTTCAAGTAGTCGGCTAGGGGAGAAATTCAGAAAGCCAATGAAAGCCGTACAAAGGACTGATGCTCCTTCCGTCCCTCCGTCTTCACGCGCTCAAAGCGCAGCACAGTCTGTACCTCCTGCATCGTTTGTCCCTCAGACGCCGGTACATTCTGTGCGCCAACAATTAACCCCCAACGTCGATGACAATCCAGGCCCTTCTACTAGACTGCCACTTTTCCTCTCCTCGCAGCCTTCCCGCAAGGCCTCTGACCCGGATCCCAGACCTCCATCTTCTCAAGAAGATCGCCTTCCCCTATTTTATCCGATGTCTCAGATGTCAGCGGTCGACGAAGAAGTAATCAGGGCATCTGGATTAGGTGTGGAGAATATGAACGTCGACGAGCTGGAGGCAATGTTGGAAGGCGATGGCGAGGAAGTTGCGTTTGACTTTGGATCACAGACCCGACCTGGAGAGGAGGTCGTGCCCCCTTCATGGCCGAAGGATCAGGATGACGAAGACTACCTTGAGTTTTTGGATGACATAGAGTTCGAACCTACACAGGCGGGAGACGCCAGTGAAGGACACAAGGTAAGTCCCTGCAGAAGGATTCATTGAAAGGCTGTTCTCCTGAAATTTGCCTAGACGTTCCAACCACTCTTCGAGGATTGACGAATAATGCCAAGCGATCAAGAGAGTGGGTTTTATTGCAAGTCATTAGGCCACAGGTATCGCGACCGCCCCTTTTTTGGTGTTTGACGTCCCAACGATAAGATTTACTGGTTGAGCATTGTTGAAATTACTAGTATGGCCTATACATGATTAGCTAATGATACAGATGGAGCTGCAGTGATAGCAAAAAATACAATAAACTATTCGAACTAGACGTTGTTTCCACTACTTCGTATTAAGATTTTGGGTAAGCTGAACCTGTAGGGTCGTTAAAAACAAAATTGAATGAAAGACCTTCATTAACACATACCTCGTCCTTCGTGATAATTCTGAGTTCGCCAGGTGATGTCGCTTTCCCACTAACTGCGCTTGCAGCAACCTGCATCGAGCGAACGACGTTGGAATGCTTCGTAATCCAATAATGAATTTCATCAGGAATGATTTCGATAGCAGCTACACGGGGATCATCCTCGTTGCCCCTGTGAACACCATCGTGTAAATCACCGATGTATGCAGTAATGCTTCCAACAAGTCATATTAGAAAGCAAATCCACAAAGGAATTTAGCGTAGCAGACACACAAAGTTGACCAATGCTTCTTGATAACATCCTTGTCTTGCGTTACTTTCGCTTTGCCAGAATAGGATGCCCAATTTGTCGATGACTGATCATAGAAGCTGACGTTGACATGGTCGTCATTTTTTATTTCTTTGAATTTTGCAGAAACGTTGTTCGCAAGGAAAATGAGACTCAGCTGGGTCTCATTGTATGCTGTTCAATACGAGATCGTCAACTTCTGGCTGTAGCTCGGCTTTTCAACACGTACGAGTTGCTGGGTTCATAGCCCGAGAGTGCATGCTGCCATCGTCTCCTCGAGTGACTAACATACCCGTCTTCGCGGATTGGATAACACTATGAAGATCTGCGAGCAGAATTGAACGATGTCCATGAAAGTAACGACTCAAAAGACCATACCACTGATCTTCTCTTGGAGAGTGAGGTTCTCATTCAGAGCAGCTTGTTTGTATGGATCAAGACGAGCTTCTTCGTTTTGCGACATGATGAGTGGGAACTAGTAAGTGAATAACCTTCAAGAGTCTCACAAAGCGCCCAGTATTTATTCATTGCTGGCACACCTCAATGTTACAGCTGACGTCGATACACCGCGTTGGATGACGCAGTAGTGTGGACTAGTGACGTCATGTTCATTCATGCCATTTTTTGAGGCGCGCGCATTTTGGCTTGATCATGCACCACACACACGGTATATGTAGTAAGATAGGAAACACCTGTAAAGAATTATTAGCACCATATCGTCGGATCTGAACATAGTGGGTAACAAACTTGTATCGACATACCGAAAGTTGACATCATCAATCTCAGATCGATTCAAAGTTACTCGTCGTATGCCTTGCTGGTGGTGCCCCAGTGGAGACTGACACAGATGCTGGAGTCAACTTATCGGTAAAAAGATATTGCATTTCAAGTTACTATATGCCAAGACACTTCGTATACAGCATCCCTCATCATAATTCCTGGACCTGATTGACTGCCTGCTAATTTGTTATCCCATTATAACTCTAGGAGGTCACAGTAAATTTACTGGCGTCTTCAACAGTAGTCCAGCAACTTGGGTCACAATTAAGCGAATGCAGGGTGGTGTCATAGGACTTACCTCTATAACCCTATAACTAGCGCTCCATATTCGTATAAATACTTTCCCACTTCACACGTCGCTTGCCTATTCTTCGAAACTGGCAGAATTGAGCAGAATCACACTATCAATTATTAGCATTAAAATGGCCAGGAAAGAATATGCAAGTCTGTCTTGCCATATCTCCGAGCATCTCCAGAATATGCATTGACGGGAATTATACAGTGAGATGGGTAAGAAACGATAAGATATGTAATGTCTAGTGTAGCCCCACTGGAGACGATGACTGTTGTGTCATGGTTTCCGGCACTAATGGACAAAAAGCGGTGTTAGCGAAACAAGTCAAAAATATTGTTACGTGGGAACAGGGAAAAAATTTGCATTTTGTGAAATGGATCAGGTGAGCATAACATAGACGAGCGGACTTACTGGGAGGTAGTTGTGGTCGTGTGCCTTCGCTGAAGACGCGAGAAAGGAGTACACCGACTCCTTCGAATACACCTAGTAAAATTCCACAAGCAATGGCAGAACCTAGTGCAGATTTTGGGCCACCTAAGTAGCAAAAAAGTCAGCACTGATTTTTTCCTTTTGATTCGTCATGAGATGAGCAAACAGGTGTGTGCGCCAAACATTTGACTTCTGCAACACGATGATACATTCGGAAGGCCGAGAACCAAGCTTTGAAAATGTTAAAGTATGACTCACTTCGGGCAGCAAGACAACCACCAGTCATAAATCCTGATATGATAGCGTTCCATGCATCCTCCTTTTGCCGCCACCCCTTGACAGCGCAGTCAAACGTTGAGAACATGCCTCCCCAGACACCGAAGTTTCCACCTGTTACAGGTGCGCGAGCTTTTATTGTAGATATAGCGCCAACGAAACGTTCACCCTTGAGAAATGCAAAATGGATTATGACCAGTCGGTTGCCAAAGTGCAAAAATGGAGAAGGAGAAGAGCCAGATGAGAGTTTGTCGTGTATCGTCAGAGCCGAACGGACATACCCTAGGTGAGTTTCGTGCTCCTTTTATACCGTGCCAGATACCACCACCAACGGCACCCATGGAAAAAGCACCACCAAAGTCATTGAGGATAACCCATGGGCTACAGACACATTCCAACAAGACATTAAGTTAAAAGCAGCCATGCCATTGAGAAAGAGAACATACCATGGATCTCGGGTATGATCTGCGTGAGCCATTAAATCTGTTTACAACGTCGCTGGCGCTGACGAACCCTGGTAAGCTTGCTGTGGCGTGAACAGCCAAACTTTTTTCTTGGACGGGTATTTCCGAGTCATGTGATCGTGCCACATTAAACAGATTGATTTTCTCTTGACGCGTCTAAACACGAACCACGACAATCAACGGAACCCGTGCATCCATCATGGCTACGAAAAAAGCGGATAAGCACATCTTTCGGAGGCTTTCCCAGGTGTATGTTGAGATTCCCCCTTCACCCTTGCACAGGTCTCGCAATGCATCCATTTCTGCCCCACACGTGTCTTCTGTCAACCAAAGCCGCAAAGAAAACGCGTTGCTGCCTCTTGCTAACTCCCAAATGACACATAACCAACCCTCTAACTCGCACAAGAAGCGCAAGCGCGACACTGAAGAATCCTCAGATATGACTCTCGTCGATAACAGCCAACCGATTAAGAAGTCCAAGTCAAGTGGGACGAAAGGTCCTACTGCCGCTGGGGAATCTATTAAGCCCAAAGTTTCAGACGAATTCCCTGATGGTTATCATTATTGTCACCAGTGCTACAGGAAGCGCGATCAGTCAGGTATTTCAGTCAACCTCCCATCGTCATAGATGGCTATACGCGGATTGGGTCTGATGTCTTTGGATCACCAGCGATTATTCGTTGCACCTTCAAGGTTACGAAAGAACAGAGTTGTGGGGCAAAGTATTGCAAACCTTGCCTAAAGAACCGCTACGGCCTCGACTTTGATGCAATCAAAGCAAAAGGCGAGATAGCCAAATCCAAAGAGAGGTCCAAGCATGCCGTCGGGCAGGGACATATTTTCAAGTACATCGTTGTCTCTCTTCCTCTAACAGCGTTTGCTAATCGACCACAGGTGTCCGAGGTGTAACGACTCGTGCAACTGCGTCCGATGCAGAAAGGCAAAGGGTCTCCGACCGACAGGGTAAAAATGAGCACATTTGGCGTCAATCACAGCTCATATAGTCTTTCATAGGAAAGTTCTCAATATCGATGATATCGGTTCTAAAGTGGATGTATGCTCAAATTTCTCTTTTCACTTGCTTTACAAGCTCATCCGCATGCAAGGACACGAGTAATAAGTTGTCGCGAAGTGCATCAGGGAAGAAGTCCAAAGACCCTGCGGCCGCTAGGAAGACAGAGACTAAAAAGCCCCGGGCTGCACCACGGCCGAAGCTCTTACCAAAGCCAGTATGGACTGGTGTTCCCATCTCTCTGTCTCTAAGTGATGCAGAAGATCGCTTTCATATTCGGGAATTTGTTTTACGTTTTGCTTCCGCGTTGGGTGTTTCTCGAACACACGTAGAAGAGCTAGAGGAAATCCAAGGTTTTAGGGGTCGCGGATCTGAAGATGATGATGACGATCTGGTTGCCTGGGTTAGTGAGCCATGCGTCAAATCAATTATCCTCGGGCTGTTGGGAATGCTGGATCTGGATGGAGAAGCTGCCAAGGTTTGCTCATCAATGTCATCCATTCGAGGTTTCGTCAACTAAACTCTCGCCGAACTTAGAGTACAGACGCGGCAATCAAGGAAATTAGACACAGTGGAGCAAATCTTAACAAACTATGGGCAGAACTATCGTCCCTGCGCGATGGTTGGAGTCGGACGATAGCAATATCTTCGAGCTCTGCTTCTTCCGGCAAAAGGCTAACATTCCCTGACCCCCTTCCTCCACCTGAGTCTGCCACTGTTCACCAAACTCGTAGTGGCGCCGCACAGGTAAATGCAACGGGAGTAAATGTCGTTCGAACTGCACAATTGGTTCCTATATTGCATGCTCTGGTGGACGCGGTCATAGATACCGATGCTGTCAGGGAAGAACTGGATTCAGGGTTGCAAGAGGCAAAAGAAAGAGCTAGAGAAGCCCGCGAAGGCCTGAAAAGAGAGAATGAACGCTTCGAACAGGAAAAGCAAGATGAAGATAAGAAGGTGCATTTAATTTTGGCTTCATCGCTACTTCTTTTTATTCAAAAATACTATTTAACGCTTGCACGGTAGGATAAATCAAAGCTTCGACGTCATAAACGTATGGCAGCGGACATCGAACAAGTACTCAAACTCTCTACATATGCATATGCTCCCCGTTTGTCACCTCTGGGCAGGGACCATGAAGGACGAACTTACTGGGCCCTTTCCCCTGGTTTGGTGGAAACAGAGGCTGCACTCGATACCCTTTCTTCCGTATCTCAGGGCAAGACAGCCTCGAGAAAAGCTAGAGGTCGCAAACGCATGGTTCCCTCTGAAGAGCACCGCAGTTCTCTGAGAAAATGGTCCTGGTTCATAGGTGTTTGGGGTATGCTACCTCCGCCTGAAGAACGCAAAATCATCAGAGATTCGGAAGATGACATCTCTGACGATTCCGTAGATGAGGAAGGAGAGCAGTGGTGGGCCTTCTGGAATCCCGAAGAGATATCCAAATTGGCGACGTGGATCGCTTACAAAGCTGGCCTATCAGAGAAAGAATCAAGGCCTAATGAGGATGATCGAAATACGCATTCAGGCATTCCTCTTGGTGGTACTCACTCTCTTCGAGTGGAGTCGTCTGTCAATGGCGAAGAAGTAGACGACTCTCCAGATGAAGACGACAATGAAAACGACGATTGTATGGATTCGACGAGGATGCCCACTCGGGGCCAGCTGAAGATGTTAATCAAGGGGTTGCAAGAATACTCAGCTTTGCTCAAGTGGCGTACAAGCAGAGACGAAGAGGACCATAAAATAGCCCTCGGTGACAGCTGAACCCAAGAAAATTACTGTCTCTTTCATTAACATGTTCGTATACCTAACTAATTTGCCATGTATTCAAGTACTGTATATGGACGTCACATGGCTTTCCTCTAGATCATTATTCTTACAATATTGTTATGTACTGTTTCATTTAGTTACCGTTGTTATAAACTCCTCGGTGTTGGTGGGCCGCTCGACGCACCTGGACAATTGCTCCGCGAGCCAAATTGCCAGGATGTGTTTGCACTGTAAATGTTTTAGATGTCGATAAATATAGATGTTTCATTTTGAGGAAGTACACACCGTGATGTGTGATTCACTCATAAGAACAGCGAATGCGAAAGAAGGACAAGTGCAATAGCATGATGCAGATGCAGGAAAATCCAGCTGAGGGAAAACGGTGTAAGCGGCAGTAGAGCCAAGGACTTCGAAGTAAGAGCGTCCCCAAGGGCTGGTGTATTTGATAACTGGTACATATCAAGTATACCATGAAGATCAAAGTAAGTATATGTTTAGCACAACTAGTTAGGTAGTTGACATACCACATGCCCTATCCACAAGGTCAAGTGCTGCTACAATTGTTGTTTCAGGGAAGATGGATCGGAGCCTCTCCAAAGAGCCATCTACTGGATTGGATAATCGGCGAGTCAGATTAATTTCATAACTTGAAGTTAGATGCGGCATATGGACGTACATTCATCGACCTTCACCGAATCTATTACAGCCTTTATGACCTGTGCTACTATATTTTCAGATGACATGAGTAACTGAAGATTCGCGGAGAAAAGCATATCATCAAAATTCGATAATTCAGCTGTGAAAGGTGGATGCTCACAGAAAGTCAAATTCTTATAAGTATCATACCAACAGATGATCACGCATATAGAAATCGTTGCGAGTCCGGCGAAGATCGAAGGTGAACTCAGCAAATAATAAGTCGCTGCACAGCTTCTAAGTGACCACCATCATTGTTTACATCGGAGGCTGTTGCCAAACAACCACCTCAATCGTCGGCTCGGATCGATGTGATCTTATCTTCTGAACTGAACCATTATCGCTGTATGAACCGTCCGTTGTACAATGCCAACAAAGGAGTATCTATTCGTATTTGCTCAAGCGCATGATGAATTTCGCATTCCGGAGCTTCTTTCCATATCTGAGCTCCATGGTTTCGCAATCCATTTCCCCGACGACCCAGAGGAGCTAGATGTCACAAGACCCTTCATGATACTTGGCCTTGACAGAGAAGAACACGCAAACATTCTTGCTAAACGATGCATCCTTATCAGGTGAGGTGGCTGCATACCTCTCAGAGTGTATTGTGTAATCTAATCAATTTCTCAAATAGATCTATATATGAGTTTTATGCCAGGGGAAGAAACTATCAAGAACTGCATGAAAGAAATCGCCTAGTTCAATCAAAATGGTTCCAGTACGCAGCGGATACTTCGTTCAAGTATGTCGTAGCGGGTTACAACCACTCAATATCCCAGCGCCGTCAGCGCGAAGTCGTGGAGACGTTTTCTTACATGGCTTTCATGGGAAAAATCGACCTAAAAGATCCCGAGGTGGTCATGGGATGTTTTGAAGAGTGTGAGACATACAGTTGGTTATCATGGCTGACCCTGAACTCGGCTCTCAGACGAGGATTCTCGTGGAAAACCTCAAGAAATGCGCCGGCAGGATGGAGACTTTAGACAAGTATACTTCGGCAGGTTGGTGCGTTTTTCACGATGGCCAACTTATTACCCATTCTACATGGAAAATATTAATGTATACTTGTGCAGATTGAAGAAGGCTCCGCACGGTCATTAGTGACAAAATTCGATGTCAAAAAACGAGAATACTTTGGGAACACGAGCATGGAGGCAGAGATATCTCTTTTGATGGCTAACCAAGCTCAGGTATGAAATCATCATAAATCCGCCCTGTCCTTTTAATAAGCTTACAATCAGGCTTCTCCCTCGAAACTAGTATACGATCCCTTCATTGGCACTGGAAGCATGGCGTATGTAAGCTCTGCAATGACCAGATACCTTGCCAGCCCCTCCATTTATGAATTTTTAGACCACTGCCTACTTTGGTGCCCACGTATATGGCTCTGATATTGATGGGCGGCAGATGAGGGGTAAAGGTGCATATACTATTCCAACAAACCAGTCTCCTGTGTGCGACTAATTCCTTCTAGCAAAAGTGCCCGGAATCCTCCGAGCTGCTGCGCAATACGGGGTTGCTGATAAAATTATAGATTTATGTACTTTCGACGTGACAAAAAATCCATGGAGATGCGGAGAACTATTCGATGTAATCATTACAGATCCTCCTTGTGAGTTCCACCATATCCGATGGCAGCTTTATTTCTGAGGAATATGTCAGATGGCGTTAGAGCTGGTGCTAAACGCCTCGGAAGAAAGAAAGAACGCGAGCCGAAACAACAACCATTTACCGGCCCACGTCCGTGAGTTGAAATTAACTCTTGTCTGTCTTACGATGATGTTGATGCGGCATACTCAGAGACGACTTGCCTTACATACCGCCCACTAGGCCCTATGAACTGTCTGATCTGGTGTCAGATTTGGTCCTGTTGGCCCGTTATCTACTGAAGCCGGGTGGTCGGCTTGTATTCTTTTTGCCAACTGTGACCGATGAATACGAAGAAGTGGATATATATACTATGTTGTGTGAGGGCATGGAGGTGCTTGCCAACTCGTTGCAGGATTTCGGATCATGGGGTCGCCGAGTAAGTCACGCGATGTTTACATTGTTTCGTTTTTGGGGTTTATCACTATTGCAGCTCATCACCATTCGCAAAAGTACCGCGGGCACTTATGGTTCACCATTTCTCGTTGAAGGCCAGGATGTCGCCATCCAAGCTGCCGAAGTCCCACGTGGTCACATCCCGGCCCATAAAGACTTTAGAAACAAGTATTTTCAAGGATTCAAGAAGCAAATAGAGGAGGTATGAATATCTACGAAGAATAAGGGTCCAGAATCGTTGCATTGACGTACGAGTATAACGCGGCGACTTGGCAAGGTATCATCATTTTCAAAACGTGTGTTCCGGCGCTGGGAACTTGAGGGAACATGCAGCTCACTGGCCCATAGTCGGATAACACTGCGAATGAGTCTAAACAAAAATGGGTGTGACGCGGGTCGGATGCAATACAGCAAATATGGCTAGATAACTGCTTCAAACTCAGCGGCACTCCGATTTGTCCCTTGGCCCCAACAAGCCCCAAGAAGGACACCCTGTCAGTGAGTGCTAATTACCCGCCCTCGCCATGTCCACTGAGTGGGTCACCATCATGCCCAACATGGGGAGAATTGACCATCGCCTTCCCCCAGTTGGCATCGAACATCTCTTCCGTGATCCACACAAAGATCTTCCTGTTGAACTGATCGTAAACAGTGATCACGTTGACGCGAAACGCCAACGTTGGTCTATATCATGGACTGTAGGCTCGTCGTCAGATGGGCATCGTATCCATAGGGTTCTGCAGGTCGTGCGCGAAGTGGAATTTGGTCACTACAGCAATTGGGGACCAATCACGCGAGTGTTTGAGCCCGTGCAAAGGAAAGTGATACCAATTACCACTCTGAATCTGGCACAGCGCAAAGCGCTTGAGGACATCGCTTCCTCTGCTGAAGTGCCAGTTCCAGGCGCAGAATGGAATTGTCAAGATTGGGTCGTTGAGGTACTTCACAGAGCAGTAAAAGGAGGGCTAATGGCCACTGAACAGGTGGATAGGGCCTTGCGCGAAGCTAGACGATCATCGTAAGGACAAAATGTTGGCGTCGGTAGGCGTATTCAACGTCGCATCGTAGCTCAATTTCTGACCAGAGTGGTAGATGCAAAATCAGTGCCCAATTCACTTGAGCACTTTGTATCAATAGACCTGCCGGAGGGCAACTTTGTATCACTTTCGGTTCGGACATCCTGCCCTTTCTCGCATGGACTCTGTAAGTTTGTCATGTATACCACACGCAGTGCTATGTTTTGCTTTCTTTTTCTTTCATCGATGGAATTCCTGTGGTGACAGTTATATATTCTAACTGCGATCGGCGTAGATCCGGTACAATAGGGAAGGTAGACTAGATAATGGATATGTCAAGCAAAAATATAAACATACGATCTATTGCTGCCTCTTAGTTTCTGAAATTTTCTGCTCGTCTAATACTCTCCGGGCCTGTTTTCCACGGAGCAGGAAAACAAGTGATCCAATGGTCGTCACAAAAGCGCCACCGAAAATGAAAGCTTTATGCATATTATATGGTGGATTCGCATCTGGTCCGTCACGAAGAGCGCCTTCAACTGTTTTATCGAGAAATATGAGATATATGCATTCGACCTTAGAGGAGGTTATTTACCTAAAATGAATATGATGGCAAAGAGATTGCAGCTGAGAAAATCAACATCAACAAGGAGCTACAGTAGACTTGATGACTGGTTACGTACGAACACCATAGGAGCGCAGAACTTCCATCGGCATTCCTTGTTAGTTCGCAACCAAGTTCCAACCCAACGGGTAACATAGTGATCGAGCAACAGCCTATGAGAGCCATTATTACAAACAGTGCAGCAGTGTTATTCGGCGTGACTAATGTAGCAAGTTACATTAAATGTCACATCAAGAGCATGGGAAACATGTAGACTTACCAGCCCAGATCAGCGATAACCAACACCCAGCAACAATCGGTACCAATATTTTCACAGTCAGGGCGAGTTGATGCGTTAGGACACGATCGAATAGAGGCGCAGAGATGATCGAAGCAACTAAACCACTTAAAAGAAGAGTGGCACCCATGTAGCCACTAACATCAGCCGAATACCCAGCAGGCTCCTTGAAAAAGAGCAAAAACTGAGGTTTTGCGGGAACACAGCGCAAAAAAAAGATTGCCATACCATGTATTGGGCGGATAATATAGAGAATGTATTCGCCCTAAATGAATATGAGGAAAGTTCAATTCATCTACATACAAATAACTCACATTCCTGCTAGCACACCAAATATAATTATTACGATCATAAAGTCAATCCGTTCGCGTAAAGTCATATGCGCTTCTGGGGGACATTTGAAGCCAACCATAGCTCTCAGCAGAGATGTCATCTCTTGTGGTTTTTGAGAGCCCGCATGCGCTGATTATTTACGATAAAAGACAGTGAAAATATTATCATAGAGATATACAACTGATACTTACTTGGTGGTGTTGCGGGAGAGGAGTTGATGAGAAACACTGCTGGAGTCACAGCGGTTGATATGATGGCTAGTACTAGAATCTGGAAAAGGACTGTTCAATACACAAGACATATCTGCTTTGTAGCCGTGACCATACCGACTGTCGAGCAGTGCCAACGCTAGGCGATAATACTTGTCCCAAGGCCCCACCTACCGGGTTCGCTACAGATCGGCCAATGAGAGACAAATATAGAACACGATGAAGTTAGCACCCTACCAACAGCTATAATCATGGTGGCTGTTGTGCGACCTCTCAAATCGAACCACTTTTCTGAATAAATAGGCCCAAGGACTTGGAATATCGGTTGAGCAATAGCTGAGAAAAGCTAAAAAGGTGCATCAGCCAAAGCCAGTATTTCAAATGATATACCAACAAACCTGGCCAACAATGAGTAGTGCATATGCGCTCTCCGGAGACAAAGTGCCTATAGTTCCGGCATAACGTATCCAACCTGAAATCAGGAGCATTGCGACACCAATTTCGCACTGGTGGGTGGGTACTAATCAGCCGATGGATGGGTACGCGCTGGCCAGACCTACACATCTCCTTATCCCATATCTAGAGCAAAAGACGGGTATTGATAACGACACCGGTAGATATATGCAAGATACAATATTGCCTAGCCAATTCACTTGGTCTAACGATATGCCAAATTGGGTGGCAGCTAAACATAGTGAAAAGTGAGTTAGTGCCAGTGATATTCGATAACTGTATGATACTCCGACTTACTGTCAGTAGAGATTGGCCCAAACCATGGCCACGTCATTCCAGTAACAGCGCCCAACAATACCTTTGCCACTACGTCTTAAAAAATGGGAACCGAGGTTGATGTATGACTCACAAAGCCAACCAGACCAGCAAACCGCCGTCTGTACAATCTATAAACTACGTCCAAGTCATCCTTTTCCTTCACCTCGTTTGTGGTGCTGACACTCGTCCCATACCCCGTGTCCGTTCCAGCACCGTCAAACTTTGCGAAGACGTCCTGCTTGAAGTCTTCTTGACTGTTCTTATTGGGTAGTTTGACATCGTAATAATCATTGGGGTCCATGACATGAGGGTGGAAGCGGAAGCGAATTGAGTAACGATGTAAGTGAGCGGGGCTTGAGCTCCTCAGCAAATGGCCATTGAAGGAAAGGTGGAAGAAAGCTGTCAAGATACCTGCGATGAGGTTATAAAGGACCTGTGTTGTCACTAGACCGAAGGCTGCCAGGAACAAGCAACCTGACACATTCCAGTGATGTCAGTCTAATCCCTTATCTCGGATCTCTGCCGCCCCTTATTTAGACTCCGCATTTATGCTTATCTATATTCGGTTTATACCACATCCCGTCACGTCACTCACGTCACGTCTTCCTATCATCATGAGCGAATACTGGGTCTCTCGCAAGAAATACTTCTGCAAGTACTGTGAAATATACATCGCAGACGATGCACCGTCTAGACAGCACCATGAGAGCGGTCTCAGACACCAAGGAAACAAGGAGAGATTTGTTAGAGGACTGTACAAGACGGGAGAGAAGAGAAAGAAAGACCTGGAGGAAGAGAAAAGAGAAATGGATCGGATAGGAAAGGTGCGTTATCTCTGCGCTGGTGTTTGATTTATTCACACCACTAATGCCTTTTCTTTAGGCTGCACAGGCTGCCTTTGCACAAGATGTGGGTGCTGGTCACGCCAAAGCTAGCAGCAGTACCTCAGCTCCATCAACGTCTGCCCCGCCTCGGAAACCCCCACAAAAACCCTCAAATCCATACACGAACTATACCACAGCAGAATTTCTCGGATATACAGATCCAGACGCCGAGCGTTTGAAAGCTGAAGCTGAGCGTCGGCGTATGCAGGGCGTTGCAGGCGATTGGGAGGTGATTGACACCTCGTCTTCAAGTCGGCTCGCAGCAGCAGATGCTTCAGCGGACCCCACCATAGAAATAAGCGAGAATCGCAAGAGAGAAGCCCCTCCAATTGAAGAAGACGAGCGGCAATTCAGGTTGCGCCGTAAAGTTCTATCTACCGGGTTGGGCGAGATATACGATCCCGGCATTATTCAAGTCAAACCAAAAGTCCTAAAGCCAGAACTTGCGGCTGAAAGTGAAATTGTACCCGCCTCCCTATCTGCAGTAACTTCCGAGACTAAAGCGCTAGGTTTGCCCAAGTGGACAAAAGTTCAATGGAAACGAGCAGGCAGTGAGGAAGATACTGCACAGGCTGACGATGTGAAACCCAAAGAGGAACAAGACGCAGTTTCTAAACGTGAAGGGAGCGAATCGATGACAAAGTTGGAGATGGATGGGGATGCTAGTGTCGAGTTGAAGCAGGAAGGTTCTCTGTCGCTACCTGCGGAGCCTGGGACCAAGGAAGAACAGGTTCCAGTATCATTAGATGAAACCGTGCCTTCAGGCCTTTTTCGAAAGCGAAAGGCACCTGGCGGTGTCGCAAATAGAGGAAGACGCCAGATATGAAACTGTGTTTCATCTATGAATGAATCACATATACTATTTCGCATGCTATTGCAACTTCCAGATGGCCATCCACCTATCAGCTTCATGCCTATTATCTCCAAGTTTGTTATGAATGGTTTGCCACCTCCACACCCCTTGCTGAGGCATGACCCAATTGTTATTATTAAGCTGATGTGCTGACAGGGAAGTGTGTGCTTCGAGACCATAGCTTCTCCGACAAGTCAAATCTCAACCCTATACTGATATTGTCACTATATCCACGCTGCCTTGGCATCAATCAAACGTATCACGAGCCCTTTGTAGGAATAATTTCCTTAAGGACGAACTTAGGGATGAACATAAGTAGGAACGCGTGAGTCCCGTGAAGGCGATGCATGTGGTCGCCTTAAACAATACGTGTCACAACTGCATAAACTCCTAACGAAATCTATAATTGAATTTTTTTTCCATGCCTATCTTGCCGTATGTGCTCAAGTGTTGGAAGTCAGGACTAGTCAGGAGTGACTCAAAGTAAGCGCCAGGAGCGGGAATGCACTTGTACTCGTGACTGCCGGTTCCGGTGTCCTATTCCAAAAGGTGCATCGGTCCCGCATGCATGTTTTTGCTCGTTCCTCTCACCTGTTCACATTTGCCAATAATCTTTTATTGTCGCTGTAGCGATCTCACAGCATTCCCGGAAAAGTCGCAAACAATCCTTCAATGCAGGACTCTAAGACTGATTCCCCTACTGAGGACACTGGGCCAATACCGTTATCTTTTCCGGCAATCCTACGCAATCCTGCACTATCTGACCGATATGCACACTTGCGGCATAGCACGGCAAGAATCCCTCCTCCTATTTCCACTGCAAAAAAGGATAGAAGGGATGAACATGAGGGGAAGAGATGGATAAGGCGTAAAGATAATGGTTTGTGCTGCAGTTCGCTCCAGGAATAATGAAACTTACAGGATGATAGCTCGATTCGCTGGGAATCCTCATATCGTACTTGCAACGAAGAAAGACCACCTTCTCTCCGTCCCTCAGGCGCGCACTACATTTCCCGAACCACTGCCTCCTTATCTTCCGCGCAATATCACAGTCCCCGCCTCTACTCCCCCGGCTCGAGAACCTAACTCAGCCAATGCTGGGCGCTTCTCTCTCAGCCTCAAAGGCATGCGGAAAGAATTACGGAGATGGGGTACTCGTGCTGAGTCGCTTGTATGCGACATAGAAGCAGAAATAATGCAGTGGTTAGAGGGTGGGACTTTCTTCTCACCCGATTCAGAGAATGCCAATGCACTCCATCTTCCCGGAAATCCTGTCCAAGGCAGAGATTACATCCGAGAAGTTCTGCGTACGCCTCTACAGCTTGTGTGGTCAATTGCAGACGACGCCTTCGCACGATATGTGGTACATTGCTGTGCACGGTACCATAATGTCGTTAGTTTCAGTATGCATCTTTCCTTCCCTTTTCACTCTCACCAATGGCGCTCAAACATGATCCGATGTATGCAGGTAAAGATGTTTCGGGCCAGCGCCTTACTTACCTTCTCCGCCCTAATGCCACTCGGCCAGATTATCATGCTGCATCGGCATTGGATACACCTCCTGTTACCGACGCTGGTTACAGTTCCCAAGTTGACACCGAGTCCGATTTCGTCTCTGATCGGGACCATAAATCGGACGTAGATGAATCGGACGGCGATTTTGTCGCACCAGACGCACTTACATCAATTTCAGAAGGGTCTGATGCACCGTCTCCACGCTCTAGTTCACCAGCGAGCTGGTCGGTCATAGGGGGGACGGACAACGAAGGCGATTTATCCGCTGACGATTTCGCAGCGAGCGTAGAGTCGCTGTCCCTGCAAGATGACGTCGATCGCACGCCTCGACATATAGCTTATATTCGTCAATCCCAGCTTCGAACTTGGGATCATCGACAAGGGCGTTCAGCTTCTTCGCCCTCTCGTTCACCGATAAGAAGGCCACCACGCCGCGTTCACAGTCATATAAACCCGAGAACGTCGAGGCCTACTTCCAAGTCGTTCTATGATTATTTGTTTGCATAATAAAGAAGCAAATATCAGAGGTCATTATGCCGTGGTCGTTACATGATATGCATTAGATATAAGCGTCATAAATCGTACGTAAAGAATAACTGAAGACTTGCATAATCCTTTCATGCGGTAAATACTCTCGTCAGGAGATATAGCGTTGAGCCGAAGAAGCGCTGAAGAACTTTTGTCAAGCAGTTGCATTGAGCTGAACCATTACCATCAACTTACAATGAAATTTGTGATGGCCGAAAACGCGAGCACGAATATTAGATATGCCTTACTCCGATTCACCCCTGCATTGGGATCAAATGTGCCCGAGGAATCTGACCCTCCCAGGATTGCGACTAGGAGCAGGCCCTGAATGACAATGGGGTCTCAACGAAGACTCGCTAAAGGTATGTATTTGAATTTACATACGTTTGAAAGAACCCATGTCAGGAGGACCTATTGTTACTTGGTGGTCAGCAATCGCAAGATAGGCGTGACATGAAAGGAAGGACCCACATTCGTGCGGACATTGGCATAATAATCTTTAGCAGCTTGTTCCTTTTCGACGTTACTAACGACGGCAGACTTATTTGCTGTGGGCTTTCTATGCTTTAAGTTTTCTATAGCTTCTTCGTATATATCATTGGCGTCGGCAGCTTCGGCCAGCATTTCGACATCGACCTGAGAATGGCTATCTTGCATGACTGCGCCGAGATCTGTGTCGACTACGGTGTCCTGCTTGGTTCCCCAAGATATCTGGCCCAATGTTAGCTTAAAGTCAATTCAAGAAGATCAATGCTGTAATCACATCGTCAAGATTTGAGTAGGCATAGCTGCAAATTTGTGTGCGTCAAACATCACAGAGCACCTGAAGGTGAATGCACTTACATATTTAAGATGTTGATATACGTTGGAGATAGGAGTAAATATTGTATAAAGCTGGTAAACAAATGCCACGGGTCAAAAGCAAGGAGGCTAGAAAACGCATATACTGCAAAGGTTATATAGTCAGAATACTAATTACAAGCAGAGGACTAGGCTTACCTCCGTAAGTTACCGCAACACTGAGTAACATCACTGCCCCTCCACTTTGAGAAGCTGCAGCTATGCCACACAAAATAGAAGCAACCACCAGATATATCATCAAGATTGCCATGAATATTGAAGCGAGTTTATATTTGCGATGTGACCTATTAAGACAAGAAAAGAATTGGCACGGCTTTTGTTTAACATGTACGAAGACTTACGCCTGAGGTTTGTTCCCCATTGAGAGGAGAAAACAAGCGATGATTATCGAGGCCATAAAATACTGCACAACGGGATATCAGCGACAGATGAAAAGAAGCAAAGTGTGTGTAGTACCTGCACAATGGAATTAAAGTACTTAATTCCCTCTATACCAAAAGACGGGTTCTCCAATGACGAGCTCAGCACCACCTATAAGTATGGTTGAATTACATATACTCGGGAATGACAATAGAAGATGCGCACAAAAAATAGGTAAAAGTTTCCCTTGATAATTTGCAGTCAGTATAACGATTGACTACCATACGATTTATGTGCTCACAATGCTAAACCATGAGAATATCATATTAATGATATTGTACACCGTCTCCACAGCCAAAGTTACCTTACGGCTGAAACTGTGGCCGGATCGCATAATTTGCCCCACATGGGCAATGGCATATACAGCAGCGAAGAAGGAGCCGTTTAACCATCGCCTGCGCTGACTGATGAACTCGGGAAGAGCATCCGGAACATCAGTCTCGCCAATGGCTCCTTTAACATATTTGAGCACCCTTTAATAAAAGATTAGAACACAAACATCACTGAAGCCAATACAGGCACGCACCAGTTCGAATTGGCCTTCGCAATCAGCTCAAAACACAAGATACGCTAATAGCCAGTAAACTTCAGTCACTAGTCAGCACAAGTGGACATAACCTACATCCTCGGCCAAATCTGAGAATCAGGTCATTAGCTTACACGTTGGAGATATAGCAAAGGCATACATACACATATTTGAAGTAAATATATCTGTATCTCGCCCATGCAAGACCTCGCCTTTAAAATAGGAAGCCAGTGGTCCCTCTCCATCCTTGTTGTTCAAAAGGGCAATATATCTGGTTGCCGGCATAACTAACTTTGTAGGCACACTTAAGAAGAACTCTTACCTATAAGCTGAGAATGCCCCAGGCTTTGCAACATAAAATCAGCCACGAATGCATAGAGTAAATCTCGTGAAGCTTACCAGAACACTAATATATCCAAACATGTTTTCCGTAGGTTTATCCAAAATGTTACTAATTTTGTATTCAAAATTTTGGGCAGCAACTGTAGCATTGATGTAATGAGCGGTCAGAAAGATGAAAGCGCTCTGCAATACGCAAGACAAACCTAATGGATTCAGCAAGTACTTCCAATTTTTGCCTTTATACACGGCAATCTCCCCACATGCCCCTCCAACGTTGGAGTTCACATCGAAAGTTTTCCAGAGGCGGTATATGCTATTGTTTCCTGGACGTGTACCGACATCAAGCAAAACGCATACATTAGGCTTAAAACAGACGATAGTGAATCTTTGAACTAATATGACGAAAGTAACGTTCTGTTCCACTGACCTGTAAGGTGGCCGCAAACGCATTGAAGAACCATCTATGGCTATTTATTTTCTTCTGGTTCTTTTCCTTCATACAGAATATTATTTGGGTGGGCACAATACCCTTATCAGGATATTTAAAGTGTAAATTCGGGTCTAGGGCGAAGGAAGTTGTGTATTCGAATAAATGAGCAGTAACGGCTTTATTGTTGACAAGATTTTTCATATGATCTCCCGGCTGATACACTCCTAGCAGAGTAAGGCAATCCAGGACGCGAGGGTGTATTTTCTTCCGTCCATCTGCAACGATGCAAACTACGATCTATGATACAGACGAGGGATGATCAGCAAATACACCTTGATGCTGCAAGTTAAAGCTACCTTCTTCCATGCATCAGGACCCCAGGTCTGGGAGTTTTTGCGGGAGCAGAGGTGAGATATATTTCTCATCACGCCATACATGGTTCTGCAAAACAGAACCTCGTCTTCCTTCAAGTATTCAGTCAACACATATGAGCATATGAACGACGAGTGTAATGGACACTCACATTATACATAGTGATAACAATAAATAACTCCGTGGTCCTTCCATATTCATTCTGCCTCAGAAAAAACTTCTCCTTCTCGAAGTCATCCGGGTCACAGGTAACTGCTGTATACCGCGTTTTGACCATTTCTGGCTCTCCGCGATAAGGAAGAACTAGTTTGGGAGGGACGCTCAGATCCACCACAAGATTACCATTGGTCAACTGCACCCTTTTCTTTTTCAGTCGGCGACGTACACGTCCTATGGGTGCAGGACCAAAATGTCGAGTTTCGACAGGTGTTTCTGGCTCCGTGAAACCTACAGATATCGCAGAAGTCTTCTCGCAATCTTCATAAGACCCCTCGAGGGTGTAATCATCCCCGTGTTGAACACTGACGTAGTCACCATGAGTTTGTTGAGAAACTGCTTTCTCCGGATCAGAAGTAGTTTGAGAGTAACCCGTATATTGTAGAACGTTGTTGTCCGCCAGCCTGTAGTCCTCGTCTTCAGCGGCAGGTGTCGGTGAGCGGGACCTTGGAGGACGGTAGGTGGCACGAGTATAATTGCCGGATGCATAAGCTTCGGTATCATGTTGGAAATGGTCGATAATTCCATCATAACCGGCAGGCAAGAATTCTGGCTCTTGGGCAGAATATGGTGTATCAAATGGCATAGCAATCAAGTGTTCATGAGAGCTATTCGAAGGAGGTTGAGGAAGTGAGCGCCTCAGCGAAGAATGTTGGCTGTATTGGGAGTATGGGCGCAGTTGATCAGACGATTGTTGGTCAACGAATGGGTCCTGTTCAATTGGTTGAGAAGGCAGACACTCTTCAAGCTTCAGTGTTTCTCCAGTTAATATAGTCGGTAGCAACTGTCCTGGTTCATATCGCCCAGGCTGAACTGGAGGCTGACCATAAGGATTTGAAGGAGGAGGAGGTGCATTGTCGCCGTTGCTTTCTCCAGAGCGCCATTCCGATCCATCAATGCTAATATATGGTACGCAGCTCTCATAACTATTGTTAGAGTCAAAAGTGGCAGTGGAGGTACGGTTTTGTAGCATGATTTCACCCTGCTGGCCGACATGATTAGAAGAACTATGATCTGAGCTAACCATAAGAGCGTGAATGAATTGAGCATGAGAAGAAACGTAGCCCATTTACTTACAGGTCAGATGATATGAGGGAGTCACGATGATTAGGATCATCTTCTTGGCTATTGTAATCCACATATTCGTATGTCTCACCGACTTGAGGTTGGGTAGATGAAGCTTGAATACGAGGAACGGGCTTTCGGCGGGCCATCGCTGCGTTTTTATTTTTGAAAAGAGAAAAGGACCGTTGTGCGCGCCTTCAAGTTGTAAGTAAATGGCGTTGAGATGTACTTCCTCAACGCTGTAGTAAGTATGAACCTGCGGACTCGAATTTCTCAACGCGATTGTGTGACATATGTGACTGGTACGCGTCGCGAAGCCATCACGTGAGCAAAGTTTTGACGCTCGTGAGCGAAAATTTGGCTTGTATAATTGATATATTGAACGATAGTAGCATGTTATAAGATCAGTGCTGCTCTCAAGAACATATGAATCTTCCTTTCTGTCGTTGTGACATGAAATCATAAAATGACACATAGTATACGCAGTAGTATCTACAAGTACGTGCAAATCATGTACCAGTGTCAGTAATGCTACGACCATTCTGAGCCAGAGTCCTTAGCCTTCCGGTACGTAGTAAAATGGCCTCCATCTGCTTCCAGCCCATCCACATAGGCTTTCGATCGACGACACTCATCGGAATCTGATCAAAGTCGACAATGAATCCAGCTAATCTTTCCCGCTGGAGCCCATCATGTCCTTGAATGTTGGAATCATTCATAAGCGTTGACCCCGTGGTGTTCTGAGAGGCTATGCTTTCACCCATAATTTTTGAGACTTCGTTCTCGATTTTACTCCCCGGCCTGCTGCCTTCTCGAGATCGTAAGTACTCTGATGTGTTAACCGATGATTTAACTCTGCCACCCTCTCTGGATCCAGAGGAGCCGGAAGTGTGCATCTTGATCTTCGTTGGGTCCCTTCTTGGACGACTTGTTTTCAGTCGAGGAGTGCCCCCGTCCACGCCATCAGAAGGGAGTTGAGACACATTATCAAGAACCCTTTTCTTTTTCCGTGAAGATGGGGATGGGGACTTCTGTTCCAATTGCCGCTTATTTCGGACAGGATTACCCTCTGGACCCGTTTCAACCTGGATTGCTCTACCCTTGCCCTTTCGGTCAATGTTCATGAAACTAGGCCTCGCCCAAGCAGCCGCAATGTGTTCAATGGAGTCGGGTTTTGATTTGGTAACGTCAGGATGAGTCGAAGACGTAGAAGGATCATCACCCCCGACAGAAAACCTTTCGGTCTCTCGTTTGGTGGGTATTGGCGTCGATGCGCTCACAGCATCAGTTTGAAAAGAATGGTGTTCGGAGGAGGACTGAGAGAATAGGGAGTGAAAAGCCGTATACTGCGATGGCTGAGACGCGGCGCCAGATGATGATGGAACAGCAGAAGCGACCGCTGGTACGACACTCTTTACTGGGCTTTCTTTACAGATGGCTTTGGATACCTGTGTCGATTGCGGTTTATTAAATAAAGGACTCAACACTGTATCCGTTTCGGCTTCATCATCCGAAATATCAATCACAGGAAGATTTGGATGTACTTGGCGTTTGTCGTTATCTCGAAATACTGGTTCTGTGACTTGAGAACCGTTCTGGCTATTGGCGGGTAAATCATTCAGAGACGTCCTTTCGTTGTCAAGCAAACCCTCGGATTCTGTTGGTCTGAGAAGGCTTGATTCCATCATCTTGGTTAAATACTTCCGCGGGGCATTCCCCGTGCTCTGTGAGTTAACACCGAATGATACTGGCAGCGAAGACGGCGGTAAGGGTAGGTATTGCGAGCTTTCGTACGGTTGAGGCGGGGGTTGAGAAGGTTGGGATGCTGTGCCAGATGTGTCAGAGTTTGGGACGAGGACTCGGCCCGGTCCTGAGACATTTGGGTCTGGTGGTGGCGGTATACCGGGGTGTGGTACCCTCCTGAGAACAGTTTTACGAGCGGGCAAGTGCAAGGAAGGCGATGGTGGAAAAGGTGAATCGGGTACGGAAGGTAGTGGGGGAGACGAAGTACGGGGATGCACAGATGGCGGGAGTCGTGATCTGCTCTTTGTTCTCTGGGCTGGTGTGGGATATGGAATCTCAGGAGAGTGCGTTATCGGCGTGCTCAAACGGGTTTCTTTGGAGGCCTTAGAAGGTGCTGAATTCTGATTCTCCATATTATCATCCGCGTTGGATGGGTCCATTCCCGTTTCATGGGGTGAGCTTTCGTGAGGTGAACTACAGAACTCGGTTGGGGCCCATTCAGAAGGAGTTGGTGTACTTTGTTTTGTGTGCTCCGGAGCCTTGGCCGGGGAGTGGGGTGGAGGCGTAGATTTTTTCCCGTTGATGACTGTAAACATGTTATGAATTATGCGCAACTATCAAACAGCTCCCACCGTCCATACCTGAGCTCGGCATAATTTGAGCTACCTGAACTGCGTCTTTGCTATCTTCCCCACCTTCGCCTCCATTAGCAAAGTAGGTGAGTAACGACAGATACTACGAAGATACGCATAACTTACGAGGTATGGTGGGCACCTGCGCGTTGGTCTTTTCCATGGTAGGGCAATAAGACTGTGGATTTTTACGGATCAGCTATCAAAGAAGATACGGACGCTATGAGTGAATAGTCGCGACGTGAAATCCAAACTCTATCACGACTCACGCGCCAAAGTCGATTATGTCCTTTCATAGGGTCACTTCGAGAAGCTTGGGCGGTAGATACAGCAGAAGACTGAGCTACTGCTTCTTGGGCTACAATTGACGACTTTTTCTGCTTTTCTGGTTGAGCAGGTTTGGAAGGGAGACGGGAAAGTTTGGGCTGTTGGAGACATGAAATAGGGGGTTGGTTTGCTCGGCCTTCAGCTTTTTTTTGCTCCTTCCTTATCTTCAACACATTCCTTGGAAGAACAACAGCTAGAATCTTGAGTGCAAAACAATATACCTCTAATAAGACTTACCCGCCCCCGCCATCCTTCCGAAGACCTTCAGTCCATTCACCCAATTTGTCGTCAGTTTCTACGTCCTTTGGTTCACCATATATACGCTCGCCATCGCCACCAATAAAATTGATGTAATCAATATCCAGGACAATATGAGCCGAGGAGGACATCTTCTTCATCTTTACGCTGACAGGAACACGAGAGAAGAACGGACGAAAGTATTTGACAAATATGACAGCGTTCCTACGCTCTATCAGTTTTCGTCCATTTACATCACGACTACAGATATTTGTGAGCACATTTACACATTTTGTTGCCGTTTAGTACGTATAGTTTAACTCACTTGCTGTAGCCTTCAAGGGCGGCACCACTAAAGCGTACGGTGACTTTATGGGCCTTGTCGGAAATTCGAGCCCACAGGTGATTATCCTTCGGGCTTGGTATTGATAGAAACTAAGAAAACCATGATAAATATGCTGAACACACAAGCAGAACTACAAGGATAACCTCAATGAGCTGGACCCTCTTGCTCTTGTTCACAAGAGGAACATTATGAAGATCTCCACCGTATTCCTCTGCAACGTCGATTAGATATTTGCAAATCCATGGCTCGGGAATTGTGTCAGACATAGTTATATAACCATAGGCCTCTGCTGGCGTTAGTTTCAAGCTGCAGATGCAACTGGTCAAGGTGATGGTTTTGCGAACCTAATTTGGGACGCAACTAATGGTCGTGACGCGCGATGTCACGAAACGCGTTCCATCACAGTCGCGTGCAAAGTGCGTGGCCCAGTGAAACGTCCTCTAGGTAGTGTAACGTCGAGTCTGCTAAGCATCCAATTTGGAAGATGGCGTTGAGATGGCCACTCTAATTCGGTATGTTTTCATTGGCATAGCAATCAGGATTGCAAATCAGACAGCTATAAATCTAGCATCGAATGAGATACGTGGAATGCACTATCATTGCCGTACTAGTAAGTCTATGTAGTTATTAGATTCCATCATTCACAGATCAAACGATTAGACAAAGTGCCGTTAATCCAACACAGAATATTTCTTCAGATGTTCAGGAATGGCCTCCTCTAACCCTTTCGCCTTTAACCATTTCTTCGAGAATAGCCGACTCTGGTACCGATAAGCACCATCACATAAAACTGTAACAACCTTGGACCCTATAAGCAAAAGTATGGGTCAGCATCTCGTAGAATCTACATAGAAAAAAGGATCTGCCGCACCTTTCCCCATCATTTGAGCAAGCTCGACGGCAGCAACGACGTTGAGTGCAGAGCTGGCTCCAACATACAGCCCCTCCGTATCCAAGAGCTGGTAGACCATTGATATAGACTTCTCATCAGAGATGTGTATTGATCCAGTGATATCATTCACGAAGGTTGCTAAGTTATGCGTAATTCTTCCTTGGCCAATACCTGCATGCATATAATATTAAAAGGAAGTGGAAAGCATGAAATGGTGTCAGATCATCAAACCTTCAGTAATAGAACTTCCTTTCCTCTCAGTCAACTTGCCACCGCTTGTTATATAACTGTGCAAGACACTGCCCGGTGGGTCTGCCAACCAGGTCTGTGTCTTACATTTACTCTTCTCTTTTAGATACTTTCCTACACCAGCCAAAGTCCCTCCTGTGCCCGTCGAGCAGATGAATCCATCAATTTCACCTTGTGTTTGCTCCCAGATTTCTGGACCAGTAGAAATGTAATGTGCATATGCATTAGCCGTGTTGTCGAACTGATCTGTCCATATAGCGTTTGGTATGCTTTTGGCGTATTCGCGGGCTTGGTGATTGTAATTCTGGGGGTTTTCATACGCAACAGCAGGGACAGGGAATACTTCAGCACCCAGCATACGAAGAAGGTCGATCTTTTCTTGACTCTACATTGACATTCTTATCAATAAAATGCCACATGATAGCTAACTCAATTTTACCTGAGTATTCGGCATGAAAATGACACATTTGTAGCCTTTTGACCTGCATACGTGTGCCAGACCAATGCCAGTATTTCCAGCCGTGCCTTCCACTACGGTCCCCCCGGGTTTGAGGCTACAAACGCACGGTTTCAAGATATGATGTTAGCTGCTACGACAGGTTCACAAGTCGACTCACAATCCTTTTTCCTCAGCATCTCTTACTACACCAACAGCAGCTCGGTCTTTGATGCTTCCACCAGGATTTTGGAATTCTGCCTTGCCAAATATCTTACATCCCGTCTGTTCTGACAGAGACTTCAAATATATCTAAACGAGAACCTAGATAAACTCTGTATAGAACTATAGCTGTATCGGAAGCTTACCAGAGGTGTGTTGCCTACTGAACCGGTGAAGCCATCCACAGCGATCCTGTTTGTGGTATAACCTCTTGAAGTTCTGAGGACTTCTCTCCGAAGAGTAGGGAGCAGTGGTATACGTAGCATTGAAAAATGATATGGAAACGAACAGAACTATAATGTGAAATAAAGAAGCGCCTGGGCCTGATTAATGATTGAGCACGAATCTTAGACGTCATGACGTAATATACACATGGACTCGGAATAATGATGTGGTCAAAAATTTATGTACTTATGTATGGTGCACATTTCAGCTGTAGGTTTTCATTCCAACTCACCTTTTCAAGGTGGTACTGCACCCATACTACGTTCACGTTGTCCACATAAGTACTGACTTAACAGTTAGGGAAAACATCTCGAGTACCAAGGAGACATTGCGCCCAAAGCGAAAGCTATAGGCCTAATTATGATAAAGTGAATTCAGAAGCAAACACTCATCCATTGTTGAAGTATAGAATATAACCGACCACCAGAATGGGAGAAGAAAGAGATATGCTTTCAGCGGTATATGTATGAAAGCCAGGAGGACACAGGTGAGACATGGAAGATGGTAGTCTGTCGTACGTGCAAAGGTCGTGCAGGCCATAAGGAGAAAGAGGAAAGCATAACATGGGTATAGACGAGAAAATGTTCTATCAAACTAGATTCGAAGAAAGGCATCACAGAATTAGAGAAGTATCACTGCTGGCGCTTCTTGACATTCTGCGACAGCCACTGTAGACCTTCAAAAAGACCCTCACCAGTGGTGGCACAACTATTGATCACGACATGGTCAGTGTGACTTGAGATTAAGGAGTGCAGAAAGCGTACCTTGGGTGAACGTACCACGACCGATCGCGCATGCGATGCAGGCCCAACTTTTCGGTCACTTCAGCCGGCGACATGGCTATAAAATGGAAAAAGTCAAGGATCCACGTGTTCGAGATAGCATGGTATACATACCTCCGGGAAGATCCTGCTTGTTGGCGAAAACAAGTAATAGACACTCCTTCATCTCCCTATCACTTAATATCCTATGCAACTCCTGTTTAGCCTCGTCAATTCTTTCCCGATCTTGACTGTCGACGACGAAGACAAGGCCTTGAGTGCCGGTGTAATAATGTCTCCAAAGAGGTCGAATCTTGTCTTGACCGCCAACGTCCCAGACATTAAACTTGACGTTCTTGTACGTAACGGTCTCCACATTGAAACCAACTAAAAAGGTGAGAGAGTAACGATGAGATTTTGAGAAAGAAAGAAGTCACAAAGGCTGACCCGTAGGGATTGTAGTCACAGATTGGTTCAGTTTCAGTTTATAAAGAATAGCTAAAAGTAAATGGTCAACGAAGAGGAGTGGGGCAGACGACTTCCAGCGCACTCGTCTTTCCAGCTGCGTCGAGACCCAACATCAAAAGTCTCATCTCTTTGTTGCCAAAAATCTTCCCTAGTTAAATGTTGCATGGTGAGATTCTGTAAGTAACTCGGGTCAAGCACACAAAACTCACCCAACGCCTTCGACAGGTTAGCTCCCATGATGATGTATTATTGAAGGTAAAGAACGACAGAGGCGGGTTTATTGCCAAAAGCACACAAATGGAGGAAGGTCAACGATTGACAGAGGAATGAGGATGACCACGAGAAGGAAAAGGTGGAATCGTGTTGACGCGTGAAACCCAAATAAACACGATTGGGACCCCGGTCACACCAAGAACATCTATTTCCGGGTCCTACCCCAGCTAATGTAACACGACTCCCAATCATCGATGTATTAGTAGTATCAAACTGGTAAGAGAAAAAAATATCCAGCGGTTGCTATATTATGCCAAAAGTTATCAAGATAGGAGCAATAAGTACATATCCACACACGCAGAATCCGAGTCGGGGGCTACTGACATACAAAATAGAAAGTGGGTATACCAAACAAAAACGAAAGGATCATAATCTTGGGATGTAGAGCCAATAGCACACTAAAGACCATATTACTCCCCACTATTACTACCTTCGTCCCACCCTAGTCGGAGCCCCTAGTTGGCTTTGACTGAAAACCTTCAACCAACCATCCCCCATGTCAGAACGCAGCGCCTCGATCCGCGCACGGTAGGCCTCCGCTTCTTCGATTTTGCTTTCCGATGTAGCTGAGTTTGAGGTTGGAGGCTCATAAATCGACGTGGACATATACGACCTTCGCACTGGTGACAAGGCCCTCGCGTCGCGCGATATACGTCGAAGCGATCCAGAATGAGCAGACATAGGTGCAGAATCATCTGCAGCGGAAGCCGACGAATGATCTGTATTACGTCTCCTATGTCTTGAGTGAGGAGGCAACGTAGTCTCGGCAGATGCCTGTGAGGGCTGTGAGGGAGGATCGTGCGGTCGTTCCCGTTCCGAGCTGGCTTTCACGCTCGAGTCTCCGTGCGGTTTATTATGGGAACGCAAACCGCTATGCGCAACCGAAGCATCACTATGATCTGCATCACCATCCAAGTCCACTATTCGCTTGTTCCTCTTTCGTCTGGACTTTCCTGCTACAACTGCCGTCAACATAGGAGATGCGTTCCGTGAAGCTGGTGACGATGCCGAAGGTGAGAGTTGTGGGGTAGATGGCATATCGGGAGCAGAAGTGGAGGTATGAACGCCTACTGCAACCACTGATGGGGAGGGTACAGCGGGTACAGAACGGGAGGCCGGAATCTGGTCAGGAGCAACCGTTAACGTTCGCCTCTCAGAGAAGCTTGGCGGTGTGCCATCCAATTGAATGTTTTTCCCCTCTTTCAAGAAAATATCGAAACAGTTTATGCGGTAGTTGTCCTCATGGTAGGCCAAAGGATTACCTTCCACCCAGACTTCTGTGATATTTGGAACGGTTGCTAACCTGCCAACCTCCCCACTTTCCACTATGTAATTGTGTCGAAGATCGACACGTTCCAAGGCCATAAGACGTTCTAGGCCACAGAGAGACTCTAGTCTGTTGCGGGAGAGATTGATGGTAAGAACTTGACCTAGCTGCGTATAGATACCCAGGACAGAATCGATCATGTTGTCAGAGAGGTTAAGCGATACCAGATTGTGGAGAACAGACAATCCGTGAGGTACTGACACTAGGAGATTTGACGATAGATCAAGATGAGTTAGCGAAGCGAGGCAAGTCAAAGGTTCCATTGACAAAAAAGTCATTGCATTATCCGCTAGCGATAAGTGCTTCAAAAATGCCCACTTCGATGGTGACAGCTGTGAGGCGGCTAATGGTGGCGGTGGCAATTGAATATTCTCCGCTGTGGGTGTCTGAAGGTCCTCTACACTTTCTGGAACAGACGCTGGTAGGAGAGTGCTGTGAAAGGAGGCCTGCCTCGGGAGCACACGCGATCCCATCCTCCGCCTCGTAATACTAATCCTCTCTTCTCGCTCCCGTTCATCCTCTAGAACAGAGACTACGAAAAGATCGGTGAAGTCTTCCATCCCACTCTTTCTTATCGTCAAACTTCCGAGGCTCTCTGCAAGTTTATCCCACCCCAAAAGCGTACGCGGGTCTATATCCACGCATTCTAGGCTTTGTATGTTCTTAAATGCATCCATAGGTAAGGCGTTCTCATTTGGCGGTTCTTTGGACAACTCTGCTATCATCTTTGAGCCTGGGGACTTGATAAGGATAGCAGGAATCTTTGTGAAGCTGCTGAAGATGAATCTAAGCTCTGCATCAATACTCTGTGGCTCTGGTCTGCCCCACCAGCCTCCACCCAATGAAAGTCCAGATACAGCAGTGAGAGAGGACCGAAATGAAGCCAAGGAGAGAGTCTCTGATTTATCCGGGTCGGAAGATACCTTGGTGAAGGTCATGGGCCGCGAGGGGTGGTCTACTTTCACATCCAGCGTGCCTATGGCCATTCCAATTGCCTCCAGTCGCATGAGAATGTAAAACAGCCTATGAGTGTCGATTATGAAGACTACAGGTTTAGGTTTCGGTGGAGGGGCAGGAGGCTGAGTACGGCTGTCGACATAGAACCATCCTACAGGATTGAAGACTGAAGTTGCAACGGTATCTGTATGGCGCCGTTGTGGGCGTCGTCGCCGCACGAAGCCAGCTTCAGCAAGGCCTTTCTCGTTGTTCCGTATGAATGTGGACACCCTACGAATATAAACGTCTCCAGGCTCAGGTTCCATGGTAATGTAGGGTTGTATTCGAGTAGAGGGAAGGCAACCTGCTCCGTGCTGCATCGAACCACCGCGACAGCTGCACCCGTTCCGGGCGTCACAAACCCTAACCCTAGTTTGAAACTCAGCACAGAAAGCTGAATTCAGTGTTTTCGATTATTAGATTACGCGTCACTCTTACAGTCACCTTCATCGGTAAGTCTCATCGTCGAGCTCGACGATGGCGGCGACAGTATCGACGCTGATCTTGACGTTTGTTTTTCGTGCAGATTTTTCACCATCATGAAGATCACCGTAAAGACTTTGCAACAGAAGGTCTTTAATGTAAGTCGGGGTGACCTAATGCTCATATCTAGCCGTTCACGGATATTCTGCGCAGATCGATGCCGAGGGTTCAGACACCGTCGGTGATCTGAAGAAGAAAATATCAGAGTCTCAAGGACATTCAATAGAAAGCCAGAAAATCATATATTCTGGTTAGCTCCCATCGTCTGGACAGCAACCGTCTTGTATTCACTCATCTTGATTCGATAGGTAAAGTTCTTCCCGACAACAAGTCAGTGGAGTCATGTGAGATTAAAGAGAAGGATTTCTTGGTATTGATGGTATCTAAAGTACGCACATTCTTTATTGTTTATCGTAACAGATAATGAGGTTATTCTTGTGTAGCCCAAGCCAACTTCAACGCCTGCAGCCTCATCGAGTACTGCGGCCGCGTCTACTCCAGCTCCCGCTCCCGCTCCGGCTCAATCTGCTGCTGCCCCCACCCCACCAGCTCCAGCTGTTCCCGCCCCCGCCGCTCCTGCTGCTCCTGCCACTCAGCCTGCTGCTCCAGCACCTCAGGCGGCCTTTGGTGATCTAAATTCGTTTGTTACTGGAGAAGTCTTGAACACCACTGTTCGAAATATGATGGAAATGGGCTTTGAACGGGAACAGGTTATGCGTGCATTGCGAGCAAGTTATAATAATCCTGATCGAGCTGTCGAGTACCTCTTTAATGTAGCTACACAGATTTCTTAGCTTGCCTTAACACTAACGTACATAATGTTTTCAGGGAATCCCTGCGCATCTAGAGGCAGAGGCAGCTGGCCCTGCAGCTCCTCCAGCCCAACCGCCCGCTGGCGGCGGTGCAGCTCCAGCAGCAGCCCCAGCCCCAGCTCCTCAGCCGGCAGTGCCACCACCCAATCAGCCTCAAAATCTCTTCCAGGTGTGCTTCGATGCATATTATTTGTTTCCACAGCACCTAATTTGAATTTATCTCAGCTCGCTCAGCAACAGCAACAGCAACAACAAGGCCCAGCAACTGGTGGAGCTAATCCTTTTGGTGGAGCAGGTCCCATTGATATGGCTGCATTGCGTGATAATCCACAAGTACAACATTTACGAGAACTAGTAGCTGCCAATCCACAGCTCGCCCAGCCTATCATTCAGCAGCTGGCTGCTTCAAACCCTCAGTTCGCTCAGATGTTTGCACAAAATCCTGAAGCTCTTATGCAACTCCTCATGAACCAGGGAGAAGGTGGAGAAGGTGGACTACCCCCTGGCGCTCAATACATCAATGTTACACCAGAGGAACAAGCTGCTATCGAACGGGTAAGTCACGCCTTGTTCTTACGGGGAATGTGCTGATTTGAATTAGCTCGAGGCTTTGGGTTTCCCCCGTCAAGCTGTGATTGAAGCTTATTTCGCTTGCGATAAGAACGAAGAACTAGCAGCAAACTACTTATTCGAGGGTGGTTTCGAAGATGATGATGCATAGAGATTGGCGTGATTGAAAGGGAAATAACAGAAGAATCAAATTGCAGTTTAGTCTCTGTAGTGTCTTGTTTTGTGTACTTTCTATAGTGTAGCAGCAAGTTCTAAGCTTCATCGGATTTAGTTCTGAAGTCGTTCATTTAGTGCGGCTGTTCGGTGTGATTTAAATGGTACATTCAATAGAAGCATTTACCTTGCGTATGCATATATAAAATAATAAACTATAAATAAAGCAATTTAAAGAAATCTACGATAGCTCGTCAACAGTCATATCACCATCGATTGTCTCCAGTATTGGCGGATTTGACGCAGTCATCTTTGGACACCCATCAGAACCAGCATCTTGCAGCTCTACCACACTGACATTCAGATTCTGGTTTGATAATGGTGGTCGAGAAACTCGTGTGATATGTGTGCGAGGTTTGCTATCAACAGGAACCATGACAGATTTGTACATGGCGATTTCATGTCGCAAATCGTCGTTTTCGGCAACAACAACATCCTTGTCTCGCATAGACATAAGCAATTTCTGCCAAAGAGACAGTCATTAGTAGATTGTCTTGCAATTACTGTTGCGGAACAGACCATACCTGTTTTGTCTCAGAAAGCTCTCGTCTTATCCTGTCAACATACATGATTCTTTGCGCGGGGTTGTTATGGCCAATTATCTCCGCATTGAATTTACTTAAACGTTCTGTTTCTTCCTCTGCCAACGTGTTTCTGGCAAGCAAGCCTTCTACTTCCTCGACGAGGCTGAGATACGCTTCTTGGAAGCGCGAGGTATCCGTTAACTCAGCATTTAACCTATGGAGGAGATTGTCAGATTATAATGGCGTAAAATAGGACAAGTAAGCGTACTGCTCGATCTCAGATTTGAGACTTTCCTCTGCCACTTTGCTCATGCGAGCGGCAACGGCCAACTTCTGGGACGTCTCTCGTTCCTTTTGGAGCGTCTCCTTGTATTTGCCAGATTCCTCCTGCATCTGAGTCTTTAGTTCAGCTGACCGAGTCTCCAGGACACCTTGAGAAATCTTCGATTCATTCAATGATGTCTGTAGCTCCACCATAGCTGACTGTGCAGCCTCGAGTTCCGTATGTGTCTCCTCAAGCTGGGAGCACAGAGCATCACGAGCTATAATAGTAGACAATAACTCCTCTGTTTTCCTTTGGCATTGGTCACTTTCCTGTGAAAGAGCCTTTTCTGCTATGGAGTACTGCAGAAGTAACTCGTTGGCAATGAGACGGTAAAATTCTCCTAATGATTGATGTTCCTTTGTGATACTCTCCTGTATTTGTCTTCGGAATTCGACTATTTCTTCCTTCGCCACCTTGACGTCATTTTCCAGTGATACGTCTGGTTGCTGGTCAACCGCTGCTTGCATCTTGATTGCATCATGAAGCGCATTCGCATAAAATGCAGCTTCCTTTTCCGTATCTTTCAGACAACTGCGAAGAACCATGTTCTCCTCCTTCGTATGCCGTATGAGATTTGCCAACTCAAGTACCTGACCCTCCGAATTCGCTAGCTTTCGCTCGAGTCGCAAAACGCGTATCTGGAGAGCTGCGTGGTCCCGTTTGAGAGACGCATTAACGGATGTCGCTACGGTCGAGTTAGCTAGACGTCCGTATTCCTCTGCAACGCGTCCTAGCATTGACCGACATTGTTCCAGTTGTATCACCAGCTCTTCCTCGTGATTGCCTGCCTCATTTTGCAGCAATAGCAAACGTTCGCGTATTTCCTGCGCCTCACTCCGTGCAGTGTCGGCTTCTGTTCGTAAGCCCTGTGCAATTTCATCCACCCTCCTAACCTCAGAGTCACCCTTCATTTGCATCTCCTGCATATGTAGCTCTGCAATTTCCCGCTTCTTCTTCTCAGCAGAAAAAGACTTCTCTAAATCTGCTATTTTCTTATCCCTCTCCTTTAACTCTTCTCTCCTTCTTGTTTCCAAGTTCTGAAAGGCTTTCTTCGCATCTCCAGCTTCGCCTTGCTTACTCAATAGCTGACTACGCTCATGATCTGCCATCCGAAGTTTGACGCGTAGATCTTTGATTTCAGCCTGATCATTTGCAGCTGTCTTCTTATACTCTTGGATCCGCACGTCATAAGTATCATTCTGCTTCTTCAGTTTTTCGTAGCGTTCTAATTGGTCCGAATTTGTCTTCTGAGAGCGTGCCAGTTCCAGCTTCACGCGGTCCAATTCAACTTGGTGCTGACGAATAACATTCATGTTTATATTGACGAGGACAATGTGATAAATGGACGTACTGCTTTCTTGCTTTCCAAGTGTAGCTTCTCCAATTCCTCCAGTTTTCGCTGAAGAGCCGCGTAGCGATCTGCGTTGGGTTGTTTTACAGCTGCTGCAACAGGTCTCGTCGCAACAGTCTTCGTGTCAGCGCTGTACGCTCCAGGACCTGGTTTTTACTATATTCTAGTATTTTAACGTGACGTAAAACAATCTGAGTCTTACCAGGAACTTCAGACTCCTTTTCTTTCGAGAATCTATCCGTTTTCTCCAAGAAAGCACCGCGCTTGTAAGCGTCAGCTTGAGACTCTGTTACCAGCCAGGGGCCATCATCGGGTCAATGTTTGATGCGTATAAAATGTTAAAGACACCTGCCTTGAGCTAAATTGTAGGCATTTGGGCCGGGAACATCAGGTACTGAAACAGGAAGAAAAGTTGCAACATTAGGAGGGATGAATGGTCAGGAGTATTCAGGCCACATACTTTTTTCCGGGGCGAATCGTGGTCCTTTGGGGAACATCATCTTGGTGTCGTTAATCGTTATGGATGTATATTCGTGTCTTGTATTTGTTGACCGCTCACTCACTTGGACGTTCGGCACTTGGATATCTTGAGGCCTTGAACTTGAGTCTGGTTTGAGCTGATTCAACCTGTAAATGAACTCATAACAGGCAACAACAAACGCGCCGCGTCAATGAATACACGTGACATAGCACTGATAGTAAAATCAGATTCTACGAAGTAAACCCAGAAATTAAACAGCAGAAGGTAAACTATTCACAATCGACCCACGTTAAGAGTAGAATTTCAAACAAGTCAGTATAAAGTCGTAAAGCAGCGAAACGTTGTAGGTATCTAGTTTGACTAAGCTCTCTTGCCAATAGAAGGCATGAGCTCGCATATTCCTCTTTTCTTTCTTTTTATTTTTATTTTTGAGCGTGATTTTCACCTACCAGCACCATCCTACATCTCTCTAATATGAAACCCCCTAGCCCATATTTTCTCACTGAACTTTGGCTTTGGGCTTTGCACCCAAAGTTTGGCCCTTCCCAGCACCCAAGATCCTTCGGCGTTGCTTCATCATGTGAGTGTATAACACATAGAGCGCTGTGTAGCGTGAGCATAGATGTAATCAGTACCATCCCATAGACCTTTATAGTGATAAATTAAAACGCAAGAGAAATTAAAGTCCAATGTCACCGATGAGAATATCCCCTCTACAAAAGCCAGTAGCAGACCTGACTTTACTTATGAAGGGACAACGGACAAACGCCTACTATACAAACGAAAAATAACAGAATAGATAGAATGCACTCACAAGGCCACCAAACGAAGAACAAAATAGCCCTTGTCCAATCACCAAGAGTCCAGAGCTTCCACCCCTGCTTAGCCCAATCAGGGACAGAAGCGAGCATAATGAACGCTTCGGATCCCGCGCCAAGGGGGTAGAGCACATAAAAGGTGGTGTAACGGATGTACAGAAGGAAGTAAGGAGGCCACGTAGAGGACGGGACAAGAGAGGGAGGTAGCAGAGAGAGAGCGTAAAACGTGTATCTCGGGACTTCAGTGAGGCACCAAGCAAAAAGCATGGTTGTGTAGAATGGGTTGGTATGGGTCTGATAAGCGCAAAAAAGTCGGTAATAAAGTAATCAGCGTGATGGTTCAAGGCGATACATTGGTGATCGACACTCACACTCTCGACGACACCTGCAACCCCCCAGACCAAAATCAGGCGACTAGCAACTTGCATCCCGGTGGTAACCAAGGGCGATCTCACAAGCCCGAAAAGCGCGTGAACCACTTCGAGCACTGCAAGTGTCTGTACAGGGGCAACCCATCTGAACGTCGCCGCACATGCAGTACGGATACGGGGGTGGAGGGCCTTGGGTATCGAATACAAGAGAGAATCAGCAAGGTAGACAGACGGGGTGTTAGTGTGCGCGTGGGCCATTGTGCGGAGAAAGGGCAGGTTGCGGGAAAGAAGGGAGGGGACCGAAGAAAAAAAGGCGGTGACGGAGGAGATGAGAGATTGAGCCTGTTTGGTGGCAGTGGGCGGGTCAGGTGAGAATAGATGCATGACGAGGAGTCCGAAAACATAAGCCCATCCAAGTGCAGAGAGAACATTGAAGGCAATAAGATATATACGGAGAAGAGGGGAAGGACCTTTTGTCACAATCAGGGGATAGGACTGAAACATATACAAGGCAAGGCTTACCACTGCGCTCCCTTTTCTCCTTCATGTCTTTACCGACGGTGGGGGTCGTGATCGCCATGGCACGTCGTATTAAAGGTTGTGGAAAATTTTTAGCAGACCACTGGATTGTGAAAGTTGGTCTCCTAAGTACTTCAGATGTCCTGTGAATGTTAAAGTTTTGGCCGAGGCTACAACGATAGGCTGGTCCGCACTCACCCTGCTTAACTGTCAAAGGTTGCTCTGGGCCTGCCACTAAAAAGAAGGTTGGAGGACGGAGCAGATGACAAAGACTTTTGGTTACATAAAAATCAGTGAATCAAAGTCAGAGCGGGATTTGATGTTGTCAGCAATGCTCTCTTCCATCACCACCACCACTCTCACTGCTTGTCGTCGTTGTCGTAGCCGTTGTCGCGCAGATGTTCTTTGACGCAGTCTCACGATTCTGCAGGTCACACTCGCTTCACACACGTTCTCATGGGACTAGGATTAACGAGGCCACTACATTTCAAGTCGACCACACAGATAAGCAAATTATGGAAAAATTCTTGCGAAGACTCTTTGTCCTGGTCAGACGAGCCCAGTTTTACATTCACTACTTAAGTTTAATCCTTGGCAACACTATCTTTATTTTCACCTCCTTCTCCTGGACTCTCCTGTTGCTGCTGTTGTTGTCCCACAGTATGTGACGTTGGATTCGACGTTGGATTACCAGCGAGCAGTTGAGCCTGTGCTTGGCCCGCCCCCATCTGTTGGGTCTGACTCAACGCACCCCTTAACGCAGCGTTTTCTATCCTTAACTGATCTACAAGTGCACGACATTCCTCCCATCGCCTATTTGCTTCATCTGCGCTGGCAAGGGCGGCATCAAGTAGCTGCGAGCGTGACTCAAGGGCCTTTACATGTCTGAAGAGGCAAGCATTTAGTGTCAAACAAGTAAAGGCTCGACGGAAGAGAGTGACGCACTGATCCCTTCTTTCTCTGAACGCTCGCTGTGCCTTACGATTCTGTTCTGCTCTTTTGCTTTGGCTCAATGTCCTTCCTCCACCAGCACCTCCCGTCGGTGACACGCTCCCTGGGTGCTGGTGACCTTGTTCTTGCGTAGGTGGAGGGTGAGGGTATTCTGGGCCAGGGGCATATTGATATGTGTGGGGAATGGGGCCGGGATGATGCGGGTGCATGCCAGGGGGAGGGGCGAGGGCGTGGGGGGGAGGGAGAATGTGCTGGAAGCTGGGCGGGATGCCGGGATGTTGTTGTTGGTGTGGGGGCGGAGGCGGTAGCGGGCCGTCGGTGGCGCTCACTGCGGGCGGTGTCTTTCGCTTTCTGGACGGACGCGAAGCTGTACCAGTTGAAGCTGTTCCGGCGTTGGCAGGCATGGCAGAATTGTTGGAGGGGTTGTTAATCGGGGGAGGGTCGTCACGGAGGCGCATTGTCTGCATTGTGGAGGCATGCTGGGTGAGCTGGTCTTGCGACTGCTGTTGGCCGCCTGAGGAAGGCTGCTGGGGTTGTGCCGAGGACGAAGAGGGCTGTTGTTGTTGCTGCGATTGCGAATAGTTGTGAGCCAGCATTTTAGCGGGGGATGGCAAGAGCGCGTTTGAGGGGGCGCGAGTATTAGTAAGATGCGAACAGACTCCCACACGCGGAGATTAGATAATTTATTTTTTGGTTTATTTTTCTTAGGTAAGACCTCGTTCGACGTGCGTCGCTCCTTCACCCTTTTGCTCACACAATCTTACCACAGGGCGACAGACAGCAACAATATATCTGCTATATCATGCCAGCCGATGGATCAAAATCAGTGGAACGGGCTGCATGAGATATTTCTATTATTTTGCACGGAAATTATTCAATTTTAAAGGTATGAGTCATCCGATTAGTCATTCACGTGACCTCCACTCCGGGTTACGAGTCAAGGTGGGTCGGTAGTCGGGTCCTGTAAGTGTGCAACGGTCAATATTTGCATTTCTTCTGTATTTTGGGCGGTTGACATTATCGGGCTTACAATGTTCCTTTTTCGATGCTCCAGAGTAAATGGGTCTACAATTTTATCCACCGGTTTACTATGGTGAAAGACATCCTTCAGCTGATATGCAAGATTGATAGTAGGATGCTACAAGGCCGGGGTCTCCATGTCAGTTCAATTAGCAGTGTAATAACAGAAGCTGGTTTTGACTAATAACCCACCTGCATTGAGTGATGACCTCGTCACTGAGGCCTGGTGAAAAGTTGCTTTGTATAATTAGGTATAGATTTTTATAAATTAATATAACAGTGTGTCAATCTCTATGAAAATTCTTGAATGCATCTGGCAATGTCTGAATATGGGAACTATTGCATTGATTGCAACTTGAGCTGAGTTGGCTCTGCTTCTGTCACATGATAACCATGATAACACAACACACATTGACTAGGTGAGTTGTTTTCCTTTGTTTGTGAGATCATATTACTTCTAACTAATTTACTGCAAGATTTAGATATGTCCTTTTTCTCTCCCAACCACAGCTTGCACCTACTCTATTGGATAATATTTGGACCCTCAGAGCACATCAACATGCATGGGAGAAGGACTGTTTGTCAAAAAAATGCCATAGAAATGTACATACAAAGCTTCTTGTATACCAAACATATGTAAATACCATGTGGAATATAGTAGTAGCCAAAAGGCCGGTTATAATTACAAGATAAGACCTTTGGGTGATGTTCTGAAGTTTGCTTATATGATACAATTTCTACATACTCCTCAACCAGCAGTTTCTCAAGCTCTAGTGTTAATTGACATCAATTAAAGAGCCTAACAATCATATATTCCAAGTAGCTGTAGTTCTGACCTTGCTATATTGTTATAATCTAATCCTAAAACACCTGAAGTAAAAGGGCTTATATCACCACATCTTACCTTATGATTTCTTATATATACCACATGGCTGATCACATTGTCATGCACTGTCAGAACCGTGACATTCGGAGTGATTGGAGTTCGGAGTGCAGAGATGGGGTGGGGAGTGGAACAGAGTACAAGGTTGGGAGTTGACTTAGCTTGTGCGCTAGGCCCTTCTGTGGACCTTGGTTCCTAACTCAACAGAGTGAACAGGTGAGAGTAGAGGATGAAAGGTGGAGTGGGGTAAGGGTCCTTTGGAGAAGGATCAGAAAACTTAGGAGCTGACTTTAATAAAGATGGGAGGAATCTAGTTGATATTCGAACTGCAGGAACAGAGTGTAACAACCAAGAGTTTGTTACTCTGGCACACAACTCAGACAAGCTATAGAGAGAATGATGAGGGAGTGGTTACCCTTTAGGCTTCAACAAATTAGTTGTGAGGATACAACAGGAGGACTCAGTGAGGAGTCTCCTGGATCTATTGAAGTATATAAACTACTACAGGTTGTTTGTACATATTGTACTATACAGATGATAAAGCAGTGGCTGATGATGTCAGAGGGCGCAGCCCGTGTGACCAGCTCCACTGTGTGAGAGACTTGTAGCTAGAATAAGAATAAAGGCAGTGTAGCGCAATGTCATGCACCAAAGTTGATTGGTAGCATGGACAGGTGTCAATAACAAAGCAAATATTCAAAAAGACTCGCCTTTGCGCCACACAGGCACAGTGCCACGTGGAATAGTAATTAATATTGCCTGTTTTGAACTTGTGGCTGATCAGCACCACCTCTATTAGGCAATCCAGTCACGCTCACCTTTGCTTTTCCATTCGGTACTTTCCGCATTTCGGCATTTCAGCAAATTTTCGCGTTGCCACTGGCTACACGTTGCATTGCGCCCTCGCTTTTGTCGTTTCCCTTACTCCCCTTCCTTTGCCTAGCCCCACCATGGGCCCCTTCCTCTCCTTTTTATTCTCACCTGACAGTTGTTTCTGGATCCCCATTCTAATCCACTTTTTCACCACCTCCACCCTCCTCCTCATCTTATTTGCACCCCCACCATTTCTGATGTCACCACTTCCTATCCGCTTCCGTCGCCGATCCGTTGACTACCACGTGCCACTGCTGATATCAGCAAAGCCCCGGTGGCCGGTTCAAATAGGGCAACAGGTCCATCTTTATGACGTCGATCTACCATCATATACTATCAAAACATCGGTCGCTCGTCTTGCCTGGTTGGAGCGTGGGTGGGTAATTTTTGAGCTGGAGAAGGTTCATCCCCTTGCGTCGCCCATGTTCATCGCTGTCCCATTCACTTGGGTACACTTATCTTTCATCCATTGTCTTCGCTACAGCTACACCTACCACACGCTGCCTGGGACTCACTTGTTCCAAATTGGAACTACTCCTCTCCCTCCCTCGTTTGATCAGGTGGTCCAACACAACCAGTCCATTGGTAAGGCCATGGAACTGTCGGATTTGGACTAGGTGGTGGACCGGTGGCTCCAGTTTCTTTTTCTTCAGCAGAACATTCATTTACAGTGCAATTATTTTTGATTTTTGAATCATTTTTCATGGACACTCATTTTTTAGGATGCCTGACTGACAATAAAGGAACTGTGTTGATACTGATATTGTTTTTCTTTATCCTCTTTTTACTGCATCTTCCCATGACTTTATGATTTTCTTGCTTTTTTTTCTGTTTTTGGACTTTATTTTATGGCTGTACAAACCTGTGACATTACTTACACAGGATTTATTGTTCTATCTCTTTCTTTTCCTTATTTTGACCATCTTATCCTGTACTACCTATGCAGGATTTGTCAGCATACATTCTTTCCTTCATGTTCTTTCTCATTCTTTTTGCACAGCTATACTGTGCATAGCCTCCCTTTCTTTTACTGTATAAATCCCTGTATTTTACCTTGTAAAAACAACAAGAACTCAAATCCAGACTTCTTCTCTAAATCTCAAGTTCACTACTCTGCTACTTGTGATCCAGTGTGGTCACAACACTTCCCACTGTTACTACTGTTAACTGCTGTCATCGTCACTTGTCACTTTTGAAAGTGATTGTCATCCCTTTCGATTAGAGTCCTTCTGAGCACTACAGTTTGTGCGTCAGGAGCCTGCTATCACTGGGAACCTTGTTATCTTGTCATTCTCAAACCTACCTTGTGCTAAGATTAGCAATGTAGTGCTCATCCTATATTCATCTCAAAAAGCCCCTATCTTCTATAGTTCAACTATCCCTCCTCCTCAAAACCCACACCCATAATCTCTGGGTTTTACTTTGAAGGATTGTCATACATACCACCCCACAAACAACCAGAGCACCCACTGTTCTAGGAGGCTAAGCCCATAAACAAGTTCTGTGGAATCTGGGAGGATTGTGTGTTAGTTTGTTTTGTGTGTGGTTTTCTAACAACAGTTCTCATCATCGACATCGCCATCGCATACCAGCTTTCACAAATACTCATTAAATCATTTGGCATTTCTTCTTATTTTCTCTCCAACTCACAAGCATGTACTCTCCTCACACATTTTTTCTTGTCCACATCCCGTACACTTCTTGCTCAAATGAAAATATTGAGACCTCTTCGATTTATTTTCATATTCAACAATTTAAAATCACCAGCTCAGTTTGGGTGGTGTCGGGTTCTTTCCTACAAAAAGCACTCGACTGTGAGGAATCAATTTTTCTTATCGCATTCCCGCCATGTCGTGGTTAACAGACTCAATCCCTGTCACTCCTCTTGCCCTTGGACTAGAGATCACAGCCAGTGTCTTATTACTTTTATCCTTTTTCTTCTTATTCTCTATTCACACTCACGTCCTATCGTACTTACAACAAAGGAGACTTGTTGTAGACCCTCGAGAAGATATCCAAATGACATAGCAACGATCCAGTGCTATGTCTGGGAATACTTCGGAGGGATATTGATAAGCGAAGAAGGTTGTGAGTCAGCGCCTTCTCATGGGCTTACTGATACAACCAATCACACACCCCTTGCCAATACATTTTCTCATACGATTAGTAAATACGATAGATCGGACCACTTTCTCCTTCTTTTCCTATTGGTTAGTCAGTTGGTCAGACCACTTTCTTAATTCTTCCCTTTCTCAGTCTGACCCTCGCCGTTCACTATATAAAGAAGTACATACTCGATGTATTATTCTTTAGTTCAATATTAGTTTGGATTTGCGCCTATACCGATGCTCTTCAAAACTCTCATACCCTGATTCATTGCCTTCCAGCAAGGACTTGACCAGGCATTGTATTTTGTTATATAGCTTCGTATTCGTTGCCTGACATCGATGGTATGGAGCTGTGCTCTACCATGGTTAGGTCTCATTCTTTTTCCAAAATCACCCTCCTTGTTGAGTCCTAGCTATGACATGCTCCGAAGGTCTGTGTCTTTCGAATTTCCCCCTTCTCTCCCCTCTCGTTTTCCCGAAATTCGATACACGTGTTTTCGATGACTCAGCGTCACGTGACCATCATCACGAAAACCTAGACCTTCCCCACCAAACCACGAAATATACTGTCGTATGACAAATATTTAGTGTTTTCTCTTCTAGCATTTCATGGAAAAATAAATATATTTATCTAACTAATAATAAATATACATATTTTTCCATATCTTACATCTTAGTACAGCGAACTACAAGCCCGCGTGAAAACATTTGTTTGACGCTGAAAGGCTAGGCCCGAACCGAACGCTAGTGAAAGTCTAGTCAAGGACATGTGCACACAAATAGCCGGGTACCGCCACAACAGAGGGGAGGCACAACGTGAGATTATCTTGCCAGTATCTTGAAGATTATATGACCATGTTGCATGCTATCATCTTAGCAATGCGTGATGACAGAGGAGGCCTAACCACGCTGCATGGTGCTCAGGACGGTTTTGTTGCTCTTTATCACGTTTAATGGTTACGAACACTGTAATTTAGCGCATATATCCAACCACCATTACTGTTTTTACGCGCACACAGTGAGGACATGAGAATATGATATGCGTGGAGGCCACCTCCTGGCATCTGGTGGTTCGTGTTCACCACGAGGCCGATGGGAAGCGTTGTGACATCGTGTATGTATGCGCTTTGAAATGAGCGCTGGAACTGTCACTCGCCATGCGCTTGAAATATAGGCTAGCAAGACGTCGTTGATAAATGACTGGATCTGTGATTCAACGCAGAGGTCTTACCGAGTCGTATACTGCAATTCAAAAACCGGTTTTCGACGTGACGGATCAAGACGTCCAAAGTAAGATATAACCTAAACAGGGAAAGTGTCCTAAAGTCCGTACTTTTCGCGGACGAAGGTTGGAGTATGAGAACCGGAGAAGTGAAGGCGCGAAGAGACGCCGGTAGCCATTAAAGGTAATGAAGTTTTTCAAGACTCGGTACCTTGGAACGTGCTTGTTTGCGGGTTCGTGGTGAACACGAGTATAGTGGTAAGGCTGAGAGCTGGAGCAGAGACGAGTTTTCATGATGGACGTAAGAGATGAGACTCGAATGGGGAATAAGACGCGCTCTTAATCGGCTTTGAGCATCGATGCAGAGAGAGAAGCTGTGCATTGTCCATTTGCTTAGTCACATGGAGTACTTGCCGGCGTCGAGGGCTGAGGAAATGAGCAAAGAGTCGTGTCTAGTCACGCCGCGCCAGCGTGTGTTGGATAGGAAAAGGAGGACATGGTGTACAACACGGGGAGAAGTGTCTGTGTGTACGGCGGGGTCGGGGTCGGGGTCGGGGTCGGGATGGGGTGGGCGCTGTGTGAGACAGGGGCGCGAGCACATCGACTGGGTGTGTGAATGTAGAATAAAGTATGGTGGTCGCTGTTGGGGACGACGAGGAGGGGGTGTGGGGGGGAGCGTGTGAAAGTGCTGTAACCTCGTGTTGTTGACGTGTGTTGATGTGGTTCTGGTGGACTGTCGCCCGTCGAGTCGCCTTCCTTCTCTCTTTCTCTTATAATTTCCGAATACCCTCTAAAATACCCTTGTCTTTTCTGACTCCTCACTCCCATCTCTTGCATGTCGTCCCACCCCGACTCTCCTCCTCCCCCTCCCCCAGACATCGACAAGGCAAAACCACACCCATCCCCGCCCACAACGTCCCCCACCAACGGTTCTCTCCAAAACGGCTCTGGCGGGCTGGCCCCGCAACAGCTCTCCTCCTCGCCATCCGCATCGTCCTCAGCCCACTCCAGGACTGAGAATCCGTCGGGCAGCACCGTCTCAGACGACAAGGAGAAGGAAAAACTCGTCGACAAGGATAAGGACAAGGGATCGCTTACCACAACGCTCAACACATCGAACACGCACCCCAACACCACAAACACAACGTCTTCCTCATCCTCCAATTCCAATCCTGCCCAACCTGCAAAGCCGAGAACCCGTCGTTTTTCACGACGCAACAAACCCGCGTCTTCGGTAGAAAAATCGGCCACCTCATCGTCTGCGCCCGCAAAGCCTACAACTCTTGCAACCCCCGCAACGTCTAAATCATCAAAATCAAGTGTTCGCTCTAACTCCAGACCAATTCCTTCCGCTCCTAAATCGTCCTTCCTTTCTAAACTTGTACGTAAACTCGTACCATGTGTTGGTCCGAGCGCATCCCACCCCATCGATGCTCTCCGTCCTCCAGCCACTGTTGGAGCCGCCGCAGGAACATCTAATGATGTAGATGCTTCCAGCGCAGTCTCGGGGCCTACACTCGATGATCTCAGCGCAGCCGAGAAAGAGAAAATGGCACAGGACCCCGTAGACAAGCCGTCTCAGGACAAGGAGCTTGAAAGCAAGGAAAAAGATAACGAGAAGGCAAGTGTGCACGAAGGTCAAAGCACTCCCGCAGTCATCGTCATCCCTCCCGCACCCACCGCTCCCCCTCCTTCTGCTGATGTCCTTCTTCCACCAACACCTACCAAAGCCATCCTCCCGTCATCCGAAACGGGGGGTGTACTAAGCGGAGCCGTTCAAGCTCCAGGATCAACTGGATCTGATATATTCTCAGCTTCACCTTCCTCTTCTACCGGAACAGGGGCAGCCCGGAGACACTCGCACGCAACCGGTAGTGAAACAGACACAAGCTACACCGATGACGAGGGTACAGGCGGTGGAGAAGATGGCGGTGAAGAAGGCGCCGAGGGCGATGGAGAGGGTGGGGAAGAGGGCATGGACGAGGACGATGAGGATATGCTCATTATGAGTGGCGGAGCTGGCATTCCTATAGGACCTGTGAGTGTTCCGTCTTCTACTGTATCTATATTTCGTTTCGAGTGCTGATTACCGTGATTCATACGTCAGGACGGTGTTCCTCGCCCACTCCTTCCACCTATCGCGCCACAGCATGCTGGTCGTAAGTGTCTCGTGCTTGATTTGGATGAGACCCTAGTGCATAGCAGTTTCAAGGTACGTTCTCACAGCTTCTCGTCGCGTATCGTGTGTGCTCAGGGTTTCTCTCGAAATCTAGTCCATCCAGCATGCTGACTACGTTGTGCCTGTCGAAATCGAGTATCACTGGCACAATGTCTATGTTATCAAACGTCCAGGGGTTGATAACTTTTTGAAGAAGATGGGAGAGCTGTATGAAGTAGTGGTGTTCACAGCAAGCTTGAGTAAGGTCAGTCAAAATGCACTCATTAACTATGCAACGTAGATCGAGATATAGAATGCTGAGATCTACCTCACAGTACGCTGACCCTGTACTGGATAAACTCGACATACATCAGGTGGTGACGCACAGATTATTCCGAGAGAGCTGTTATAACCATAAGGGAAACTATGTCAAGGTACGTTAGCACTTTCACGTTCTTTCGATACGTATATCCTGCGTTATCTTCATATCTCCAATGTAATCATGTTATCTGATGGTTTCCCTCTTGCAGGATCTTTCTCAACTCGGCCGACCCATAGCCGATACCATCATCCTCGACAATTCTCCTGCTTCGTATATTTTCCACCCTAACAATGCTGTCCCCGTCTCGTCTTGGTTCAACGACCCTCATGATACGGAGTTGACGGACCTGTGTCCGTTCCTTGCTGATCTCGGTGGAGTAGGAGATGTCAGAGGAGTTTTGGATGGGGGTATGTAAGTGCGAGAAGCGCCGGAGGAGTGGGTTGGGGCGAAGGTTTTTGGGAAGGAAGGGATGGATAGAGGAGTAGAGTGAAGGAAATTACGATGACGGGATATGCAGAGCTACACATCTGCGTGACAATGTATGCTTATATCCGTCTCGTTTGTTTCCGAATCATCTCTGACTTTGCTCCTCTGCTTATTCGCCTGTCCACGATCACTATGATGTCAATATCACGACCAATGATTACACGATTTTATTATCATACTCGGATCTGTTTGGCCAAAGTTTAGGAGATGGTTCCGGGCGTTGGTGTCATCCTCTTTTCTTATCATGCGCTTATCTTTACACAAGGCATCCTCAATTCACACTTTCTTCCAAACACTTTCTCTCACCATCTCGGTATTCTGGTATCCCTCTCGCCTCCGTCATCGTCGTGGTTTCCTTTCTCTCGGATGGAATGTATATATGTTAGTCCGGTTTTGGTCATACCTTCGCTATTGGTTCTCGTCTTCGCATCTTGGTCACATCCTTATACTGGCCCTGCCGTCATTGTGTTCCTTGTAATGGCCGGCCGTGTTGTCGCTCCATATACCCTCGCGCAATTCAGCAAGCGAAAATCAAATTCTTAGTCAGTCTTCCAATCTCACTCGTTCGCATCTTTATTTTTTTTTGTTCCTCGCTTTCTGGGTCGCTGGATTATTTTATGCTTTCTCTGTTGTTAGCTTTTATCTTTGAATATGTGGACGCTTCGGATGACTGGTAGGACTGGTGTTTATAGGTCGTTGATGGGTTTACTGCGGCCATGACATTTTTTTCCCTCCCCAAGACGGTTATAGCTTCATTGATTATTTTTTCTATTGCTTTATTGTTTTCTTGTTCGACTTTTCATATTGTCGCATCTTTCATTGTCGTTTTCTCCCTCTTCGTTATTGAACAACCCCCTACCCTCTCGCATTCCACCACGATACCTATACTACACACTAATTAATTTCTTTCAATGCAACTAAGCATGCCTTAATCGCTTTCTTATTGCAATTACTTCCCTGACTGCTTGGAAGATGTGCTTTTCATCTTTACCACCACGATTTTCCGCTATTCGATATCTTCCGATTTTGCAATGAAGAAATATCGAACAGCTTCTCATTTTCGCGCTCTTGGTTCAATATGCTGTTGAATCCACGTCCCAGAAAGCGTTATCCTTCACGTTTTTGTTTTAATACGATACCCCTTCAACTGTCCAGTAATGCTGATTTTCACCGCTTGTCGGCTTTCACTAACAGGAACTCAACGTTCTGCCACCTTTCCCCTCAACACCATCCATTTCACTGTCATCAGCTTGTTTCGCACATATCGCCCAACTAACGCAACACAACCCCTCCATTCTCAACTCGTATTTGTCTCGAATTAAGTATGCAGGTCTCAAGGATGTAGTGGCTTTTTCTCGCTTCCTTTAACTCTCATTTCTTGGTTTAATCTATTCTCGCCCCATTTTGTGACGATGTCTAGGTCTGTTCGTAGTGAAATTCGATTTCTCACCTCTTTCCTCCTTTTTTTGTTCCCTCCCCCATCATCCCTGCCGTCGTCTTTGCGCTCGATTTCTTATTTGCCTTATGCATGCCCCTCATGACCGTTCACGAAAATGTCTCTGACCCTTCTCATATATCGAACACTATTCTCGACTTTCTGCTCAAAAGTTCTACGCACATGCATACAACTCACATACAGATACAAAGCAACAAGTCCACACTCCTTTTCCTTCAAGTTTTTCTCTCCCCATTTTCCATCCTCCTTTTTCTTTTTATCACCCTCTAGTTTCCCGTTTCGTTTTGCTATTTCTTCTTTCATTCACGTATAGGACGCCAGGTCCTTTTTTTTTTTCTTTTTATCCATATAAAACCTCCTACGTCCTATCACTGTTACGTACAATAAAAAATCTCAGCGTGACTATCTACAGTCCAATATATATACCCATACACAGTGAGGCAGTCTGGTTTTCATCCTTGATATCTTCAGAGCACCGGGAGCAAAATGATGCCTTTCCAATCTGCATTTGCGACTTTTGACGTTGCAAAAGGTCGATTACTTATGCGATAAGTTGAGATCCTACGCGTTAGCCATAGAACTAAGGCCAAACTAGAGCCCGCTCACTTTACGAACCTTGAACGACAAGTATATATAAATGACTGAGATCATTCTTCTGACGAAGATCGTACACATACAAGATACCATAATCAGAGATACCAACATTCGACTACTACGACTTCCGAGAAAGTCTACATATTCATATTTATTTATCCAAGTAAAACTAATCAAAACTACACAAGGAGCAACAGGATACAAGATAATAGTGAAATCAAATCCAACTCAATCATCTCCAACAAGAAACTAATCAAAAATGGTTGGCGGTATAGCGTGTAGAATAGATATCTACGTAAAGATTAGACCTTATATCCAAGCGTTATTATAGCCCCATAGCGGTGGCGATAGATGGTGCGACCGATCCATGTCTTTGGCGTTCCCATAATTTATCTTTGGCACGGATCTCGATATTCTCAAACGGCGCTGACTGTGACAACTTCACACAATCTCGTGTACCGAGCACGAGTAGTTCGAAGAAGAAAGATGCTGCCGCTCGCCGCGATGCCTGGCACAAACACCATCAGTTTAATCACTATTAGCATCATAAAGATGAACAAACCTTATCGGACATCTGACGGAAACTCATCATTGGCTCCTCGCCCTCGCCTTCAGGTTGCAGCTCCTTTCGAAGGATCCCCAATGCCTTCACGGTATTCTTACTGTAACCTCCTCCTTCTCCATCTGCGGGCTCAACCTCTCGCTCCTGCGTTTGGGTCTGTGATGGCCGTACATCGAAAGAGGCAATAGGACACGCCAGATCGGCGTAGGTTTCCTCACCTTCCTCGCCTTCGACTGCAGGAGTAGAAAGCCGACTAAGTTCAGTAAGTGGCGAGGACCTGGATCGTCTAGATATCACGTCCAATTGATCCTGTGCTGCGGGGAATTCTCCTCCGACGTCCATCTGGAAGTCATCTATCACCGGTGCACCTGCATCTCCGAAATCGAAACCACTGTCAGGGGCCGCACTTCCAGGTCTGCCAAAGGCTTCGCTGCCCACAGCAATGCTAGGCGCTATGCTAGCGTCGCGCCGGGCCTGTTCGACAGCTTCCTCTTCGTGAACACTTTCTTCAACCCGAGGTCTTTTGCGCGGACTTCTTTCTCCTGGAGGTCCGCGTCGTTTTGGTGCTATGGCATTTTGGAGTGGTCGCATAAATAGCTCATTCAGCTCTGGCGCTAACCCTGGGGGGCCTGCACAGAAGTAGGTCCCGTCAGGCATAACTTTCGTGGGTAGGAAGTGCGCAAGGGGGTCATCGCGAATTTCAAGGAGCCGCATGACCATTGACGACCGCGGGAGAAAATGTTGTTCCGTCAGAATGTCACTGACGTCTTTCGTTATGGGTGCACCAAGTCCACCGTGGCGACCGCGGCCAATGTTTGCTCCAGGACCATCTGCGAGCTCGGTGACGGAATCTATAATCTGTTTCTTATCTTTGGCTTTACGTTTTGCTTTGGCGGCTGCTTCTTCCTGGGCAGCGGCTTGCGCAGCTGCGTGGGGAGTGAGGTTTACGCCGGGGGGAGGCGTCTGTGGTGGTTCCGTGAGAGGGGATGCTACCGTGTTTTGAACGTTTAGCAGCATTGAGGATATACTATCAAGATGACTTACACATGCGTGAGAGAGACCTTGTTTGACCCGGTGTCTTTTCACGTTCGCTAGGAGGACGATCACCGAAGTCCACACCGAGATCAATCTCCATAGCACCAATATCAGGTCCAAAACCTGGATCGACGTCCATTTCGGCGCCAAAAGGGTGCTCAGAAAGCTCTCTACTCCTCTGAGAAATAATGTCCAATTCGTCGATACCGGCTCGTCCCATTAGATGTGAATCAAGCGATTCTCTGAAACTTCGGGGGGTTGGTGCGTCACGTCCAACTTCGACACTCATATTGTCGTTTCCACCAGAGACACTAACAGGGCCGTCACCGAAATCGAGCCCGAGGTCGAGTTCCGCATAGTCCTGCGAGCCTATTCCGTCTGAAGGGCCTAGATCAAACCCATACCCTGGGTCGTCGAGATCAAACTGGAAGTCATCAGCAGTTGCAAGTGTAATGTCTGCCTGCCTTGCTACGTGGTGACCCTGAGGGGCATCTAACGGACGGTCTTCGAAGTCGATGTCCCTATAATAGAACATTTATAAATGGGCTGATATTGATTTTCGGACTTGACTTGCCAGTTAATGTCAGGGAGAAGTGCGTCAAGATCAAATCCACCACTTTGCAATGTGATTGCATTACGGTTGACCGCTAGTTGGTCCTCTGTCATGTCGACTATGCCTGGACGGAAAGCCTAAGACAAAGTAGTATGATTGGCCATTCCTGCAGCTGAACAAAGTGGTCTTACTATTTTTATCTTCAGCAATGCTTCATTACAGTCGTCCAAGAGATATTTGGCTTTGCGGCTGTAGATTCGAACGACTCCAAGGAGTAACTGCCCGCTCAATCTCAGGGCCATAACTTCAACCTCCTGCCCCATTATTGCGTCTATTACACGGTAAACGTACATTTGCATGATACTTTGACCTAACTCACCAGCAGCCTGTTCAATATCGGTCTGTAATGTCTGTGTTTTGGAGAGTTTCCGTTCCATGTGGGCGGCGAGCCATACTTTTGCCAATGGCCCGCGCCTAGATAAAATAGCTTCTGAATAAAACTAAAGAAAATGCCTCAGGAATGTTTGAAAGGTATATTCGTGAGTCTTACACGTACCATTTTACCAAGAAATACAAGAGAGGTAGCAGCGCGTCGGTCACGGTTGTGGCACGGCGACAGGAGCGTGTCCCGGACCAGTGGAAGTAAAACAGGCGGCGATGGTGGCAGTGCTATGGACGCGCAGAGACACTTGTTGCGCTTTGTTTGTCCTTTGTCCTTTTCCGCCACTGTTCTTTTCTGGCTGGTCCGCTCGCGTTGGTGAGCTCAAAATGCTGGCTTCCTCCTCGCGCATTTCCCTCAAGCGAGTCACAGGAGGTCTGCGCTCGTCGCCAGTGCATATAAATGGCGCTGAAAATGTTTCACGCGTATTGAGTGAGTCTTGTCGAAAAAACCACCACAAAATAGGTTCACAACTTTCTGCAGGTCATGCTCAGCATAGACATTCCTCTACTGCGTCTTTGCAGCCCGCACCCCCACCATCTGCATCAACGCGGCTGCGACACAAGCCATGGGGCTTTACACCCGACACCAATTACCAAGGTACACAGAGGAGAAGTGCGATTGCTCGGTGTCAGAGTGAAATGGCCCGTCTGGGAGAAATGGGACGGTTTGCCGATTGCCTAAGGCTCTGCAAGTCGATGAAGAATCAAAATATACAACCGACGTTACTGATATATAACTCTATGCTTGCCGCCGGGTCTAGGGATGGTTTCATCACGGAGGCGTGGGGTATTTTTGAGGATATGATATCCATGGGCATTCAGCCAGATAGACAGTCATTCCACCATCTCATTCATGTAAAAGAATCACATTTATCTGAAGTTGTCGCGTGGTTATTCATTTATTTATTTCCACAGGCATCGAGGCATCAGCCTTCACAGTATATGTGGGATGTCCTACATAAAATGGAGGGAATGGATATTTCACCCAACGAGCACACGTATGGGCTCATAATCGAGCGGTTTACAGCAGCTAGCCAACTTGAGCTTGCATTGCAGTTTATGAACGAGATGGGCAATCGTGGATTCCCTCCTGAGCTACCTACCGCTCAAAGCATGATTAAACTCGCTGCACAACAAAGCTTCCCAAGGCTTGCATTAGATCTCGCTGAAAACTTTGAGGCAACTTCTGTTCGAAGATTGGATACTGAGACGTGGATGACTTGCTTACATTCCTCATCGGAAGTATTATATGTAAGCCTTCTATACTTCTTCAATAAGGTTCAACTGATTTAGCTATCCAAAGGCTGAAGGTGTCTTGCGATGTTGGCAGAAACTTGTTCAAGAACTGAAAGTTGTACCTGGCGAAGGTGCTTGCCTTGAAGTTTTACAAACGGCCGGCCGTCACGGGCTTCCAGACCTTGCCACCGATGTCATTCGTGTGCTCAGGATGATGGGAGTCGAGTGGCAAGAATGGCATTTTGCACCATTAATCGAGTCGTTTTGCAAAGTCCAAAAACTCAAGGAAGCGTTTGGCACGCTCGATATTATGCGCAGCAATGGGATTCATCCTGTAGCGGAAACGACTCAGCCCATTTTCAAAGCGATTGCCAAAGATATCGACAATGTCGATGGCGCATGGGAAATTCTGGACGAGCTACGCAACGAAGGGAAGGTGATTGATGCCACAGCCATCAATACTGTAATCCAAGCTGCCATCTCCCTCGGCGATCTGCAGCGTGCAGTGGGAGCATACAAGGCCTTTCCAGACTATGGTAGTAAACCAAATATCGAGACCTTCAACTTACTCCTTTCTGGGTGTATCGCAGCGAGCCATCGCGAACTTGGCAACAGGCTTCTCCTCGAGCTCAAGGAAGCATCCATCAAACCTGATGCGCGGACATACGAGCGGATTATCATTCTATGCTTGACACAGGCAAGCTACGAGGATGCATTCTTCTACCTCGAGGAAATGAAGGCGCAAAAATTCCTACCCCCTATCTCTGTCTATGACTCCATTATCCGAACATGTGTCGCTAATGGGGATGCACGATATTCGCTAGCGTTAGACGAGATGAAGCAGTGCGGTTACGAAGTTTCTAGGGACCTACAACGCTTTATCTCTTCAGGTGGCAAGTCAAATGCAGATATAATTCGCCAGGCTCGTAGGGAAGGGCAGCAGCAGAGTAGTTCGTGATCGTCCGTCGGAATCTCCATCATGCCCACTTTATAGAAGTTGCGCTTGGGGCGGATTCATGCGTGCTTCCACTTAAAATCGATATCATCCATTTATATATTAGAATCTAATATCTTGGGCCGTGGCCCCATCCTATCCCCACTCATTCAAATACTACTTTGAGCAAAACCATGACTTTATGTCGTCAAGGTCGGGACGTTCCTCCATTCTTTATTTTGACAGCACTGGAATAAAGCGCGCGAAATGGCCTCTCGATCACTGACTAGGACACCATCCTTTCTCAGCTCTGACATCTTGTGACGGCAGGTTCCGCATCTAGGTTGACACCATGGTACGCCTCGATCGATGAATGTCCATTTCGAGTACGTTCACTTAACTTTTTAGCTATCTCCTCCCGTTCTTATCCTCCCCTGTTTCCCGGTGTCAACGGGAATATGCCACTCCATCCCCCCAAGTCACCCCACTAATCCCATTCCCTCCCGGCAGTCATATGCAGACGTGCCTGAAATCGACGTGCCCGAGTCGTCCGCTAGGCAATTACGCCCGGTCAGCGTTAGGCACCAAATCGTAAAATCATGGTCATGCGTGTCCAAACGGTGTTGCTCAATCGCCCAAAATACTCCAGTGTACATTATAAGAGGGCTATAGTTATAAACACCTTGCATGATTCATGCGTGGTCTAAGATATATAATCACTCATCCACCTAATAATAAGAGCCCCCTCAAATATACACCAACCATCATCCCTAAGGCTGCTGTGCTTTCCAGTTTAGTGTCCACACTGACCCGTCGGAACCCTCAAGTGCATTGGCTTCTCACCACCAGCTTTCATCGTAAAAAATCGTTCGGTTCATAATCATTCAATTGTTGGATTGTACTATATATATGGCAAAAAGCAGCCCAGTACTCGACCGGTGAGCCAGGTAGCACTTCCTTCACACCCCCTCTCCCCCCACTCTCCCCGTCCATCCTCTTTCTTGAGAGATACAGCACAATAAAGAAAATATTACAGCCATCCAAAGAGATGTTTGCTGATCTATCGCCGTTGTCATAGAACCTCAACACCTCGACGTACACACGTTTACACCAGGCCTCCCCCCCCTTTCAAAATCGGCGAAGACACGACCAACACACTTTACTTCCTCTTCTCCAAACTCCCCTCAGAAGAATCATCCTCCTCGTCGTCCCATGGACTAAAGTTCGTCTTTTGCATCATCGGCAGAGCCTGCAACCACGACGGAAGCACCCCCCTCCCAAAGTCACCACTAGGCATCGGCGGGACAACAACCGCTCCACCGGATCGAGCGTGCGAATGTGCATTCACAAGCCCGTTCGAAATGCCCGTGCTGGAGCCCAGAGCATGTGAATGAGACTGAGACTGTGCCGGAGCATGAACAAGCACAGGTGAGGAGGGTATGCTCCCCACATCGCTCAAGCTTGGCAGTCTCTCCAAACTGGTGTTGGTCGATCCTCCCAGTGCGCGGTGCAAAACCTCGCGCTCAGCCGGTGAAGGCGCAAACGCACGCAGGAGCGAGCTCGGCGTCGAAGAAGACGACGTGGTCGATATCAAACCAGTCGGGTTCAGGACATCGTATGACAAAGGTGGACTCTTGGCGGCTATCGCCATCGCAGGCGGTAACTGGTCGGAAATCTTCCTCCTAGGCAGCCGAAAGACCTTCGCATCAGGATTGAGTCCCTTCTTTGGCTTTTCCTTTGTCGTGAACCATCTTCGGGGAACAGATTCGGCTGCTCTGCTATCCGGACTCATATCCTGACCACGGGACGCAGTCACGGTAGGATCAGAGTGAGCACGATAAGGGACGCCCATGAGGGGGGCGTGCTCTTGCTCGTGCGAAGATGCGCACACGATGAAATGATCGCGGTCTGATTCCTGCTCGTGATCATATTCGCTGAATGCTGACGAGGGACCAGTGATAGAAACGGGGGACGAGGTATACGTGCCGCCTCCAGCATACTCATCTTGTGCACCCAGCCTCAACGAACGCCAATTACGATCCATGATCGCATCACTCTCCGATTGGAAGGAACGCGAGACGACACCCGTGTTTGGTTCACTGGTAGAGTCCATAACACTGATGAGACTGCTCTGGATAAAATTGGACGACATGGGTGAGATGCCAGGCGCGTGAGCAGGAAGACCAGGGCCGAGGCTGTCTGAATCTTCAAATGGAGAAAACGTCGGGCGAGTGTGAGCAGGTGCGTTTACCTGAGGCTGATGGCGTCCGGTTGGCCGAGTAGACAGTTGCGATCCATGCGAATGAGCAAAAGAGGCAATGTCTTCATCGAAGATGGTATATCCCTTGGCGCGACGTTCCGTAAATCCTTGAACAGTGTCTTCAAGTGTCTTCGGACTGAAATTTGATAGTGCACCAAGGGAAAGATGCATAGGACGTGGTGAACGCGATAAATCACCAGAGTGCGTAACATCCTTCGACTCTATAGCAGTACCATTGTGTTCCAGTCCCTTTGAGGATGTCACCTCCGTGCGCTCTGCAGGTGCATCGGAAGACAAGTCGAACGGATTGTACGATGTAGAAGACCATGAACCCAAGTCATTGTGAGCCGAATTATTCAGAGAATGAAGCGATCGCTCCCGCTTTCGACTATCCGCTCTCTCCTTCATTTCTTTGAACCTCTCCCTCTGCCCCGCTATTCTCTCTTCCAGCTCTCTTGCACGGGAACTCAACGCAGCAATTACATCCTCCGCTACTTTAATTTCCCTCTTCTTTTCTTCGAGCACTTCCCCAATTTCCCTCTCCTGCCCCTCCGCTTCCTCCTTCACCTCAGCAACAGTCACACGATCACTCTTAATAGTATCACACAGACGCTCAATCTCCACACCAAGCTGCTCCACCCGCTTGATCGCTCCTTCTCTTGCGCCACGGGCAGCTTTCAGTCTCTTCTCAGCATCACGGCGAGCGGCCTCCGCCCCACGACGTGCATCATCAAGCGAACGAGTGCGGGCTTTGATATCCACACGGCTGGCATCTTCACTCCGCTTGCGTTCACGCAGCATATCCACTTCACCTTGGAGCACAGCACGGGACTGCGCTGCACCGGCATGTGCTTCACCAAGCTGTGATTGCAATTCGGTCACAGTACCTTTGGCCACAGCAATTTGGCGCAGAACCTCGGCAATAATTGGGGAATGATCAAGGTGAGCATGACTCGAGCTGCGAGATATAGCAATGGGGGCAGGAAGTCCGAGACGTGCGTGATCAGCGGCACAAAGGGTTGGCTGAGAATGAGAGGGAGCGTGACCTAAAGATACAGGTTGCTTGGTGCTGTCTGGCTGTCGATGATCGGTATGCAAAGGAAGAGAGACGGATTTGGGAAGAGGTGGTGGTGTCGAGTTTCGTCGGGGAAATATACCGACTCGTTGAGAAGACCGTTCGCGATTACGCAGTTTGGGTGGTGATCCGCGAAGAGAGACACGGGGAGTGGATGTTGATTTGACGAATGGAAGACCTGGAGGCAAAGTATTCGAAACATGCCCTGCTAGAGAAAATACAGCTTATTGGCAGACTTACGATTGCAGTCATTGAGTTTATCTAGTGCTTTGAACCCAAGAATTCCAGAACTCCAGCCTTCCGCATCTTTAGATCTGATTATCGCATCACGATACCAAGATTCAATTAGACCACCTCTCCACCACCGACCAAATGCGCCGATATACCAAGAATCCGAGACAACTGATCCGTCCTGATCGATGTGAGATGTGTGAGAGCTGTTCCTACCTGCGGGAGGAGAAGAGGCAGCGCCGTGAGTTGTAGCGATTGTGCATATACCAAAGCTGTGAAAGACATGTTTGGGAGTGCGTAGTGAGACAGAAGCACGGTTTGCAAAGTGGAAAGGCAGTGTTGTACGCTCCTGGGAGGAGATATTTGAGATCAGTGAGCGACGGTTTGAGGATGATTGTGTAGAGTCAGAGTCTTCGACATCGTCGGTTGCATCATCGAGACGACTGAGATGGTGTCGAAAGGACTGTTCTGTGAGGTAAGCACGGAAGGTAGTCTCTGATGGGTTAGTGAGGTAGGCTGATGTGTTATCGATGAGCATGCGAACGCCACGTTGTGAAAGATGAAAGATTACGCACCGAGGATGAAGAGAACGGCGAGGAATACAAGAAGACATGCGAAAGACCTTATTTCCGACTTTGTCTGGAGGGACCATGAGAAGAAGGGGTTGTTGAGAGACAAGATGCCCAGAGCACCAAAAGAGAGGCTCATGGACAGAATGAAAGAAGGGAACAAGGAGGAAGAGAAGGACGGAGAAGACGATGGGGACGATGGCAGTGCTGTTCGGGCGGTGGACAGTGTTGCGAAGGTCGGCGCTGTCGTGTGGAGGGAGGAAGGGGGCGAGCACGACGGGGACGACGAGGAGGGGGAGAGAAGAGAAGGGTTAGCTGTGTCTGATATTTTTTGAAGAGAGACTGCAGCAAGAAGAGCCCAAAGCCGGAGTCAGAAAAAATGTATGTAATAAAGAGAGCGTTGCCACTGAAATGTGGCGCTTAGTTCCCCGGCCCTAAGCGGTGTGTCTGTTATCGATCGATACAGGTACAGTCATCAGCTACAGTCTACAGTACACGTTACCGCATCACCTACTACACGTACCCTTCCTAATAGTAATACATCTGTCCCCCGTATCTCATTCTGCTACCCTCTGTGGAGTCTTTTGCCTCGTGACCGCGCTTGTTCTCCACCACGACCTCTTCTTTTCCTTTTGTCTATCTAAACTTCATCCGCAGCTTCATATCACCTCTCTTCTGACCGCTCCCTCTCCGACTACTGCACCTCGCTGCACCGTTCGCGTGTTTCACAACTCGTGTTTCGCTGGGTTCAACGATATTTCACGTGTACCGCTCGCCACCACCCGGCGCTTCCTCAAAAGCTGCTGATATGGTCGATCATCACCTGCGTATCGCTTGTCCTTTTCAGACACTTGTCCATACTGAGCTCCGGAACATTGCACCGGAGAACTTTCATCACCTGCAATCAATCCACAGACGTCGGTCGATACACCACGTTTAGACGCCGAATCTCGTCTTTCATCCCCTTTCTTGCGTCTTCTGGGTCTCTCACCACTGATCCCAATCAGCCACTTTCAACTTTTGAATCTTATTGATCACCTTGTCGTTATAGTATAGCTTATTTTCGTTATCTCCCCCACATTCTTGTCGAATGACCACTCGTCTTTTATGGCCTCTCATCAACAAAGATAGCTCATCATCTGCCATGCATTGACCTGGACCTCCGTGAATCCCGTCGAGCCCATCACTGTTGATCAGCTCTGATTGCTGGTTGTTATAGCATCGCTTACTACACTCTTACATTGATACGTTCTGACGCCCTAGCCCATTGGAAACCGACCCTCAGATCAACAAAGGGATGATATCAAGCCATGCATTAAGATATGTCATCATGCTACGAACCATGTACAAATAAATCAATGAGCAGTGAGTGAGTGAATGGGGATGGCAAAAACGACAACTCTGGTCTCTAGAATGTTTAGTATGTTTAGTATACTCAATACAACACCATGCACAACTTCCCGTCCATCTCTGACGCGCCCCGACGCTAACTCGCACCTCCACCCGTCCCCGCGCCAGTACTTGGCCCACTTGCTGCATTACCAGCTCCCGCACCGACACCCTCCCCAGCTGCAGCATCCTCTGCACCGATCTTCATCTCCGCCTCTATCCGTTCCCTCGCTCGTACGACCTTGGACTGCAGATAATGTGAATGTGAAGGAAGCGCTGCCTGCTTTCCTGCGCGTCCTGTCGCACCAGCTTCGGGCGCTGGGGCCGGCCGTGGCGAGTTCACCTTGAATAAATGCTCGTAGCTCTACACAAAAGAAACCATTCATCAGCATTGTTACCACACACAAACAAAATGGGCATTTTGTGGATATGCAAATATTCCAGTTTCAAATCACGGTGTCGAGTAACAGCCATAGAACGGGTGATCTTAAGGGATGATGAGTGCAACACACCTTCATCACACTCTCCAACATCTCTCCACGCTTGACATTAAGAATGAGGTGCGCCTCGTCCAGCGTCATGCGATGTTCACGGGTAAGTTTATCCGTCACCGACCCCGACGTCGCATTTCGTACACCCGCAACATCACTCGCAATCGCGCCCTGTGGACTATGTTTGGCATCTAACGTACAGCCCAAATCACAGTCGTGAGGTAACAGGGTATTGCGGTAAGACGTCGAAACGGAGCGATGCGGAAAGAAAAGAAAAAAAAAGTCAGAATAATGGAGTAAGCATCAACAGTACGGGAAGGATAAAACAGCAAGCAGCGCTACGCACTTTTGACAGCTTGCCTCCCAGCTTCGAACAAAGCCTTGCCGAATATCTGTGCGCCTGTGACGAGGATCTGGATGATAATTTTTGGCGCCGACTAGAGCAAACAGGATGATAAAATCGAGTATCAGCGCTAAATTCACACTGTATGACGGCTTGCCGCTGCAAAGTCAGAGGAAATAACGTACCATGGCAAGAGGAGAAAAACAGTGTAGAGAGAAAGAAAGAAATGGATGGGAACGAATCCCGCTGAACCTCGAACACGGCTCTGTAGCTGGAACTTTGGGAAGCTTGAGTTGAGCGGAGGGAAAACTGGACAAGTCACGTGGCAATGCTCAAAATTTCTGACCTTTGCGCTTCACTCAGAGCTGATTGGCAAAAAGGCTCAGAGAATATCGTAGCTTTTCTTTGAATTTGCTACAACCCCTGGTTCGATTTATAGAAGCCATCAATCCCCATCATGACCACCGAACCACATACAAAAAAGCGCAAGCACGCCCACGCCGCCGTCGAGTCAGAGACGCCTAAGAAAAAGAAGGAGAAGAGAGACAAGGTTCGCAGTGTGGACGAGGGGGCAAAGAGCGCCAGTACACCGAAGCAAGAAAAAGCAAAAAAGCGGGACAAGGGCAAAAGCAAAGCAACGAGCGAATTCCATGTTGTGAAGGCCTCGCTCTCCGTCTCAATTCCACCTGTGTTCGCCACGAACCAGCGTGCAGGCGTTGAAGAAATGCTCGATTCTATGATCATGAGGTGCGTTCGTGTGGTACATCTTGATATGTGGCTTAGTTGTTAATGTTATATATGCGCTCGTCATTCCATCTCATGTGCAGGTATATACCAGCATTTCAAGGCGTCGTGCTCGCACATTCGAATCTCCACTTCCTCAACAGTTCTGCAACGATAATAGCCGACTGTCCATTCTCAGTATGTGCCGTCGGGTTCGACGCAACAGTATGGAGTCCGCGTGTATCCATGAAACTCGGTACGTTCCCCCTTATGGAACGCTTGCCGTTCCAAACATCGTCGACTCAGACTCATTCACGTCTCACTAGCGGGTAAAGTGAATCTTTGCTCGCCAGACCACGTCTCTCTCCTTGTTCATAGAACATTCAACGTCTCCATCCCACGCAATCATATACCCACAGATCACTGGGAGTTTGAATATGGTCCTGCAGAGAATGACCCCGAATTCGGAGCTGGGGTAACTCCAGAAGAAGACGGGGAAGATGGCGAGAAGGATGGGAATGAAGATGTCCAGATGGAGGGTGTCGATGGAAAGAACACCGACGAGACGAAAGACGAACACGAGAGTGAGGGGAACGGGAGATGGATACATAAAATCACTGGAGAGAAACTTGGTGGACCTGAAGGCTACCTCGAGTTCACCGTTATCGGGTGAGCATCTTTTGATCATTCAATCACTTATGACCAAAGTTTTCGCTGACGCTTGAGCAGTCTTACTGTAGCAAATGAGATGTTGTCCCTACAAGGCTCTATCCAACCTGATCCCTTCTCTCCTGAACATGCTCTTGTCGCGCTAAAAGCAAAATCTCCGCCACCTGCCCCCGCTAGTAACGTAACGCTCGATGAGGAAGATGAGCTGGAAGAAAATGAAAACGACGAAGATGATGATTTTGATACGTTCGAGCAGCTTGGAAGGTTGGGCGATGAAGCGGAGGCTGCGCAGCTGAGGCAGAAGGAAGAAGAAGCTGCACAAGCGAGCAAGGAAAAGAGAGAGAAGAAGGAGAAAAAACGGAAGCGGAAAGAAGTGGCGAAGCAAGATGATGAAATGGATACTGGTCAGCCTGAAAAGGTGAAAGGGGAGAAGAAAGCAAAGCGGAAGAAGACAGTGGCATGATGTCACCAACCCTCCTTATTCATCTTGGCCTCTCGAACTGATGGACCCGGGTTTTGAGGAGGTTTGATGTGCATCATATTGTGAGACTGTATACAGTGTTCTAAATACGCTTCGACATTATAATATAATCACACTTGTCTTCTTCAGAAAACTCGGGAGAAGTAGGATCTGTAGAAAATCTGCAAAACGTGTACAGAGCACAAAACGACACAGCATTCGATTTACACATACCCTATTGACCGGTAGAATTGATGGGCCTCTTCGTTTGCTAGAGCAAACAATCAGTAGGAGGTATGAATCATGGAAAGTAAACAAACATTTGAAAACGGTTAACATGACCTTTTTCATTTTCCATTCAGTTCCAACATCAACCAAACATTGCGTTAGTCGTTTTCCAAGACCTAGCCTCTGTGTCTCTCGCTTGACCTGGAGCTCGTAGCTTGATGTAGATTCGCGGAAGTGGTAGCAAGCTCGACCAAAACAATGCGTGACCTACCAATATATCACATTCTGACTATCTTCTCGCTCAAAACGAAACATGGTGTATGCGACTAAAGTTCGAGGAAATGTACTCGACTCGACTCCTATTGGGCTTTCGGCGCCTTCTTCCAGTTGGTTATTCTCGTTCATTCGTTCCAAGAGAATGAAGCGGGATAGGGGATCGAATAGCTCAGTTTGCTTGGAAGATGGGTCCCATCCGAACGAAGAAGTCATGTATCTTGGATGACAAAGTTTACCCAAAATTTAGTATATGCAAGGAGGACTAGCATCAGTGCTTAAGCTTACAGCGCTCGCATATTGTCTTCGAATATGTCCCAGATACTTTTGCGATGATCCTCGGTCAATTCAGAAGAAGCCAGAACGGTTAACTGGATTCTGAACGATGCGTTGATATATTTTTTAAATATATATTGACAAGGCATCATGATAGGAACGTACTTTTGTGCATTTCTTAAAAACAAGATCGAGCCCTCGATAGAACTTGCTAACTGGGATGCTGGTGCCTGCAGATAAGTGTCCTGTCGTATAATCGAGGAATATTAAACCACGATAAAATATATGACCTTGATGGCTTTCTGGACGCGCGAACTGAAAGGCATATTATAACGGGTGGTGTCACCTCGGACGTTGGACACAACTTGAAGTTGCCAAGTTGCTGCACCTCAGGCAGGGACTTAATCCGTTACGTAAGGGCCTCAAAGACCTATTCTTTGTCGACAGGTTTGGGACCTTAAGTATCCCCTCGCTGCCGAGGTTTCCCAGCCAAGTATATATATAGTATTTCTAAATACAGCGGTACTTGAACAACCCTCTGCAAACCCTCCTGTGGTGCCCTCTGGAGTTTGTAAAATATTTCTTTGTTCCAGAGGCCTTCTAGGGCAATATTTACAGCATTATTTCCATATAATGCATACTCTTTATGTGTGACCAAACCGGATAAACCCGGTCTCTGCCGAAGCAGCCATTGTTCTCCATGGAGCATAGCCACCACTCCATGGAGTAACCATTGTACTCCTAGGAGTCATTATACTGTAGCGAGTAGCACCTCCGACTATAAGTAGTAGGGGGTTTAGTATAGAAATGCCCTCAGTCGTTTCTATAGCCTCTGGGGCAGCGGCTGAGTTTCACATAGGTTTATTAGGTTATGAGCCCTGGTGCGCAAAAGCTACGCAGGAAATAATTCTTATTTGAAACGGCAACCTCGGAACCATGACCACAGCACGAGATACATCCGCATGTCCAGTTCTCACTGGACCCAACAATTTTCAGATATGGAAACTCCGGATCATCTCAAAGCTACGTCGGGAAAAAGTTCTCCGGGTTGTTACTGGAGAGGAGCTTAAGCCCTCACCAGGAAAACCTACCTCCTCGGAGGATCCTGAGATCACCTGGATACTTAAGGATAAGAAGGCACATGGAATCATTCAGGACCATATCTCTGATGCCCTCCTAATGAGGACTGGAGACCTCACCAGCTCCAAGGAGTTATTTGATAAACTTGTCTCACTCCATCAAATGTCCAACATTGCCTCGGCCTTCTATTCATTCCAGCAACTCACCAAATTGTCCTGGGATGGGACATCACCTATCCAGGACCACATTGCGAAATGGACAATTGATTCACACCTCTCCGGAATGGAACTAGGAGTTGATACCAAACTCATGGCTTTTGCTCTTCTCCAATCTCTCCCATGCACTCCTGAATGGCAAATATTTCAGTCATCGGTAATCAACATGATTGAAGAAAATAAACTTACCTTTGATGCAGTTGAGATCCGGATCACTGCAGAAGTTGCACGATAGTCAGGGAAGGCCCCTGGAGGTTCCGAATCAGCACTCAAATCTGAGGAGAAATGGTGTGACTTCCACAAAGCCAAATCACACAACACCTCGGAGTGTCAAACACTTCAGTCAGCTGAAAAAGGTCAAAGGAAGAAGGGAAAGGAAAGACACAAGGATAAGGAAAAGAGAAGGAAAAGGCAGATACAGCGGAGCAATCATCTGGATCTGACTCCGAGGAGGAACAAAGTCATATTGCATTGGAACATGTACATATTTCCAAGCCCCTTGCTAAACACATTCAAGCTTACCTTGTGTCGGAACCCGATAAGACCAAAACAACAATTATTATTGACTCCGGAGCAACATCCCACATGGTCCCTCACCGCTCCTGGTTTGAGCCAGGAACATACCATGTTCTGCATCCTCCGAGGACAATCAGTTTTGGGGATGAATCCTCTGTAAATGCCATTGGCATTGGAACAGTAATCCTACAAGTAATTGTTGGCAAAAAGGACTACAATATTGCACTGTCAAATGTCTTACTTGTGCCAAACTTCACGTTAGCACTCGTCTCTGTCCACAAATTGTCCAAAACGGGGTTATCAACACTTTTTCCAGCAGGGTCAAATGCTTGTGAAGTTCGGAAAAAGGAGGAACTTATCCTCACTGCCTTACACAAGCAAGGACTTTATCACATCCAAGCAAAACCCAAAATCAACCTGGAGTCAGCTTTTGCAGCAGTAGATGTAAATTTATTGCACAGGAGAATGGGACACATTGGAATGGACCGCTTGCAATGAATGGTTACAAAAAGACAGCTCCAGGACATAGACACCCTTACCGGAACCCTGGAGTTTTGTGAACCTTGTGCTTTAGGAAAGATGAAGAAATTACCTTTCAAGTCCACTGGAGGAAACCGAGCCAAGCGCCCCATACAAATTGTGCACACAGATGTTGGAGGACCAATCAAACCAACTTCCAGGGAGGGTTTTTGGTACTGGATTATCATTGTAGATGATTTCTCCAAATTTCCATGGATATATTTCCTAAAACATAAAAGTGAAGCACTGGAACGATACAAGCAATGGAAAGAAGATGTCCAAACATTCTTCTGGACTCATTTGGGAGAAGAAAACTTCACTCCACTATACACAGAATTCCTCCGGAGCGATGGGGGAGGAGAATATACTGGCAATGCATTCAAAAATCAACTCCGAGGAGATGGTGTCATCCAAGAAACTACAGCTGCAGATACTCCGGAACAAAATGGCATTGCAGAACGCATGAATCAGACATTGGCTACATTAGCAACCACTATGCTCCATGATTCCAAGCTCCCAAAGTCATTTTGGGTAGATGCCATGCAAACAGCTGCATATATCACAGCACGCAGCCCAGCATCAGGACTCCATGGAAAGACCCCATATGAAATACTGTTTAAAAGGAGAGTTGATCCAACTTTGTTTCGCCCTTTCGGATGCCAAGCATATGCCTTGATTCCGAAAGACAAAAGGCAAGGGAAGTTTTACTCCAAGGGGCGCAAAGCCATAATGATTGGCTACACACATGGAAAGCAAGCCTACAAACTCCTAGACACTGAAAAACGGACTGTGTTTTCCAGTCGGCATGTTATATTCAATGAATCCGGAACGGTACAAAAGGATGACACTGCTCCCTGGAACACAGACACTAGCACAGATCAGTGGGAGGGACTCATTCCAGAGAATGCTCACTATCCAGACCAAAAAACATTGGAGGAGGATGATCCTGACCCTCGGATCTGAGATCCAAATGAATTGCAAATGGAACCACATCTCCAAGGAGATGTTCCACAAGCAATGGAACCATATCAGCATGAAGATGTTCCGAGAGCAGTGGGGCAATACTTCTGTGGAGACGTTCCGAGAGCAGTGGGAGCACCTGATCAGCTAAGACACCCTCCACAACAGTCTCTACAACCAAGACCTGAACACTGGCCATCTTCAGAACGGAAAGCCAAAGTAGAGTTACAGTCAGTGGGAGGACAGCCCCTCAACATACAGCCAGCTGATGTGGAAAAAGTCCGAATACAGCTAGACAGCCTGTCCATTGGATCACCTTCTGGAAGGCATACAACACCTCCAAGGAGTCATCCAACACCTCCGAGGAGTGATTCAACACCTTCAGGAGTGAGTGGGGCAACAAATACACAAATGCTGCTACTCCCTGGAGTACCTGCACAAGTTCCTAAAAGAGCAGTCATGCCTGCTGAAGTCCTAGGAGTACGCAGAAGCAGTCGCCAGACCCGTCCTGCAGACAAAAACCGAGATTATCAAAGGACTCTAGATGAGGAACAGTCTCGAAAAGAGCAACATGACAACTCCATGGAGAAACCTAACACTCCTGAGTGTAAGGACCATTTTATTATTTTCTTATCTTCTCTATGTCTTGGTTCTCAAACACCTTTCCCATTACACCTCTGGCTCTAGGGCTAGAGGTATCATTTGCCATATTACTTCTCATAGCCCTAACAGGCTTTCTTAACCACCATTACCACTTTATATCACAGATCAGAGACTGGGTATCACTCCCAGCCAGCCAGCACAATGGGTAGGGACTGGTAGTAGGCATCTCGCCAACCAGCTCCAAGCCCCATTAAGGCCTGGATATACTAATAAACGCTTTGATCAGAATTGTACCTCATCATGAGGATACGGTTCCTGAACATGCGTAACAAACATCTATTATTAGTACAAATCTCTCACCCGCTGATTAATCAAGTTAAAAGTCGTACAATAGTTGTTCTCTCTTTTTCTTATTGGATGATTAATTCCTCTCACCCGCTGATTAATCAAGTTAAAAGTCATACAATAGTTGTTCTCTCTTTTTCTTATTGGATGATTAATTCCTCAGACCACTTTTTGTTTATTCTCCTTTCAGTCTGAGGAACAAACCGTTCACTATATAAAGTCTTACCTATTCATGTATAGTTCCTTAGTTTTCTATTACTGAATTTACCCGCTTTACTCCTCAACCGAAACCCTTGAGCTTACCTCCCAAGTCCTCTACTCGCTATATTTACTAGCGTCTGTCGACCTCAAGCTCATCGAACCTCTTACTCCCTGCAAGTGCAGAAGGAGACAGGTTTTGTTTTTGTTATAGTTTATTGTTGCCTCACACTGAGGTTCATGAAGAAACATCTGATACAGAGGAGACATTCTTTGCTGGAATAGCAAGTACCGGTCCATCTAACACAGACCTTCCAAGGACACTAAAGGAAGCCTTATCACGTCCGGATGGAGAATTATGGAAGTCTGCCTTGGAGGAGGAACTCCTAAGTCTCAATACTAATGCAGTATATGACACTGTTCCACTTCTGAAGGGAGTAAAACCCATCACATTAAAACCTGTGTTCCGGATCAAGTTTGATCAAAACGGAAACATTGAGAGATACAAACTCCGGATTGTTGCACGAGGTTTTACTCAAAGGGAGGGGATTGATTACCAGGAGGTTTTTGCTCTGGTTGCAAACTTAGAGTCAATCCGAAATATTCTAGCCCTGGCAGCAAAGTACAACCTAGAACTTGATCAAATGGATGTATCCACAGCTTATCTCAATGGAGAACTTGAAGAAGAACTGTACATGCTTCCTCCAGGGGGTGTTCCTATCCAACCTGGATATTGCTGGAGATTGAAGAAATCCATCTACGGGTTAAAACAAGCTGGTTGTACATGGAACAAAACTTTTGATTTCAAGCTCCAGGAGCTCGGTTTCACAAGACTAAATGCAGAAACATGTCTCTATGTATTCCGGGAAAACAAACAAATATGCTTTGTTGTTGTCTATGTAGATGACCTCCTCCTAGGAGCTTCATCCCGAAAATTCATGGATATCACAAAAGCCAAACTCGAATCCATATTCAAAATGCGGGACCTTGGAGAAGCAAAATACATCCTCAGAATAGAAATCCAACGTGATTGTTCAAACAAAACAATATCCCTATTGCAACGCCAATACATTGACACAGTCCTGGAGCGTACTGGAATGAAGAACTGCAAACCAGTATAGACACCAATGGCCCATGGATCAAAACTCCTTGCAAATGCTCCAGGGGAAGATATTGTGCAACACGAGATGCATATTGAAGGGCGCCAAGTGTCATACCTCTCAATTGTAGGCTCCCTCATGTATGCCATGCTCGGAACCCGCCCAGACATTGCCTACGTTGTTGGAATACTAAGCAAGCATAGCTCAGCTCCAAGGAGCCATCACTGGGAAGCTGCAAAATGTGTCCTCCAATATCTGAAAGCAACCAGGGACATGGAACTACAATATGATGGCACAGATGTCTCCATGGACATGGATTTCTATGGATATTCAGATGCAGATTGGTCTGGAGACCCAGACACGTCTCGATCAACATCAGGCTTTGTTTTTATCACCATCCGAGGAGCAATCTCCTGGACAAGCAAAAGACAAAGCATGGTAGCTTTATCCTCCATGGAGTCAGAGTACATTGGATTGAGCAATGCTGGACAACACCTTGCATGGCTTCGGACATTTTTTGAAGAAATTGTACATGCTCAAAATGGATTTACAACATTGCACTGTGACAATCAAGCAGCTATTATTCTTACATGAGATCCACAGTTCCATGCTCGCACAAAACACATTCAACGGAAATATCATTTTATCCGAGGTGACTTAGTATCAAAGGGAGAGGCAGTAATCAGATATGTTCCTACAGGAAATATGGTTGCCGACATTCTCACTAAACCCCTCACTCACAAAAAACACTGGAAATTCTTTAAAGCTATGGGACTACGGTTGCACTCGGGTGGGAGTGACAAAACTGGATAAACCCGGTCTCTGCCGAAGCAGCCATTGTTCTCCATGGAGCATAGCCACCACTCCATGGAGTCACCATTGTTCTCCTAGGAGCACAATTGTACTCCTAGGAGTCATTATACTATAGCGAGTAGCACCTCCAGCTATAAGTAGTAGGGGGTTTAGTATAGGAATATCTCAGTCGTTTCTATAGCCTCTTGGACAGCGGCTGAGGTATGTTACATTACATTTATTAGAGATCACCTTAAACTAACATCCATTGTAGTTTCACATAGGTAAATAATAAAGTCGTTTCTATAGCCTCTTGGGCAGCGGCTGAGTTCCACATAGTTTTATCATATAGGGAGTGATCCAGATGGAATTAAAACAAACAGAGATGATAGAGAGGGTTATCAGAGACCCAGAAGACAATTTGCAAGAGGGATAAACAGTAGGGTGCTTGGATGATGAGGTATGAAGTCAGGAAGATTGCTAGAGCACAGGGCTCATAACCTGTTCAAATTGGATAATGACCAGACCAGGGATTGAACCTGGAACCTTCTGGATACATGCCAGCTGCTCTACCAATTGAGCTATATGGCCAAGGTTATACAATATTGGATCTTAAACATAACATGCAACCACGGACATCTTACACAGTATAGCTGCTGCATACTGGATTGGCTTACAAATCAGAGGTATAATCCTATGGGGTATTGGTATGTCAGAGTATATTCTAACACTCCCTCCTGATCTGACATATCCATATATGGTAAGTGTACAAACATAGCCAAACATGTAAGAATGACTAAGCTTATACAATAGCACAATAAAGCACCAGGGCTCATAACCTGATCAAATGAGAACTTCTGGGAAGTGTCTAGCCACTTGCTGAGAGCTAACAGGGACAGAACTAGAGTCCAGTATGTAGTAACTAAAGAATAGGAATATTAGACTCTGCAATACTAGTCCGAAGTTTTGTAAACAAAGGTAAACAAATCAGCCACACAGGCGAAATTATAGAATGCTCAGTGAATACTGAACAATAGAGCAAAAAGAATAAAGAGGAAAGTGGTTTAGAAAGAAGGGAAAATAGATAGCACAACTAGGTGCAGAATCACCAAAACTAACAGTATGTGCAATGCGTGAACCATGGGTGAACAGAGTCTGAGGGGCACCACAAGCGAAGTAGAGGATAGAATGCTCGGCTGGCAGTATGCGAGCGTTCTCGGTATGCAAGAAATCTATACTTGATATAATATGCGCACAGATCTGCATATGTGTAAGTGTGTGTGCTTACTGTTATTTGTAGAAATGACTGACTGGTTCAGGGGGATGATACTTGTGGATTACACGGACTCCATTGCGAATACGGATCCTTGGGGAAGAAAGCAACAGGACGTAGTGCCATAGAAGAGGCTGGTGAGTCTTGAAGGCCTGCATGGCTTTGGCTAACGTTGTTCTGCCTATTGCCACCCATTGAGGTTCAGATGTTTGTTTTCCCACTGCAAGTCCTGTCTCAGGCTGCAACACTTTCTGCTGCTCCTTCCGGAGCTGTTTATCTACTATTTGGACAGCAAAGGAAGTCAAGGCAGGCCGGGCGGGCTTGATTTCAAGGTAAGGAGTCTCTGGTGAGTACATAGTGTTTGAGCTGATGTCTTGATTAGGTTTCGGACGACCATCAGGATGATCGAACCATAGTTGCAAGATCTTAACACTATCATCTTCTTTCATGCGGAAAACCTCATGCGGACGACCATCAGGATGATCAAACCATAGTTGCAAGATCTTAACGCCATCATCTTCTTTCATGTGGAAAATCTCATGCAAGAATCGAGCAAAAGTCCAGTGAGCCTGTTTATCAATTACATCTAAAATGAGTTGTATTTTCTGCTGATGTGTTTTATGCTGGGAACCAGCTCGAGGCATTGGCCTTGATGGCATAGGTGTGTTGGGTTGAGTAAGGAATGGCCTTGATGGCGTAGGTGTGTTGGGTTGAGTAAGGAATGGGGGGGGAGTTGATTGAAAGAAAAGGGGCAATGATTGAGACTCGGAGTGGCTACGAGCTAAGCTGATAGGGGTTAATATTGGTGTCTGAGGGAATGGAGGAATACTAGAAAGATTAGGGACTGAAATTGTACGACCGAGACAATGAGCATTGTCTGCCATGTTTCGTTATGGGAGTAGATTCTCTCAATAGGGGCTTGATCTCTTGATCTTATCGCAGCGCCACATCAAAATTTTCAGCACATGTTTGTATTACTAAGGTAAAGTACATCATAAAACTGTTATCGCCGATGGCTTGAGACCAAAGGCCTGAGCAACGGTTGCACCCTCGCCAACCGCGGCAGACCTTCTTTTCCGGAACTTCTCCCTTCCGGATTGATGGTCTGCTTACTATCGTTGGACAATAGGTGCAATTGGCCTGGGGAGAAGTTGAATAACTCACCAGTCGTTGAGCTTTAGACTTGACCAGTAGATATAATTTTTAGTTTTCTAGCTGCCTATGTAGAAAAATAAGCAAGGACTCGAAGCATTGGAGCAGCGGAACAAAACCGAAAAGACAACACATGTTTTGGAATGGTTCTGCAATTTCTGGTCACACTGGGTCACAGCGGCACTCACAGACCAAATCAGGCAGAGTGTTACGATCTCTATTGGACATTTAAGGACTACTCATTTCTTTTTACTCATCGGTTATACCATCGGACCAATGACTCATTTCCTTCACGTACACTTCCGTTCCTCTCGCATTCACAGTACCTATTATAGTACTTAGTCCTCAACAGACGGACCTGCCCTAGATAGGACCTAACTCCTATCACCAATTCCTTTCCATTATAAATACCATGTAATAGCAGTAGTATTCTCCAATACGATTCTACGCAGTTTACGCTTACAAAGCTAGACTCCTAAGATCAAACTTCTATTCAGAAGAAGATCAACTCCCGTTGGAAAACCTCCACTCAGAACTACATTCTCGAACTTGTCTTCGGATAAGTCTCTTGTTACGATAACACAATTTCCGGACATCTCCTTTCCTTTTTATTCTCCGCTTTAACTTTATACTTTAAGTGCCACGCGGCATTTCCCTTTCTCGCGCCGCGTTGCCTTTCTTTTACTTTTAGACTTAACTCTCTCACGCAGTGGAGCTGGCCATACGGGCTAGGCCCTATGACATCATCAGCCACTGCCTTCATCAACTGTATAGTACACATGTACAAACAACCTGTAGTAGTATATATACCCCAATAGATCCAGGAGACTCCTCAGCGAGTCCTCCTGTTGTTAACCAACAAACTCTCTGCAGCTCAAGGGGTAACCACTCCCTCTTCATTTTCTTTATAGTGTGGTTCTGTGTGCGCCAGAGTAACTAACTCTTGGTTGTTACATTAGGACTCGCTCTTCTACTCTCTCGCACGTGTGTGCAAAAGTCCCATTGGGCACCCGGACTCCAGGGTGAAGGAGATTGGTTAGCGGTTAGGAATATCCCACATAGCAGATAGGTGCGCTCCTAGCGACGGCCTTGTAGTGCTTCGGGAGAAGAACGCAAACCTTCGATACGCGGCCCCCAGCGTTAAGGGGAGTACCTTAGCTCAGCAGTCAGTGTGGAACCACTGTTGATTAGATTTAGAATACAAACTTTCACTTTCGAATACCTCTGACCAGGCCGGGCACTTGCCTCCGCCAGTCTGGAGAAGGGTTGACAGCTTAACAAGCGGACCACCCCCTGACAACCGTTCGGACCAGGGTTTATTACAAACACATTTTTATATACCTTTTTAAATACTATAGTGTGGGTAGTCGGAGATTGAGATCTGATACTCAGCTGGGAAGAGGTTGATCCGCAGATAGCAAGCGGGGACCCCCAGTTACCTATTTTTACGTTACCCAAAGAGAACAAGTCGACATGTCGTCGCAACCCCAAGACATGAATGCGCTACTGCACGCAATGCGTACGCAGATAGCTGCATTAACCTCACAGCTCGCCGAGATACAGGCCAACCCCCCTGTAGCAACCCCCTTGGTAGAGAAAAAGTTTAACAAGAAAGTCGAAGTCGTCGCTGACCCTGGCGCCTTCGAAGGAGACAGAGCGCGATTTGCCGAATGGTGGATCAAGCTCCAGATTTGGGTCAAGGCGAACTGGGACGCGTTTGCCGACGATTTTGAGGTAGCCACTGCGGTGCTATCTCGCCTAAAAGGACCTGTGGCGGGTCGATACGCCCAAGTAAGACTCCAGGAATGCTACACCGCGGGTGTGTGGCCCACCTGGGACGATCTCAAAACCGAGATCGAAAAATATTTCAAACCGCAAGCTGAGCGTGACTGGGCGCGTCAGCAAATCCGTTCCTTCAAACAAGGAAACATGAGGACGGATGATTTCGTAACCCGGTTCCTGGCCCTCTCAATCCAAGGGGGTCTTGGCAATGAACACGCAGTGGAACTGCTAGAACGCAATGTGAACCCTCGCATTGCAGAACAGATCTATCTGCAGGATACACGAAGTGACAACTTGGCCCTGGCGGCTGAGGAAGTACGACGAGTCGGTAGAGCCATAGAGCTCTACACCATGCACCAAGGTGGCGGGTCCACCAAACAAAACAACACACCCCAGAGGCGCCCTGGGTCATCAAACCAACATCATAATCACTCTCACAGGTTCAAGCCGTTCGGGCTGCAGCCAGGACAGGGTGCTCCTATGGATATCGGCGCGGTCCAAGGCGGACAAATGCGCAGATTCAAGGGCAACTGTTACAACTGCGGCCAAGAGGGACACATGTCCCGAGACTGTAAAAACGAGGCGCAGGCTGCCCAACAAAAAAATAATCAAGGGCGCCAGGCGCGCCAACTAGAAATCGAGAAGCCGGACGATCGGCTCAACTCTTTGGCCGGTCGTTCTTACGACGAAATCCGGGCCTTCTTCTATGACCAACAGGTCAACGAAATGAAGGCTCAGGGAAAAGAATTCGGGGCTTAGGTCACTTGGGTGCCTTAGCTCCTGGTAAAAATGAAGTAAACCACAACAAAGTGGCCCCTGCTCCGGGGTGTTGCACGAGCAATAACGGAATGACGGGGATGGCTCCCCAATTTGTAAATAAGTTTTTAAATTTGTTATCAGAAGTATGTACTTGTATGAAGAAATGTAACTGCAATATTTATGATACTACCGCTGCACCAGCATCTCCCTTGGAGCGTGGCCTCGGCGAGACAAACACTAGGGTGCTTGATTCTGGTAAAACAAAAATAGAAAAACATGTGTCATTCAAGATTCCTTCTTCTTCTTCTTCTTCTTCTTCGGAGCCACCCTTTCCCGAAATCCCAAGGCATGCGTTGATGCGCACGTATTTATTCCAAAAGGAGATCCGTTTAGACGTTGGCGTGGAAAACCTTGCCAGGGGCAAAGTACACTCAACGAGCGCACTGCTTGATTCAGGCGCTAACGGGATCTTCATAGATCAGGTCTGGGCGGAGCAAATTGGACTCCCCCTTGTAAAATTAGAAACATCTATTCCCGTCTATAACGTTGACGGTACGCTTAACGCAGGTGGCTGTATTACACACAAATGTTCTTTTGTGGTCGAATACCAAGGACACAGAGAACGAGTCACTGCCGAGGCTACCCAACTAGGGAAGATTAATTTAATCTTAGGCTGGACCTGGCTATTTAAACACAATCCTGAGATCAACTGGCAGACAGGGGTTGTCACATTGTCACGTTGTCCCCAGGAATGTGTAAACTTGGGTAAACCAAATCATGTCCGTCACAATGAGCGTCTCGAAAAGTTAAACGCTAGTCACGTTTACAAGCTCAGACCTTTAGAAAAGATCGACGATGATGATGATGAGGTAAAACCTGAGGAAGAGATTAAGAGGCTGGTACCTCCCGAGTACCACGACTTCTGGAAAGTCTTTTCGAAACACAAATCAGAGCGCTTCCCAGAGGCTAAGCCTTGGGACCATGCTATAGATTTGAAAGACACCTTCAAACCAAGGAAGGGACACATGATACCGCTCTCTGCTCCCGAAAGAGACGAGGTATCTAGTTTCATAGACGAACAACTTAGGAAGGGTTACATCAGACCTTCCAAAAGTCCTATGACGTCCCCGGTGTTCTTCATTCCTAAAAAGGATGGTAAAAAGCGAATGATTATGGACTATCGTTACGTGAATGAGCACACGGTTAAAAATGCGTATCCTCTGCCTTTGATTAGTCAGCTAGTGGACAAATTGGCTGGCGCCAAGATCCTGACAAAGATGGATCTCAGATGGGGGTACAACAATGTACGAATCAAAGAGGAAGATGCTTGGAAGGCCGCGTTCACGTGCCACCGAGGATCTTTCGAACCCCTTGTTATGTTCTTTGGGTTGACCAATTCACCGGCGACCTTCCAGAGCATGATGAACGAGATCTTTGCGGATATGGAAAACTGTGTCGTCATTTACATTGACGATTTATTAATATTTACAAAGTCGGACGATGAGGCTGAGCATGACAGGATCGTGCAAGAAGTCCTTCGACGCTTACAGGAACGGGACCTATTTGTTAAACCCGAAAAATGTAATTTTAAAGTGAAGGAAGTAGACTTCCTCGGTATGATCATAGGCCAGAACGGAATCAGGATGAACCCTGAGAAAGTTCAAGCTATTTTGGAATGGCCAGAACCTACTCACGTCAAAGGAGTTAGGGCCTTCCTAGGCTTAGGTAATTTCTACCGAAGGTTTATTGAAGACTTCGCAAAAATCACGAGACCGTTGAACGATCTCACCAAAAAGGACCTTGTTTGGCATTGGGGCGCCAAAGAACAGGAAGCTTTTGATAAGCTTAAACAGGCATTTACAACAGCGCCCATATTGGCATTCCCTGAATTAGACAAAGAGTTCCGGCTAGAAACCGACTCTTCTGACTTCGCCACTGGGGCTGTTCTATCAATCAAATGCCCTGATGATCTTTGGAGGCCTTGTGCCTATTTATCGCATAGTTTGTCGCCTACAGAGCGTAACTATCAAATATACGACAAGGAGATGCTGGCCATCATTAGAGCTTTAGAGCACTGGCAGCACTACTTAGAAGGTGCTAGGCACCAATTCGAAATTTGGACCGATCATAAGAACCTAGAGTACTTCATGACGGCCCGAGACCTGAACCGGAGACAGGCCCGCTACGCGGTGTACTTGTCAAGGTTCAATTATAAATTAATTCATAAGCCAGGAAGCTCAATGGGGAAAGCGGACACTTTATCTAGAAGAGAGGATCATGCCAACGGCATTGAAGATGACAACAAAGGTGTCACCCTGATAGATCAATCAAGGGTTGCCAATATTAGAATCGGGCAAGATTCCGACCTCCTGGAAGTCTTCAGGAAAGACATCTCCCCAGAGGAAAAGGCACGCCTTGACGGCAATGAAAACTATTTATGGAAAGACGGGCTCTTTCATTTCAAAAACAAAATCTATGTGCCTGAGTCCGCAAGGATCAAGACAATAGATAGACATCATGACACTCCAGTGGCTGGGCACCCTGGATGGCAACGAACGATGGAGTTGATCTCCAGAAACTACATGTGGCCGGGCATGGTCAAAAACGTACAGGAATACGTAAAATCCTGTCTGAGATGCGCCATGGCCAAGAATTCCCATCAACCGCCGGCCGGTAAACTCATGCCGAACCCGATACCAGCTGGCCCCTGGCAGGATATATCAGTGGACTTCACGACGGATCTGCCCAAGTCAAACGGGTACGATTCAGTAATGGTGGTAGTAGACCGCTTCTCCAAAGAAGTGGTATTCATACCCACCAACAAAACCATCACTGCCGCCGGTACGGCAGACCTATTTAAGGATTCCGTATGGTCCATCCATGGGTTACCAGAAACGGTAATCTCCGATAGAGGACCGCAATTCGCTAGCGAGTTTACGAAAGAATTGTGCCGGATGCTGGGCATCAAACCTAAATTATCCACGGCGTTCCATCCGCAAACCGATGGACAAACGGAGAGACTCAACCAGGAGTTGAAACAGTATCTCCGGATATTTATTAACGACAGACAGACAGATTGGGCCAAGTGGCTAAAGATAGCCCAGTTCTCTTATAATATTAAACAGTCGTCGGCTACAGGAAAGGCACCATTCGAGGTTACTAGATCGTACCTCCCCAGAATGGGTGTAGAACCTGGCAAAAGCAAAAACGAGGCTGCTGGGAACATGGCAAAAGACATGAAGTCTGTCTTGGACAAAACGCGCAAAGCGCTATTTAAAACTGCGGAGCAGATGAAAGACAGGGCAGAGCGTAGACGCTCTAAGGCCCCTGATTACAAGGTCGGCGACCTGGTCTGGTTAGACACCGACCACTTGAAATTAAAAGACCGGCAGTCTAGAAAACTGACCGAAAAGTGGATTGGCCCTTACCGGATTAAGGAAGTCAAACCTAATGCGGTGGAGCTGGAACTCCCAAAACGAATGAGGGTGGTACCCACGGTTAACATTAGCCGTGTGAAACCCTACAAAGGACCGCTGCCGGGACAGCGCGTAGACCGGCCCGGTCCGGTGGTAGTCACCCAGGAAGGTGAAGAAGAGTTCGAAGTCGAACAGGTGGTAGATGCACGCTTGAAGCGTGGAAAATTAGAGTTCCTGGTCCTATGGAAAGGCTATGGAGACGAGGACAGAACGTGGGAACCAGAATCCCATCTGGAAAACTCCCACGATGCTGTTCGCAAATTTTATTCTAGGAATCCCTCAGCTCCCAGGAAGCTTAGAGGCATGGATTCAAACCTTTTTAATTCCCTCTTTCAACCTATGCCCGAAAATTTTACCACTACCTCCGGAATTTGGTCTCGCCTGGAAGTCGAGCCTTAGAAGGGGGGTAGTGTTACGATAACACAATTTCCGGACATCTCCTTTCCTTTTTATTCTCCGCTTTAACTTTATACTTTAAGTGCCACGCGGCATTTCCCTTTCTCGCGCCGCGTTGCCTTTCTTTTACTTTTAGACTTAACTCTCTCACGCAGTGGAGCTGGCCATACGGGCTAGGCCCTGTGACATCATCAGCCACTGCCTTCATCAACTGTATAGTACACATGTACAAACAACCTGTAGTAGTATATATACCCCAATAGATCCAGGAGACTCCTCAGCGAGTCCTCCTGTTGTTAACCAACAAACTCTCTGCAGCTCAAGGGGTAACCACTCCCTCTTCATTTTCTTTATAGTGTGGTTCTGTGTGCGCCAGAGTAACTAACTCTTGGTTGTTACATCTCTTTACAAACCTCGACGAACCCTCAGACTTTGTTAAGCACTTCATGCGTAACACGGAGCTTACAAGTCAAATTCCGCCAGGTCACACCAAGTCCTGACGCTGGTGGTATGTGCGGTACGTACCGAAGCAGAGCTAGCAGTCCTTGATTGATTATCTTGGTGTGTGATTGCCTGTTTTGGTTGCCTAGTCACAACTCCATCATTGTTTTTGTTTCTCCAGACGCTTTGAGGCCCCAATCAGCTCAGTAAGTATCTGGCATTGTAGGGGCCTACCTATTGACGTTTTCTAGAAAGATATTGCAATATTCCCAGCACGAGATCTGGTCAAATCTGGCCATCTTTCCCTCAAAATTCACACTTCTGGAGTTCAAGAGCATAGTGTCAGGTCTGTCGTTGTTGCTACAGATAAGCTATTCACTAAATTCTTTCACAATTATATTCTCTATACTATATTCTACATCTGACAATTTTCTAGCTACCTGTACAGTGATCGTTGAGCCTCTGGAGGCCCAAGTACATATCTCTTACCGGTTGCATCCGGTGTCCAACGATAGTATAGGAGACTAGGTTGTACTATAGTTTGACATCACCATACCGTGCGAATATCACGGCCAGCTGTGAACGTAGTTTGGAGAAATGTTGTATGTGGCTGAAAGTGGCATGTCGTGAGTGTTTGCACAGCCGGACATGCGTCGGCTGCCCCGATTATTCCGTTTCGAACTTTTCGCAGAATCTCGAGTGATCACCACTACACTATAAAGCCACTATGAACGCACTTCACAAGGAGATATATAATGCGTAGACGGGGTTCTCATCATCTCTACAGGTAATGACAACGAATTAATCTCACATCCTTATAGCTCTACTCTAGGGGACCTATATCCTCTGCCCCTCAGCTCACTCACGGAAGCCCATGCTGCAACCTCAGGTACTTCTGGGTCCTCGGGTTCGCCTTCCACTCACGAAATAATACAGAGCTCTAAATTGGTTTATAGGATGGATTTAATGAGCTATGTAATGCAGCAGGACATTTCAGTGCAAACAAGACAGGCAAGGCATTGGAACATATACAGAATGGGCTTCTCCTAGTAATTGAGTATCCGCCTGGATGTATCAGCAACAACCCGAGGTCGATATATGACGCTCGAGGAAATACTTACGCCGACTATCGACTATAGCAATCGGCATGTATACCAAGTCGGCCGTAGAGGCAGACATAGCGCCCATGTTGGGTCAGCACCATCCAAGATGACGGCGCGATTTGGCTCAAGTTATCGCGTGATTGATGCAGGTCGCAAATAAAAACTTTTCGGTCAGCCAACATAGCGAATCTTGATAGCCCCTGCCCGATTCCGAGTTTCCAGAGCTGATAAAGTTAGTTATCAGACAGTCTTCTTCGCGCATGCAATATGAAGACTGACCTTTTAGTTCCTCGGCTTCTTCTCGTTGCTCATAATTCAAAACAAGGCGCTTGAGATGCTGCTGCTCTACTTTGTCTTGCAGCTGAGCAGAACGTGTATGAACAGCAAGAGCAGATTCGGCTGGAATTCGAAGTTGACGAGCCTGTTTTAAATTACAAACGACATTAAGAAATAGTTGTTAGTGTTCAGTATAGTATATACCTGCTGTTTGTTGCCCCGTTTCGTGATGATCGTGAAATTCATGACAGGTTGACCCTCGGTCCCATCCGCATCCGCATCTCCGTCGGTGTCATCCTCCGCGCGCTTCTTGCGTGCACCGGGAGGTAAAACAGCGGATTCCCACAATGACAAAGCAGTCTTCTTGTCAACCTTTCTTGATTCAGTTGAGGAGTCTGTAACCATTTTAGCGAGCTCCTTTGCAAACTCCGCATCTGCCTCCTCTGATGGGCCAAGATTCTCCTGGTTAGAGAGAACGATGACTGGCTCAGGTGACGGAGCACGGTCTTCGTTCTTACCGGGTATGAAGGTAAGCGGCTGGCTAAAGTAACGTTTACAAAAACAACGCATACCGAGGACTCTTGAGCGGTGTCTTCTTCATCATCATCCTGCCCTTGAGGTCGTCCGTTTTCATCCTCGCTGTCTTCGCCGCTATCTTCTCCTGGTGCCACTATAATGCCTTTAGCTATTTAGCAAACCAAAGCCAATGAATTTACTCACAGCCAGCATTTTGCATAGCCTGACTGAACATTTCATCGACAGCAGTGGCAGCATCCTCGATAGTCTTGAATGACGCCAACTTTGGTCGAACAGCCTAACAATTAAAGCAAGTCAAATACCATAGCTTGCAGCAAAAGACTCCATTTTACCTCCATCGAATCGGATAGCATAAAGTCCACATCCATAGGGATTTCCTCTTTACAAAGCACATAATACTAGATGAAATATATCAGCACGTCAGAGCTTGGAGAAAAGCATGTAAAATACTTGGAAAAAGGTTAAAAATCCATCTAGCTTCCTTTTTTGGGTCCCGCGGTCGAAGCACATGCCAACCGTGTCGAGCAACACACAGACAAGCCGAATTCTAAAGAAATCGTCCGGCATGTCCAACGGAGAAGGCTGATGAGGTAGTGGACGACCATCGGCTAGGTATTGAAACCAATAAACATAGCACTTTAGCGAATAGTTTGCCATCTCACCATGTCCAAAGGTCACTAGGGACCAAAGAGTGTCAAAGACGAGGCTTGAGCCAATGAGGCGATATATATACAGCTCTCCCAAGTATTTCATGGTAGCCAATCGACGCTGGTTTGTACTGTATACATTTTGCTCGAGGCCTCTACGGATATCCTCAAGGACTTGATCTACGACGGCGATCGCAAACGAGGGGTGATAGCGTTGCAGATCGTACGTCAACATTGCAAGCAGACTGACGTTGCTGTACTTGATCTTCCAGGGTTTCGTGAACACTTTATGTAGCGTGCGACGGATCGTTTGGTCTTCCCAGTCTAGCTTCCGAATGAGTTTCAGGACTTTGTCGATTGTCTTCTTAGTAAGAACGTCATAGATGAGATGACGAATGAAAAGCTCAAGCGGCATTCGTTCTTTTTCCTGGCGAGGGGCTCGTTCAGGGGGGTTGCACTATTTCAGTGGTTCAATGGGGTATTAGAGTAGCTACGAGTAAACTCTCGAGTGGAACGAACCTGGTAATAGGCATTCTCGAGCAAAAGAATCTGTCTCTGATCAAAATGCTGCATGCTTTGTTTACGTCTCATGAGCTCCAACTTGAAATCAAAACTCAGTCAGCAAATACCACTTGTTTTAGATGTCCATACCGGCTCACCATAGTCGCAAACCTTTCTCGTGTCTCTTCGCTTCTCAACAAAAACCGACCACAACCTTCGAGTAACAGCGCGATATTGTCAACATTTGTACCTGAAAAGTCATCCAGGCAGACTTTGAAGATGTGCAATATAAGGTGGGAAGGCACGACACGAAATTTCGTGAGATTTGACAAATAAGTTATATTCTACAAGGTTAATTTCATCACCTATCTGAACATCAGTTATCTACAAGAGAAAAACTCACTTTGTTCCTAACTTCTGCAAGTTCTTTCACCACGTTCTTCTTCCTTTGCAAATATCGAAATTCTTCGTCAAGCTATCCATTTTATCTGAGCGGCGTAATAGATTTAGGAGTACCAGCACTCACCAAACCGACGAGCTCTGTGCCAATATCTGGCATATATTTATTCAATGTTGCCACAAATCTCGAGTAATGCGGTAGCAAATCTGTGCGATTCTTCTGAACGGATGCCAAAAACTACAGGGGACGATCATTTCAGCCCACTGTCTAGTGTCAACCTTGACAAGCTGACCTTGACTAATCTCTTCCTTGCTGCCTTAGTGTTGAGAAAGGCAAAGTCAATTGCGGCTTGATCAACCAATGCCCGATTGGTGGTATCCGGAAGACGGGTAAGCAAAGCTGTCAGAAGCTGGGCAGACCCCTGAAGAGCTAGTTGTGGCGATAAAGGTGGGCTTGAAGGCTTGGGAGATGTAGGCGTCGCAGTCCTGCGACAACTATGTCCATAAAAACAACAAAAGATAGCATCACGACACTTACCCTGCATTCTGCTCATCATCTTCAGGTATTTCTTCTGGTCTCGATATGCTTGTGTCTCCATTCTGACCATTCAGCTTGAGCCCCTCCAACTCCTCTTCTAGCTTTTTCACTTCTACCTCGACCTTTTCTTTTTCTATCCTCTCTTTTTCTTCATCGACATCTTTATCACCTACTTCCTCAGAGTCAATACCCAAAACACTTTTAGGTACGAAATCCTTCAAATCTTGGATGTCTTCAAAGAATCTCCGCTCCTCTTCATCCTCCCATTTCCCACCAGAAACCATCAAAACATCTTCTGATTCGTCACCTAAGCCCATACCATTACTTGTTCCGATCTGAATGGAATCCGACTTCTGAGAGATGGTTGGAAGAGAAGGAAGAGGTTGGTACAACAGTTCAGAAAGCCTGGCATAACATGATAAATGAGATGTCAACTTGGATACATGCGAAACATACGTTTGACAGCTCGCAAGCAATTTCTCGTATCCTTTCGTCATCTTCTCATATGCTTGTTGTCTATCTTCAAATATCTCGCCAGAGCGAATGTATGCTTCATGGTTCCTTCGATCTTGTTCTTGCAAGCGCTATAAATTGATCACCATAATTAGTAAGCACAAGTTGAGACATGATAGCAAATATTAGAGAGAAAGATATGTGGAGTGACGTACTGACCTTATGTTCAATTACAAGCTTCTTACAGACAATTTCAAAATAGCCCTCGCACATGCGCTTTATGCGATCCCTTAAGTCTTGCTCAATCAATTCTTCTTCTTCTTTAATTATAGGGGGGAATGATGCTTGAACATCGTTTGTAGAGGCAGCTGACAAGGTGCCTGGCTCCGCATTCACTGGGATTTGTTTGGCTTGCGGAGGCACCAGACCGAGAAAAGGACGAGAATATGACTTGAGAAAAGTGGACAATAAGGGTAGCGATGACAAGGAAGGGTCATTCGACAACTAAATCTTGGTCATGAAAAATTCAGGTGACTGTATGCTAACAAAACACTTACCAGTTCCTTCAGGACTTTCATAACCCATTCTCCGCCACTTCTACTAGGTGCGTCTCTGATGATTCCGACTAATGCTAATTCAGAACACACTCGAAGGACAGGCCGTTGGCGCGCAACACGGGTTGCATCCTCTTTTTCACGCTGTTCTTGTGGCAAAGCCGCCAACTGGGAGCGGGAGGGTGGGCTAAGGACAGCAGATAGGGAGCTTATGAGGACCGGAGTGAAACTGGTTGAGAAACGTCGATGTAATGAAGATATAATCTGATGGTGGTTTAGTTCGAGGTATTCGTGATTTCGGAGCGGAGAAAATCAATATGCTTGCCTCTACAGCGCTCCACACGTCCTTTTCACTTTTACATCTTCCGATTCCCTCCACAGCAGCGCCTGCTATTTCGTCCACGTACTTCTCTAGAGATAGAGAATCGATGTCTTTGAGAATATGATCATGGTTCTCGGTTCCAATAGACTGGCGCATTCGTTTGATAAGAGCGGTATGCCTCTTGAGTGACGAGTCTAGCTTTGAAGATTCTGGTCATGACCATGGCTCATCAGTCGAGTAAAATATAAACCAGGAGTTAGGCTTACCTTGGCTATCTAGACCCAGGTTAAGTTCCTTGAGCTTTGCACGCTTCATCTGGCGGGCCCTCTCCTCGTCCACTTTGGAAAGATTTGTAGGCTCCATGACAGTTCAATTTCGATCTGTTTATGAAGTTGGAAGAGAGCCACGAGTCGTCGCTGTTGTTGAAGTCGGTCTGACTCTGTTGAAGTAAGTTCAAGTTCTACTCGTGCGGGACCCGCTGGAACGTGATGACCAAATACAATCAGTCACGCCTGCACCATATGATAAACAATTGTGCCACACAACTTCAACCGAACTTGAATTTGAATGGCACTCCACCACTTTTAAATTTAAACTAGTTTCCTAAGCCTCATTTGTTCATAGAATACACAGAACCCATATATTATTCTCTATGCAATTATCGCATTACATACATTAGGTGATCTTACTCGCATTATACACTTTTAGAACCTTAACATCATCCCGCCGCTCGGCCACGATGGTACATACACCAACGGGGGAGACGAATCGTGCGATGGGCACTTTGTTTCCTGTTAAGTTAGCTGCCAAGAGATGCGGAAATGTCGTAATCGGTTCAGCTTTGCTCAAGCACCGTTTATTTGCAACTTCATCTCATCCACCTGCGAATCTCAGCACCCTCGCTCATCTAGCTTATGGTTATGCTTAGAATTCAACCTTAGGGTTGCCACTGGGACGCATGCATGCCATCTGGCTCTGTGATCAACCCAGACGGCGAGGACGAGCAACGTAGTCTCTGCCATGCTCCACTGCACAGGTAAGTGATATCGATCTAACCAGAGTTGTTCAGGGAGGACGCTGCTTATGACTCGGAATATCAAGTTGCCTCCCATAATCGCCTTCTATATGCTGAATTTAACGTCAAGTAAGTGCTAGTATAGCTTGAATTTGACTTACCAGTTACCAACTGCGACTCGAGCCATGTATCATCGATTGTACAGCTTCAGGGCCACACCGAACGATAGTATATATTCAGTAAGTGCTGGGTCGTATCACAAATGCATAGAATTTGTGTTGCTCAATATACGGTGTTTGAGGTTATTCCATTAGGCCATCTTGATTCATCGCGCTCTGTGCCAATCACTCTTACGATAGCTGTATGCATGCGCTGCGTGCTCGTCACTTCACTGGTTTCTCTTTGCTGTATTACTCATCCAGTCCTCTCAATTTATGGCGAAAACGTATTGTCGCACTCATTCGGGCGATTCACCAGGAACTAGTCAAACAAGAACTCCGCCCAAAATTTCATCTATGCAAAAGTTCATATTAGGGCAAACAAACCTTAGTTGGGATGTAAAAGTACGTTAATCTGATCTCAGTATTGCCTGAGCATCCTGTATCAGATGCTATGCCACCTCGCTCCACTGTCCAGTTATGTTTCCGCCTAGCGTTGATCCTATTGTGAAACGTTTGCTGAATTTCAAGTCTGCATTTGATAGACCGCGAAGCGGAGACTTCTAATCAATCGAATATCAATCAGGACTTGATCAGAACAATAGCTATGGAACGGGTGGATAACCCTGTAGCTATAGCAAGCCAAGGGTGTATAAATTCGATATCATTTGATTTAAGCGCTGACCTCCACTAACAAGAGACCACGAATGACAAAAGGGACACAACACCGGAACAGAAGTAATTAAATTCACAATGGCTGAATTTACAACATTCTATCCAACAACACGCACTGTTAAAACACTATTTTTATGGCATTGGATAGCGAGGATCAAGGATCAACACGAAATCGAATACAAATGAAGCAGCACTATGGAAAATATGCAAAGCAGTGGGGACATAGCCGACGAAATTCTGCATAAGGAGCCGTGATGCATAAAGGGTGATGGAAGTCGGAGGCGTGATGCTAAAATTAACAACAGCTAAGCATCTAGGATATAATACTTATACATACTATCAGTATGGGGGTCAGGCAGGGTTCAATCGAAAGCAAGAGTACAGGAAGGCAAAGCGAGAGCAGTGCAGCGAGAAATCGTATGAAAGAGCTCGAAGTATACTAAAGGGCCACAGCGCATCGGCATCAGCAACTTGGATAAGGGTAAGAGGACCAGACATACCAACGAAAACAGACCTAATAATGGACGACTAGTAGCGATCAGCGACTCCGCCCTTCTCCATCATCATCCTCCCGCTGTGTCGTAGTAGTCGTACGAGTCGCCGCGGCGGTGGCCACCATCAGTCTGGGGACGCTGTGACAGGGCTCTTTGCTGAGGAGAATTCGAGTGAAGATATGCTTTGCGGTGACTTGACGAAGAGTGGATACCCGGGACGAATAACGCGCCACGATTATACGAGCTACGCTCTTTTCTCCGAATATGGGTAGGCTTCGGGAAGGGTTCCGGCAGGCCTTGGTTTGGTCCGGAGGAATAAAATATTTTCGGGCGCCAGTCCTCTATCTCGTCCATGATGCAAGAATTTTTGAATTTTTCAACGAGAGCTTCCTTGCCCCTGGGGAATACGTCGGTTCGTTTTTTGGATAGCACACATTAAAAAAGACTTACTGATAATTGGCATAGCTCATGTGGAGAACTTTCTCGCTCGAATACATGTTCCTTCCCCCATCACGTTAGACTCGAAGTAAAGAACATTCTTGTGACTCACCATTTTTTACCTAGTCTTGACTTTGCGAAGAGCTCTAAATCCTGGACAGTGATAAAGTTCACAAACGCGTAACCAACATTGCAGCCTAAATAAACAAGCTTTAGTATAACCAATTCTAGATTGCTCGGGGTACACATGCCGTTCTGGAAATCCATCCTCAAATACAAGAAGTCGATCCTCCGATGACACACTTTGTCGATATACGCAATCAACTCCTTGTCGGTCATTTTATTTGGGATATTTTTCACCATGACTGTCGTACGCGTATCTGACCCATTCTCAAGCCTTCGAATATCAAGCTGATTACGCTCGGAGACAGCAGAGGATGAAGCAGGAGGGTTGCGAGAATGAGGTTCAGCTCGCGGAGGCTGGACGAAGTAAGGTACGCTGTGCGGGGGTGGGGGATACACAGGTGTGGGATGCTGTGGGGGGACATGATATGGATAATTGTACATCGGCTGCTGAGGATAGCCATGGTGATGGGTAGGCTGGAGAAGGCCTGGTCCCCACTCCTCTCCATGGTTGGACATGGCGTCAGGATGCATCCAAGAAGCCCAGGGATCCCAATACATCTGCGCCCCACCCGGGGAAGGGACCAACGGAAAGTTGACAATCGCAGGATGGTGGTGTGCCTGAGCAGACGATGCATCCGGACCATAATACCACACACCTTCTCTCTGGGGTGCCTCCATGGCTGCACTCGGGTGACGTTCATAGTAATAACTAGCAGTCGCATGGTATGGTTCGGTGATCGGTGACACCTCTGGTGCTTCGACGCTGCCTATCTGACTGTGGTCCTCGAAACTTGCATGGTATTCATTGTTGGAAGGAAGATGCATATTATTATGTGGGTGGAAGTATCCTCCCTGACGCCCGTCGACGGGGCCCCTCTGCATGGCGTCAGGATAATGATAGCTGGAGCTGCGCCTGCTAGTCACTGAAGGCCCGCCAGGATACGCCATACGAGGTGCTGTGTCTGGAACTGACGGCCTTCTTAGTGCAGAGGGAACTTGAGACGTCGACTCGAGACCTCGAAAGACGGAAGACGACACTTTATCTGTGTCGTCGAAATTCCTCCGATTACCTGTATTAGTTGTGCCCTTACGGCTTCTAACAACTGCCGCTTGTTGGTATTCTGTTTCTGCGTGGAAATCCAATCCCTCTGGCACGTCTGCAGCAGAATGCACATGGTTCGTGTCTTTGTTAGTAGACGTTGTGCTAGGAGCGTCGTAACGGGCGGCGGCGGGGGTCTTCGCTTCCGCGGGAGACGCATCCCGGGTGTGACGTCCCTCAAGAGACTTCTTAGCTTCGCCATCCAAGTCTTTGGCGGAGTCTTCCCCGAATCGGCCTCGGTTGATCATGGAAAACTTCACATTGTCAATAATTCGGTTATCGAGGTCGCTCCAGGCCGACTGCGTGGCCCGGATATCGTAATAGTCGATGAGGAAAAGCTAATAGTCACTGTGATCAGCATAGGGCATCGGTTTTAAAAACAATGACACCAAATCAGCAAAGTGTGCTCTGGCCATTTGCTAAGCCACATATATGCTCGGAAAGCGCCCGTGCTGCACGGAATTACAAATCTCGGCATATCAACAAATATGCAGTATGATGTGGTAGAATGGGTACAGGACATACAGAAGCCGCAAATATTCCAAATTATACAACCAGGATGATGTAAAAGAAAAGGAGAGGTCACACACCTGTTGATGGTCGTCGCCACGAACGAAACGGAATAGACACAGATCCCCGTGGGTCGATAAAATACTTTTCACTCTAGTAAGACTAGGAAGATGTTTGTCAACAGCGAAACCATCCGTGCGCCCGCGCCCAGAAGCCGCCTCGACCTCACCAACAGATAGCAAAAAGTCGCTGTCATACAGCGGCTTGAAAGACGAGCCTGATTTGTCTATCAGCTGGGTAGATGAAGAGATAGACAAATCGTCACTAGTTTATAGCGTTTGATGTAAGCTAAACCTACCTCTGCAAATTCGCGGGGTGCTAAGAACGCGCAGTGAATATCCTCGTCCCAGCTGTCGTGATTATTCTTCGTTCCAACTTTTTGTTTGTCCTTTCCTTTTCCTTCGACTGCACTGATGTTTCGCCTCTCTTCGATGAGGGACTTCATCCGCTTAGCTTTACGGTAATCGTATAATTCGAGGATAACAGTGCATTTATCTCGGTAAGAGAAGTTAAAATTATGGATCACCTGGTCAGCAGCGCTATTGTTGGCGGTAGATGTGGGCTGGTTTCGGAGCAAGTTCGCTTCCCCTTGAGAAGCGTACTCCGTCGTGTCACAAGAGGATGCGATAACAGAGAGAAGTGTTCGTAGGACGTCTTCGGGTATGTCTTGCGGGACATTACGAAGCTACAAGGATACGTGTAAATAATAGCGCATATATGCTGAAAAATAAACATTTACGATGAGAAATCGACTTTGGGAGACCTGAGGTAGATCGGCTTTGGTGGCCACCTTGTCTTTCTGGGCATCTATTTTTTCGTGAGAATCGTTTGCTTCAGGATCTGTGCTGTCGCTCTTGAGAGAGGAAGAGGGAGTGAGAGGCGGGGTGAGATAATGGGACTTGTGGGATTTGCGAGAAAGATCGTTTGATAAGCGAGAAGGCTGCCTTGTGGTGGGTTTAAGAGAGGAAGGAAGGTCGAGAGGACCAAAACGGGGCAAGTCGGATGTGGAACTGTGTGAGGCAGTGGGGGAACGGGAGACGTGGGGTGGAATGGGGCCGTCACGGGGAGGAAGCCTTGAAATAATAAAAATATTAACGGCGAGTAAGCGGAATAAACCAGCACGTGAAAGATGACAAACTTACCATAGATTAGGCAAAGACGGCGAGTGCTGTAGACGAGGAGGATGGGGACGGGGTGCAGGGGTACGAGGAGAGCTGGCTTCAAAATGAGCCATGGAAAGTCAAGGGGAAAGAGCGTCGTAGAAGAGATACGGCTGCAAGGAGTGTATATAAGACGGAGAGGATAAGAAGACGATTGAAAGAGGAATGTTGGGATGCAAGTTTAATTTAACGGCGCAAATTGACGTGTTGGGAACTACGAGAAAGTAAATTGCGACAGAAAGATCTCAGGCAGAAAAGAAGAATGTCGGATTCACGAAAATTACGTCGGAAGCTGGATACAAGGAACTGCGAAGCAGCCGTGATCGCTAGTGAGGAACGGAGGACGATATCAATGTTGCAGCGCAGAGGAGAAAAGAGAAGGAAGAGAAGCTCTGGAAATACAGGACGTGGGCAGGTGGCGTAGCGGGAGGACTCAGAAGGACACAGCACGGACAAGGCGCTGCTGGTATCACAGACAGCAGAAAACAAAGCATCCACACAGGCGGGACGGAACAATGCTGGATGGAGGAGAAGCTGTGCACACACTCAAGGAAGCGCTGAGAGGATGATGACCGCTTGAATTAGTTTTTCATGGTATGTGCTGGTGGTACATGGGCAGACTGGATGCGGCAATGACTGAATTGGTATCGAAGAGCGTTGCGAGTTCCTTACGACGTCTGTCAGCTCAGATGCTCCTGTCGCAGTCGTGAATCGTCGCGTGTCGAGGCGACCATGCGGGTGCTCGTCGCACAAGACGCTGCATATCGAGCATGCCTTAAAAAGAGGATCTCGGTTCCAATTTCGCCAACGCTTCGGCGACTGTTTTGGACAAGAAGACGCCTCCAAGGCCCAATCTCATTATTCCCGAGCCTTCATTTTTGACAGATCTAATTCGGTTTTCTTCCCCACCCCTGCTAGTCAGTCTGTTGGCTCCCCTATTACGGAATCTCACCTACCCCATCCCTTTCCAGGGTCACTCTCGCCACTTCCCGTCTCTTCCTCCCTCCATCCTCCCCATGTTACCAGCCGCGGCATGTTTTCTCGCGGAGATAACTTCTTGGTTACAGTTATCTTTGCGCCCCTCCAATGTCGACCTCGCGACTGTCCATATCCATACGTTGTTCTTTTCCGCCGAATCATATCTTTTGTCCTGTTATTGCAATTGTAGGCACCTTCTTCTGCTTATTTGGCTGTCACCGTTCCTACTTAGACAGTACACTCCCTATTCGACGTCTGAACTCCGCCTGTTAGAGATCTCCTGCATTTTTCGTATCTTCGACTCCACCGACTATGTTACCGCTCCACCTGCAGTGTTGTGCCAGGTAATCCTATGTCTCACGACGCTTCTTTTCGGAATTGTCATTTCTCATCAAATCAATCTCTGAACACGGACTATGCCGTCCGGCAATCCACCAAGACGCAACAGACCTCGACGCGGATAGCAAGACCATTCTCTGTATCCCACTGTGATCATCGTTAGATCTGATATTCCCGGAGTTATTGCGTAGAACTCACTAGCGGCCACTGCTCTTTGACAGCCGCACTTCTCGGTCCTTTCGCTCGTCTGAGCGCACTAGCTGGACCGCAGCCGACGATCACTGCCGAAAAGCGACCATTGAAGATTTTGAACACAGGTAGTACCGTAAGCCGTCAGCAGGTCAACAATCAGCCTCGTAATTTATCGCTATGCTTGGTTGGTTCCATGGCGTAAGGGCGTCGGGACCATGGAGATTGACGGACAGCCACGTGGTCCATACTCGCGGCATCAAATCGGAGTGGCTGACTCCTGTATTGACTTGTTCCTCCGTTTTGCACTAATGAAATCTTATGCCAGCTGCTTGGCCAGTATAATTAAGCCGCGTGAAACTATCTCCCGTATCTCCCATATGGACCTCTCAATTTGACTGATACTGCGACAACCACAAACCTTGCCGATGATGTAAATTTGTTTCGTCGCCGTCGCATCTGTCTTCAAGTTTTCTGACAGACGGATCAGGAAAACTGGTACCATCCGGACTGATGACGCAGGCTGTCGTACAATATGGGCATGATGTGGTAAGGATTAATATTGCCAAAGTAACTCGACTACCCAAAGTAACTCGACTACCCACGAACGGGCGGACTTTCTACAACTTGACTAAACCGTTCATCGGCGTCTAATCGTCAATGCTCGTTCAGAAGCCGTGTTAGACCTTCCAGTCCAAGGCTTGGGTGGTTTCGCCAGTCTGTTCATTGGTCATTCACATAGCTTCTGGTCTAAAGAGTCCATGTTCGGTAGGTGCGAAGGCATTCCATTATCAACCTTCCATTTCGCACTGACCGGCCGAAAATAGAAGGCAGCTTATCCAACCGAAAATTGGTCAACTCCTACGGCCAATGCACGGGGCCGCTGGGGAGAAAAATGCACTGTGATTGCCTAGTAGTGATCCCGGTCCTAAGGCTTACCTCGATTCCGATCACTCGTACATTGGCACAATGAATGATGGACGTCCCACATTCGGAACAACTAGCAAATGATCGAACTATGTTTCCAAAACTAAACCGATAATGTACAATCTCGGTGCCGATTTTGACGATGCATGCAAACTTCTGACATTCTCAAAAGAGTGAAACGGAGGGATGGCAAGGTGAACGATACCGATACTAGTAGGACCTTTGATCCAGCCGTCCGTCAATGACCGGGTTATACGTTCATCCGTCCCAGTAAGTTCATTCACATAAATGATGAAACGATACTGTCATTACTTTACTGGTCCAGTGACTGACTTGTCTATTCACGGGCCGTCTGCCCGCGCGAGGCCCCTGACTCCTTCCGATAGTTTTTTCTGTCTGGTCAAAAATACGGCATTACACCTGTTATCGGATACCAGGTCACGCTGCAAAGACGAAATTTCTCAGCCGTTGTTCCATTTCTGTTCTCGTCCAGTGCACTCGGGTTCTCCGGCGAGGAGCGCATCCCACATTATATTTCCAGCCGACAGGACTGCGAAATTACTTCACTACAACCAAGTTGGCGTATCGACCAGTGACTGATCGTCGGCTTTAGCATGTAAGTAATTTGGATTGGCTGTGTCGATCCCCACTCACCCGGTAGTATAGACATAGACAAAGGTCGCCATATTACGTGATATATCAAGAGGTTTATGGAAGCCATGGCGAAAGTTCTCGAATATGGTTTTCATCAGGTTTCCGCTACCTTCCAGGAAATACATAGACTTACGGCTGTCGTTACGCCGCAGATGTGGTTGCAGCATCCATACAGAGCAACTGACGGTAATATATAGTGATTCCCTTACATATGTCAGGTTCGGGAGTTTGACACTTACGAAGTCCAAGCAAGGCTCCCGCAATCATGGAGGGAGACCTCGCGTTGCAGCTCGTACTTAGTAGGTGTGTAACCAGATATCTCAAACTAACAATAGATTCTCTAAATTTTGTCATCAACATATTGATGGTTGGTGAAAGGAATTAAAGGAAGATGGATGTCTTTACAAAACTTGAATGATTTACTTCATTGATGAGACACCTCTTCGAAATCACCAAATTCCAGCTGACAGTTGCGGCATTCTTCATAAAACAATATAACTCGTCTTAGTATCCATCTCCCCTGTATCTATGCTAGTGCTTGTAATTCAAAGTCCCTGAACATTGAACTTGTTTCTTATGTAAACGCTGAATCATTTACGTAACCAGGCGTGAGATAATAAGTCCCTACTCAGGTCTAATTCAATTCCAGCAAGTCCTGTTTGAGTGTGCTACAACGACTTCCAACGAAATTTTGGTTTTTCCATTGAGAACTGTAGACGCAGACCAGTGTTAACATGCCGTTCTACCAAATGCTCTGTATTACTGCTCACTACAAAGAATACGTACGTGTCGCGTTTTGTCTACGGTTTTTTTCTTCATTTTGATCATAAATAAACATGTAGAGACACATCAAGGATCTGGTTCAAATGTCAGCAAAGCATGTCATGAACGCAGGAGGCGTGGTCCGGAATATCAACTACTGGGGTACACAGACGCTGCCGCAAAGAATGCAAAGACATCAACAATACTACAACACCGGAGAGTGAGTATTGTTCTTATATACGTGGATATCTTGTTTCGCCTGGGGAATGTCAGAAAAGCAACACTATAACCCAAGAATGACTACGACGACATTCCCTTCGTTTATCTTTCCTGGTCTTTCGAATCTACTTACTCACCGTGCTTTATGTTCCCAGTTACTGGACGATGCACTTTGACACCTCCCCACGAACGCTCCGTACGCTGGGTGGTATCATGCGACGCGACCCCCGTGTAATACGATGGACGATGCTCAAGCTGGGCGAAAAAGTCGAAGACGTGGTCAAACCACCAGAAAAGACTGTGGAACGTGACGGGTATCTCAGAATACCACAAAGCAAGGAGACCATGCCCACTTGGCAAAACCAGTAGCTGTCTACGAGATTGTGGAGGATTTATCTGACTGTAGAGGCAGTTATATTCATGTGGTGGAGCTATCCTGATCAGTATTATATTGCAGCTCATTATTAGCATCTTCCCTCTCACACCCTCGAAGATCTGCGGAGTGCCCCTCTCTACCCTGTTGTACTTATTTTTGTCCTGTCAGCATTTTTCCGCTTTATCCATTCGATTGCGCCCCAGAGACCATCTATGACAGTCACGCCGTCCAGATTCTCTCCTTCCTCTTTCCTTTCCCCTTCTCCATCCGGACCTGGCCTTCGAATCAACAACGCGTGCATATTGGCAGCACGGGCGCCGTGATAATCGCTATCAAAAAATGAGCGTCCGCACAGTATGTTTAATTACGGCTACTTGCCAGTCCAGTTCATCTCCAACATGCACGCTGTCTATGACATTCACTGCCTCTGTTTTACCTTCCAATGATTGGTGTGGTGATTGACAAGCTCGAAGGAATATTTCGGCAGCGGGTTTCTCGACCCCTGTTTCTTCGCTAAGAAGGACTGGATTCAAGTAAGGGAGCACTTCCAGATCTTCCAGCACCGAACCTAAAATTTCGTCAAGTACGAGCGTTAAGTGGAAGCAGCCATAGAAAGACATACGCATACGACAATCAGTATTGCTAACCAAAGCCGTGCGGATGTTCATTCGATGCAGCTCGCGCACTGCTCACCAAGTTTAGCGAGCAATAAAATGGTGAAGATGTGTTAACGTACGTACAGGAAGAGAATCATCGAATAGTTTGTAGCCTTCCTTGGAACTGAAGCGAGACAGAAGCCTTGGGACGATGTGAGGGAGTGAATCCTCTACGGCTACACAGGGACATTATGTTGGCACGAGGTAAAGATGTCTCCCATTCTTAGATTACCTTGTGCATCTGCCCCAGCACCGACAGCCGTGCGTCTAATGACATCAGTCCACCATCCTCGGACACCGTCGTCTCCTTGGTACACAGGGTTAGTGCTCTGTACGTGTTTCAAGGCTACGTTTCGATGGTGGTCTTCAAACAATGAATTGAAAAACACGGAACGTCACCTACCAGCCTTGAAGGACAGCTTTAGAGAGTGTGGATTGAGGACGCCAATGTATGGAGCAAATGTGTCCGAATATTGAGCATATATTGGTGAACGCGGTGTCAAGAGCGTGTGCAGGGCGTCGAAGGTAACGAGCCTAATTGTCATTAATATGGTCTATGACTGCAGTAAGTGATCTAAGATGAAAGCTGGAGAGACTGAGAGGCAGCTGGCTTCTTGTGCCCGTCCGGCGAATAGCCATTCGCAGACGGACGGCGTGACGGCATGCGGATTGGTGCACGCAAGCCACTTGAAGCGCTCGCTGGTTGCGTCAGACCATCCCAGTCGATGCCGCATTGACCGCAGCATTAGACACAGCCCTATCATTGTGCACAACTGGCAGACAGCTCAAAGAATATTAGCTGCAGTTGCTCCAGCTATTAGAGCACCCGTGTCCCTTGAGATTTCGTTGCCTCTCGCCACCTTTCCCCTGAACGAGAGCTGGTTTTCTCACTGGATACGTCGAGGCGCCGTACCTTCATTTAGGACCGACTTCCTCGGCTTTCAACCACTTGGCCTGAACCCACACACGTGTCAAAGCGGAGCCCATCGACGGGGCACTGCTTCCAGTTTGGATTCTTCGTCTGTCACGACCACCATGGCTGAGGCGCTCACGTATGATACCCAAGCCCTTAGAAGGACCCAGTCAACGGGCGATCTCCCACCTCGAGAGCTACTTCGCCCCGCCAGGGCTCGTATCTCGATAGATCATCGCCGCTCAGAACACAGTCCTCATCTCTTCGATCCACGGATACGAGCAACAGCGCCTGAAGAGTTGAGCATCCATTGTCATCTGCCAAAAACCCGATAGCTGATCACGCTGTTCTATAGTTTGACCCTTGCTCCTCGGACGCAACGTACATTTTCAATCCCAATTGTACCCGAGTTGCCCAGTGCCCAGTCTCACGCGGCAGTTACAGGACCTTCTGCTTCTGCTCTGCACCGACAACGCCCAACGTCTTGGTACTCCAGGGCAAAGTCGTTTTTTGGATATGGACCTGGCTCCTCGAGGACTCGGAAATCACTTGTCTCTTTTATGTGGAACCTTGGTTTTGGTTTTATGCAGGTTTGCTCCCTCGACTGCTTTTATATTATTAACAGGCGCTCAACGTGATAATTAGATCGTGGCCACAATTGTCTTACTTGCAGTCGCCTCTTATCTGAAAAGCCCAACTTCCCCAGACGTCAAAGAGATCAACGCTTGTGGCCGGCCTCTTGTAGCTTGGAATTGTATCTGGCTCTTCAAGGTCACCCTGTCATGTATACTGGCTTATTGGAGCTGGCGTAGAGCTTGTGCAAGGTAAGGTCATGTCCCAGTTATTTTTTTTTTCCTTTTGCTTATCCTTATCGTGCGTAGTAGTCGTCGTGACGATACTGAATCTAATAATCGTGATGGTACTAACAGCAATAGGTCGTCTCTACAAGCCAGCGCTAATCGACGAAGGTACCACGAGGCACATAGAACTAACATAACTACGCCAGCATCCGGTCCATCATCCACCTCACCTAACAATGAGGAGCAAAGTCTTCCATACTCTCATCTTTATGCTCGGCACGTACTCATGTATTCAGAAGACGATATAGCTGATTATAATCATCTTGACTTCTATCATAGATTGTCGCTCTTTTCTTCTATCATCACTCTAACTTGGTTTTTGACTGCTCATATCCTCGAATATACTTCTATCAATACATGCCGTCAATCGGCTCCACACGTCTGGTGGCTTACGTTCGCTATTCTGTGCACGATGTATATCACAGTGCTCGAGGTATTTTTCTTCGGTCTTCTCGTGTTCATCGTCCTGCCTACGGTCTTGGTTCGTTTTTCATTTGCCCGTGTTGTGCCAATTGACTATCTAATAATGGGGATGGTTAGTTATTTTACAACATCGCTTTACTCTGCTTGGGACGACATCCACTCCAAAACCCTCATTATATCAAGCCTGAAGTCAAAAAGCTTCCTAAATCCTTGGTAGATCGCATCCCACTAGTGATATACATCCCCCCACCTCCAGATGATCCATTTCCCGGCCCCATACCTATACCGAAGTCTGCCCATTCATATCCTCCAAAGCCAGTCTCCGCTGTAAGAAACATGAAGAGACGTTTTGCGTTTTTACGTAAAGTGTCGCTGCCGAAAAAGAAGGCAGAAGGGGGTTCTCAGAAGACTGAGAAATCAGACTCGATTCTAGGAGGGAAGACGAGGACGTGGGAAGACTCCTGGGAGCAAGGAGAGTACCCATTCGTCAGGCTGGAAGGGAACCGCGCGGTGTGTGCTATCTGCCTGATGGACTTTGAGGAGCCGAAGAAAACGGAGGGTGCTCTCAAGGACGATAATGAGCACAAAGGAGAGCCCCAAGAAACCGTTCGTCCAGAATCTGATGCAGAAACCCCACAAGGAGTTCCAGAAGCTCCAGAAGAGAATATTGAAGAGGAAGAAAGGCCGAGTATGCCGCACTTGGAAGATGCAGGCGAAGGGCCCTCACCATTGAGGTTGCTGGCATGTGGACATGTCTTCCACGTAAGCACACTCCCTGAAGTTTTTGTGGATAGATACCTCCTAATCACTTTATCCAGCAACCATGTATTGATCCTTGGTTGACCGAAGTGTCAGGGCGATGTCCAATTTGCCAACGGCCAGTTGAGATTGAAGAACCCAAAGCGAAAAAATCAAGAAGAGGGCGTGCGTAATGATTTTACGTAATGGGACACAATGGTGTTGGGTCAGCCATGGCTACCATATAAAATATTCGGCGAGGCTGTGAGAAGACATGATATTAAGAAAGACTAACTAACGGTACGGTGTATTTTTTTCCTTGCATCCCTGTATATCTACCTGTCCTGGACCAATTTGCATGCTGTTTGTTTCTACTCCATCGATTGTATGATTTATTGTTTTTGCTTCCTGTAAATCTGAGATTTACAATCACGACTAGACGCTGAGCACCTGTGACAAATACATGGAAATCGACAGAAATACGAAATTCCATCCAAACATATATATGCACGTGGTAAGTCGCCTTTTTTGGTTTGTACCCACATAGAACTGATTCGGACAGTTTCTCCATTGTGGTCAAGTACATTAAGTTCCTTGCAGTCAAAAGCAACAAACGAATCTCAACCCTCCGATGGTGCCACTCGAGATTCTCTTGCTACCACGTGTATCTCTACAGGTCTGTCACGGTATATTACTGAAAATCCCTGCACAAAATATGGAACCTACGGTATTGGAGATGATGATTGTATAATTTTAGCTCCGATCACCTCCAAGCCTGGTTTGCATCATAGCTGGAGCTACCTAAGACTTGAGTCAGGTTTATCTGGGCCCCATGCTGACTACAGCTTCCAATCGTTAGCCCCAAAACTTCGGCATACTTCTTGTGTTGCCCCCCTTACTAGACGTCTCAAAATGCCTGCCCCTGCCCCTGAGGAACCCACTACTGACGATTCCACAACTGACTCGGAACGAACCGCTGCTCAGAAATCTGAAGGCTCATCATGGCCTACTGCTACCCCTGAACAACCCCCGCGTCATATCCTGGACGATGAACCTTTCTCACATAGTTTCTTCGACAGTGACGAAGGCACTTCAAGAGCAAGGGCCCAATGGTTCAAGATCCTTATGTTCGGTCTGGGAGTTGTTATATGTCTTGTATGGACAGTGCTGCCAATGTATTGGGCTGCACTGGGACGTATCGACAGTCATGTCGGGTCCCTGACTGGGTGGGTGGTGGTGAGTGGTTTTACTTAGTGTCATAGTCGCATTTATCAATAGGACTAGGATTTTGATGGTGGGCAAATAGGTCAAGCCGTCGTTCTGGCATTTCAAAATATTAGTGGGAGTGACCAGATGTCGTGGGTAACTGTTCCTGCCAATCAATTTCCCAACGGACCTCCGGATTTAGTTTCAGCTATCCTTGATGAAAGGTGCTGGGCAGCTATCTCTAGTAAAGACTTTTTTCTCTTTCCACGTATTATTGAATGACCATCTGCCTTGTACATGCAGTAAATCCCTCAGCCTCCGCCAATCTCAATGCTGCAGTAGCCGCGAAGAATGGTGCCTATAATGGGTCCCTGGCGGTCACAGCATTCGCTAGCGAAGCACGCAATGAAAATGCATAGTAAGCTTATATGTGTTCTGACACCATATGCTCATACAAATCACACTCTTTAGTCGCGATGTGATCATCGAAATGGTACGGTGCACGTTCCACATGAAGTCTGAATCTCACATTTACTTTCGCATTCAAGATCAATCCACCACTTCAACTTGCTTCACAGCAATTTGCACTCCAATACGCTGCAGGGCTGGGTAACAGATCAGACATAGCGGCTTTGCTGATGTCTGCACCTAGTGTGGTGACACTGCCATTCTATTATACTCTCAATAACATCCGACCATTCGATGTACCAGTGTATGAATATTCCTTTGATTGAATATCTGAATACTGAATTATGTTTGCAGTGCTGCTGCAGTCGATTACGTTGGCCTGATTTACTTGCTAATTCTTGCAGTAGGTCACTTGTCATGTGGATGGTGAAGATACTGACATTTTGCTATCTGACAATTGCAGTTCATAATGACAGTAAGAGTTTGTTACGATATCGTTACAACTGATTCTGTAACTCTCGTTATTCCTCTAGAATCAACTTTTAGCTGCCCGCGTTGAATCGGGTCTTGCACGTCGCCTGAAACTGAGATCACTGATCTTGGTTCGAATATTCACTCCCATCACCATGTACTTTTTTGTTTCTGTATGTAATTGAATACTCGGGGAACTTCACAAGCTCATTTACTTCTTTCCACAGTTGATGTATTCGCTTCTGAGCTTGGCTTTTGAAGTGCCATTCAATCGCAGGTCTGTGTGTCATTTCGCGGGCCTGATCACACCATTACTGATGTTCCCTTGGTAAGGTTCGGGCGCGCTGGTTTCGTTATCTACTGGATGATGTCGTGGTGTGCCATGATAGCCTTGTAAGGGCAAGCGAACTACGTCCAAATTGCTTTTTTGACCTCATTGTCTTAGGGGTCTAGCTCTAGAAGCCGTACTCACGATTCTGAGTTTGAAGTTACTCCCTTTCTTTTTGGTTCTATAGTTAATCTGTAAGTCGCTCCTGCAAGCCATGACAGAGTCTAAACAAAACTGAACACATCTGCAGCGAACGTTGCTGTTGTATTTTATCCCATATCACTTCTTCCTGGTATATTCCGATATGGTTACGCCATGCCATTCTACAATGTTTCGCGCACTGCCAGAACAATCATTTTCAGCACACAGAACCAAAGTCGGTATTATCTCGGTTCCTTGTTATGATCTAATCCTTTACTCACACATTCCATCATATCTTAGTCGGCTTGAATTTTGGTGTTCAGTTTGCTTGGATCCTCGTCTCGTGCATGACGCTACCGCTATTTACTTGGTTTGTCCGCAGACAGGAACTTAGAGCATGGCACAAAGGGAGGATGCACGCCAAAGCGGTGGGGTGATGAGCTGTTTTTTGTGCACTAATACACTCGCATTTAACATGTTATCATTGTAAACTATTTCACGTTTCTGACGTACTAGATGTACATCCCAGTTGCTGGGGGGTGGGGTTTCGGACTGTGTGCCGCCGGCTTGTTGTGGGACTTGCCGCGGCAAGCAGTTCTTGTTCTCGACTTTTATCATCTACAGTGACTTTTATCCACCCAAGTTTCGATTCAAGTGTTCGGTGGAGATCTATAGTTTCGGTGTATAATCTTGAAAACTAACTCGTTCAACATCGCCACATATTACCCCACGTATGTTGCTTTATGAGTCATATGGTCCACCGAGAGACTAACTCTGCAATACTGGCAATCATTGCAGTGATCTTACAGGCACTACTGTATTATTTCACCTGCATTTACACATCGCCTTACGCAGGGGGTTGCATCTACGATATTGAATATTTGTGTTCATGCACAGGTTTACATTGACTCGAAATTGCATATCCGAATTAGACCTCAACTGTTGTATTGCGGTCTGAATTGCATCAAACACATCTCTAAAACGTTTGTACTGGAAGAGCTACTTAACGGAAGTCAGTCCCGCACATGCCTCAGCAAACGGAATCTGCAATGCGGGCTACTATAGGATCGCTCCAGGCCGATGACATTGGGCGTAAACTGCGAATTGCAGGCCGGTTTGTGCTTTCCTATTCTCGGCAGGATCTTCGTCTCTGATTTTCTTGTTTTATAGGATGCTTTCTTATGACCCGCAAACGGCCTTGGTGCTCCTCCATGATCAAGAGAAAGCATTGCTAGTCGATGTATCTCTTTGCATTGACCCACAAACGTCTGGGCGATGGGTCCGCGAGCGGAAGAACATTGTGTATGTGATAGGTTATTTGGAACAGGTTTTGGTGAGCTACACGCGCCTTTTTTACCTTTCATTCTACTCAAGCAGCTCTCAACAATATCCGACACATTGACTCGATCTTTGATGATATGTGCAAACCTGTGCCATATCCTGCGTCTCATTGCAGACACCACTCCCCATACCTATGCTCCCTGCATATGCACATCCGCCGGTGATTGATGAAATGCTTGTTATGCGTGCCCTTGTCGTGACACCACAGCCAACGCTGGATACAGAACATTGGAGGAGGTCCGAGGGAATGCGTCCTCCTGACCCATATCCTTATTATTGATTGTACAAAGGAGATGGAGAGTATATGTTTTGATATCGCGTATGGCTGCCTACGGATTTTTCGCGCCGATGGTGGACATGCCGTGGGCGATAGCGATCACGATTGGACCCAGATGGGCAAGCGATGATGTCTGCGTTCATGCAGCAGCGTGTTTGACGAGAGTTTTCTCCAAAGAACCATTGATTATGGTCGTGTGATTTAGATCGCACGATATGCGGTGGTAGAGCACGCTGTAGTCGCTGGATGATGTTGGTAGTGATCGTTTAATGCAGCGCTTGGATGATGCCTTGCTGTAATATGCAAGACAGACTCTGTCCCCTTGCTGTCTCTTTGCTCTATCGTGTATATCATGTATCATATTTCTGTGGCAGATGACCGGTCCGGTGATTTAGAGTGACGGGACGCCCGATCTCCGATGAGATGAGATTAGATTCTCGAGGCTAAGCGACCCCGATTGGCTGGTTGGACAGGTCCCACTCATTGTCTTTGGCCTGCTCGACGGCGACGACGACGACGACAGTTGGTAGTAAAGCGAAGGACGCGACGTGTGGGAGATGTAAAATCTGCAATTGTCATGATGCTGCCCTTTTGTGACGATGCAGTGCAGGTGGTGTGTTTTCTTTTATGTCTAAATTCGAGGAATGTCTTCCACGTGTTGGGCCGAAAAGGGAAACAGCAGTGGGCATGCCCTGCCTCGCCTCAGCTGCTACTACTTGTAAACGTCCACAGTCCGACCTGCCTTTGTACATCTCACAACCACCCTTTTATCTGCCCGCCATCGTTCATATCCCGCTACAGTCTTATAACGCGACAATACATCTTTATCCTCCACCACCATCTTCCCCAGCCCGTTCTCAGATCCAGCCCGCACATTTCACTCCACCCACAGAGCTTTGTCCTCCATCGCCACTGCTACCGCAACGCACTCATCGATTAGCCCAGTGCTCCTAGCTCATTCGATGCCAGACGATAACATCCTTGGCCCACTTTCCACCTCCCATCCAATGTCATCCAGCGATCTTTATCCCCGCGACCCACCCGCCTTCGAATGGCCCACGCCCTCAACCTCCCGTTTCCCTCTCTCCTTCGAACGCCCAGAAACCCAGCCAGCTCGCAGCGCAACTCCTCCTCTACATCCTCCAAAGCCTGTTTCTCCTCGTTATGACCCTCTCTCTATCCTTTCTTCTGCTCCCTCATCTCCTCCACCTTCTTCGTACGCTCATCTAGATGCGCTCCGCCCACCAGAAGTCGCCCCAGGCGTCCTTGCTGATGGGGGCCTCACAGTGTCCTTCCCTCCTGTTCGACACTTCCTGGCATCAACGCTAGAAGAACCTCTCCATCACCCGCCCCCAGCAGACAAGCGTGTCTTCGCATTAGCGGCGCTCGCTGTATTCTACCGCCCACTGCATCCAGCACATTGGGTCTTTTGGAGCAAAGACAAGAAGAGAATCACAGCACATGTTGTGCAGGAGCTCTTAGGTATGTCTTCGGATCCCTTCACATGCTGTATTGCAGCGCGAAGTATTTCGTTTTTTGCCTTTATGGAAGCTACTTCCTCATTCGCCCATTACGTTCTATTATACCTTGTTGAAACGCTTGGTTCGTACACTGACAAACTATTCTCAGATACAAAACCACCGCCCATTCGCTCTCCCATCGGCTGGATCGCAATGCCGGAGAACCTCTGGATCCTCGCCAGCATGCAACATGCGTATGCAGGCGCCCTCACCGAGCTCTCGTGGTATGTTCCACCACAAGACACAAACGAAACCCGGATGAACCTCCGCAAACGCAAAGCTCAGCCACTGCCACAAGCGCTAGCTGACAGCGACAGCGATGTCGAGCGTGAAGAAGAACGGCCATCTCCAAAGAAGCGCGCGAAGACACGTCGGACTGTTGCTTCTGCGACCACTAGCACTGGTGCCGCGAGTCAAACGACGGTGCCGGTAATGCCGGAGACCATTGGTATTGGTGTCGACAGCAACGACAGCTCTCAAAATCAGGCTGTGCCTGCACAACGTAAAAAACGGTCGTTGATCGAGTCTCCCGTGCTCACCGGGTCCGCCTCCATCCCCGATGAGGACGGCGCTGATGACAAACAGAGTCAGCCACAAGTGGTCGCTGTGGGAGGAGAACAAGAGGAGGATGTACCACAAGTTCGTAGCAGCCTTCGACAGAAGGAGAAGGAAAAGAGAAAGAAAGAAGCAGACGGAGAGGCGTCGCCGAGCGGGCTATCGGCCACTTCTACTCTCAATGCAGCGTCCATCCGATCAGAACAATCACCTACTCGCTCAAGTCCTTCGATTCCAGTAGCAAATCGAGGACGGTCCTCATCCTCTGCGTCCCTATCTACAGGATTGGGATCAGGTTCAAGTACGGCCGTTAGTATCTGTGATGAAGCTGGAGTAAAGAAAGCAGAACTACCAGAATCGGGTAGTGTAAATGAAGATATGAGTGATCCAGAGGATGAGGAGATGGAACAAGAGGAAGAAGTAAAGCAGAAGACCGCCACGCGAACTCGTACGCGTTCACGCAAAGCCCCTGCCCGTAACAAACCTTCTTCGGCCAAAAAGTTGCCCCCAGCTCGCACGACTACATCCAAAGGCACTTTCCATAACAAAGCCAAGCCAGAGGCTGATAACGAGAAGACGGCCGGAGCAAAGTCTCGCACGAGGCCTAAAGCAAGACCGAGGAGACGATAGTTTTCTCTTTTTTTTTTCTTTTTTTGTATTTTCTCTTGTTTTCTTATGTGTATGTTTATGGAAACTAAATGTTGGTGATGTGTGGACATAGCTTTCTTGATTACAACAGGAATTCTGTGTTACTACTGCCCGCGGAGAGCCTCTCGGTTCATGGGCTGATATATTGTCTTTTTTTGACTTCTGTCTTGTGTATTCCCGATTATCTTTTCCCTCGTTCCACTTGAGTTGTACGCCTTTCTTGACCTGTAATTCTGTTTCATTACTCTTAAATATCCCTTTTACCCCTGTTCTGACACGTTCGTGGGTGTTACTCGCTTTGCTATCTGCTTTGCTTTGGATTTGTTCAACCAATGTGTTTCACTACTGTGGGTTCGTGTAACTTGTCCGTTTGTGCGTTCTAAAATAAACCAAGATATCATTCGCTGCAGCGCGACTAAGGTTTTGCCGAGGCAAGATATGATTGTACTGTTGTGAAATTATGGCCCAACTATAACTTCGGATATCTTCTCAAGAACTCGTGGATGATTGAGCCTTGAATCAATCATGCAAATTCCGCACCTGGACTGTGCTCTCTTATCTTTTGGTCTGCTTCTCCAGATGAAATACCAATTAGGGATCGGCGATCAAAGACGCGACTGTGACAAGGCGCGATGTGACTCAGCACGTGATGCGTGATCTTCAAGCGTCGTGGTTACTTTTTACTTTTTCCCCTTTGTCCCAGCTGCATGTGGCAGAACTTGATCCTTAGTTTCTGCATCTCTCGTCCCCACCACCCCACGAAAGTTGTAATGTAAACTACTGGAAATGATCCCTATTATTGTGAGCTTCCAATCAATATTCTCATCCGTGGATCACTGCCAATACTGACATGCATTGCGTAAATCTTGCCTGTCAATCTTTCAGCTCAATAAATCGCAATGGAAAGAAGCCTTATCTGTCTAGTTAAACGCTGGCTTTAGTGTATGGCGTTTATGGGTTATCGGTCCCGATGTCGCGCCCGAGTATTGCATCTTTGTAAGTTCTGTACGGCAAGTACAGAGAAGTCGTATGATAGAAGGAAGGTATGATCATCCGTCATCACTAGTCTAACTTATTGAACAAAGGCGTTAAGTAGTAGGTGACACTTTAGCATTCTTCTCGATGTTCAATATGTGTCGGTATTCAACGAGCTTTTCGTCACACATCCTCTATCCTACATCATGGGTTCATATTTTACGCACTTCTCCACTTTGACGTCAACCGAAGCAGTCTCCTTTGAGAACATAAGATCAGGAAGACAGACACGTGATCTACGCATGCCTTCACGGTTCACGGTTTCAGGCAGTTGCTTCAAGGCGGCCGCAAGATGATTAGTCAAACTTCCATGCACGCTTTCATAGATGTGACGGCTTCTATAGTAGGATATTGAATAGCCCGAACCATACGTCTGGAAATGGCAAGCCATTCACTTCTCGCCAAGCATGCCACCGGGGGCGAAGAGTATTTATGCAAGAGAACGGGATTCAATTCTACACTACATGTTCCGTAACCCCCCTTAGTGGGTGAAGTCTAAGTCCACAGTATTCTAACTTATCTTCTTTTTGCATATTTTATAGCTGCTTTGGGGGGACCACGGGGGGTATATGACGTTGATTATGGGTCCGTGAGTTTCTTCGTTCTGTCAGTTGAAGATAGTCGTTATCTCATTATCACCCCTTGGATAGTGGCGTTAACGGTCCTCACGTTTATTGGGTATTGAAACGTAAGTATGTCCTATCTCTAACCATATGCTGCCAAATTTACTTCAACTCCCGTGGAAAGTTTCTATTTGCATAGTTTGCGAGAACGTCTTTGGGCTTCATCCCACGAAGTCTAGGAGAATTTCAGCTAGGAATCCAAGCTGTGTGGCTGATCGCTGATACGACATGATTGATACGCTCACAAGACCCATCGTCTTCGTCCTCCTAGACGCTACGGTTCACGGCGATATCGGATGCAAGCCGGGATTACGATATAGGCATCCACGGGGAGGACCGTGAACTACAAACACATTTCCAAGAGCAGGATTAATGTCGGACTCGGACCGTCATTGATGTGTCTTACGACCGTTCGCCACGGCCAGTGGCTAACCCTTCTTGACACAAACATTGACGCTATCTCAAAAGCCAGACTGTGTATCGTTGTGAAACACTCGCTGTTGCCAGTAAAATGCTCACAGAGTAAGTAAATAAGTGGTTCAATAGTGGACCCATCGACTAACAGCGCTGATAGCCCGGTGATATACCGCATGAACTGCTGGCATTTTCATCTTCGCGGGTAGCGGATGCTTTAAAATGTGTGTACATGGACAAGTAGCACTCCTATGGAATATTCATATTCCTCAAGCTTGAGTTTTTCTTGGATATCTGATATTAACGGGCAAGTTCCAACATCAACGATTCAAATGTTCACAAATAGCTCAACGGCGATTAACAAAGGTTTATCAGTGAGACACCTCAGCCGAGGTGCAGGCTGCGAACCGCTGGGCTAGGTACCAAGGCATGTACATGGCAGTACCTTGGAGTACCTGTATATTTACCAGCTGTTATGCATGCGACCCAGTTGATATTTGGCAATGTCAACTTGGACAACTGGACAACGGGCTGGTCACATCCAGGAACTGGATGATGATAACTATTATTGATAGAGATAATATTGGGTATGCGCCATCTGAGATAAGGAGCGATCGGTGGTTAGCAAATCGCCGAACCTATTGGACATAACAGGTATTTATGTGCCCGGACTCGCCTAGATCAAGGCTGTATTGTCATTGATAGCTCAAGTTGAGGTGACACACATTCATTGGATCAATACTAACGCTCTTGTGTTGTTTCACCATCTGTACTTTGATACATGCTTGTATTCGTATGGTAGTAGGCCATCTGACAAACCGGAAAACCGAGGAGGTGCCAGGTGCGCATGATCTAGGTGGGGCGAGTGACCGTCCACCATTCAGTAAGGAGAAAACATTGACGGAGGATATATAAGATCTATATATGGACCATGTCCATCTCGGGTGATGTTCCTGACCCAACAGCATGTACCTCGCAAAACGTGCGGCTAAAAGGAGACTGCACATGTGTCGCTGTTTATTAACGTTTATTTGTAACCCCCAAAGTTAGACATTATAGTACTGCTCTGTTGGACACCTATAACATTCGTGTGAGCTAAGTCAAGGACAATATCCACAATTCAATGGGAATGGGAGCGAGATCCAGTCAGAACGCAAGAAAGGGATGGGTCTTACGTATACCTAAATATATATATACCAGAGGCAATCACAGCAGTAAACAGACCGGTCAATAAGGCCCTTCTGGAGAATGATGGAAAGCTGACATGAACTTACTGTAAGAGTCATAGTAGCGCTATAACCCATAGGGAAAGGGAATATTTATCCTTACCAGTGGAATGGTGTATCTCCGGAAATGACTGCGTCCCAAATATGCTGGCAGCTATCCAGAAAAAGTGTACCCACACTACGCGTGCGGTTAGTACTCAGAATGCATATAAGGAGTGCGTTGCGCCGACGCTGTTGTACTGTGACTCGTTACCTTGGCTTGCTGTGAGTTTGGGACTAGTGGCAACGGTTTCAGGATCTTCCAGGAATATGCTACCAGTACGGGATATTTGTACCCTAGTTATGGAAACACTGGTTATGTGGGGAGCTGTGCACTCGTGCTAAGTACCACTTCTGCAAGAAAACCGCAGGAGGCTGGATTGACGGGACTCAGGACTGTGGACCTGCAGGTGCAGATACAGGTAGAATAATAATAATGCAGGTGCAGAATAACTGGGAAGAATTGGAAATAAAACACAAAAGTAATGTATTTTTGTGTGACGGCTGTTTCCCCATAATTGTAAGCGCTGTGACGCCGGCAAGGCACTACCATTTGGTCCATTTCTGCTTCCGCCGAGCGGGCCACACAATTCACCCTGCCATTGTTACGCTGGGTCACTGCCCTCTCTCCTCCCACCATCATCTTCTCCAATGCCAGCCCAGCAGTCCTCCTCCTCATCGTCTCTGGCGACGCTCTCCTCTTCCTCCTCCTCGCTCGTAAAGGCGAAGAAACGGTAAGCGCTTGTCTCACTTTTACCTCGTGCTCTCAGTTCTCACCCTTCGTCATGCCTTACAGCAGATGGACCCGTGAACAGCTTCTCAAAAGTCTCGAGGTCAAAACACATCTCACATAGTTAATCCTAACGATGTCTGACTTTATTCTTTCGTATGAAGATACTTGGTACTCTGTCAGCACCACTACCGCCAGAACTACCCCCGTCTCCTCCTTCGTCCCGGTCAAACTCCCCCGCCCCACACGCTTCCAAACGCAAGTTGGACTCTGCACAGGATCCCACTCAGAGCAAACGTGCGCGGGTCACAACTCTCCCTGACAAGCCTCCTCAATTCCACCATCACCATCATTATCACCATCAACCGCCTCAACGTATCCGGTCTCCCAATCCAGTTCCCAATTATAACTTGCGCTCTGAGCCATCAGAGGACGGTGAACTACGAGAGGAGACGACAGCTACTACAACTTCTTCGTCCCGTGGGACAGTATCAGTATCTACCGTCCTCTCGACACTTGTACCTATACGTCGACCAAGACGTGGTCGACCACCAAACAGCGTATTCGATGAAATCCATGATAAGTACCACCAGTACGGTCGTATGCTTAAGTATTCTGGCGACGCTCGATTCTGGTCCACCTATCCTGCAACTCATAAGGAGTACCGCCCACTAGCAAATCCGCCTCCTCCTAATTCTCCTTATCATAAGTACGGCGGTCTGATTGCCAGACTTGAGCTGGCAGATGCACTTGTATGCTTTACCTACTCTATCTGGAGTAGAGATTATAGCCGCAGGTCGTGTTTCAGGGAGACATGGGCTACCATTGAGGCCTTTTTGGGTTGGTGCAAACATAAGTGGATGGCTGAGGACACTATTGGTGATCGCGAAAAGGCGCTTCTGGGATTAATGTCGGTTCCTTCCTTATCGTCTTCGTGGTGGTACTAAATGTCATGATACGCAGCTGGATGATCGAAGGTTTTATTCATGGGCGCAAGTTCCAATACGCTGCGAAATTGACCATAGATCCTGAAATGGATCGTGTATGGTCCAAAATGAGAGCCGAAATGGCTACGCTTGCTAAAGAAGTAGAGATAAGCCCTTCTACAGTAACGCCAGGTCAGCTTCCGCTCGGTTCCCAGCCGACTCCTCCGATGCTGCCGTCACCTGCAAGCATCGCTCCATCAAATAGTGCAAACTCGACTCCCATTAACAATCGAGCAAGTGGCACACCCAGCACGGCAAGCAATACTGGCAATCCTAGTGTTCCCCCTCGTCCGGTATACACTGGTCCGCTGGCTCTTCCCGCCCACTTGTTGCCTCAACTTCCCAACTGTGCTGACGGAAGCCCTCCAACTCCTGAAATGGTAGCGGCTGCAGCCAAAGCAACTACCACTTTTGGACCAGTCTTTACCTTTGGATTAAAGGAGCAGTCGGGTGGTATTGTTGCTGCTGCGTATTGTATGGAGCAATGCCAGCGCGTCCTTAACTTGCCCACAATGGCCAGGCACTATCCTGCTACATTCGCGCGCATGATGGGAACAAGCCTTGCCGCTCATGAAGAACACGAACCCGATATCGAGGACGAAGAGGGCGAGTTATTTTGGCCAGGCCAGTGCATTACAGGTGAAGGAATTGGATGGGTATGCCTGATGGGAAAAGCTATGATCAAGGAATTTGGTCGAGACATTGGTTACAGAGGTCTTGAAGGCGTCGTGCCGAAGCCGAAGCCCGAAGAACAAGGTGCCGAGGCTGAGGATAAACCCGCAGAATCTGCTGCTGGGACTCCTGCAATTACTGTACCTCAAGTCCCAGGACCGATACCTGCCCCTGCTCTTGTTCAACGGTAGCAAACTTTGCACAAGAGAGAGAAACTGATATTTGATTTGCAATGACCACAAAAGACCAACTACAGAGGTCTCATTACTCCTTACACGCCCTGCTGGACGCATGGTCGCCATTTCTGGAACGGACTGGATTTTTTTGGATTGGGGAATAAATAAAATATTTCTGGAAGACATAGGGCGATTAAACAGGCCACAGGATTACGCTCGACACAAATACACCAACGAAAACCGCCATTTGGTTTCCTCCTATTACTTCGCGATGCTTACTATATATTGATCACCATCTTCGAAGAATTTGTTGGTCGGTCTTCATTCGCGTACCCGTGGATATTATCGGGAGATGCGAAGGCCGCTGCTCACTCGCTGCACACTTGTGTGCGTGTATTGCCATGGGCGAAGAAAAGCCCGTGTAATCTACTGGTTGAATCTCACGCATTCACCCCAATTGTTCTAAGCTGATCCTTCCTTCCACTATTCCAAAACTATTACCCAGCTTTTGTTGGCCTTCTCTATTATTTTTTGTCTTCGGTTTGATATTTCTCCATGATATCTCTTCCATTAAAGCCCTTCAGGATTCCATTATTTGTCTAGTACCACTTTCGTCTGCATGTCATCTTTCTGGAGAATGGAATCTACGTAAACTATTTATGTAGTCACAGGGCCCCCTTAGATTGGACCTTGGCTCTCCCCGCTGTACTTCTTTACCTAACTCCTTGGAGTTCACATCCATTGCAGCTTAAGTATCCAACGTAGCCTCATCAGCTCCTTTCCCCCCTAGAAGCATTCCCCTCCTGAGACCGAGACTGCTATGTACGTGTATGATTATCGTATTCCTAATGTATACCTGTTCTCCGTGGATACGTACTGCATCGGGTTTACAGTTCTTCGCCTGATCTTCGGGTCTTCCACCACACATACCCAGAGTTTGTATGGAAGCAGATATGTATCCGCTTTTCTCGTCGTTTTAGGCAGCTGAAACTATTTGTAAGTTGTAGAATGGAGGGCGTATATGGAAGGTTTGGCCCAGGCTGACACATCTACCGTAGACGGCGCTCACACCAGTAATGTTCCAGTTAGTGCCTAACATGTAGAACTTACTACCAACACACTGAACACTGTCCTGTGAACGTGCGATGGCGCTCTTTTACTGTTCCCAAGAAACACTACACGGCGTATAACTTATATCACGATTGGCACATAGCAGATGATGCAAGGCAAAACGATGGGTGAAGCATAATATATATCGAGGCAAAGCATGATGGCATGGATTGGTCATGAAGGTGGGATGGAAATGCGAGCAGAATGAATTTATATCCAGAGAACCCATAATAGCCATATGTATCGCCCCTGCCCGACCCCAACGGGTACGGTTTTCACCGATTGGACTTGGCCACACGCTCGAGCTCGTCCTTTTTCTATAAAACGTAGTCAGTAAACAATATAACATCAAAAAACCAAACAATATACTAACCTTAATAGCGTAAGAGTTTGAGGAACCCTTAGCGGCGTTAATGAGTTCATCAGCCAGACACTCAGCAATGGATTTCACGTTGCGGAATGCAGATTCACGTGTCTAGTTTCAAGTTGAGTTGGTGTATAAAGGCAATCACGAGGAGATAAACATACACCGGTGGTAAGAAGAGCGATCGATTGATTAACCCTTCTTAGTGGGGAGACATCAACAGCTTGACGCCGGACCGTACCCTGCGAACCGATACGAGTAGAATCTTCTCGGGGACCCGTGTTGACGATGGCATCGACGAGAACCTAGGGAATGGTAGATCAAGTCAGCTTTGAGTTTAGGAAAGGGGTGTATTTGCACTCACTTGGATAGGGTTCTGGTCAGTGAGCAAGTGGATGATTTCGAATGCGTGTGCGACAATGCGAACGGCCATCAACTTCTTTCCGTTGTTACGACCCTTCATCATCAAGCTACAAGGGCGTGTTCCAATAAGTTACCAAGACAGTGATCTTGCGGGTATTACAAACCTGTCTACCAAACGCTCGACGATAGGCATCTGGGCCTTCTTGAATTGCTTTTTGGCGTAACGGCCAGCGGTGTGGGGCAGGTAGACTGCATGACGGACTTGGATATAGTCTGTCAAAGATATATCCTTGACTTCAACACTACAAACCAAGGGCATATTATGTCAATACAGCCGGTAAGCATCGACAGCTTCACGCACTCCTGGGTGTCCCACTTTCCGAACAGCTTGATTTCCTGTCCAAGTTTTGACACGTCCTTTGGGAGAGTGGTGACCGTGGCCATTTTGAGGTGCTTGAGGAACTTGATGCGAGCGAATGAATACCTTTCCGCGACAGCGAGCGCACGTATTTGGCTTTGTTAGTATAGAAAACAAGGTTCGGTCTCTGTCCGGCTATTCCCGTGAACTGTACAGCTCATCCCTTTGTTGCCCTTTTCGGTCCGGGACCGATACTGAATTCCGAGTCACCGGTGCCTCACAGGCTATATGCGCCATATCCAACAGTAACGTCAAAGGACATATTGTTGACCGCTAAAAGTTTCATCACCACTTTAATGATCTTGAGTTCATTATGGTCACCACCACATTTCCTTCGTCCGGGAAGCAATACCATAAACGCTGACTCGAGGCCGCGATCGACGGGGTTGCAGTGTGCTGTGCGTGAAGTGGGCTTCATTCTTACTTGAGGTATTTCATTTCAGGATTGTCAGGTTTTGAAGGTTCAAGAAATTTAAGAAGCTAGCCGTATTTTAATATGGGCTTCTCCATTTCTGCCCATCCCAGAAAATCCGGGTGACTATCATCGCGTTATTATGTATCCGAACGCCCCCAAGTTGAAGATTTACTCGTGGGGCCCACTCTGGGTACGAATAAGACGACTGCAGCATGTCGTTTGTTTATGTTACACGAGGTAATATACACAATGTGATGTCTATGAAACGCAACAGATGATGTTGAATCGCTGTCACAGCCTTTTATATCATAGATCACACCCCATAGATTCGTCTATCTTGGGCCCTAAAATGCCCCTTTCGCCAGCCAATATTCCACCCACAACTCAGCATCTGTCTTCCCAATCTGTGGAAGATTCTTCCAAGTGGAACTCACACTTTGAGCCTTGTCCGTGGAAAGGGTCGCAATACCTCCCGCCTCGACATCTGTCCTGCCAGATTGGCGTACTTTCATGTCGGCGTCTGCCATTGTACGGAAAAAATCAAGAAGCTTGAGTGCAGGCTGGTGCATATATCTCGGTTAGTCGAGGCGGATGCCGCGGAAGAGTCAGCACTCACGATATTGTCAAAGTCTACTGCTGTTGCATTCTGTGCACGTTTCTCCAGTCTCTTCACCCATTCTCCGAAATCAACGAAGGGAAAATCTTTCCTATGAAGACATTTCTTTTCCAACAATGTGTCACGTAAAATCTCCATAGTATCCATCCAGGAAACTGGACGAGGATGAGCGAGATTTAGCGCCAAAGGTGGGGTCTGTTCTGCAAAAGCCACGTCTAAAATCGCCGCGGCCACTTTTTCCGCGGGCATCCATGAAACGAGCTGTATCAAGTCGTGTTCATTATGATCACACATTGCAATTACGAATAATATCACTGACACCTTGGGCGGCTGGAAACACAGCCAAAGCTAGGCTGGACTTTGCAATGATCGGCACCCAGTCAGTTGTTGACCATGCTCCGTTAGGTCCACCAGCTATCTGACCGATCCTAAACGATGTTGCATGCAAGCCACTCATATCCAGGAGCTGCAGAGTAATGGGGATTAGGCATTTTCGAAGTAGCCATTGAGGGGACAGCACTCACACGTTCCGAAATGTATTTACTTTCTCCATACCCGGAACCGACCGCTACGCTTGCGTCGAGCTGCACTTCTTCCGGAAATGCCCCCTTTCTTTGGTCCCATCCTTGCGCAGATGCAATTGACGATGTGAACAAAAAGCGTGGATTGGAGGGATGGCTCGAAGATAATGCGAGATCGATTAGCTGACGTGTCCCCTGGATGTTGGGCTCAAAAGAGGAAAGGGCAAGGTTGAAATCGAGCCTCCAAGCATTGTGAATAATAATGGTGACCGACTCCCTAAGCTACAATCAGATGTCAGCCTAATAAAAAGTGTCGAGGTGCGAGTCAAATTGCCTCATTGTATGTCCGCTCATCAAGCCCACATTTATCAGCTGCAGCGTCACCCTCGAGAAAAACGAGCTTTTCCGAATCCAGCAAAGTGACATCCAACGCCCGATCTTCAAATGATGAAGCTTGTCTTCCTTTGATCGCATCTGCCTTCGAAGGCCGATTGAACGCATATACCTTCGCAGTAGCCTCATTCTTTAAGAGCAAAGCCAATAAATATGATCCCAATCCACCTGTCGAGCCAGTCAGCAACACCACCGATCCTTTCGATGGTATTTCCCCCTGATTCTCCGCATGGGCACCGTTCGTCATTATCGTCTTTCCCAACCCAATACTATACTTCTTAAGCGCATTTTCGATCGCCATCTTCTTGTCGTGTGCAGTGGATCCATTGGTTTCGCCCTCCGGTCGGTTCACGATGCTAGCTACTCTCTTCGCGAGGAGATGAATGCTAGGGTTATCAAAGACGAAGTTCTGCGGTATACGCTTAGCTGCTGTGCGCAATTCAACTTGATCAGATGCATATAACGCCCCGAGGATGCGATTACGAAGGAACGTTGCATTCAAGCTGTCAATAAATTTGCACAAAACTCTCATTAATAACGGGCTAGGCAAGAGCGTTAGAAAGTACCTATCGAAACCTTGCGAAAAAAAATCCTTGTCCGGTATGATGTCGACACCTGAAGAAATCGATGCTATTTGCTCCTGCAACCATTCAATGAGCGCGGGCTCAGTCCAGCTCCGTGGCGGAGTTGCATCACTGCCTGCCTTCGTGCTGGCTTCTACTGTGTTGTATCTGCAAGGATTAGTTATGCGGAGATCGTCGGAACAAGGACAAACTCGACGACTTACAGTGCATTAATCTCCTCCTCGTATGCTTTGATTGTAGCCTTCTTGGAAACCGTGCCTTTTGCGACCCGAACCATGGGCTTAGAGGGCGATGTAATGAGAATCATTTCTTTGAAGATACGACTGAATGCTGGGGCATCTTTGTTTGCTGCTTCTACATCAGGCCTATTCAGATGACCCAGAGATTTAGGACAATCCAAGTGACTCGAGCAAGATGAGTATCACGCACCACACCTTATTCCTGAACTCTTCCACTGCCTTGGTGTCCGTGACATCTACATCACTGATCGCCTCCACCAGGACGCCGACCTGACTACGGGCGCGCCCAAACATAACCACCCCACTCACAAGTGGATTTGATATTATGACGCTTTCCATCGGAGCGGGAACGGTTTTCTCGCCGGAAGCGAGGATCAGAACATCATCCTTACGTCCGACACTGCGATTACTCGTCGTAAGTCTGGAAGATAGAAATATGTGATATAGAGGCATACATTTTCCAGTATCCTTCCCTGGTAGGATGCTTGATGAAAAGGTCAGATGTTGCATAGCCCTTTACATCTGGCAAATTCTCGACAGCAACTTGGTGCTCGGCTGTCGTCTGCCAAAATCAATACAAATCGCTCAATCATTCATTCTCGCAAAAAATCCGCAGACGGAAAGCCAACATACCAACACTTGGCACTCGTAGGTACCATCATCCTGAAGAACCCATCGCATCTTCACTTTAGATGAGGGGTGCATCCACTCCCAGTCACCACTCTTCAGATCTTCTCTACTCGGTAAATTCATTATAGATCCAAATTCTGTCGCACCATAAACAGAAGCAACGGGTACCCCAGCGGCGTGCAATTTATCCCCAGCCCTCGATGACAGAGGACCGCCGCCATAAATCTGCAGATATATCATTTTTTTCATTATGTTTTCTCAGCTATCGTCGATAACACTTACCACAAATACCATTTGTTTCAACGTCTCTATCGCCTCATCGTCACCCGCCCATAGTTCTAGGAACGATGGCACAGCCACAACACAGTTTGCACCTGTCTTTCTTATGTTGTCCAAGATATTGTCAGACGTTGGGATGACTGGCTGGGCATCTGGGTCATCAAACGAAGTTGGAGGGAAAAGTGCCGCAGTAACAACAGACGCAAGTGGAGAGTACAACTGGACACAATTCCCAAGACTATGAAAAGGGGGAAGTGATGCGGCTGCGAGTCGTATAGCAGGAGTGTACCCTGCGAAACCCTGTATGGCCGCTGTAAATATGTATCAGCTACGATACTCTATAGCAGTTGTGGCTATGGTAGCACTCACGCTGCTGTAGCCAGTGCATCTGAGAGCGGTATGTCTGCGGGATAGGCTTCGGGAAACCTGTACTACCTGACGAATGGATGTACACAGCAGCTTCGTCCAATGATGGACGTCCAGCCGATGGGTACCGCTCGAACGTGTCATGCGCTTGTTCCTTCCCGAGATGAGGAAAGACCTCTGCAAGAGTAGGTATAACCTGGACGTGTAGTGAGGGAGTCCCGAGTTCGCGTTTGATGCCGGAGACAAGGGATTGATGCGCAGAAGGAAGAGTGAGCAGACGGTTACACGCAGTCTTTTGCAACATGCTGACAACAGCTGCAGAGGAGTTACGGGGCGACATAGGGAATGGCTACACACATGTGTGTGCAGTTAGTGAGTGTCATATTCGTGGTGAACAGCTACTTACCACGAGACCAGCAATAGTAATGCCTGAGATTATAGCTTGATACAAAAGACTATCTGTGTTGGCAATGATTGCGACGACTTCTCCGTCCGCACCTGTACGGTTGGGTCGAACTGCGTGCGCTGCACGGTGAGCGGCACGCACAAATTCAAGAAATGAGATGTGCGTGAGTGTGCCATCTTCATTAGGATACACGAATGCTGGGAAGCTTGGATTATGGTCAAGGTGAAATTGTAGATAGTCTGTCAAGAGGAAGGGGGCATGTGCAGGAGGATAGGTGAGTTCTAATGACATCGCTCGATGTCGATGACTGGGTGTTTACGTTTATTGGAGAATGGGAAAACTTAAGAGACGAAGTTGGAGGCTGACAATCTAGTGAATAGCTGCTTTTATCGTTCTCGATGCCATGCCTAAAGGGGCACGATCCCGGTGAGCGAATAGGTCTGCGTCATTCAACGAAGCATTACACTGGACATACCTACTAAAAAAACTAGATACTGACAATACTGAGTAACTCAGAGTCCTTGGGAAATCAATGAGGCGCTCTCTCAAGGGCATACGGCGTAATCCAACCAAGTCATCGATCGTCCGACTCATCGGGTGGCATCTTAGCACTCCTCTACAGGCTCTTGACGAGGATGAGAGAAAATAGGTTCCTTATTTATCCGCACTCCGTCATGAAGAATGACGAATTCCACGAACTCTACATCTGGACTGCCTTACTTGCTTCCGCTGCTGTCTCTGATGTCCTCAATCCACTGGTACCTATGCAGAAATGAGAGATGCCTTTGATATCCAGTTACCTAACTCATCGGACCACCTACAAACCTAGCACAATTTTCCTCATATAGGGGACAGTTTAAGGTAATTGCATGCACGCCGTGCCGCTCGGACGAGAGACCGTGAACATCGCTGTTGCCGATGCCGGTTTCCCCTTTAGGACTGGTCAACGCCCAGCTCGACAAAATAGGGGATGGCACGGTGACTCGAATCCCCTGTACTCCGAGCTCATCACTATTAGATACAGTGCTATGGTCATATGAGCAGGATAACGCCTAGGATAATTCCGACTCGCAAGGGCCAGCGTGTCACTTCCAAGTCACGTCAGTCAGCCCATGATGTCAAGGACTTGAAAACAGAATATAGATTGAAAATTGTATTTACACCATATAGCATGTATAGAAAGTTACGGGGCTTGCGCCTAATTTAAATGTTACTCTACCTGAGAAGAGGCTGCTTGTTGTCTGATTCCGAACAGCTCGATAAGATCTGGTTGGGAAAAATGAGATGGGACCACCCTGTCCATGAATAACAGTGAAGTACCTTGCAACCTCGCCTCCTTTTTCTGACGCTGTGTTTCTGTGCGTTTGATTCCAGAGAAAGCCTGTCATCTCATTAGGACCTGCTCTCGTTATATGCAGGCACTCACTTGTTGGATCAATAGTTTTTTCCTTTCTTGGATGTCGATAACCTGAAGGGCAAGTCTATACGATGATCTTAATGGTTCTTTTGAAGCTGACTGACTTTAGATTCAACAGTGTTTTCTGCAATCAACTGATAGACATGGACTGGTTTTTTTTGGCCAATCCTACGAGACTCGTTATGCCGGCTGTACATGACAAAATTAAATAATCCTACCGATTACACCTGTCAATTGCTTGGCTCTCAATACCCTCCTATAGAATTGTTAAAGTTGAGATTAATGGATAAGAGACATTGCGTACCTGCCACCACCTGCAGAACGGTCAAAAAAAGTTTGTCAGCTGTATAATAAACTCATAGGTTCACGAAACTGACGGATCCATCCTGTGGACATCCAACACCTCAGCGCGCTACTCAGCTAAAAGAGAATTAACTTACAGGTACACATTATTGGCAACGGTGAGATTCAAACCTAAAGCCCCCGCCTTCAAAGAAATGAGCATAACTTTTGGGTTTTCTCCCGTGAAAAAAGAATCCTTGAAGGTGGGTTTTGCACTCGTCTTAGCCCTGGACTTGCCTTTGCCCTTGACCTTCTGAGACCTTGTGGGAGCCAAGAAATCACCATCAAAGTCGTGGTCTGCACCATCTGCAACAAAGCTGGCATCCTTTTCGTCGTTTATTAAGGAATCGTCGGTATAGATGGCCCGTGCGGAGCGGCGTGTCCTAAGGGAGGGAGGGAGAGGTGTCTCCGTAGAAGCTGGAGCATCTTCCAATGGGACACAGAAACGCTCGAGAGTTTCTTGGCGTCTCTTTGCTGACATCTGCCCATCAAATCGAACGTATGAGATTCTGTGTACATCTTCAGAAGGTGTGAGACTAAGGAATGGTGCGATATCCTTACCCATGCTCTTCCAATGTTTCAGCGATCTATTCACGGTAAGCGTCAGATACACATTCAATTATCTTGAAGTATGAGCCATCACCTTGTCTAAGAAAGAAGTGAACTGAGAGAAAACAAGGGATTTCTCATTGGCGGGCGTGAGTTGTAGAAGATGCACTAATTGGTCTATCTTCGCAGAAGAGCCAGACCGAAGTGCATTGTTGTCTTCGTTTTCCTCTTGGCGCACTAGAACCTGAGTGAGCTCTGTGGGTGGTGGAGGTTCTATGAGGTCACCCATGCCTATGAGACGGCGATCCTGCAATAACATGAGATGACTTCACACATTCTGCCAACGACATACCATAGGGCACTTGGGATCTCGGGCTATGACCTCTTGGATGCTACCGGAAATGGTGAGATATTCCCTAGAACCCTATGCGATTTACGTATGACTCACCAAGCAAAGCAGAAAGAGTGGGCACAACTAGTTATACGAGGTTCAGTGAGAATACTGAAGCAGATGGGGCATTCCTCGCTATCTTCAATCAATTGGGCCAGCAAAGCTTGCAGTCGCAATTTTTCAGCAGGGGTAATTTCTATGGCAGCGTGAGGGGCATCCTCGTTTGCGCGCAATTGTTCCAAGTAATCAGAAGGAACGAGTCCAGGGTGAAGGGCGAGTTGCCGTAATCGGGTTAACATGCTAAGAACGTTAGTAGTGACCTAAAATGAATTCACAGTCAGAGTGAACCGATTATTCGCTAATGAGAGAGCAAATGATATTACAACTGTATTCATGCCTCCATTTTGATTCATGATGTTCTCAACCTTTTGCTGGGATACTTGCTCGACCGCGTCGTACAGAGCCTGGAGGGAGTCTATCAAGGGAGCAAAAAGAATATGGGATAAAATCTCACCCTGGCTTCGTCATTTAGTGTAACAGGTACTAGAGTCATTTCAACCTGTTGTGTTTGCACTAAATTTGTATGCTACAAACACAAATCGAAATTCTTACAGGTGGTAAAGGCACAAGATAGTTTCCTTCACTATCTTGCATCTTTGTGGATGATAACGAAATAATTAGCGTCTCATGGAGATGAACACAATGGAGACCACACTACCTCTTTGGTCCGACGTATGCAGATATGACTCATCAGTGCCTGAGTGATTTGTGGGTAGATGAGTGACATGTACTGCTGCTATGCATATGTACTTACACGAAGAAGTTCAGCACCTACAGGATCTCCATCTTTGAGTGGCCGAAGCAGGAGTCTTTTGTAGAAATCCTCATTGTCAAGAGGTCGGCAAATCTGGAGGAAAGTAAGGATCGAGCCCAAGTCCTGAGAAGCCATATGTCAAAGGATTAATTCCTCCAATCGCGTTTGACGTACTCTGGGAGAATTAATCTAAACAAATGCTGTTAAATTAATGAATATTCCATAGAAGATCGACACGTACAATCGGAGTCCCAGACAATACCCAGCGCCTCTGCGCAGTTAGTTTACATACAGCCTTTGCCATCTTCGTTTTTGGGTTCCGAATATTATGACCTTCGTCCAAAACTACCCTCTTCAAATATATTGATCAAACTGTCGCTGTAAATCCCTTCGCACAAGACACTCACCTTCCATTTGACATCGAATAAACCTTTCTCATTTTTCGATTTCTTCCTCTTCTTAGGATGCCCCTCTGGCCCATTACTGACAGCTATAGCGTCGGGATCTTCGCTAGTCACGGTCTGGTATGTAGTTATCACCACATCATATTGCATCAACTCCTCTGGGCTCATGTTTCTTGCAGACCCATAATAAACACAGTATCTTAGCGCGCCTCGTACGCAGTGCTCTTCGATTTGTTTCTCCCAGTTCGACATGACCGAAAGTGGTACCACTAGTGCAAGGGTGAGCGAGACTGCATATAGAAGCACAAGCAAAATTTACCGATCAGAGTACACTTTGAATGGTTAGGAGGCAAATCATCCTTAGTGGCAAGGATAAGAGCAAGGATAGTCAATGTCTTTCCCTGAGGAAGCGTTAGCAGAAGAAAGTAATTTATCGGAGAATTTCGTACTAGTCCCATGCTATCACCTACTAGTGCACCACGCTCAAGCTGTGGGGGACTAGTGAGTTCTTGAGGAGTTTTTGTCGCGACTAAACGGAGCGGGAGATTTACTGATTGATCGCGCTACGTATAAAAGATACTTACTATTATAATAGTAGGACTGGCATTCCCCAAAATAAATAACTCAAAGTGACTTTTCATGATAACAGACACACCTTTGAGCCTGATTTCATATATTGCCAGAATTGAACTGGTTTGTCGGATTCTTGTTTAGGAAGCTTAGGGTATTCGTGTTCAATGCACCATTGTAATGCTTGGCTCTTATAGTATAAAAAGTTAGAAGCTATAGATTCGTGTGAAGGGAAGGTACTGTACCTGATGCTTCAACAAATCTACTACCAAGTCACCGCTTTGAATGCCTGGTGGACTAGGATGTATAGGTAGATTCAGAATGTCATCCTTGGAGCATAACGTATCCAGCAGCGAAGTACGCCTTCCTTCGTCATCCACTTTCTCCAGAGTATTCAACATGTCCTTTAGTTCCGAAGCTTTCTGCAGGGCTTCCTGCTGTTTCTGAATGGCCTCTTGTTGCCTTCTTGAGGCTTCTTGTTGAGCTCGAGCTTGGGCAGCGCTTAAACCTCTTTGCGATGCCTGTTGTGTGCTGGGGCGGGACACTGAAGAGCTGCTAGCACTTGCTGATGCTCTTCCACTTGAGACGGGAGCCCCAGGTACCGCGCCAGACCCGCGAGGAGGGAAGCCGCGTTGGTGAGGGGTTGCCCAAATGAGCTGCGGTTCGAGCTGATCCCGCCTGTCAGAGGCTCCATATATTTTCAAAGTCCTAGCCACATATTGTTTAGCGTCTATACTCTCAGCACATAAAGACATTCTCTTACTCACATTGAAAGGGAATAGCTAGATCTGGTTACTGGTCAAAGAAAGTGAATTTGAAATCTCTACTAAAGCTTCCCATTGAGCGTCACGTACAGTTGCCTTCGCGCATAACCCCCTCTACCGTCACAGAGCCACGATCGAGCAGAGGTGATAATTTAGAAGCAATATTTCGAGGTATATGCCCAACCTGTGTCCCCCCAATGTTCATTACTTGAATGGCATTTCTGAGAAGGTTTGAGTGAGATAGATGGAAGATGGAAGCACGATACGACTCGCCTATCATATCTATTATGAGGTTCTCTGATGAGCCTTACTTCTTCACCTGGTCCTACCAGACCTTTTTTACCATGAATTAGTATGAAACAGTATTAGTAAATAAATAAGAAGCACCTTTGTAGTATTGAACGCCAACTACACTAGCCTGCATAACACAGTACAACTCATCTCTAGGATCCTCAATCAAGATGACTTCATCGTCGCTATCTTCTGAGATAGGCATGTGATGATTATAACGCCCCACATGTGGTACTTGTGATGAATTGGACTGTGAGGGAGACGCAAAGGAAACCCCTGGATCAAAAGAGGCCTTCCTTTTTCTCTGACTGGAACCTGCCGTGACATTACTTCTGGCAACTGGGGGAGCCACGAGGGTCCGGACTGAGGGCGGAATATCTGTTGCATCAATGCAACGATTAGAAATGGCACGGCGAACTTTCTGCTGATCCTCCGACCTCGAAGGAATTTAGTGATGAGGTCATGTGCTTACGGAAGTGTACATACTTCAAGCTATCGTAACCCTTGATGTTACGGGGATTTTGGGCAGATAATGCACCCAAGATAATTGGCGTTACACAACCCCTGACAAGCATTCAGCGCAGATTGTTAGTGATGAAGCCCTGCAGATGAAAAAGCCGTAGAAATTGTACCAATGACGCCATTCAACCATGTCACCATATTCCCCCGAGACGACTTGACCATATCTGAGATTCCCTGCTAAAATAGGCGTGCCTTTGCAAGGTAATGGGCCTTTACACGTTGCACGAGAGCTTTTGCTGTACTTCATAAACCAGTTAGCTGGACTGACTGGGAACGTCACCTGAGTGGGGTTACTCACTTCGACCACATGTGAAGCCATGAATAGGACAAACCCCAGATACAAGCGATAAAATAAGGTATTGCTTCGTAGATTTCCTTTTGAATGTGATTAGAGTTCGGGTTAAGTTATTTGGATGTGGACGCGATGGAATATGGCAGTCCGCGATATTTACTGTTGTTTGCCCGACGCGACGAAAGTTATTTGTGATCAATGCTGTCACGACGCGCTCCTGTCACGCTATTGTTGTAAATTGACGCGCCTTTGAGGTTGTTTCCACCTCCCACTGCATTTCCTATACCTCAAAATATATAATTCATACTAGACTTGGCCATTTCTCATCGCTTCTAGTCATCTTCTATGAAAGATGGTCACATTCAATCCAAAAATTCAAGTTGGGAGCTCTTCCGAAAGTTTGGCTTACGATCCTGAACAAGATGCCACCGAAATACGCGATATGAGGATGAGATATCGCATACTGGAAAAGCGTACAGAGGGTGCGTATGGGCGCGAGATGAATATGTTCTTTATTATGACGATTATCTGTCCAAAAAGACAAGCACATTCGCCCCCAAGAGTATAAAACGGAAGATCTCCTTAACCAAGTGGAGCAGGCCGACACATTGTTCAAGAAAGGCTTGCAAACCTTTTTTAACATGTCCCGGTTTGCTCTAATGCAAAGTTTCCCATGCAGTAAAGAATCCTACCGACGCAACTCTTGATTCTACTATCCTTCGTAATGTCTCGTCTATCAGTGCACAGAAGGCGCGCGCTATGAAACTGGGTTCAGGGGCTTTTGACGTAGATGATTTTATCACAAAACTCGTCACTTTTATGGGTGGACGCCAACAGCTCCGAGGAAACGACGATGACTTCGAGCTAGATGATGATGCTGCCACTCCTCTGGCCTGGGACAAAATCGGACGCAAAGCATTAGCTAAAAGTCGTAGAGTTCCTGTCCTGGATTTTATGTGAGTAAACCTAGTTTTTGATCCTCATCTCCTCTTATATACGATTAGGCTTGGTCCTCTTTCCATCGAGCAAAAGAAGCGTGTCTTCGGGAAACGGTCCAAGCTAGAAAAGAACAAAGAGGAGGAGAGAAAGCCTCAAGAGTTAAGGGAAGAAGATATTGCCCGTTCAGAAAACGAGACAACCAAAAACGTGGCAACGGTAAGCTCTTTTTTCGCAAAGACAAAGAAAGCGCGATGCATGTTTTGTTATAGATCGAAAAAATACTCGCCGAACAAGGCGCAATCAACATATTTAGGTTCATCGTGAATCCTAATGACTTCGCCCAATCAGTTGAAAATATGTTCTATCTCTCGTTCCTCATACGAGATGGTCGATGCTCGTTTGAAATAACTGAAGAAGGCGACCCCATCATCTGTGCGTGTGGCAGAATCTTTCCTGTAGCGAAGATATACTCACAAGTATTCAGATTCATGTGAACCCCCCTCAGATGACGATTATGCAAACGGACTAAAAAAACAACAGATCGTCACAGAGTTTGACATGGCAACTTGGAGAGTGAGTTCCAAACCCCTTATATGTATGAGTTTGTTTATCCAAACGTCATTTTTTCACTAGCGCGCTATCGAGATCTTCAACATTACGGAATCTAAGATACCTCAAAGACCTCCCTCTAAAACAAAGCTTGGCGATAAATGGTATGGTTAGATCCACTCTTCATTATTACTTTTGTATATTCCCTCTGCTACTTTACTGTATTTATTCTCAATAATAAGAATCTGCAAACACACAGCGAGTTATTATTTACGACGTATTATGTCAAACCTCCTGATTTTTTATACCTGCTTGTCGTGTATTTATTGTTGTCAATGGGACATAATATACATTGAGAAACATGATGCAATGACTAGTGTAGATAGTATAGAAAATCGAGATGACCCCATGGTATAATAAATCATTCACCCAATAGTTTAAACAGATTTACCGATCGCTCGCGTTGAGTTGGGATCCTGGTACAGAGAAATGGACTATTTTTACTAACAGTGCGTGCGCGGTTGGAAGTGGAATTTCATATTCCCTTGCGTATCGTATATCCCGTAACCAGGTTCTTGATTATCCGAATAGATGTGTGCGAACCAACCGATACCCCCGTCCACGACTTGCTTGAGTGTTTCACATTTGCTGTCCAGGAGGGCAAAATAATCCTGACAGACCGATAAGCTTCGTTGGGAGTAAAGGTGAGACAAAACTAACATGTTCGTTTTGTACATTAGCAACTGCCAAAGGGCTATTGGGCTGGACACTAGGTGACGTGACGGACGGCCATCCGTTCTAGCACAGAATGTGATTTATTTAAAGTTAAATCGTGGAAAAAACTGATATGAAATACCTCGTCAAAATACATTTTCTTCCCATTTCCATGAGAAATGAACCAGTTCAGATCAGTTTCAACAAGCGGCCACGACGCGTTTGCTAGGGATTCTTGAGTGTTACAATGAATTGAGACAAGCAGACAAGATAATTTTGTTCACCGATAGATGCAGTCTGATCGAAAAAGGGTAACATGTGAATGTTGATATAATCCAAAGCATTAAGCACATCTTGCGCTCCACCCCTCTCCTGATATCCATAAGCCAACTCGCTGACGGTGACTGGGATGTTGAGATCCGATAAATTGGCTTTCGCTGCGATGACCTGAGCAGCAAGCTCGGCGTGTGGCAGCACATTATCATAAAGTGGTTCAGAGCCAAATTGGACTCCTCGTGTAACGAATCTAGCTCTTGGATTCGAATGAAGGGTCGCGAATAGAGTATCCCGTCGACCAATCCACTGATCAGTGCCATCAAAACCAAACTAATCGATTATATATTAGCTACAAGCACTAGAGCAGGCTGGAAGAAGAATAGAATCACCCAGATCAGAGCATGTACACCGAGAGTGTTCACCCAAGCAGCTTCAATAATGTCATCACTGTGAACAAGCGCTTTCCATTTGAGCCTCTAAGGTAAGATCAACGAATCAACCCACTAAAATCCTTGCCGGTCGCATGCCCCGTATAGGCGAACATATCTCGAGTTAAAGTGGTGCCGAATATCCCCGAATTCCAATATCAGCTGAGCAAGGCTTTGGCCTGTAAGAAGCATCATCAGTGAGGGCAAAATCAACGTGTAACCAAGGCTTACATGCAGTGACCTCGTAGCTGAATCCAACAAACGCATATTCAGTCGATGGATCGCACCACCAGTTGTTAGGATCAAGACCATCGACAAGTAACGGCGTTTGGAAGTCCAAAGCAGGAAAGCAATAATCAAGACTCGATATATCCCTTGGGAGTTCGATAGCTACGGAAGACGCCCAACCGAAATAAAATACAGTGAGTGCGTTGAGCAAGACAAAAAGCGGTAGTTTCAACATTGCGAGAAAGAAAGGGACGAGTCGGATAGTCCTCTCAACTATTCTTGGTGTATTTTTATATACATTCAGGACAAAGACAGCTGGTTCATGTTCCTTTCTCTGCGGCGGCAAGTTTCGTCACGTTCATGCAAGCAGCTGACCGGCCGGAATGATGTAGAATTCTGAAAGAAGTCTAGGCAAGAGCGAAAATGCCGCTAAATCGGAGAGAGCTCCTATATGCATGTGTTCCATGCGTGCGATTCATGATTGAGACATTCATGGATTCCATGCCAGTAAAGCAAGAGTAGTTGTGAGACAGGTAATCGTAGTGTCTAACAAATGGAACTGTACGTTAGTCTGGGTCGTAAACTGAGGCGCGTGATTCGTTAGATTAGGGGTTTTCTGATGAAATAACTCACCACATGGTAACCAATCTTCGACAACTCAAAGAGACAGTAGCTCGATCCAGCCTGAGAATAAGAAAAAGCCCCGGGCCTGTTGTTTGAATGGCAAAGGGTATTGAATCCGAGCGCTGGTATGATGATAATGGGAAGGATAAAGGAAACAACAGAAGCTAAACTCAATGCCAGTTGCCGTACGTGTTCCGTTCAGCACATGGATGCAACAATGTGACCATGATGGTTATGACACACAGGTTGCTGGGCGAAGGCGAGCAATAATGGGTGCTTAGGTAATGTAATCACTTGGTGCTTCCAACAAAGGGGTTTAGGTTGCATTTGTACAAAATTACACCTGGCGATCACGAAAGTACTAGTCTACTGTGCAGGACCTGACGATTTACCAATTTGCGAAATGCAACTTGGGATCCAACTTCATCAATTCATCCATGTTTCTCCAGAGAATTGCAGCTTTGATGCCTCCCCTGGTTCTGCGAGTCTCCGGAAACAATTGGTCTTCTCTTGAATTTTCGAATCGCCGATAAAGATCAACCGAAGAAATTATAATTTAAAACTGAAGCTCCAACGGAAATCTCTTTATATTTCAAGACTATATGTTGAAATACTATCAGGCTAATCGGGTATATGAAATGAGTCCAGGCCAAGAGGGAGCATGGTGTGATCTTTCAAGGCAGATTTCTCCCAAGACGATCTGCAAAGCTGAAAAAGAGAGTGAGAGAGATGAGAATGTAAGTTAAGTATTGTAGTAGCAAAGCAAAATTTTGACGTACATGTTCAATGGCGTCGGTAGTCGACAATATATTCATGTGATCAGGAACATGACTGCTGTTCTGTGACTGATTTGAGCAAGGCGACAACTGGTCATTCTACTCTCGACTTACCAGCGTATTTTCACTGATATCACGAAAAGCGATTTGAAGATCCAAAGGAAGCTGGGTGGGTATAACTAAAACATGAATAGGGGGAGTAAAAGGTTTTGATGCAGCAATGTGACTCGACATATCCTATTTAGATGATAACACGTCAAGCTTCGAATAAAATGAGAGTGGATGAATGTAGGCACCATTGCAGTGTTTATAGCAAGCTTGATATCCTGTCGCTTCGCACGAGCCTCCCTTCCGACCAATACGAAGAATTCCCAAATGCAATCCATGATGTACACCGCTTCCTGAGGTAGAATCTCGCTTGATAGCGAAGGCACTGGACAAATCTACATAGTGTTATTCAGTGAGCCATGCTGATATCAAGACACGATAGTTGACATTTACCACACTATCGGTGTTCCCAATGTCCACTTTCCAGCATCTGCATTCTTCTGTAAGTGAGCTAGACCTCCATTTCCAGTAATCAGCCTGAGCATAATCTCCATCGCCTAGTATCATCCAAAACATTTCGTCCTTTTTATCTCCTTCTCCTTCTGAAAGCTCGATCACTGTGGAACCTTTGGCGGCGAACCTTTGGGCATATTCCATAGCTGCTTTACGCTCATCAGCCCTTGAGCCACGCCCATACCACACATAAATATTGTCCAGAACCGTTAGGCAAAAACTGAAACCTGAACATAAGCTTTTCAAATTCTATGATAGGAGCTAGATTAGTATTGAAGACTAAATCAATACCGTGACTCTTACCAGGTCAACCTCGTCTATCATGATCAGACCTCTAGCAGATCGTACAACGTGCATCGCAGTATTATCTGACGACCAATGCAGTCGAGTGCCCTAGATGCTTGCATGAGCAGAAGTCTAGTCATGCCAATATTGAACCTGCCTGTCGTATAGCCAATTTTCCTCCAAGAGCGTGTACCAGTTCTTGGGGTTCATGAAGTTGGTGAATAGTCACCTGCAATGCCGCATGTCTTCATTAGTTTTACAGCTATAATAGAACGTCAAGCTGGAGCCCACCAAACTTGTCCCATATCTTTTTGCAAGATCTATCAACTTTTTCTCCTCGCGATCCCCGCAATGGCATTTATTCCCGCACCACCCCCACACTGTCGATGTAACCAGACCACTCTCTTTTGATTTCAAGCGCTGTATGACAGCCAAAACTTCAGTGTCATAGAATATATCAGTATCTCGCTGAATGACAGTGGCTGTGTTGCCTATAACCGACATAACCTCCATAGAGACAGTACGTAGGTCGGGATTAGGCGTAAAAATAGTTGCTTCGACTTGGAGGAGGGCGCTTACATCTACAGTTGGTAGAGGTTCATCGGCATGATCTACGGAGTAATATATTCAATGCTAATATTGGGTTCTAAGCTAGGAAACACACTCACCAAAATGTACTACTTCGACCTCTTCCACTGTGCTTGCCAAAACCCTTCCTTGTAATGGATTAGTCTCTGCACGTAAGCTTTCATTTGGGCTTTCGCTCATTTCCACCTGGCCGAGCACCGTTTGTTCTACCGGCGAAGCCTTTGAGAGCGTCCCTGCAGGTGATGACACGGGTGTTTTCTCCTCTTTCAATGCGGGCATGGCTATTGCAGAGTACTTTTCATAACTCGACCTCCTTTTCTCTGCGAGTACACTAGGAGGTGTGATGTTTCTTGAACGAAGCCTAACTCCGGCCCCGTACTGCTGTACAGCATCGTCGATTTGAGGCTGGGGTTGTGGGGAGGAAACTGGGGAAGGCAACGGCGAGTCTTCAGCATGATGTTCGGTCAAAGCCTGCGCAACGTCCATCACTCGCGCACGATTCCCGGTACTAGGAATCCGATTGTGTCGCGTCGGCGATGGCGCAGGCTTTTCTTCTTTCTGCACCTTCTCCTTCAATTGTGACTGTAGATTTTGCACGACGGAAGTCATAGGAGAGGTAGTAGTAGTAGTAAGGCCAGGCAGCGCATGTCGACTTGCCATCCCTATTCCTAGTCCCATCCTGCCATCGCTTTGTTGATTGTTGTAGGACGAGCGCGGAAGCGCCTGGACAGGCTTTACGCCGATCAGGATCTGTCCAGCCCATCGATCAGTGACTTTGCCGGGATTCGCCAAGGGTGGCTCTTGAGAGGGAGTAGCTGAAATCACCGTTTCTGGCTCGAATTGCACGTGAGGTAAATCTTGCCCAGGATGGGTAACATTGGGTGAAGAAGACGGTGAAGGAGCTGGATTTTCCGCTTGAATACTTACTTTATTCTGAGACACGGTCAGAGACGTTGCGTTGATAGTAGATGGCTCTGTTGTCGGAACATGAGGAGCCTCAACTTCTCCTTGTGCGCTTGCGACTTTAGTTTTTTGAGGCTTTCTAGCTCTGCTCTTCGTTGGCTGTCAATCAAATGAACAAAAGGCCACATGCGAGAGAATTTCCCGCAAGGAGAACGGCACAATAATAGATCCAGAAAGGAATGAAATGAAAATCAAATTGGGGCAACAACAACATCCGCCAACAAGCAACAGAAAATGTACAAAACAACGCCCCCAAGGCAAAGTCAGAAAGTGCAAAAGCAAAAAAACCCATCAACTAATTGCCACTCTGCGAGTTTTGCCAAAAAGCACGCACATGACTTAAAGGCTTGCCAGGGGATACCAAAGGTGAAGAAGACCTGTCTGATGACTTGCTCCTTCTTACTGGCACTACTCCTCCTCCTGCGTCTACTGCAGTAGTTTCTTCACTATTACTGTGAGAGGCACTTCCACCACTTCGTATGCCTAGTTCATCCACTTCAGCTTTCGTCACTTCGGGCAATACTGGTTCGTCTCCCGTCTTCGTTGGCTTGATATAAGATATCATAGTACTTCCGGAACCAAGACCGTTACTCCCTTTATTCGTAGTCTGTGCAGCGTCCGCCACAATGGGTAAAGGACCACTTTGTTGAAATGGTGTCTGAGTCATCGATGGGAGTGATGCAGTACTTTTTAATGACCTCCCCGTCTCATGAGACTTGACCATAGGTATCTCATGACTTTGTGGGCTCGCGGGCGGCGGTGTACTCGCCGGTGTAGAGCCAATAGTACGAGATTTCTTTAACGCAGGCGGTCTGGGAGACATAGGAGGTGACGCGTTGCTTGCTCCCAGAGGACTACCGCCTGCAGCTGAGTTAGGCTGCCATCTATCCAACACAGACGCTCTCCGCGCACCCTTCTCTTTAGACTCCCCCGCTTTGACATCCGCAGGGTTGTAAGCTTCCGCTTCACGCCTCCCACTCGCTTGTACAACGCTCTGTACAAAACCCCGGCCCTGTAGACGACTAATACTCGGCGTCGGGTCTTTCCCTGAAGCAGTCTGAGGTGGACGGAGGAACGCAGCAGAAGTTCGCTGAGGCTGGGGGGAAGCATGGACAGGACGCGAAAAGGCGGAGCCTGTGCCTTGTATTGGTATGGGGGACTTGGGTGGAGATGTTACTGTGATGGTAGACATAGGCTGACGAGTCCCTCGTGACGGGGTCGTAGGAGGAGGACTCGAAGGAGGGGTGTTCAAGCTTCGAGTGGATTGAGGTCGGCCCATATGAACTGGTGTCTTCGCGCGATTGCTTTCTACTGGTGTCTTAACACGAGGCTCTAGCACTGGAGTCTTGGACCGAGCGTCCATGACAGGTGTTCTAGCACGATTTCCCTCTACGGGGGTTTTGGAACGAGAACCCAACATTGGAGTCATGGAACGTGTATCTGTACTTGGGGTATTGGCACGAGCATTCCCTGTAACGGGCGTCTTTGCTCGGACCTCACTCGCGACTGGCTCTGGTACCGGTCGTGATGTAAGTGGAGGAGTATCAGCGACCTTTCTTTGGGGTGATGCTTCCTGCACAACCGCCATCTCTCCAAATACGCTCCGTATCGGTGACCTTTCTGAGCTTATACTGCCCGGTGTGCTGATCCGCCGCTCACGAATTCCAAGTCCTACAGGCTTTACTGGCGTTTGAGCTTGCTCTTCTAGTTTTTCGACATATCGTCTTGCCACAGAAGACGTACTCATTGTACGCTCTCTCTCCCTACCCACTGTTGGTACTGGACTCTTAACATTAGCTCCAGCCCCTGCCACACCCCCTCTACCAACCATCCCGGGCATTGCCACACCACCACGCCCAAAGACAGGGTGTACACGCCCATGCCCGTGTCGTAAATCGTCTGGGTCAAGCTGCTGCGCTTGAGGCGCTTGCCTATTTAACCGAGGTCCTGTAGCAGAACCACCCATAAAGGCAGCGAGCGACATGGGTGGGGGCTTCGAAGAAAGTTGCGACGTTTTCCCCGAAGAAGATGAACCACTGAATGCAGAAACTGGTGGTGGCAAAGCTGATGAAGCTGAAGACGGTGTGATAGCAGATTTAGAAGAGGTGGATAATAGAGGTGAAGGTGGTGGTTTTGTGTTAGTTCCAGTATTTTCCGCCAGACTCGAATTTAAGCCTGGGGTAACCTTGGCAGAACCACCTATAAGGGTATGCATTGCCTCCAGTCGATGATCTATCGTGTCTTTACCACTCGCATTGTCATTTCCTTGAGAAGATGTTTCAGGTGCTACTTGCCCTGTACCCAGATTGCTGCCTAATAGCCCCCAATGCCAACCACACAAATGCGTATTAGTTCACCCCAAGCTACGGGATAGCACCATAACTACTTACCAGCCTCAGTTCCAGATAAAAATCCTAGTCCAAAATCGCCACTTCTCCCACCTCTGCTCCTCCTCATCCGTGCCATCCGTGAACGGGCAATTTCCTCCTCCAGGCGACGTTGCTCGACCTCCTCGTCTGCATCCACCTGGCGCTGTAGAGCCTTGATGCGGCTTGTCCATTCAGCCAAGCCGCTTTCAGCATCTGGTGCAGGTGGCAGATCAAAGCGTGGACTTCGAGCAGATGTTTCCATCGGTGAGATGTGGGGGTGTATGATGTTTATATGGTCGAACGGCACTTCCTTTATGTGTTATGGCAATATCAGACTGCGTTTAGTAGACAATATCGCTAGGAATCTTCGAATCTGCAATTCATGTATACATCCGCAGGCAATGCTGAGAAGGGTCAGGTATCCTTGATCCTGTCTCACTATATGTATTCCTCAGGCCTCCGACAACTGCGAAGAGAAACGCTCACGTAAGCATTTCTTAAATACAAAGGCCGCTGGTTGTCTGTGAACTTGGAAGTTGAAAAAGGCTCTCAAAACAAGCCGTTGTTGCAACAATAGTGCAGTTTATGGGATTAGAGAAACACAAAAAATGTCCATTAAGATAATGATGAGTACATCGTAACTACTAACATCCAAATCAGTATGTCCAATGTATAGTTCAGGTCCATGCTCTACACATCCCATTCATGTTTTATCCCATCCTTCCATCCACAAAAGCTAACCCGATGATGGGACATATCATCAAAGTATTTAAGCCAAGAAAGTGAATACGGAAGAGATCGCAATAAGCGCAGATACGGCTGCACCCATGCTGTATCCACCGACTGACAATGTGGTAGCTGCACTTGTGGTAGTCGTACTCGTAGAGTTGCTAGCGGTCTCCTTGATATTGGATGGCATCCCACCAGCTGTAGTGCCAGTTAGAATCTCAATCAAATTAAGCCCTCGTGAAATTACTCACTGGTGAAGTTAGCACCGCACTGTTGTTGAGCGTCACTCGACACACTGCTTGAAATCAAGGCGGGCATCGACTGTTGAATGGTCACGTATGCAGCCTTGGCACAGCTGGTGCAAGAGATGTTGGACGGTATACCAGAGCTCTGACCACTCATGACCTTCGAAATCAACCCGGCGATGTTAGTGAGAGAGAGCGTAGTCGTTGAGTTCTGGATAGCGTAGAGCGTTTCAATAGCACAGTTTTCGTTCGCAGATGTGCTACAGACAATCACTGGTTAGAGAATAACACAAAATAGAAGAAATAAGACTCACTCTTGCAGGCAAGCAACCTGTCTGACTGTTGGGTAATATTGCTGAACAGCCGATATTAAACCAGAGGTGTCGGTTGTCGATGCACCAATGCTCTGCAAATCCGAAGCACACCCGCTTGTGACGTTGCTGACAATGTTGGAAAGCGACTGGTTGGTACAAGCCGCCGAGGAACAAGTAGTTGTCAACCAAGAGCTCAAGGTGGGAATGATGGACGTTGAGGAAGAGTTCGAAGTCACAAGGGCAGCAAGACCGAGAGGGTTCAAACAACTAGCATCTGAAGAAGTAGCGAGTTGAGTGAGGGTAGTCTGGCATTGCGAGGACAACCTATAACCGAATATACATTATTATAACTGCGGTGTGCAATGCAGAAGGTACTCACGATTGAGCAGAGGCGAGACCAGCGCCTGCGATGAGAAGAGCGGATGCGAAGAACATAATTCGTTAGTACTGATTTTCTTGAATTTAAAGGGTTGAAAGTTAGCAGAAAGACTGGTGAGGGTAGTAAAGTAACAAAGAGGAGGAAATGTTTTGGTGCGCAGTCAACGGCTCTTATATTTGTGTAGTTGCGACCGGCTTAATCATCCCCGTCACTGCATGCGCGGAGGTCTCACCCCCGATTTAGACAGCTACTCCACACCAAGTCTCGGCACTGATCGGCTGTGCCATTCACACTTATTCTCATGCCCTACCCTGTGACTTCCTTTCTTTAGTTCCAACTATGCACAATGATGGAATCTGAATATTCAATTCAATATACTGTGGTCTCTGCTGTGCCATTTCGCCTTCACGTTGCCAGCCTTTGTTTCAGCCTTTGTCGTAATGTTGCATAAAAATTGGAGTTTAGTCGCAGCAGTTGGCAATGCAACCATTCGCAGCATCCAGAGCTCCACATTCCTTTTCGCACGATACGCATCTAGCATAACTTTTGGCTCGAGCGCCGGAGAGACTTCTGCAAGAGGTAGCATCATGGATAGCAATGGCGCTTGAGCTTGAGGATCAATCTGAAACGAGCTGTGTACCGTCGGACAAGGTGCCGTTTTTTCTTATGTGCCCTTTAAATTAGTGTGACAGTACAATGATCGCAGCTCTTCTTTGTTGCTATACGTCCATTTCGAATTCAATCGTAAGAAGTCAGAGATCAGACAAGTATTCAGATTCAAGTATTATGATCATGACTCGGATGGCAACTACACTTTCTTCGTATCACTTTCTTCACTGATTCTTGTGGTGTACTACGGAAAATATCGATGAAGATGATTTTTGGGATCTGAATCCCGCACACAACCTTGGGCACTGTTCCTTTTTTTCGCCTTTCAAGAAGGGAAGTCCTGAAAGGACCAATTTCACTGCGCCTTGGCAGTGGGCCTGGGACAGATCATGCATAGATCATGAGCGCTAGGTGCCGTTGCGCATTGTGCCCGTGCCCGGGTCACATCTTTTTATCACCCAAGTCTAAGTTTATCATCTCACTATTTCTCCGCTCTCTCTTGACCGCGATGGCAATGGCATAAATCTTACAGTGACTTCCAGTGATAATCTGGAGCGGGTTTCAATTCTTGCTGAATGTCAATCAGTGCTATGCTGGGCGGCTCCGCGGGCGCCAAGTTCATTCGAATGCGACAGATGAATGATTGATTGACAGGAACCGCCTTTTGTTGGACGTTGAGCCTAGCCAAGCCCTCGGGAACTTGATTTCAAATTGAACTGGTCCATATTCTAACGAATTCATCAGATATCAACTGTGTTATCCAAACATATTCACTGATATACTTCGAATCCATTTACAGGGCAAAATACATGGGTCATGTCGCCAGCCATAGTATGTGGTCTCATAGGCATAATTCCTAGTGACACGTAATATTCACCAAAATATTGACAGGTCACGCCGCTTTGCACACCATAACCAAGAGTTCTTCCGATGGTATGGCTAGGGAAGACTAGACTTTGACTTGTTACAGGCCTCGAACGAATCAGAAGTGGCCTTAGACTCTGGCATTCGGGTTAAGGTCAGGGGCACTGGAAAGTCTGAGGCCGATCCCGAACTTTGTCAATGCCCACCTTCAAATCCACTACTATTGATGAATAGACGACATTGATAATCTTACACTAAGTAGTGCATATCTGGCACGCCAACATTCGCATTGTAAGTATAATTATTGCTTTTTCAAGTGGCTCAAACAGAAATTATCTTCAGCGTGGCATTTCTGATACTTAATCCTGGATCACAAATCAAGGCGTCGAACAAGACAACATTCTCACCCCGCATACAGCAATACTACTAGCATGAATATCGGTCTTGGTCTTGCGTTAGATGCCTTTGACTCCTTCAACGCGTCTTGCGCATCTGCCCCTCCATCAGGGGCATGCACCGCCGTTTCCCCTATAGACAGCGAGGGACGGGTAACGGGAAAGCGTAAATGGTGCTCGTCTTCCCAAAACGTAATGTACAGCAGTCGCCAATCACAGTATAAACGCGAATTGCAACCCAATCACACTTACGACCGAGCTCTGCCTAGTGGTCCAAGCAGTAATTCACGGCGTAAGAAAGTGCGTCGCCTGCAGCAACAGCAACAGGCAAACGCGTCTATCCAGTGCACAGAGTCGTCTGCTGCCCAATACAAGTTCGATTCTGCAGCAAAACGACAAGAATACACAAAAAGGAAGACGAACGGCGCGCATATACCCGCATCGTGCTCGTCTTCTCTATCTACCAATACCAATGTAAGCAAAGGTATTGATGGTCTTCGTCTTCCCACCTCGTCAGCAATGTTTCCTGTTACTACGCTGGATTCGATAACTCCAGAGAGCATAGCTTCTTTATTGGAAGCGCTCAAATCTGCTCAGATTTCAACTCACCAGCATTCTCAATCAACCGAAGGGTACGGCATGTCATATTTATCAGCATTTCCACCTACTCCAGTTTCATCTCTGCCATTCCCTTGTTCCCTTCCTCCCGCTACGCCTCCCTCACATAAACCTACTCATCCGGTCCCAGACATCGCATCGCATGGCCCCCTAACTTCTGACACTTCCCCTGATTCCTCCGTAATTCAATCTTCATCGCCAGAACTGCATCTTATTTATCATGGAGTTCCTCTTACGTATCCTCTTCGTACTCTTCCCGACGATCCAACTGTCCCACTTATTCTTCTCAGTGTTACGCACGCTGACCCGGGTGCTTATTTTCTTGTAGGAGCTTGCTACAGGCGGACGGGTAGATCCCGTGCTGCGAGGTCAATAGTGAAGGCATTAATAGAAGCTAATAGAGCGGACGGAAACACTGAAAGTAGCCTTCGTCCCGCGATGCTTCTCCTTGCTGCATGCGAGCATGATCTTGCTAGGTCAGCTGTATCTACCCCCGAACACGATACACATGAGAACGCCGCGAAGGAGCTTCTTCGCGCTGTATACGGTGCAGGTGTTGATAATGCCAAGGGCATCCCTCCGGGACGCGACGCTGTAAACACCAATGCTCTTGGATTGTATTTTCGCGAGGAAGACCCTAATTTTTCTGCCCATGGACCCCATTGCACTAGTGCGCTACGTACCACATCACTTTCATCTTCCCCTTCGAACTCCATCTACTTTCCTCTTCCCTCCAATCTAATATCCACTCCCGGGACCCGACTACTTGCTCCTCTCACTTCCTCTGCCGGTACACGTATCCAAGAGTTGGAGCAGGTGATTTACAAGCTCATCTCCGAGAAACAAGATGCGGAAAAACGGGCGGATGAGGCTGAAAGAAGAGCCCATGACTCAGAGGGAAGGTTAGCAAACAATGGGATAGTGCCCACAGACACAAAGTATCATTTGACAGGATCAGGGAGTAAGCTCCGGGTGGCAGGGATGCAAGCACAGACAGATCAAAATACCTGGGGAGTTCATCAAGATAGGAACACCGCAATGGGCACGTGGCATTAAAGTCAACTTGATATGCCATATGTGCCTTTGACCTTTGGAGTCAGGCGAAAGTTTCAAGATTTTTGGGGGGAGCTGACAAACTTCTAAATTGCATGAAGGCCAGATTATTCAGTAAAGGGGCTTGACTAGGGGGTTGTTTTGAAGTCAAGTCAACTCTTGCTACTGAGTACTCGGGTCACCGAACTGGTTATCGTTTTGCGCGTGGACGCTCACACAGGTTATTGAACTTTATCGCCATTTTAGATTTCTCCATCATTCATAAAGCAATACATTTTCTCCTCGGACTCTCACATACACTGTCAATGGTACCTAATCATAGGTCAACTTTCAGCTTTCCACATTCAAACACATAGCCATCGCTCCAGAGATAACCAGGATGCATCATTGTTCCCGATATTTCGTGACAGTACACCGGTTTTTTTGTTACCATACATTAAATTATGATTCATACCGGGGAACTTCGACGTTCTATCTTTACACCATCCACATCTTGGTTGTGTTGGAAACGAGGACAGACCACTCAACACATTGCAAGCATCGTGACAGCTAACTTGTCTGAATATCCATGACCATTGTGCAACCCGAGACACAACTGAAAGGCTGTGATATCCTCGATCTATCAGAGTTACTTCTTTTGGACCAGCGCTGACCAGCTCGATGAAGATGATAACGTTGGAATCGCGGTCCGCTCGAGTCACTTATCTAAGGATAATGCTGTCGAATTAAAGGGCGAAACAGAAAAGTAAACAGAAGACCTCGTGTTTACTTCTCCACATTGCAGAAAACGTGGTTTATAATGAGGACGCAACATTGAACCAAAAGCTTACCATTATCACATTAGTTCAGACAACAGTACTGCTCCTGATTCCCCGTGTTCGTATTCAACGGATCGGATCATTGTGATAGTTGTGTCGACCTATCGGACCTATATAAAAGTTCCTTTGTGAGGATGATGAGATATCTATATCATCTGCATGGCGCCAGTTCTCGAGGATACGCCTATTTCCGAAACGGATTGATCTACCTACGTGCGTAAATGCATATTCGATGGCGTCGGATGCTTAGTCTTTGAGCTTATATTGCATCCTTTGTGCAGACATCCATCGAGCCTGATGGACCAGAGGAATCAAAACTGTACATGTTCTTTATTTGGATTAGCTTGATGAACGCCTTATAATGAGCTTGGAGAATACTGATCGCGTGCCTTATAAGATAACAACACCCCTTACTCCGGTTAAATGGGTTCAAGAGAAGTTAGCGCAATCCCAATGACAGAGATGGTGATGATATCACTTGACGTAGGTCCATGAACTGAAGGCATCTCCGATGGCGTCGTGGCAAACAGAAGGATTGTACAAATGAGAATTTTATGAACGTACAATAGATATATACACCGGAGCTCAACAACACAAAGCTCCAAGCTCTGTGCAACACAGATTGGGTCGAGTGTACCTCGGCAAGAGGGATCCGGGGTGATCAAATGACGCTGTAGGATGGAGATATACGGAACGGACCTCCAACACGAGTTCATGCATTAAACTGTATCAGTGATCATTAGTACAGGAGATCGTCAGAGCATGGAAAAAGAGGAAAGCTCACAGCACTGAGGTATGATTCCGCGACTATACGTGCTCGCGCATTGAGGCTGAGCTTCATTTCGCTAATTTCCCTGTCTACTTCTTCCATAAATCTGGGGAAAAGGAGGTGCTAAGTAACAAAAGTGATAGGCAAAATGGGAGATACGCAACTGAATGATAAAATCCACAATTTTGTGCTTTAACATAGTTTCCGCGTGAACGTGCGTGATAAGGAAGGAAATATCATATCCCTGGTAGAAGTCGATGAGATTATCATTTGCACGGATTAGTTACTACTCACTGGGACCGGCTTTCTCCGCAGCACCACGAAACTCTCTGCTCTCTGCATCATGAATCGTGTAAACTTGTGACAAAGAATGCGCTCGATCTCATCCGCTTGCTTTATCTTTATGCTCATACGTATCGAATTCACTGAGGGCTCAATGAGGACACGTTCATTCTCGTTTCGAGAGATAGTCAGAGGGTTGAGTAACACTTCCTTCGATCCCCTGATCGTTGGAAGAAGAGTTAGCGAATTAACATACGATTACAGGTAGATAGCAGACCTGGCCTCAACTTCTGGTTTATTGTGCCTTTCAACGACCTGTCTATGGTTAAATCGCAGTTGCTCGAGTGATCGGATGATATTCCTCACCTGAGACGAGAAATTCTCTAAAGTAAGTGCAGCAGTAAGAGTAGACCTGACTGCTGCAAGATAGGGCCTCAGGACATTGGACTGCAACAAAATAAATGCTTTGGATCTGGATCTATGTTATGTAGCTCACCATTGTGATGAGGGACGAGTACGCTAAAGGGATTATAGCGGAGTTCAAAATAAAGTAGCGTACAAATCTGGACGTCGCGCGTTTCTTTTTGGTAAGCGCGTTCTTGCCAAACTAAAAATTTTGGGTATTCCGCGTTCAACCAAAAAAAAAAAAAGCATTGTAATGGCTGTCGCAATCGCTGTATGGTGCGTGTAGTATTTTAGGACGGTGGTGACTGCAATACTGACTTTTCTCTTGTAGGAGTGTTATCTTAGAGTCTGGTAAAAAACAGCTCGTCGTTCCTCAGAGCGACCTTCGAATCACGAACGCGGCTCTTGGAGCAGAATTGGCTGACGGGACTGGCAGAACCTCCATCAAGCTGGTTTACAATACTCCTATTGCTTTGGACGATGACGATGACGAGGAAGACGCGCCACCGCAGAGTACGACCATTCTCTGCTCGTTGACTGCTGGAAAGGTGCGATCAACATCAAGTCTCTTCGATATCAGAATTCTATATAATCTTTTCAAAGATCGAGCAATCAGCCGTGGATATCATTTTGGAACGAGATGAGGAGTATGTTTTCGAGGTAGTGGGAAAAAAGTAAGGGTTCACATTGGCACTTTAAATTCGCGAATATAGTAAATTCAAATATTTTCAGCACTATTTACCTCACCGGCAACTACATTGGTGACTTCTTCTCGTTAACGAATCTATGAAGTACGACGCTGACGTACTTGTGGATTTAGATCAAATGCCCCCAGATGAAGCACCTTTTGGAGATGAGTCTGACTCTGATGATGAAGGCGCGTTCAACCTCGAGGATGTAAGCTCTGACGTAGAAGCGGAAGCCGATGATTTGGACTTGGAAGATGATGCAGAGTGAGCACGTTTTAGAGTGTTATGTTTCATATATTGCTGTTGACCCTTCCCCCTCACCAAAGTCGGTTCGAAGAATTGTCGGAGGACGATGTGCCCAAATCTTTGAAGCGCCCCCGGGAACCTGAAGCAATGGACACCGATGCAAAGCCGGAAGAAGAGAAGTTATCGAAGGCGCAGAAAAAGAAGCTGAATAAGAAATTGAAGGCTGATGATGGCAAGGCTGTTGCAGCAGGGGCTCCTGATGAAGATGAAAAGGTGGAGAAAAAACAGAAGGATAAATCTAAGAAAGAAGAAAAAAGTGAGAAGAAGGAAAAGGAGGGTCAGAAAGCAGCAGGCACTACGCAAACGCTCGCGGGTGGTCTCAAGTTCAGGGATGTAAAAGTGGGCACGGGCAAAGCTGCTAAGAATAATGACCGGGTTGGCATGAGATACATTGGTAAGCTCACGAACGGAACTATTTTTGACAAAAACGTGAAAGGAAAACCAGTAAGCTTTTGTGGTCTTCTCTTGAAATATTTTGATGCTAAAATGTGCATAGTTTTCTTTCAGGTTAGGGAAGGGAGAGGTTATCAAAGGTGAGTTTTACCTTTCACGTGATGCAAGTTTAATTTCTAACAATTCGTTTTTGTCAGGCTGGGATATTGGTATTGCCGGTATGCAAGTCGGTGGTGAACGTGAATTGACTATCCCAGCAAAACTGGCTTATGGTAGCCAGAAGATCGACAAAATCCCTGCCAACTCGACTTTGGTCTTCGGTGAGTGGTTTCCGCTATTGTACCATAGCCATTCTAACGTTTTCCAGAGGTCAAACTTCTCGAGCTCAAATAAGGCAATGTAGTTCATCATCTATACATTCATGATACATAAAACTCTACGTTCAGGAATGGGTTTGCAGATTTATAAGTAAAGTATGAGTTATGAGCGTACATGGTTTAATATGCTTTCAATGCTAGTCTTTGTTCGAGCTTTGATTTTACGGATCCCCTCCACTCGTGCTCCAGTATACTGTAACCCACCACGTCAACATATTGTCCAGGTCCATCTTTCCAGCGCTCACGCCATCTAAATTCTTCTTTGCTTCCTACAACGTTCTCTACCCAACCTCGCATGGCTATGTTATCCACTCCGGTGTCAAATGTCACGCGATGTAAACTTTGGTTTTCGAAGGCAAATGTGAGCAACGTGTACAAGGCGTCCGTAGCCAAGCCTCCGCGGTGATATTCTGGCGAGACCAGTATTCCAATACTGCATGCATCGTTGAGCACATCGATTTCCTTCAACGAACATGTTCCCACAAATTTTGAGGTGGTATCGTTTTCGACAGTGTGGATATGAAAGTTGATAGCACAGCTATCTTTTTCGTATTCGTCTCGCCTTTTGCGAGCATCCTCTAAAGAGAAGTTCGTGGGGAGGAAACGCAGGTAACGAAGTGTTAAAGGATGCGAGCGAAGGATGGACACGGCTTCGTCGTCAGCGCTGTCAGGTGGTACGAGCCTTATCCGTTTCGTGGAAGATATTAGAGTTATTTGGTGTATTGCCATGTCTAAGATGGTTGTGAGATAGCTAACCTAGAATTTCGTAGTAATTCAATGTCTAAATTGGCCACAACTTTAAAGCGCATAATCTCCTCTCCATCACCCGAGGACGATTTGTAAAATTTTCGTAACTTTACCCCATGATCGAAGTAATTAATTCTTAGACCTCCATTTTTATCATAAAAACACCATTTCTCCACTTCCAAAACCCTGACGTACCAAGTTAAAATACTATTAGCGACCAGGGTTTACTCACAGGTATACTGTATTTGAAGACCCCTTTAAGCTTGGTTGAAACTTGAAGAGTGCGAAAATGATTAATGCGGTGTATTTGCACATATATAGACAACAACGCAGTAACGGCACTGACGGTTTGCCAGCCTTGTATCAGCTTCCTAATTCAACCAGAACCCTTAGCGTTGAAAGAGTAATTATTCAGGGAATCTGTGGGTCAAGTATCAGCTGGTTGGGAATATAAATGCCATACACGGTAGGGATAAATGACAAACATGCGTTGTTGGTGTTACTGGTAGAGGCTATGGCGCCTCCCATCCGATGTAGTGCTTATGAATTATGAGCATCGAGAACCGAATTCCTTGATAACAAGTTTATACTGCGCATTATGAAACCATAAACTCCAAGCTCCTGCAAGCATCTCAGCGTGGTGGTGACAGGACCACCCGAGTAGCTCGTACATCAAGTTCGCGGTGCTCTCTCTCCATCCGTTCATTAAGAATTCGTTTTTGGTGGTCTCGGGCCGCAAAGCATGTACTGGAAACTGCACCTGATAATCACGAAGTCCAATTGCGATTGATAGTGTGCGCAGCCGTGTCGTAGATCATACGCTCTGTACTGGGCTCACGTTTCGGACCATGATTTGCGTAACTCACCTCAAAGGGCCTTAGAAAATTCTGAAAGTGCAGCAGCGCTATACACTCGCACTACCGCTCATCTCCGCTTTGCCCAACGCCCAGAAACATTGAGCAGGTGATTGAGAAGGTTTCCCTAATGGTTTAATTGCGGTTATGAGCCTACCGCGACCAGTCCAGCCCATATGAGTCCTACACACAGGGAACAATTAATACAACAACAGCGTCTCACCTGAACATAGAAGCTGAGGCTATTTTGGAGTATCGGGAAAGCCACCACCTGTGAAAGAGTAGTATCCTTAACGAGTGATAGTAAATTACCAGCTTCTCTCCGAAATAACGGAGGCGTGACTGAGCCAATTGGTGGATATTTCGCCGCAGGTAAATCAGGATATTTCATCGATGACGCTAGACCATTCCTAGAGAAGTGGGAGGAAATCCCAAAAAAATTATATCCAATAGGAACCCTGGCCACTCTAGCGTTAATGAAGGGATGTCAGGGCTGGTGACTTCGTAGACTTGGCGTAAATGTTATATGGCGTGCGCAGGCCCGTCTGGACAAAGGATTTGACCAGAATTCTCTTGAGGTGGCATACTGATCTTGCGATAACCCTTGTGCATCGTGGCGTGCCGGAATTCGGTAAAGAAAGCACCACGATCAACACCAAGATGAAAGTCCGAAGACACGACCACTAAGCCAACAGGAGACGGAAGGGGAAAATGATCTCGCTCAGATAACAATTTGTTCTGTCATGTGAAACGTGACGGTAGTGGACGTATACATTTCAGGACGTTGGCTGGGAGCAATATTGCAGCGTGTTGAAGGCAATACTATACGTCTTGTGATTCGAAAACTCATGTTTAATTTGTTGACATGACGGTTGGGACCTATGATATCCTTTTTGGCGGTCAGCTGTTCGGCAGATACGATTGTGGCCGTCCACGGGCGGGTCGGAGAAATTCTGTCTGCGCTGAATGAAACAGAGCTTCAGATGCGCATACCGATATGTCAAGCGTTTTAACTCATACATACGTTCATCGACCGGATTTTCTGGAGCCATCGATCAACACGCCGCAAAATTTTATGCGGATGTGTCCATCAAATACTCCTCATGGGCATGAAACAACCCTAGCTGCAATAAATCTGACTCACGACACTCCACCAACTGCAGGCCATGTTTTCGGACCTGAAATATATAAAAAGCGTTTTGAGGTTTGGAAAACTACCCATTCGCCCCCATAACAGTGGTTAAACTATAAAAACAGATACTCCCCCTTGCTGAATGCGCCGTATCCACTTGACTTTATAAATCACCCACCGTTTATTTCAACAGGCATGCTTTTTGTCCATCATCGTTGTTCGATATTACATGCCTTGGGGGAGGGTTCATCGACGCCACTGGCATTTTGACAAGAAAGCAGCGAGGTCATCCGTAATCCTTCTACGAAGGGCCCCTGAAGCGACATGTATTCCTCTTCTCGGGTGAAAAAAAGGTGAGTCTTCTGGTCAACTCTTTAGATACTACTCTTCAGCAAGAGGGCATGCTTCGTTACACCAGGAGTCGAGCTTGGACGACGTTGGCTCTGTTCAAGAGCCAGAATGCTGATGTCTACACGATTTTCTATGATGGGGATGTGTGTATCCTTGGTCTGGAGCACTTCCATCCCATATGTACTTCAGACACGTACCCGCGTTTACAGGCTTCTGTCACAGTACATACCATGGGAATGGAAGAAGCCCTAGACCATGGTACGATTACTGCAACCATCATAGAGGTTTATGTCATTACTTCTGGATGGAAAATGCTGGACGGAGCTCACGCCTTCAGGTCAATGACCTTTGACTGTGGTCATAATATTGCATAGTGCATCACATTGGGCTATCCCAGTGACGAGGAAGTTTGCATTGGGCAATGAGGGCTGCAGATAATAGGCCAGAGCGCTTCAAACCCTGTTATAAGGATGATTTGCAGGATGAGCGCTTGTTTACCAGTGGAAACTGCACAGATCTCACAGCATTTAAACTGTAGATGACTCGCCTGATATGATATTCTCTGCACGGGGAACGCTTACTTTATGAAAACAAGATGCACTCATAACGATGGGCAAGATAGAGGGCGGTAATTTACCTCACAGACGGATTTCGCTTTGCTGTCAGCCGGCGGAAGATCGTTTGCGTGGCTGTTTAGGTGAAGTTTGTATGCGGCGTACGTACTTCGCTCCTTACCGTCATGTCATCCCATTCACTTTACTTCGGTTTCAATCGCATTTCTTGCTTTCACAATGTAGACTAACATCACTGCGATTCCGACCGTATTGGAACAGGGAGCCATTGCATACACCAAAATTACATTCCTAGGCCAATCCATCATATACACCTCGCCTGGAAATCTGATCGTACTCTAGCTGGCAACATTCTTCTTTTCTTCACAACAGATCTCGTCCAAGAGTTTAGATTTGCCAATGGTCTCAGCCATCTAGATAGTTCAAATACTTGTGAGGCGATGGCTAATGCAATCTCATCAAGCTGACCACTGGAAGGACCAACCTGCAGCTTATTGTCACTCAAATGACCTATCCACACTGCCATTTTCTTGTATGCCTGCTGAGTTTGAATGGGAAAAACCTTCGTATTTCCTGTTTCCGCCTCAGTACCAACATAGTCATGATTCCACTACAGACGTTGAATCCATGGCCTTAGCTCGCTCGAATAAAGAGGGTCAACGCGACTGTAGACCTGCGCATTCGGGGGAGACGTGCCGCTGGTTTTAAGTTAGGTGGGTTTCAGTCCTTGATACGTTTTGGTATTTGCAATAGGCTTTTAACTTAGCTTTTCGGTTGACGTTTTCTAGAAGCGCCACATGCGCTCTTCGAAAGCAAAACACTATTTTGCATTCTTCAGAAGATTCCTCCTTACTCAAGGTCTCGGTGTTCACACTTTATTGACATGGCCCTGGCGGACCATCTAGTATGGTGTAGGAGAAGAACAGGCCCATTTCCTGCGTCTCCAGTCGTTCGTCTGTCGCACTTGCTACTGTATATCCTCGCACAAGGCTGGATTTCTCGGTCAAGCTTCAATGTACTAGGATGAAGTCAACTCCGCGAACTTCCTGCATGTCCGCCGCTTATCAAAATAGGCGCCATCGTTTTACGATGTTGTGCTCGAACGCCAGATTTCGATGAATATATCAAATCACCTCGGCAGAGCTAGAGATGCGGCTACTGCCAATTTTCTTTGCCGAAATAGTGAATCACTCAACTTCGTCAGTCTTTTGAAACACTTAAAATGCAATGATCACCACCTTGCCAACGTCTCAAAAGATACGAGTTTTTTTTTTCATGTGTAATTTTCAGAATCGCGATAGTTCCCTTTAGATATCACTCCCGAACAAGTATTCAGTCTTGCTCTTTTAATCGTGGAAGTTGTTCTTGATTTTGACACATTTACTTGTCAATATTATGTTACAGCGTCCCCTACTTCAGGTTTTGCATATATACCCAACGCTGAATATAGTTTAACAAGCTCTTAACTGAAAATGTGCAAATGCAACATGATAAGGACTTTCGATTACGTAAACCTAAAGGTATAGTTCTCCGTACACATTGGTTCAACATGGCGCACGGCGTCGCAGATTTGTAAGAAAGCAAGGTGAGTTGCCCCCTTTATTTCTGAAATCGTCCCGGTAGGGCTTTGAATTCAATGGGACTTTGTGAGAGAGGAACCCGTCATCGATATTGTTTCCTACAGTACATACTGTAGGTAAACCATGTTAGCAAGAAATCGATCAGTGGCAGCTTTGACGTATTTACATGTCATCCGGGTGGGGATCGCCGGCTCTGTATATTCCTGGCACTCTGCACAATCATTTCCACAGCCAATGGCTTAAAACTCTCTTCAGCCCAAACACTGAGACCAGCTTCGCTAAATGGGATCGAGTCAGCTATGACAGTGAACTCCAAAGCGAACCCGGTAAGTTACTTGTCACATTGCTGATGAAGTAGTAGCATATACCGTGACACAATTTGATGATACGGGCATTGAGACATCCTTCTTCCTGGATATTATCGGGTCATCCTTGACAGTTTCATCTACGGGTAGAATGAATGAGCAGAAATTTGTGAAATATAGGGGGCAATCAAGGCTAAACCCTTGCGAGCTTCCGGTTCAAGAGTACCATCGACACCACGACGGAAATGATTCATTGGGCCGAGTAAAGGTGGGATTCAGAGACTATCACTGGAATCCCTTGACGGTGGAAGCTATAATCAAGAATGTTAAGGCACACTTCAATGATTAGATAGGGTGCCAACGGCCACCGTGGGGGGTCCGTGCTTGAACAATCAAAATAGAAGACGGATGAAATGATGACTACTGACAGACGAGGTGAGTCAAGTTGAAGTTACCGAATGCACAAGGCCTCAACATTATACATGGACGGAAAAGTCATAATGCTTTGAGTCATTCTGCGCTGGAAAACACCACATTCGAAACCACCAAAGTAGTTAGAAGGTAGCCAAAATGATGATGGTCATTATTTGTGTGAAGGATCCCACGTTGAGATGAAACGGTAGCGGTGATTCGCTGCGTGGAAACGGAGATTGTCAGGGTAGACAGCCACGAGTAGGATGAACGCTGGGGCAACAGATTTCAAGCAGGAAAAAGGACCCAGACTTACGAGTCAGGTAGCTGCCCTGAGGCCTAAAGTGCAGTACCGGCCTCCGAGAGTGTTTTTACCGTTGAGTGCGCCCAAAACAGAAACAAATATTTCACATTGGGGCTGAACCACATCCAGAAAAAGTGTCCCGGGTATATCAGATCTGGATTCAACGGGTGTCTTTCCAACGTGGCCAGGAAGGTAAAAATTGACGGTATCCAAGATTGGAGCACTGGCGTGCAAGCTGTCAGCGAGTTATCGATGCATCAAATCGCAGCAGTGTGGTGGCCGCGAGGAATGTCACAGTGAATTCGTTTACACCTCTCTGGGTTCATTAAAGGTGGCCCGCCAAACCCAGTCCACTGGCAACGAACCAAGCAAGCTCGAGTCGGAGTATCCGCTTTCCTGGATTTTTAAGGGCAGTGGTTAGGCGTAAAGGACGGTTCACGATGACGATCAGGCGCTGGGACCCTTGCGAACTTACAGGTTACCGGTCGACTGGTAGTAGTGATAGTAGTGGTAGTGGGAGGAGGCCATCACGGTCAAAGACAAGGGGTCTATCACGAGGGACAAGTTCCTCTCGCTATTTCTTCTATTTGTCCTGCTCACGAAGCCTTGGTCCAGTCAGTTCCAGGGATTCCTAGCCGTTCATGAAAACTTCTGTAGCCCTGTGGAGACATCATGTCTCCCTTTCAGGTCAGCACCATTTGCTCTATCAGACACATAAACATTACCAACCTTGGGCTCTGCTCTGCATCCAGCGCTTCTGCGTGAACCCTGTGCAAGCGAGGATTGAGAACTTTCGAAGATGGTGATTTAATGTTTTGCATTCATCACAGGGTTTCATTCACTGAGCGTGATGAAATCGCAAGCCAGCGTTGCGTTTCGGCCCTGTCTGGCAACACGAGTGCACCAGAGTTCTACTGTATCTCGGTCAGACCTGCTTCCACCCCATATGCACTTCCGACGAATGTCTTTCTTTCCAGACAAGAGTGCAAGTACATACCATGGGAATGGAAGAAGGATTTGACCATGATACAGTGAACAGCTGTGCACTCTATGTCTATTGAGGAAACACTCAACTTCGAGTTCAAGTTGACTGTGACCTTGTGCATATTTCCTATTTGGACAATGTAGAAGTACTGTACTCACATTTAAGCAGTTTCGAGTCTCTTGCAAGCCACGAAAGTGAACCCCAGCGGCGGTTGTTGGACAAGTTCCCCGCAAGCAAACACTTTCGCACTGGCAGACCAAATGGCGGAAAGCCTGGATTGCATGCAATCATCGATCCACCTCTCTTTCGAGTTGTACGACAGCTTTTCGTACATATCGAAGCCTCGCACTGGGGTGTACATGCCGAAAGTATTCAAGGTGAGTTCCCAACAACGCTCTGAGCTTGAGAGGAGATTGTACGCATTCACATTCGAGAAAGGTGCATCGCTGGCAAGCTGGAGAAGGGAATTTGAGCTTCATCAGAGGGCAGTCGAAATCGATCTTCCCGATAGCAGTCGATCAGGAAAGATACACCCAAGCTATCTATTTTGACGGCGCACTCGGACCCGGAAGATGCAAGCCACTACGTGTTGGTGGGAGAAAAGTAAACAAGTGCGGTACGTGAAACCGGTCGTATTGGCCCCTTGTACGTTAGCCAGAATCCTCACAGAGAGCTTGCTTATGCAGACGCTGGTTCTGAGTCTGCTGCTGAACAGTGGTTCGTACCATACTACCACCCGTTCACCACACAAGCGTTCAAGTTGAAGGTAAAGGTTCTGGTTCATCGAGGCTCATTGTCGTAGGCGGAATTATTTGAGGCAGGCATTGTGTCTACGTACCGGGAGCAAGGCGCGCATGGCGGCGATTGTTTGCACATGCGCAACATTCCGGAGCAAAGAACTTGTGCTGCCGATGAACTATTTTTCCATTAGAGAGTTCTAGTTGCAGAATGGGTGCAAAGCAACATATACTCAGCTCTCACTCTTTCGCGCTCACACCACATCTCTTGGGCATGTTTGTGTGCTCTGTTCAAGTTGTTGGCGTTCCTTTTTGTTTATTGTTCTCCCTTTACTGGAAAACACAGACGGTGAAAAGGAGGCTCCGCTTCGGCCAGAAAAAATGTATACGACGGTAAGATTTTCTGAATATTCCCTTGAATGACTTTTGTGTTACAGAGCACTTTTCCGTTCTTTACCAAGCAGTGCGTCTTCTGAGGATCTCGAAAAACTGCTGCTACAGCCATCGCAATATGCCGATAGAAGTTATCGTGATTAACGATGTAGTCACTCAGCTCCACGATACGTCTTGACGTGGCATACATACAATACGCGCTGGAAGGCGTGTTACCCGACAGGAAGCCAGGATGGCCATACTTAAAGGAGTATATATGAATCATTGTGCTAGTCCAGTGGTTGGAGCAAGGAAGGACCATGTGCTCAGACGTCACGGCTAGAGAACGTCATTCGTTTACTTCTTTCCTGCTTACTCCCAGGAACGTTACCCCATGTATGTTAACTTGCCCAATCCTTCCGTTCCCTCAGCTTTTATAGTCCAGATTTTTGCAGCACAGTTATCATGACGCTATTCGTAGACCTTCCACGATCCACTCCCTCAACTCCGCGAACTTGCACAAAATCGCGGAATCAATATAGACGCCTACTGAACGCTCATTTGTTCCTCCATTCATTGAGGAAACCTATTAACATCTAAAAGGTCTGCAGGAGAATTCATCATCACGTTGTCATGGTCAAACAATACTACATCAGCGGGCAAATCGATATATGTGTCCTCTACCGATATACAGTCTATGCCCAGCGCCCAGGAACTACAGGGTGAGATGATGACAAGCCGCCATCAACTGCGATATTTTGGCCATTGACGTAGCTGGATTCGTCTGGGGAAAACTCCTTTCAGCAGGTGGGTGTGCGCATGAGGTCATATGTGACTCACCAGAAGCCAAAAACAAAGCCATCTGCGCGATTTCTGTGCGTGTAAAAGTTCAGCTGATGATTCAAAATACGAGTGTTAATTGTATACCTTCGGCAACTCCGAATCTGCCCATGGGGTTCAATTGACCAAGTTTGCTTGCGTTACCTCGTTTCCGAGCATAATCAAAAGCATCCTTTGTCATATTCGTTTCGATCAAACCCGGACATATACTATTCACGCGAATGTCGCTCTTTTGAAGCTGATAAACGCTCGTTTTGGCAATAGAGTTTACTCTGCATGCCGCTTAGAAAGTATGTTAACCAACATTTGAGAATATACTCACGCTGCTTTACTTGCGCTGTCTAGGTTTGAGGTCAGTCACGAAGAGTGAAGTGTCGAAAGAGGACCTTACAATCAATTGTCCCTGCCCCAGAACGCAAACCGGCCACTTGGATGGTGTTAAAATACACTTGTGATAAGTTGACTGGAACTCACCTGATGCCGTTAAGATGATACTGCCACCACTATAGTCCTTTCCTCCCAGTGTTTTGACCTGCTTCATGGCTTCCGAGCCATACTTCACCGCCAAAAAGGTACTACACAAAAAGTTGACTTGTGAAATTTCTGGAGCAGGTACAAGTAGGAATAAATACGCACGACAAGCTATTTATTCTCATGCTTTCCATGAAATCCTCAGCAGTGGTATCTTGCAAGATTTTTTTACTGGCAAAGCCGGCCTGCCTCGCTGTTTATTATTGGTAAATGCTAGGGGAAAATGAGACACACGTTTGCGAAAAATACATCTAGCCGCCCTTCGTCCTGTATTGCTTGATTGCAGATCGCTGCTATTGCAGCATCATCCGCGGCGTCTGCTTGTATAGTAGTAACCTACACAAAATGTGTGAGTAGACAATGTTAAGCGGGAAAAGGACAAGAATGACCTTGACATCCGGGTATGCCTTCTGAATTGTAGATTTCAAATCTGGCAAATTGTCCGCTGAGAAATCCAACAGATAAAGATGTTGCGCGCCTGATATTCTGACATGTTAGATGATAATATTCCGATGCAGGTATGGTATTGTAACGATCATACCTTCGTGCGCAAATAACAAAGCAGATGCACGTCTAGCGTAACGAATAGAACATGGTTGACACGGTTGCATATGTGACGAAGAACACAGCTTACCCTATTCCATGCAACGAACCAACACCTGTAACGATACAGACTTTGCCCTTCAAGCGCTGACCACGAGGGGTTTCGGATAGGTGAGACTGGATTTTGTTGACTCGAGACAGAGTCCGCTGGTAGTGCTCGTCAGGGTTAGACGTTGGGAGTTTGTAGCTAGACATTTCAGAATTGCGGTTTACGAGAAGGTTGTATACAAAACCAGTTATTGTCCAGCTCCGGTAGGTTAGTTCACAAAACAGTCATGAGTAAAAGGCCCAACTCGCTAAATTGGCGCTGGCAACCGGATTCTTTGCACCTGTTCCGGCTGAAGCACCGGCTTTCACTTACAGTAAGCTCCCCACATGTGAAATGATCACTATATATTTGTGATGCTAAAGATCGAAGTAAGAACTACTATCAAGAACAGCGATAGGACATATTGACAGATAGTCACAGTATTAGTACAATAATAGTCACTGATACAAAATATCGCCAGATAATCTGATTTTTCGGGAGCAGAACATCTCATCTGCCTGAGATAAGATTTATCATCGAAAAGAGCTATGAAAATGACAGACAGGCCCAGTCGGAGCCTACGCATCCTGGTAAGGATCCGAGAAATCTCGCTCAGGGAAAGAACTAGTGTTGTACGGATAGTCAGCAGTATAACCGGCTTGTGATAGCCACGGAGGATTCACATCGGCTTGGACGTGATACGGGGCATGTCGAGACTCCGTGGGGACATACACACCTGAGCGGGATAGCTCCGAATGGTTAACCTCGGGCATGTAGGAGGTAAGACCTGATGACGACGGACCTGGGGTGGAAGATGAAGGGGGCATAAAAGAAGACATCAGCCGTCCAGCATTAAACGAAGCAGTCTGCATTTGCGCATCACTGTAACCGGTAGGAAAGTATGGCCCTGACGTCTCATTCGATGGTTGGGGATAAGAACGGTTAAGGTGTGTATCTGGAGGATATGGGAACTCGTGCGAGGTATGATCTTCAACCCCGAGCGAAGATGCATAGGGACGTCTCGCAGCAGAAGTGGCTACATTATCGAAGATGTCGTTGGAATAACGCGATGAAGACGTGGGAAGGGAAGGATATTCAGGATATGAATTTTCGGATGGAGGAAGCGGTGTCCCACCAGACGCCTGGCCGGGGGGGTGGTATAGCCCTGTTTGCACTCGATTGAACGAAGGTGAAAAGGTAAAGGCCGGTGTTGTAGGGGCGGCGCGTCTTCTCTTCCTGACAGGGGCTTTGGGTCTCGTTGGGCGCCGATCAAAGGAGAGTTCAGACGTAGAGAAGAGAGGTCTTTGTCCATCGTCAAGCCTCTACAAATATACACATCCAGGTGAACGGGACCAGCAAGAGAAAATAAAGGAATTAAGGACTCACTGGAGCTACTTCCTCCTCTTGTGTGTCATCCATGTTATTACGGACGAATTCAACGGGAAAGTTGTTTGTCAGATGAGAATCCAGCGCTGGATATACAGTTGATAAGGTTATAAGTATTTGAGGACCCTGTGGTGTTTTGAATGAAGTACTGGGGAAACATCGTGAATATGTAGGCCATATAAGATAACTTTTCGAATGCATTTTCTGGAGGCATGATTCATGGAGACAATGGCGTGTTCCCTCAGATGGAAACGCGTAAACCTGCACCCAAGGCTGAAACCCAAGGAGAGGTCAAGCCAAATGTGATGGTTCATCCAAAGCACATTTTGACACTCCGCCACCGTGACCGTGGCTTCGTCTGATCACTTTCTATCAGATACTCAATAACTCAGACGCCAGTTATTCTGCAGCATGTCTTCGAGTATCGAACTGATCAATCCAAAAGCCGAGAGCGTCCGACGGGCTGCAGCATTGCAGGTAAGAATTCCGTACATTCGGTCTGCATTCTTTGCTGAAGCATCGCTTTGCGTAGGTCAACACTACCGGGGCGATGGGACTCGCGAACGTGGTTAAGGGTAACCTCGGTAAGTTTTAAATTACACTTTAGTGAGGAATGAACTGATCCCATCTCACTAGGCCCGAGAGGAACGTTGAAAATGTTGGTGGACGGGTCAGGTCAGATCAAGATGACCAAAGATGGGAAAGTATTGTTGTCAGAAATGCAGATTCAAAATCCCACTGCTGCTATGATCGCTCGGACAGCCGTAGCTCAGGATGACCAAGTGGGCGATGGAACCACCTCGGTGGTTCTGTTGGTTGGAGAGTTGTTAAAACAAGCAGATCGTTACATCTCCGAAGGCGTGCATCCGACCGTTATTGCGGAAGGATTCGACCTCGCCAAAAAAGAGGCCCTGTCCGTTAGTGCATGCCTATTTTCTTATTTTGCTCATCTCATTCGATCTACCGATAGTTTTTGGACACGTTTAAACAACCTTCCAACCTGGACCGTGCGACCCTCATAAACGTTGCTTTTACGTCGCTCGCAACAAAGTTACATGCGTCTCTGGCCAAGCAGTTGGCAGCAGATGTTGTTGATGCCGTGCTAACCATCCGGCCACCCCCGCCCTCAACAGGTGTGTCTTTCATTTGCCATGAGGGTCCCACATACACTAAAATTTTGTATCAGATTCTACGGATCAGTGGCGCAGTCCTATCGATCTCCACATGGTAGAAATAATGAAGATGCAGCATAGGACAGCTTCTGAAACTCAACTTGTACGTGGCCTTGTAATGGACCATGGGGCAAGACACCCAGATATGCCTAAGCGAGTTGAAAATGCGTTCATCTTGACGCTGAACGTCAGTCTGGAATACGAGAAAACGTGAGTGCTAGGAGGGTGTATTGTGCGATGTTGTGTATTGATAAAATCTTGTAGCGAGGTGAATTCTGGATTCTTCTATTCATCGGCCGAACAGCGTGAAAAGCTCGTGGAATCCGAAAGGCGCTTCGTTGACGAGAAACTTAAAAAAATCGTGGAGCTCAAAAACCAGGTTTGCGATCAAGATATAGGAGGGAAAGAAAAAAAGAAGAGCTTCGTCATAATCAACCAAAAGGGTATCGATCCTCTCAGTCTAGACATTCTTGCCAAGAACGGGATTTTCGCTCTTCGCCGCGCGAAGCGACGAAATATGGAACGGTAAGTTCATAAAATCTTAGCCGATTACTTTGTCCTGAATAATGGACATGCAGGTTACAGCTGATCTGTGGCGGAGTAGCTCAGAATTCTGTTGATGACCTAACTCCTGATATCCTCGGGTGGGCGGGACTTGTTTACGAGCATGCTCTGGGCGAGGAGAAATACACATTCCTAGAAGAAGTTAAAGAACCGAAGAGTGTTACCCTGCTGATCAAGGGCCCAAACGCACACACAATTCAGCAAATTCAAGATGCATTAAGGGATGGCCTCCGTGCTGTGAAGAATGCTTTAGAAGACGAAGCGCTCATACCAGGTGCTGGAGCGTTCGAGGTTTCATGTGCCGCTCATTTGAGTGGCCCTGTAAAGAGGACCGCCAAGGGACGAGTCAAAATGGGTGTCCAGGCTTTTGCTGATGCTTTATTGATCATTCCCAAAACATTGGCGCAGAATGGAGGTTTTGATGTTCAAGATGTCGTCGTCGCTCTACAGGTTTGTAGTAGCTCTCCTTACTATTTCCCTTCTGACAGTTGTCCAGGATGAGCAAGCCGAAGGAAACACTGTGGGGATTGATTTAGAGTCGGGAGAGCCATTTGACCCCAGCGTAGAGGGAATCTGGGACAATTACAGAGTTAAGAGGCAGATGCTTCACTCTTGGTAAATTTGTATGCCGCATTTCATAATGTTCTGGTCACTGATGCTTTCATTGTAGTTCCGTCATAGCTGTGAATCTCCTTTCAACAGATGAGATTCTTCGGGCAGGTCGTAGTTCTCTAAAACCAGATGGACAACAGTAGATTTAAGTAGTCTGAAGTACAAGTATAACTGTAGCATTTCTAATGAACCTCGGTGATGTTTTCAACTTCCCCGTAACTGTTCATGTATTTGAAGTCTTCAAGAAGCGGGCACAAAGACTACAGTCCAAATTATATCCGATTTACAATAGGAAGCTTGACATTGGTAAAAAAAAAGAAAATTGATGACAATCTAGCAGAACTAATATGTGGAACTAGTGTAACATGTCCAGTGAAATGGAATTGGTCAGTGGAACAAATAAATAAATTTGTTGTCCACGCATAGCGTTAGCAGTTCAATCCGTAGAAATATCAGAAGAAGTATCCCATCCCGCATTATCCCATCCCGCATGAACAAAATTTGGCGGAGAACTGGGATCGTCTGTACAAAAAGTAGCCGATTTCTGAAGATATTGTGACATAGGAGTGGCAGGAGTATTTTTCCAAGGGACGACGGCTGGGAGCTCCGAATCATAAACGACGCGAAAACGGGAGGCCATAGACTCTATTCTCTCGTCCTCTTCGGAAGAGGGGGTGTCATCTGAGGCAGGAACAAAACAACTCGATGTATGATCGGTGTTTTTAACGGCTACCTTAAGAGCTCCGAATGAAGCTTGGCGTTGTAATACAAATTTCGAAGAATCAGTACAATCCTAAAAAAACGGAATTATGGTCACATTGACGGAGTAAAGTTTAGAAAAAAAGCGTACCTGTTCTTCTAAAGAAATACCACTGTGACGATTAGCTGAGAGCCACCCAGGTATCGGGGCTGAAGAGGACACAGTTGACGCATGGATCACCGTTTCGTCTTGATATCGTGGTACCCCTCCTTCTCCAATGTCAATGATATCAGGGCTATAAAAAGAGCTGCTTCCTTCTATACGATCTTTACGGCGTGTGGTGGGTCCCGCATCGATTGGTGATCTTGGTGTTGATGACCAGCGGCGTCTAGCGAAGTTGATCGGTGAAGGCTTGAAGGTAAGAGCACCAACAAGGTGCTTTGCGGTAGCTGTATCATCACTCGAGCGAATGTGGAGCCGATCCAGACGTGGCGAAGCAGATGTTTCCACAATGATCGGCAATGCGTCGTGTTCCTCAGGAGTAACAGGAACCTCGTTTTCCGATTCTGAAGCGCGCGGTGGACTTCCGGTCTCACTCTCATCTGTCGTTAGTGATATATCGTCGAGGAAGCGAGGGATCCACTTTCGCCGAGCGAAGTTCAAGGGATTAGGGCGACACAAGAGACTGCTACCCATGCCTTTGAATCTATAACTGGGCGTTCCATCATATTTGGAAGGAAGGGGGGGAAGAAGGTCATCGATGTCCTTCTCGACGTGTGACAGGCCGCGTGGCCTTTTCGTCGGGGGTTCTTGAATGTCAGAAGTGCCCTCATCTGTCCGCTTTCGTATCGGAGATAATTCGTGTCCATTGTCACCAGGTAACTCCTCATCAAACTTTGCACGGGACCCCTCATTCCGACTCTGCAGCCAAAGTTTCACCTTCGTCCTTTCAACGGCTCTCTGTGCACGGGAAACACCACTTCGTAGAGAAGAGTACTTCTTCCTAACAAATTTGCCATTCGTGCTTGCTTTCTTGCCGAACCTTCCATTTGAATCCCGAGGCTGGGATTGTACAGCTAAAGATTTCGGCTTGAGAGGTTTGTCCGGCGGTGGTTGCGTTCTCCTCGGAGAGGAAAGTCGTGGTCTTCCTCTCTTTCGTTTTGGGGGATCCTCTTCTTGTGGTGTATTGGCAGACAACTTGGGTCTACCCCGCCCTCGTCCTTGCGTGAGAAGCTCTTTGGCTTTTGCTGACATTTCAACTCTAGGAGCGGGGTCTACTTTACGCCTCTTAAAAGAGCGCTCCTCCACAAGAGCACGACGTTTATATGCCCTGGCTGCCATTGCAGCGGATGCAAGTTTGCGATCAAGAGTGGATAGTGCTTTATGAGTGATGCGACGAGAAATATCTACTGAGATACTCTCTTCTCGAGGTGTGGAGTTGGAAGCTGAATTTTGACCTAAGACACGGGCAGGCCAGGGCTGAGCATATATTGCAAAATGCCGCATACATCTATGACAGTTGTGGTAGAAGGGTTCAGTTTAATATGTGGTAATATATTGAAAAATTTACTGCTTACCTTGGACATTCCTGTTTTTCTTTTCGTTTTCTGCCGCGACGAGGAGTTGTATCAAAAGCAAGCCCCCAGACGACTTTAGAGTCAACAGATATCACTGGTAAAACATTCGTGCAAGTTACACATGTAGGGAGCGGCTTCCCGTCCTCTCCCCTGGGAACTTCGGATTTAGGCACTTCCATACTAATGGGTTGAGTAATTTGGGACGAAGGGCGTGCACGCAGTACTCTGGCCTCAGAATCATCCACCGGCTTCGCTTTTTCTTTGCCTTTATCAATACTGGGGGTTGGCAAACGCTCCGACTGGTCCTTCAAGGTTTTGGTAATTCCCACTACAGAGGAGGACCGAGCAGATCGCGAAACAGCCTCCTCGGACAGCTTTTGACGTCTGGTTGAAATAATTGACCTGAATGGTGTTTTCATGCTATCGGGCGTAGTTCTGTTTATCCGACTGGATGTCGATGGGGAGCTGCTGGACGGCGCAGGACGGTGAATATCAGGGTCAGGGGTAGCGAAAATTGCTCTTTGAGAAATGGAAGGTGTAGAAAATGGATGAGACGATTCGCGAGATTGAGCCAACAACTTTGACAAGCCAGACCCTTCTGCATCGATCTCCATATCATCTTCATTGTCCGCCACGTTGGCAAGGGGTTTATGGGTTTCCTTTTCTTCGTCCTCGCTGTCATCCGAATCATCATCCTCTTCTTGAACAATAGCATACACTCCACGTCGTGTCCTCCGCTCATTCACGTTAAGCGCTCCTTTACCCTTGGGATCGGCCTCGGAATCACTTATATCACTGTCTGACACAACTGCGACGGATTCGCATCCTGATTCCACTTCACCATCAGAATGATCTGGGGCGTATCCCCCCTTCCCGTTCTTTTCGCAGGTTTCGCATAAGCAGTGTCGATTTCTGTATCCGACTACCACGGAAAAGATACAATGTCAAAATAAATATCAGATAAAATTTTGCATACGCACAGTATCCATCGCCGTAATGAGCGGTTATCTCTTCGCCAATTCCAATAGGTCTCATTACCCGAAAAGTGATGTACTTGCCCTCACGGAAAAGCTCACAGTTATTCTCGCAATCGTGCTGTATGTATGAGTTAACCGTCTGGATGCTTTAAAATCAAGAAAAGAGCGAAAGCTCACATTAACAAAGCGAGCAGGCCCCAAAAATAGATGGTTCTTCTTCATCTGCCTAGAATGGATGACACTGAAGTCCCTCCTGATATCAGTATTTCTCAGGTCGGTTCGCTTGAGTTCCTTATCCTCTTCTTTAGTAAGATGTGCCATGGATCCTTTTAGCTCTGTGATGACCGCTCCAGGAGCAAGCGGGCGTGTGGCGAGAATACATAATTCTGACTTGCCAGTGCGGTGAGAATACCTGGATGTATGGGCGATTTCGATGGAACCTCCAGGGTGATAAAGCTCAAAGTATCGAGAAGCATGGCTGTGGCGCACACGAGTAAAAATCAATGTTCTAATAAAGAACGAACGCATATACATACGTGGCAAACGCGTTTATCTGCTTCTGGGTGTAAGGTTTGAGGTAATACCGAACTGGCGGAAGGCTAAGATAATTATTTTTGAGTGACATGTGCGTTTTCGTGACGTGAAAAAGGCGACGAACGCAAGAAGTTCGTCAACGGCCTGCCGCACGGTATTCTGAGCAGGACCTTTCGTTGCCACCAGCTATGAATGCGATGACTTGAGCGACATTACGACACATAGAAATATACACAATGGCATTGGAGCGGGAAATGTGTAGAAATACTCACGCGCCGAACGATTTGCAGAAGGTCCTCCACGTTGGTCTTGGGAAGTCTGCGGGAAGGGTCCATTTTGTGCACCAGAAGAGGAACAGTGCCCGTTCCAAGCTTTTCCACCAACAAATGACTGAGAAAGTCGTCGTCCTTGGAGAGGTCGCGCATGTTCATTATTTTGGTGGGTCGCCATGTTACAGAAGCCCCTTTTGTTGAAGAAGAGGAATCATGGCTAGGTGCAGGCGCTGGAGCCATTAATGAGAAAATATTAGCACCTGGAGTGCTGGTGGTAAGGGATGAAAGAGACGATGGCTGGAGGCGACAGGATGACGCGAATTTTCAGTTGGCTCACGGGAAGATCAAGGGAACAAGGTGAGGGACGGGGTTTGCCATGTAACCGAATTCTGCAAAACCTCGGCTTACATAACGAATATCGCTAGCGCTATGTCCACTGCAGTCCACACAGCTGTCAGTGCCACCGGTACATGACATCTTCCAGCCAAGTGACCATCAGCAACCTGCCTTGGGTAACTTAACATCACCCGGAAATTTGTTGGCATGTGAAGCGGAAAATTTCATGGATTGCAGGAAAAAACATAGTTTCGGGAGAGGCATGTCGTCATACACTAGCACATTTCCTATTTTTACGGGCATCACTACATCCTGGTCCTCCACACCTGCATTGCATGCCCCAGGACACCGGTAGGCAATAAAAGCAGCAAAAAATAATATACTCATGCATTGTGAGCGTGCTTCTGCTTGCCTGATCTGAGTTTCCTGAGGTAAAACTAGCGAAAAGGATCAGCATCGCATCATGATTACTACTATCTGAACGTACCTCAAGCTCCTTTCCTTCGAGAATATACCCGTCGGCACGGCCAGACTGACCGGGCCGGCTCGAAATGGCAGCGTACAGGCGACCAGCAGCGAATTGAGATTCCAGAAGAGTGTCGATTTTAGCATCTTTGATTTATAGAGTCAGTACCACGTAGGTTAATGTGTATAATGTGAAACGCACCCTTCTTTCTCTCTTCCAAGTTGCGTTGTGCATGGTTAGAAAGTTTTTTCGCCTCCTCTGTGGGAGCAGCGGTTTGTGCTTTCGCACCCTTCTTCGTTATGGGTTGGGCGTACTACAATATGCAACAGTTCAGTAAAATCAACTCTACAATTAAACCGTGATACGCACGTGAGCTTCATACCATTGCCTGAAAGGAGTAGCATCGACCTGGATGATAGCACTCTTGACCAGGGTGTTGGTACGGACCAACTCGTTGTTGGAAGCGTTGTACACCTTTATCATGCCCCGCATCAACCACCATGGACTTACACTTGAAGGGAAAGACTCACGACGCCGATAAGCCTGGTTTTTTTTGTTACATGTTCAGAAGCCCATGCGAAGTTACCAGATTCAAGTCGGAGAGCGCGGTACTTGATGTTTCCACCACGAACACGCACAGTATGGACACGTTTAACACCAAGCTTAGTGTTAGCGGGTTGACGTCCGAGCTCGAACTTTCTCTTCTTGCGATAATGAGCGCGCTGGGCACCGGTTGCGGAGCGTTTGTGCCGGGATGAACGAGAAATACCTAGTGTAAACAAACGAAGGAGGACGAAGAAGTTAAAATCTTTTTAATGTCATTATACAGAGAGACGAGCAACACTGACCCATATCGGAAAGTCTTGAGGATGGGAGTCTTGAGGTCGCGACAAGGTTTTTGATGATACTTGGGGATTCAAGGTTTGGATGTCTTCAAACTCAGTTCGGCATAATCCGGCACTGCTGTGGCGTCCTATTATGCTCTCTGCCCTCTGCCACTACAGTGCAAGACATTACTGTTGCTTTGTAGGGTATTACTACCAGAAAGACCTGCAGTTTTTTTGCGTGCGTGTTCAGACGTGTGTTAGCAAACAGTTTTTATTCCTTCTGCTGTTCTGGCCGTGCTCCTGAGCTTCAATCAACTACAGCTCCTTCGATATCTCTCTCGATGTGAATACTGAGTGAGTATTGCTTAGTTTTCCTATTTACTTGGCGTCGCTCCTTCAGGGAGTTAGTCTGGCTAATTTCAGTTGTAAAATTAATAGTTTTAGACCACATACCTTACCGCCTGGCCTCTTCGACTTCTACGCGGTAGAAGTCAACGTGTGATGTACCAAGTCAGTGTATCGTTTGCATAGTGCGCGGCCTCCTTGAGCTTGTCTTCATGGGGTTTGTGGCCTTGTTCATATACACTGTTTCGGTTTTTAACGCTCGTTCTTGGGTTATTGCCTGCGTTTGGAATGGCGTCGTCAATCTGATCAGTGGTAAACGGAGCTTCATCTTCATATTCTGTGCTGCAGTCAACGAGGGCGGACATGAACTGTGTACTGGCGCTTCGAAGTTCTCCGGATATATCTCTTTCACAAAGCAATCTTTGATAACGTGGTACTATAAACACGGTCCCACAACAGCTCGATAAGGCTTAACCACGATGATACTGGAAGGATTGCACGTGCAGTGGTAAGCCATGGACAGCTTCAGGTTGATGCAACGAATGGCTTGTCACTTTACGCACACGCATTGCCGCATTGTTTTCGCGAGGCTATGAAGTACAAACGCCCTCTGCCCGCTTGTTATACGGGAGACCTACACAATGTCTTTTGTCGATGCCCGCTCACCTCATGCTTCAGGCATGGCGTGTCCACAATAGGGGCGTATATCTGTCAAGTTGCTCACTGTTTCAGTTCATTTTTCCGTTCTGCTCTTTCGTGCCTCTCCCTATGCCTTCCATACTGACTCTCTGCAAGTTTCGTTTGCAATACCTCCGTCGGCAGAAGCGATCTGAGGTGGTCGCTAATCCAGAAGTCGATGCGGTGCGCAATGCGCTGACACGACTGACAAAAACGACAACCCCTCCCTTTAGAAAGGTCTGTTTTCAACGTTATTCATACACAACATACGCGCAGAAGCAGAAGGATATCGTCAACTTTGACAGGCGTTCGGCACGGAAATGCAGTCATTTCTTCATATTCTTACTCGGTATCTTGCGGAGAAGAAGAAAGGCCAGAATCTGTATGTATATCTCCGAGAAGCGTTCGCTTCTTATCCCCTAATTTTTCATCGTTTGTAGTGAGTGGGATCGTATCAGATCCCCTGCAGAAGGGCAAATAGTTCCCTATGATCGGTTATGCAACTCTGTTGATCCTAAGGCCTTGAACAAGCTTGCCGTATTAAAAGTCAACGGCGGACTTGGTACTTCGATGGGTGAATGCATTGTAATTGGGAATTTTGAAGCTTCTAACCCGTAATTTAGGAATGGCTGGGGCCAAAAGTGCTCTTGTAGTGAAAGACGACATGACTTTCTTAGATCTCACGGTTCGCCAGATTGAGCATCTCAATACTACCCACCAAGTGGATGTTCCCCTGATTTTAATGACTTCATTCAATACATATGAAGACACCCTCCGTATAATTAAGAAGTACGCGAACCAAAAGCAACGCATTACTACTTTCAACCAGTCGAGATACCCAAGGATCTCAAAGGACACCCTTTTACCATGCCCCAAGCATGTAGATGATGACAAGCAACTGTGGTATCCTCCTGGCCACGGAGATTTGTACTGTGCGTTGATGCATTCAGGAGTATTGGATCAGCTTCTGCGCGAAGGCAAAGAGTACTTGTTTGTATCCAACTCCGATAACCTGGGTGCTGTGTATGTGATCCGTTATGTGGTGGAGAGGACTAAAACTTACTGACAATCACGTATCAGCGTCGATCAGGTTATCTTGCAGCACATGATCGATAGCCAAGCTGAATTTCTGATGGAAGTAACAGAAAAGACAAAGGCAGATGTAAAGGTATGATAGATTTATTCCAAGCCGCCGAACACTTCTCACCATTTCAACCAGGGAGGCACTCTCGTCGACTATGATGGATCTATTCGCCTTCTTGAACTTGCGCAGGTTCCATCTGAGCACGTGGAAGACTTTAAATCCAGTAAATTCTAGATCCTATTTCAGTTTACGCTCTTCGTTTACGATTGAACACCTGTAGTGCGAAAATTCAAGATTTTCAACACGAATAACCTGTGGATCAATCTCAAAGGTATGTGGATGCATTTAATTCCATTATATTAGTCTGATTGCCACATTTCGTACCTCTGCTGTGTCAACCAGCTTTGAAGCGAATTCTGGACACTGGGACCATGGACTTAGATATCATCGTCAACCCAAAGGTCACAGACGATGGTCGGTCTGTCATCCAGGTGAATACACTTGTTGTGTCGGCAGTCTCATTTTCCAAATATCACATTTTGATTGATTAGCTCGAAACCGCTGCTGGAGCTGCCATAAAACATTTTCGCAATGCTCACGGTGTCAATGTCCCCCGTTCACGCTTCCTCCCTGTGAAGTCTTGCTCTGACCTCTTTCTCATAAAGAGTGATATATACTCGCTCAAACATGGTCACTTAATCATGAATGAAGAGAGAATGTTTGAGAACATACCAGTAATCAAATTAGGGGACCACTTCAAAAAGGCAATTCTTTACTTATCCGATAAATTGTTGACACTTACCCCTTCAAAGATTCAACAATTCCAAGCACGATTCAAGAATATCCCAAATATCGTTGATCTCGACCATCTTACTGTTACGGGTGATGTTCATTTCGGGCGGAATGTTATTTTGCGCGGAACCGTAATCGGTAAGTATGGATCACCTTCATAATCTACTCTCTAACAGTATCTGCGCACAGTTGTAGCCAATGAAGGACAGAGGATCGAAATACCGGACGGAACTGTGCTGGAGAATCGTGAGTATCGATAACATCCTACGCCTGACTATCTTAACGTGACCAACTAAGGTTTGCTTGCTGGAAATTTCGAAATGACCGTAAATGCCTTTTTGCCTAACGCTCATTCGCCTAATTGACGCGACTTCTGACAACAGGAACTATAATGTGAACGCGCGTATTAAATTTCTCTCGCACAGAAGATCAGCACCTTGCGTGTACGGACCATGTTTCACTGTAAATCTGCTCGCCATGTTTATCATTCTATGTATCTTACTTCCTTCTGGGGCCTAGCTTGTGTACATGAATCTTCTACTTTGTCGTTTATGCAAGAAGCCAACCAAGCTTTGGGTGAGTCTAAAGCACACTCCCCAACTTGGTAATCGATGTGAACTTATGGAATGTAGATCTTGCCCGTCCCTGGCTGCAGGTTCGATGGAACCATAGGTTCCCATGCGATGTCCTGTTGCTGATGGGTCCGTGTTCAAATACTGCGTGAGATGGACATGGCGATTGCCCTTGTACGGAAAAGGCACCCTCTCCACTAGTGCATGACGCAAATAGCTCGATCCGTGACAATGATTATCCCGTATTCTTGACGGCGATAACTGGTAGTTGAAAACGTTTGTCTTGGCAATACAGTGCCTGGCCCTGGGAGAGTTCCAGTTATCGTCGAAAGCAAATTCAGGACCAGCAGTCACGACGATTTTTCCGTTTAGACAGACGGAAAAATCGTTCTGACTGCTGTAGCCAAAATAAATGTAGCGGTGGTATCACATCAATGATAGCAATACCAGTTTACCTGGAATAATAGAATGTAACCTAGGTCGATCATGTAGTTTTTAAGGATTTCAAGAATTAACAAAAGTTTCAAGTTCAAATTTGAGCTTGACAACGCCCGGCATTCGCCCGGAACGGCCAGACTCGAGTAGTCGCAAACAAAGCCAAACTCCCTCCTTCCTCCACATTTCGATTATACCTATGGCTGGTCACGGTGCAGGCCATCGTAAGGAGCTGTAATTTCTTTGTTGCTTCTTTCCGTGCTTATCACAGGTTGAATAGCTTCAGGGTTCAACCCTCATCTCCCTGGATTCAGGTATCAATTCCTCGCAAAAGCCCTTGGGGCTACAATGTGGTTCTTCATATTCTACCGGGCACGGTGCGTCTTTACTTTAGCCATACAAACATTTTCTCATTGTTTTGCGCTTACAGACAAGATGGACCGAAACTTTTGGTATAAATTCTGGGTTTGTATTTGGGGTTTTGCAGCTAATTGTTTCTTGTTTGCAGGGCTGGCGGCATCCTTGGGAAGGCCACGGTCATGAGCACCATGAGCATGCAGAACACCACTAAAGATGTCGTATAGAGCCAGTGTAATATCCGAGCCATTTGATGAACTGCTTCTGAAATACTGTGGGATTCTCGACCCTAAGTCGTCATGATATCCATCAGTTCCACAAGGACATGTCTGTATGGACGGATTCATCCATTCATGCTCGTTGAGAGAGCCAAGATTGACGGAGTCTGGTAAGTGTTTAGTTGGCAATGCATCATGCAGATCATTTGAAGCCGATTTTATGACTCGCCGTGGAGTCGAGCTTTGAGCTTCATAATGTATGCAGTCATGTGACGTTGACGCGTAGTGGTGAACATTAATGAGGTAGACTCTGGTGTACTCAGGTAGTAGTATCGTGTTAATGAGCATGTGTCGAAAGCCCAGCTCGGATTTTGGGAGATTATCGCAAAACTCGATTACAACGTTTCCCTTCGAAAAAAACATAAGAATGTTATTTGATGTTCCACAACTCGTCATCGGGCCGCAGCACTGGCGATGCATCGTCGTGGTACTTTTCACTGAGACTTAGTCGCCGTTCTCAGGCCATCGGGACCATGTCAGGTCACCATCGCCACTGAAAAGCTCTTTCTTGTAATTTACCTCATCGGTTTCCTTCCAATTTCTCAGTTCTACCTGACACGAATCAGTGACCCTCAAGTTCATGAAACATGCGTACAAATTTGCCAGCCTTGTTGCCCAAGGGCTTGAACGCGCCATCGTCATGTAGGACTCTTGTTAATGGTCTTCGTCTCGCATGGATAGCGGTCGTGCTCTGGGGTGAAGTCGGTGTATTTTTCTATAATCTGAGAAGCTGCGATTGGCCTGACCGATTACAAGTAAGCCGTCATAACAGTAGACTGTCAGACTTGCTCACCATGGATGTATGCAAAGCCGGAATCGCCTGACCTCCGCTCTGCGCATATACTCGTCGTCGCCGATCCGCAGGTCCTCGATCACAGGTCCTATCCAGAACGCGGTCTTGTCCTCACCATGCTCTCGCAGTTCATCGCTGACCTCAATCTCCGCAAGAGCTGGCGCGTGACGATGCACCGACTGCGCCCACATGCGGTCGTTTTTCTTGGAGATATGATGGATGGGGGGCGCACCGACATGGACGATGACGAGTGAGTCTTTACTCATGGCTCGAGGCGGAAGCCATGTCGTAGTATGACAGAAGTTGTTACTCCTTATCCCGTGTTCAGGTATGAAGCATATTATGAACGTTTTCGCAGTATATTCGCTCTGGATTACGTACCGCTTCCCGTGTACTACCTTCCAGGCAACCATGATATTGGGTACGTATCCCCTTTGTTCTCGGTTTCTAACTTTCATCGATTGACATGTTCTAGGCTAGGTAAATCAGACACCTTTTCTCCGGATGCCGTGAAACGATATGTATCGCATTTTGGCCCTCTCAATCAACGGTTTTCTGTAGGGAATCATACCATTATGCTCATCGATGCACCTTCACTTGTTCAGGAAGACTACAAGCGAGTACAGCGTGGATACAGTTTTGAGGATTGGCCAAATGTAATAGACGGCCCTCTCGAGTTCGTGAAGCGTTACAAGTCTGGTGAGCCTTGTTGTCTAGTCTCAGAAACTGTCTGCCCCTTGTTAACACATATGGAAGAGGAACACAATAGCCCAGTTATATTATTTAGTCATATACCTCTTGCGCGGCCTCCCAATACAAATTGCGGCCCACTTCGCGAAAAGGGTACAATCCGTCAAGGAACTGGCCTGGGGTATCAGAACACGCTCACAGAGCCAGCCACGAACTATTTGTTGAAGTCTCTTAGACCTACACTCATACTAAGGTAAGTGATATATGCGGGTGCCTCACGGATTAGAACTTTATTTGAATACAGTGGCGATGATCATGATTATTGTGAATATGCACACACACTACCACTTCTCGACGGTTCCTCGTCAGTTGAATCGGCGAAAGAAGTATCTGTCAAATCCTTTTCCATGGCTATGGGGATCCGTCGCCCTGGGTTTCAGCTCCTTTCTTTAACGTCCACGGTGACACCCGACAACATGGTGCAAATACCGAATGGACCTCCGCAGGACGTACCATGTTTGCTCCCCAATCAGCTGGGCGTGTATTTATACGCCTACGTGCCATTCATCGTTTTCTCGCTTCTTGCACTATTCTTATCCAACATAAGACGGACCTCTGCACGTGAATCATATCGAACATCGTCATACATGCGCACACAAAATAGGTCAAGGAGTCCTCGTGGCCGCTCAGCTAGCGAAGAATTTGGTAATGGTAATGTGAACCACGTCAATGGTAACATCGAGCTATCTCGCCGGCTGTCTTCCAGAGACGACGTGAAAGACGTTGATATACATGTACACGAGCGCGATCACGACGCCTACGTTCTAGCACCGCAGACAGAGAGGCAGCACGGTGGAGAGCGTCGCAAACGTTCGTGGTCGCTGACGTTCACGCTTTGCGGCCAGCTACGACGTCTTACTGTGGGTCCTCTGCCGCATTTCTGCGGCCAGGGTGATGATGTAAGGGGACGAAATGAGGTGGAGCTACCCCCACGCGAGGAACAGGGTTTGTTCAGGGGGTTCTCAAGGGACGTGTTGGACGTGGCATGGCCTGCGGTAAGCATGTTCGGTATAGTGGCGTGGTGGGCTTGGAAATGAAAACCATAGGGTGCTGAGCCGCTAGTGCTTGGCAGAGCTATCTGATTTGTGGTTTGAAGCACCTGGTTTGGTATTAGTTTGGGATGGCACTCGGACACGTTGTCTTTTATTACAGGTGATGCTACTCGCACTTGGTCTTTTCTTTAATGCTTTATTATTGTTTCACGTTTGTGTATTTCCTTTCAGGTCTTTCTGGAAATAATGACAATAGAGGATTGATTAAAAATTCTCAGCTATCAGAACAGTGAGCTTCAGACCTGCAGAGGTGACTCGTTGGTGACGTGATTAAGTTGGAGCTATGGTCCAAGGATAAGAAAATGATAGGAAGAAGTAACAAGATGCAAGGTGATGCGTCTACAGGTCTGGATGGAGGTAAGTCCATAACTAAGTATAGAGAAGGACTTCCTTCACTGGGACGGAACAAGAGAGAGAGAAACTCTATTAGAGAGTTGGAGTAGAGATCTTGCGCTGCTGAGCGTCGTCGAAAGGCCAGGGATAACGGAGTTGCCTTGTCTGGCGTGAAGGTACATGATAGGGTCATAAACGCCTCCCTGTGAATCAGGTCGGACCTGGAAGTGTTGGAGGTACGGTAGATGTCACATTGCCAGTCTTGCAGGGAATTGGAACCTTTGCAGTGCGGCGAATCGACGGTCGAACAGCTAGAATGACCGGTCGTTCTGTCAGTCAAAGACAAGGAACTGGGAACGTACCTTGGGGGCGGCCGCTTGTAGTGGTCTAGGTACCTCTGGAGGCTTGAAGACTGTGCATAGCATGAAGAGGCTATCCCCCGGGAGTATGTTAGACTGTCCAGTTAATGATGGAGAATCACTGACAGACGGCAAAATCTGTCGGACCGAGACCTTTGAATATGCGGATGCTGTAGAGCAAAAGGCTAGATCCGCAACGTCCGTGCGGGCGGCGGCGAAACCAATGTGGAATATGTGCATCTTGAGGCGTGCTTTGAAGAGAGAAAAGAAAGAAAAAAAGAAAGGGTGTGTGGAAGAGACGAAGGAAGGTGTGGTTATAACATAAGACGATAAGGAGATAACTTCGGAAAAGGAGTGGAAGGGCTGCACTGCCATGTCGATAAGGTGTACGTATCAGAAATAAGGCGAGCGAAGACCAGAGGTACAAGTGATCCGAGTGCCAGTCCAGCCCGATATGTCCAATACCTTTAAAAAGTTGGATACATATGCTCGTTATAAAACCCTAAGCACGCCAGCGTGGCAGACATCAGCTCCACCCAATCGCTGTTCTGCGGGCACGTTCGTAGCAAACGAATATAGCGAGTAATAGCAATCGCTTCTCTGCTCTCCGTCTCCGTCCTTTCTTCGCCCTCAAATACCCTCGTGTCCCCTCGCTACCTCTCTCTCTTACTCTCACCCCACTGACAACCATTTCGTGATTCGAACCCCGTCCTCTTTTGCCTTACCGCTGAGCTCATTGGAAGAAGGTTCGGACTTGTCCGCAGCTCTCCACATCCATATTAATATTGATCTCAGCTCCGAGCCCATCACAAACATCTCCAGCTCCTCCTCTTTTCTCGCCATCCCCCCACACAACAGATACCCATCCCAAGGCGAGCAATTCATATCTACAGCTGCAGTTCGTTAATCTAATCTTGTTTTTTCAACAGCAATATGTCTATGTTAGCGTCTCGCGCAGACACCGTCAATGCCCATGCCCGCGGCAGCAGCGTTGACTTCAAGACAGCCACCACCGGCGTGGCTGCAAAGGCCATGCGCAACGAGATAAGCCATCTCGTCAGCACTATTGATGATCCAGCCACCAAGAAGGTATGTCAAGCCTTGTTTAACACGTGTTCCCCCATACCAATCAGCACACCAGGCTTTCGACGTTGAGATGCAATCTTTCTTCTACTTGTTTACTCGTTATCTCTCGGAACGTGCCAGAAGCATACCTCTGTGCGTATATGCCTCTTTTGTTCACCCGCCCGCAGCCTGATAATCCGACAATGTGTTAAGTGACTGGGATCGCATCAAGTCTCCCGCCAATGACCAAATCGTACTCTATGACACTCTCACCATGCCCAAGGACCGTAGCAACCTGAACAAGCTTGCCGTTCTCAAGGTCAATGGGGGTCTCGGTACTTCTATGGGTATGTCATTCTCCATTGTCGTTCCCTACTCCTCTTAATGATTCTGTATCGTAGGTATGACTGGCGCCAAGAGTGCACTCGAAGTCAAGGACGACATGACCTTCCTTGACCTGACAGTGCAGCAGATCGAGCATCTCAACACAACCAACAATGTTGATGTCCCACTAATACTCATGACCTCCTTCAATACGCACGAGGATACCCTGCGTATCATCAAGAAGTATGCAAACCAGCAATTGAGCATAACGACATTCAACCAGTCCCGTTACCCTCGTATAGACAAGGAGACGCTGCTCCCCTGTCCCAAGCGTGCAGAGGACGACAAGAAGCAGTGGTACCCACCTGGTCACGGTGATCTCTACAACGCGTTGATGCACTCGGGTGTATTGGACCAATTGCTGTCCGAAGGCAAGGAATATCTTTTTGTGTCCAATTCGGATAACTTGGGTGCTGTGTACGTATCTATATATTCGAGAAGAGAGCAAGTTATTCATTCTGTGCTACTCTGGGTAGGGTCGACGAGAAGATCCTTCAACACATGATTGACTCCCAAGCTGACTTCTTGATGGAAGTCACCGATAAGACCAAGGCTGATATCAAGGTATATGTGACCGTCTTTCTGTGATTCACCCAGATGACGTGATGCTTTATTATACAGGGTGGTACTCTTATTGATTATAACGGTTCGATACGTCTCCTTGAAATCGCCCAAGTGCCCTCCGAGCATGTAGAGGACTTCAAGTCAGGTAAGTAGTGTCTTTGTATCGTTGTCATGGTCTTTCTAAACATGGCAATTTACCCAGTTCGCAAGTTCAAGATATTTAACACCAACAATCTTTGGATAAACCTCAAAGGTTTGTATTATTTGCTTTCTCAGCACGGTACATGACTTGACAGACGTACGCAGCTCTCAAGCACATTATGGAAACAGAGGGAATGGAACTTGAAATCATCATTAACCCAAAGACCAACGACGACGGTCAAGCAGTCATCCAGGTAGGTATCGTCACAGCACGATATATATAATGCTCGGCGGCTGAACTATTTGTATTTGATTTTCAGCTCGAGACTGCCGCTGGAGCAGCGGTCAAGCATTTCAAGAACGCACATGGTGTCAACGTTCCTCGAAGCCGCTTCTTGCCTGTTAAGAGTTGCTCAGATCTGCTGTTGATCAAGAGTGACATTTACTCGCTGGACCATGGTCATCTTGTGATGAATGAGAACAGGATGTTCCAGAATATACCTGTGATCAAGCTTGGTGACCACTTCAAGAAGGTTAGTCTGATCAAGTGGGATTTGGCACAGGCTTGAGTGACGCTTGTATTTTCAGATCCAACAATTCCAAAAGCGTTTCAAGAAGATTCCCAAGATTCTTGAGCTTGACCATTTGACTGTCACTGGAGACGTCAACTTTGGACGGAATGTCACCCTACGCGGAACTGTCATTGGTGCTTACCTTTCCTTAAAATCCACTGAGATGGAGCTTATTTATAATTCGCGTTGTAGTCGTTGCCAATGAGGGACAAAGAATCGACATTCCTGATGGATGTATCTTGGAGAACAGTATGTCTTTTGTTCATCTTGCGTCTCCCCGCAGTCTAATTCCTGACTCTTCCCCTAGGGCTATTGTCTGGAAACTTGAACATGACCGTAGGTTTCGTCCTATCTGAACAGAAGTTGGCCTCTAATGACAACCTAAACGCAGGAACTCTGATGGATCGTTTTCCTCATATATTTTCCACTCGGACTCTTGAGGCGAGCGTAGAGCCAACTGAAAAAAAAACAGGACAATATATATATATACAACATAGACGAGAGCGTTTTTTCAAGTTCTGTCTTCCAGTTTTGTGTTTTCTGTCTGTGGTTTCTTTCCGCTTTGTGACCGCATCTCCATTCTAATTCTCTCCAGAGTGCTAGTAATAACCTGTTGGGTCTCTTCTACGTTTACGTTTACTTTTATTATTTAGCGAGCCGTCACCGTCAATTCTTTGGGTATTTCAATGTTACGAATGTCTGGATTACCGTGACTTGTGCAATTGAGAACATCGACATGAGATGGATGTCATTGCTCAACTATGAGCTATTGACACCACATCAGGCTCACGGAGCATGGCGAGCATGGGACTAGTGCCGTGGATATTGGACACTGTTACACGTCCTTTGACTTTGAAACCAAGATGCTCATATATCGCAAGCTAAGAATAAATGTGAATAGTATAATTTGTATAGTTGAAAGGATGCTCGCATTTTTTGTCGTTGTGGTCTCCAAAGACATCGCGACACCAGTAGCGTTGGCCTGTTTTGGCGAATATCTAAGTTACAAGTACGCTAGGGTGATGATTGATGGCTGACCTTGGCTTGAACCTCTTGAATCAGGGCTTTTGCTATGCTTTTGCCTTGGTGCTCTGGAATGACACCGATGGATTGTAAATGCCATGAATCGAGCATGGCACTCTCCCCTGAGAGGGAGGCAAGTTGTTTATAGGCAGGGAAAAGCTAATTACCTATCAGTTGTGAATTGAGCCACAAGATGATGGGACGGACTTGCCTCTTCCTTCCACCATTTTTGGAGCTGAGGGGAAAATTTGGTCATCATAGGTAATAAAGCTGAAGCTCTCTGGTCATCACTAGTCGATAATGGGTGTTCAATAGAAAGTATGTGATTAGGATAAGGAATCTCGAACACACCTATCGAATAGAGTTCGGCCAGGTTCAAACCAGACAGCGGCCCCAACCACGGTTTTGTTAATATCTTCAGCGGCGTAAATATCCCCAGCGATGGAGGCAGCGACCACTTGTGATCTCTGAATTTGTCCAAGCACCTCGTTATCGTGGTAACTAATGAGATTGCTGAATTTATCTAAGGGTGCGAACCATTCATGGATAAGCATATATCGGATACATACGGTGAGAACACTGACCTTGACTAAATGCTTCGTTCAGCACACTGATAACTGGCTCAACATCCTCTGTAAAAAATTGGGTGTTAACAAATATCGACGCGTAGAAAAGCAGCCCTACCGGACCTCCTTTCGCCAGGTGACGGATAGTGTACGGGCTAGTAGCGGACATGGACACGAGGTAGGAGGGGTCAAACAATAGATATGCTCGTTTAAATTAGGAGTTCGAAAGTACTGATGAAGAATATGTGATTTGACGTAGAATTTATGTAGATCGTCCTCAAACCACACCCCGATTATAGTCTGGTGACATTCTGCGGAATCCTATGCAGGTCAGGGCACAGCGGCTGTAATTTAAGTCAGACTTTGTGATGCTCGGGCACCGTCGGCCCAGACGGCGACCAGGTAGTCAGCTAATGAAAGGCTGATTATGATGCTGTGTCGACTACGAAAGCTTCAACTTAAAACTCGAATGGTGATCGCGGGTGTGGAATGAAAGAATTGGTCACGTGAGCAAGTGCAAAGCACTTTTTGCACATTTTCTGTGTTCATGTCACGGTGGCTTTTACTTCCAGCACGCCTCCACTGGCAAGTCCCCAGAGCCGATATCGTAGCGTTACCAGTTTCGCGTGTCAAACAGTATGGAGGGGCTGAAGCGAAAAAGAGACGATGATGTGCCCAGAATCACGTATCATGCAGCAGGTCGCACCTTCGATAGGTTATTCAAAGGTAACCCTTGATTGATCCATCGACTGGCATGTCCGCGTTAAGTGCAATCTCATCTTAGAAAAATCACTCGAGGAAACGAAGGAGGTGGTGCGGAGAAAGCTGGAGCTATCTCATGATGCTGTTTTACGAATGAAACAAATGAGAGGAGGGAAAGCTATTGATCTTGACGATGGTACATCGCCTCTCACATGAATACAGTCCTGAATTTCATCAAGTTGCATTTTAGATGATGACTTTGATGCTTTCTCTGCACTGGTCAGGAACGCTTCCTCCGTCGATGTCCATGTAACAGTGGCCAGTCCCAAAAAGCAATCGCATACGCCCAGGGCTTCGGTGCGCGTCCAGCTTGCTTATGTTGAGGTTACTCTGACAGCCCTTATAATAATTACAGAAGAATACAGAAGTCCCTGTGCTTACGCCTACTGTGGCCCTTCCCAGACCTCCAGAACCTGCGACAGACACTGCACAAAACCGTGATGTACTCCCAGTTGTATCCAATACTACAGGCCCATCAAAAGCGCCCAGTTCATCGAGGAAGAAGCGCAAAGTGTCATTCGATGACACCCCTGATCCACAGACCCCCAAACCGCGTAGTAGTACTCCATCACTCACTAAGAAACGAAAAATGAACACCGACAGAGCCAAATCTCTTGGACCAGAGCAGTCCGATGCAGAGGTAGCTCCTATGCCCAAGAAAAGACGAAGCACGAAAAAAAGTCAATCAGTGGACGATACAGCAGATGGCGTGGAGGCAATCTCGGTGGTGGACAAGACGGCGCTCGCAAAGGAACAAGAGGTCACCCCTGTCACAGTCTCTGATCCCTCCTCCTCCAAGGCTGCAGTGGCCAAAACCGCATCTGATAAAAAGTCTAAAAAGCCAAGGAAGACTAGTAGCACCAAGCAGATTCCTCCGTTAGCGGAGCCGCTCGTTGACTCTAATGTCCTCTTGTCCGGGGCACAAGACACGCCAGATGTGCCCTTGTCTGTGTCATCAGAGGGAATCCTCCCTAGTGAACCTCCGAAAGCAAGGAAGAGAACGAAGAAATCAGACAAAATCATAGCTTCGGCAAATAAAGCAGGAGAAGGAGACGGCCCCACGATAAATATCGATGATATAGCTGCTGGTAAATTCAAACACTTTGCTCTAGGAAAAGCTCACTCGTTAATTATTCTACAGAAGTTGCTCGGGAGTTTCAGAAGACTGTTACCGGGAAAGCTGCTGGGAAAACCCCTCGGCCCTCAGAAATAAGTATGTAAATAGTTGCGTTAGTTTCCGGGTGAATATAACCACATTCGCATAGAAAAGAAGGACAAACTATTACCTGTAGATGAAGGTGTTTCGGAGAATACTTCATTGCATGGTGCAAGCAGCTGTATGTCATGTACTTCTGTCTTGGATCCACCCGTAATAACATACTCTCTTCTAGCGCTATCAAAGCGCCGTAAAAGCTTGGTTGATGACTCAAAGTCTGAAGTCGAAGTCACAAGTGAGCCAAGCTTCCATCATCGTTACTCTCAGTTGACCGATATAATACAGAAAAGTCAAAGCAAGCAAAACGCAAAGCTGAGGAAACCGAAACGACTAGTGAACATGCCGATACGGATGGTACGTATAAGTTAAGACGATTATTCTCCTGTTTCTAACGAACAACTATACAGTCCCTCGCCGAAAGAAGAAAGCACCATTATCCTCGCCTGATTTGAGATCGTCATTTGCTGCTGTAGACGCTGCAATTGCATCTGTCCTGCAATCAAATAATGAGGAACCAGCTACCCCGTCTCCACCTTCTGGTTTGGAGGACCCTGCTCGAAGCAGCCGTTCTGATAAGCCTGTGCGTAAAAGAGCGAAGCCTAAGTCAAAGGTCTCGCAAGTGCCGGACTCTGATGTTGTCGTAGCGATGCCTCCTGCTGTTCAGACTACGGTTAAGACCCCTTGTCCTGTCTGTCTTACCTCCCCCTTTCATCTTCGTTATCAATGCCCAGTAATCCTAGCGGGTTCAGATGCTATGCAGAAACGCCTCGAAGAACTTGAAAATGGTGATAAGAGGGATCATGCGAGACTCATCGAAGAGCTACAAGAGCTTATTCGCGATGCAACGGCGCAAGAAAGTACGTCCACAGCACCTAATGGTTTATCGGCAGGCATTTCACCACGCAACTTCACAACTTCTGACACTCCCGAAGATGTTGGTAGTAAGCCAATCGTTTCATCAAGCACTTCAGATAAGCATAGCTCGTCTTGGCCATCGATGGTTCGTACTGGCCAAATTTCCGAGGTTACTGTAGAGAGTAGAGATGAAGGAAGCAGCAGTGAAGGCTCCGATGATGACGAAGACAATGATGGACCATCTGATCCTACCGAGCAAGACCGCATGAATCTAGCAGCTCTAGATCATCTCTCTCTTGCTGAAGTCGACTTGGATGAATTGATTCGTGGTCCAGGTAAATCAAAGAGTATTCTCCAGGAAATACTTTCTTCGAGTACAAGTGATCATGATGATGAGGACGAAAAGGATAAACTATTGGACGAGGAAAAGGAGGATCGCGATTATCGACGTTTTTCCAAAAAGTTTGATAAAACCAATTTTTCCTCCGACGAGGAGTCACAAGCCGAAGCATCACCTGACGGCGAGGACGGCGAGGACATACCATTTCTTTCAGAGCCTCCATCAGAGGCTGTTGATGATCAGGACTCTGGAAACTTTCGCAAGTCCACCCCCCCTCCCGATACTCTGCCAAAAGACATGGGTGGAAAAGAAAGCTCGATAATTACGGGTGAACCGTCCTTAGAAGCTCCTGATGAAGCAGCAACCACGACCTTACAGAAGAAATCGGCGAATACCCACACTGACCAAGATATCATGATGGCAGGAGCAGCGGAATCCTCGTCCTCGTCTACTCCTACATTGAATGGTCAAGGCATGGATGCATTAAACTCCACTGCGTCACCTGAGCCAGGAGGCTTGGTAACCTTAGGAGGGCTACCAGACATTACACAGCAAGCTACACCGGATGTGACAGGAAACGTTACCGTTGAGTCAAATCAGCAGAATGACGATAACAATGAACGAACCGAGGTTGTTAAAATTGGGTCAGAGGCTGTAAAAGGGACCACTGCATTATGCATACCCTCGCCAGCCCCCGTTGGAAGGCCGAAAATACTGTCTATTCCCGAAGTCCAAACTACCGTGAAATCGCTTGCAGAAGACGAGGACGGAACTGGTTCGATTGTGACGAATGATACAGATTCCTTTAATCGTGACTTTGGGAATCAATTGTCGAGTCATTCCACCCCAAAGCCAGGCGTGGCTCACCGGATGAAAACGCGGGGTGGAAAGGCCGGTACAGACTTGCCCGAGGCTGTTATCAGGGATAGCTCAGTACTACCGTCTACCAGGAGGTCCAGTAGACAGTCCACCGCCGCAACAAACCGTGACGTAGTTAACGCCCCCAGGAGAACAAGGAGCGCAACGCAACGAGCCTTGCCTCCCAAAGCGACCAAACCTCAACAGAGCAAAAAAGCTGGGCAAACAAGAGAATCAGCCAAAACTGTACAGAAGGACGGTGGCGATGCTGCCGCTAATGCCACTATCCCTAGCACTACTGTAATCCCTCGTGGATCAGCTGAGAATGATACGGCCCTTTCTCCTCCTCCTCCTCCTTCTCTGCAGCAATGGGCCACTCTACGTGAACCTTCCTCGCCACTGATTCCGGATTCATCAATTGCAATAGACGAACTCCAGCCTAGTAGTTCTGCACTTAGTTCCCCGCTGATTAACAAAGGGGTTACATCTGTTGCAAACGGCTACAACGTCACCGACAACGAAGACGTAGATGATACTTTGAAGAATCATGATCCCTTGTTCATTCTCACAGAGAGTCAGGTCCCATTCCCATACTCTCAGTGGAACGAGCCTGCTATGGAACCTCCCACCATAAGGACACATCTTGGATCACCATCTTCTTCTGAATCAGAGTCAGAGCAGACCACGATGGGGCGTTCTCAGCGGAATCAAACGCAGAAGTCAACCATACCCTATCGCAGTCTCACTGAAATCGCAAGTCAACAAGTTTCTTTTTCAAGCGATATACCAGCATCGCTCCAAAAGATTTCCAACAGGAAGGTTACAAATGCCTACACGGAAGACTCAGACGGAGAGGAGGATACATCTTCCGAGTCAGGTTCAGAGGATGGAGGAACTCCATCTCATATTCCAGAGTCAAAGAGGGCGGGTTCCACTCGTAAGAAGAAAGCAGGACTTCTCAATTATGTTTAGTTATCTCGTGATTAACCCCTCTAGATTTTGACTGTACGTCGTGTCCAGTATAGCATTTCCCTTGTTCATCATAATCTTTCAATCTACATTGACATCTGGGTTAAAATCGCATACAAATTAACTCGCATTTCAAAATAGTACTGCATCATGCCTCGCTCAGCCCACCTAGACATTATCGCGACCCTTACCTTGAAGCCCTTGGTTGGTTAATGGATCCTTAATCTGTTCGGTGCACAGCTTTGGGAACCATTAGCCATAATACAAGCATTGATGCAAGCATAGCTACTATGCTGGAGGAGTTGTAAGGTCTTTGCCTAGAAATTAACACACAAAGACATACAGAGGCTGAAGAGTCTGAATTCCTCGCTTCGAAGCGAGTAGACCTGTGATAAAAGGAAATACTGCGGACCCCGCTTGTCCAAATCCGCCAATCCACCCGATGGAACCTTTTAAGTTGGTCAGAAGAGTTCGGAACTTGATTGTAAAGGTACACATACTGGTTAATAGCCAACGGGGAAGAACACGAGCAGCATGATTCACTGCCAATGGGTATGTCGGGCCTAATAATACCCCTACCAGAGAGACGGCAACTGCCCCACCGATTAGTGAAGGGACTAGCCAAACCACTAGCTCCAAGCTACAGGAATCAATGAATACAAAAGCTGGACCGTGCAAGATACATAGCATGCTTACCCTATAGCAAGGACAGCATAGACAAGTAGTGCACGTTGTTCACCCATCTAACGCTCGCTAAATCAACACTTTAAAACATCAAGCGAAGTAGACCTTGTTCACCTTGCGATTAAACCATAAAAGGACCACGCGCCCGACCATAAGACCTGTCGACGATACAGATACTAGGTAGGGAACTTATATATGATACGAAAATGAATTTCTAGACGCACCTCCAAAAAACCCAGATGAGATATATCCTGCAGACGGTCCACCACCACGTTCATCGATCATAAAAGAAACGATCCATCCTTCACGGTTGAACAACCTCAGACCAGGGGCAGGCAATAAAGACACAAAGATACATACCACCGAGAGTCACTTCTACCCCGACGTAAACTAGAATGAAGAACGCGAGGACATGGACAGTCTTCTGTGCGAAAATCTGCCGGTAGGTACGTGTCTCGGAGGCGTTCTCTTCACCGGAATCGAGCCCGATTTCAGCGAGACAGTCTGAAAATTGACAAGGAAAAATTGAATGGAAACGAGGTGATATAATTATGAGGCAGTACCATTCTGTTTTTTGAGACGGAACGTATATGCCAAAAAAGCGACATTTGACAACGAAATCCCAAGAGAAATCAGATAGTGAAAAGACCAATGTTTAAGCTGGGAAAACTGAGTCGACACGAGAGGAGCTACAAGAGCCCCTGCACCTAAATCTCAAGGTCACATTTGAGACCCATGCTATTGAAACATGTCCCCGTACCATAAACTGCATGAAGATAGCCCATCTTCGAGTTGTCATCTAGAGCCGCCACGAAACCGTTCGCTTGGGCATCCTGCGGCAGTGTCAACTTCGCGATAATAAATATAAACTGGGAAATACCTGTACTGCAGAGCCCACTCCATTGATAAAGTTTGCTATCACAAAGACAGGGAAGGGTACGGCAGCGGCTTGCAAACTATAAGCAACTATTTGAGTGAGAGATCCTATACCCGACATTAATACGTGGTCCCGAGCTTGATGGCATAAGTATACCAAAAAATATCAGCTAGATAAAAAAACAGCTATATCATTTAAATGGTCATTTTTTTTGAAAAGTATAGACACACCTTTCCAAATCCCACTTTGTCAGTTAACATGACATTAATCACTGCTCCAGCTATACATCCCTAACAAAGACCTTAGCTCGGGTTGCGTGGAAAGTGAGGAGTAAACGTACGACACACAAAGAAACGAACAACAACGAAACAATAGTAAAGTTTACCTGTCCTCAAGCTGAGGAATATATTCACATCAACAAACAATTCGTTGACATACATGATACACAGATTGAATCCGGGGCAAAAGAGGCCCAGTGCTACCGTCATTCCAACCCAAAAGAAAAAAGGACCAGTATAAACACATCATTTGCATGCGGGCTTTACGCTTCTGCTCTTCTGTCTGTGACGCCAAAAACATATTTTTTTCGAACCCGACTGCAGAAGAAACCACAGGCTTTGAAGACTTATCTTCTGGTGCTCCGGCTCTGATGGATAGTTCGATGTCTTCTGTTTTGGGAACGTCGACGACGTCGACTCCAGAGGCCATACTTTTGTAGAACTGGGCCGTACCAGCATTGATTCCATCCTTCGGAAGGGAAGTAGACATAACTACGTGTCATTTGTGAGTTATCGATTTACGAAAGGAATACCTGACTGCTTACCACTGAAACTGGGTCGTTCGTGGTCGAAAAATGGCTTGAGATATGAGCGAAAAAGCCGTCAAAGTCGAATAATCCTACTCATGGGATTCAATCTATTTTTCAGCTTTATAAAGGTGCTGCAGCGTTTTGTTTGGACAGTCCTTACTAGTAGCAGACGTACAAACGGGAGAATGTCGGGTTTACTTCCCCCGCACCTTGGCTTGGCTGGCAACGTCCGAAAAGCCTAAGTAGTTCGTGGCGTCACATCACAGCACATCACTCATACATTTGGCTAGATCCGCTTACTCTGCCCATCAAAGTACATTGCAGGTGGACGAAAAACCTCCGACAAAGGTCTTGCAGTCTTTGGTCCTTTGGGTAACATTTTGCCGAACTAGCCGTGTAATAGTTTCATCCCACACGACTCGGAGGACCCGGTCATTTGAAGTTCCACCTTCATCACTAACGTAAGACTTGGATTAGCTGCATATATACAAAAAATTCCTGCTGTACTGTAGTAACTTGGTGTGTTCTCTCCAACTGCGAAGTCTGACTGTCGCTATCATGTGCCTTCGAGTGCACACTGTACAGGTTGTATCAGCAACCATACTGGCAACTTCCATTGCGTATAAAATTTTTGCAACTTTGCTGAGACGGAGACTCCGGGCAAAATATACTGCTGTATACGACGTCGATGACCTTGATTCAGGCTCAGGAAACCGGGAGAAGAAGGGTACCGTAGTAATTGCTGGTGGAAGGTAAATTCCGTCGGCTTCCAAATTTACTAGTGAACTACTAAATCATGATTTTTTCAATAGTATAGCAGGGTTGTTTGCCGCTCGTATTTGTGCAGATGACTTCACCGAAGTTATTATCGTCGACCCAGAGGCATTCAAGTCCCTGGACAGCGAGAACTCGAAAGGCAGCACCGGATCTGCTGATCACAGTATCAGCTCTACTGGTCGTTCGCGGGTATATCAGTACCTATCCTTACATGCCTATCAACCTTTTAGTCTTCTGGTTCTGCGAAAACTGTTCCCGGATTTTAATCAACAATTATCGGCTGTAGGGGGATTGTGGGTCTTAATATTGCCATCTATGCCTCATAAAAATTTACAGGAGAATACCCTAGCGCTGCATCTGATCCTCAATTCCACACCTCTGGACGCCCGATCCCTGCTCCAAAGAAAGTTCAGTTTGAGGCTATGGCTTTGAGTAGAGATATCTATGAACCACTCTTGCGCCGCCTCGTCTTGTGCCGCTTTTCAAATATCAAGCAAATTACCGGTTCTGTAATAGCCGTGCAACCTACTACGGACAACTGGGAACGTTTAGGATCCGTCTCTGTCCAATCCGGTGACGTTACGACAACTTATGGTGCTGCACTTGTCATTGGTATGCCCAAATAGCGATATCTTCGCTATTAGCGATACTGATGAACGCCTCAACAACACAGATTGCAGTGGACGCGCGTCCAGTGGCTATCGATGGTTCAAGGATACACCAGTGGATACCAAACAAAGTGATACTCCTTCAGGTTATTTACCGTATGCAGATCTCGCTCTCTCCTACGACCATAAGCTTGGATCGGCTACCTGCGAATTCATTGTTCCTGCCAACTTTTTGGAGACCATTGGTTGTCCTATCGATCGCTCATCCTCAAACCTCTATGTGAGCATACCAGATTACAAACAAGACGGCAGGGCTATTGTCATTGCATTACGTGAACACAACCGGCGTAGGTGGTGTCCATGTTCTGTCAATTTGATTCCACCTGATACTGCTATCTAACAGTCCAGATCTCTTTCGGAGGTTACGATATTCGTGAGAAGATGACTACAGTTGGAGATGTTAGAACTTTTTTCTCGGAAATGGTTCTACATGAACCGCTCCCAGAGTGGGTGTCCAATTTGCTGGATGAGGTAGAAGAAAAACAATATCCTCCATCTATATGGACATGGCGTGTCCGTGAGTTGGAATTGATTGTGATTGTCGATTACGTTGAAGCTAATTTGGAGTGAAGCGCCTTCAACATACATCCAGTATCATCGCGCGGCCAAATTACCCTGTAACTTTATTGCTATAGGAGATTCTGTACTTACCTTGAATCCAGTGCCAGGGTAAGCTATTCCACGTATACGTAGGCATCTCACTCATTTTTGCATACAGGCAAGGCTGCACTAAGGCTTGCATTGAGGCTGTCACGCTGAATAGTTTGCTGAAGTCCGTGCGGGAAGTGGATGCCATTGGCAATATTGTTATCCCGTCTGGTTTCAGTAACAAGTTCTTCCGATCTCAACTATACCGCACAGGTCGCTTATGGTTTGTATCATTTCATTCGCTGACCATGGACCCCTATATCTTATCATGTTGTTGCACTAGGGACTCGAATCGGGCCTCAGACTATGGGTACGAGACTGTAGTTCCTGTGAAGGGTGATGATCATTCTTTTGGCAAAGATCAGAGAGAATTTATTCACGGGAAGCTTCTTCCAATGATTATCACGGTAGGTAAACTTATATTGTACTACAAGCTTAGCTGGGCTTATCATACAACGCTAGGATGACGAGACCTCAACAATATTCTGGGCTGTTAGCGCATTCTTGGAGGCCCCAACTGAGATGATGTTCCCGTCCTTTTTGTTTAAAGTCTGGTGGAACTCCACGAAAGCCCGGCTTTTTTCAAGCTGAAAACTCAATCCATGGACTTTGGCCTATCGCTTCTTAGTATACTAGCTTGTTAAAGTACCTCACCTCTCCGTAGATATAGTACACTAAATTTATCTAGTCGAATACATGCAATTGCAAACAAAAACGCCTAGTCACGTGAGTGCGACAGAGTCGTTCGGGAATTCATTGAAGTATCTTGTTACACAACGACATTCTTCATCGTCACCAGTGCGAAATTGATGGTCTGGAAGGGTGCTTTTCAAAAAGGGGTTTCCTGTTTCAAGTTATCTGAATATCAGAACGCGTTAACATATTTTAACGAGGTATGCCTTGCATAGTAGATAACTGTGGACTACTCTGAACGAAGTTGAAGGCCATTGCACTCGGATGCGATCAGTTCACAGTGTATGATTGTCGCGCTGCAGTGTATGAACAGCTCGGGAACCATAGGGAAAGTCTCCAAGATTCCAAAAAGGTCATCGACCTCGCTCCCGAACGTTGGCAGGGCTATGCCCGTTCTGCGCGACTGTTTCACGAATTGAAGAAACACGACGCAGCCCTAAAGATGGTTGACTTTGCCCTAGATCGTGTCAAATCGGACGATGCGCGTCGACGTGGAGAGTTAGTGGCTTTGAGGCGTCGGGCTGTAGAGGCGCAGCTAGTGGTTGCGCAACGTCGACGAGAATATCTCTCTAAGACTGCGTACCACTTTGGCAAACTTCCAGTGGAAATTTTCGGTCTTATCTTTGCCTCAGTTACAGAATTGGATCCAGCTTTTTCCGTCACTTTGTCGCGTGTGTGTCGACAATGGCGTGCAGTCACGCTTAACACACCTTCTCTCTGGCGTACGTTGGTGCTGTCCAACAGACATCCTACACGCAAAGCTCAGACGTGGATAAAACGATCGCGTGCCTCCATCTCCACCCTGTTGTTCCGAGAATCCATGTCCTTTCCAGATGGCATGCAGGCTCTGAGCGAGTTGGAAACTTTGTCTTGGGAATCACTGCGAGTATGCTGCCTACAGGGCCATATCTTGGATCAGTTCCATCGGTGTTTAATTAAATTGGGAAAGGTTCAAGTTCTTTCCTGTTTAGAGGAGCTGGAAGTACAAGACGGCAACTTGCTGGACTGGTTATTGATCCTTCTCACAGACGCCAGGCTCCAAAGCCTTACTCTGACTGGCTCTAATTCCTTCGGCCTTGCTCCATGGGATAACATTCGTCGCCTCAAATCACTCATCATTCACCGTGCTCGCGTGCCCGCCTCCATTGAGGTTTTAGCGGCCATAGAAGCGAATCCTATGCTGGAAACGCTCAGTATTGACTGTAGGACTCTCAATGACATGGCACAGCCGTCGTCTCCTTTAACAATGGCCCATCTCAAGCACTTAGAGCTTCAAAATGTCAATTGTTTCCGTCCCATCATAGATAACGTCCACGCTCCATCACTGCGCACATTGCGTCTCTTTAATGACGCTGCGATGGATGAAGTGTTGGCTCAATATACGCGACAGGGCTTACCTTGTCTAAACGAACTTCGAATAGGCAAATGTCAGCTTTCGGCAACGTCTCTGATACAATTACTTCAAGTGGCACCTGCGCTACATATTCTGGAAATATCTTCTATCTACGGAGCAGCAAGTGCAATATTAGAGGAGCTTTCAAGAGTTGCTCCTTCGGACCATGTCCACCCCACTTCAAATGCGGTCATATGTCCCTCTCTAAAAGATGTGGATCTTTCTCACTGCTCCGACTTACTGACAGGACCTGTCATGCGTTTCATCAAAAGTCGGCTCGCTGCTGAGTGCACGGAGGACACATCTACAGATGTGAAGGTAGACAGCTTGGTCTCTCAAATTGATTCCATTAAACTTGATGGATGCATAAACATTGAAGCAGGGTGTTTGCCATGGCTTAGGACTAAAGTGAGGCAAGTGAGTTGCGTATTTATGTCAAAAAAGGAATCTAGGAGGCGATGAGGAGAAACGGGGTGTTCTTTATCGCTATGCTTTGGCTTGACGTCAGGCTCGAATGCTAAGATGATGATATTTTCATGGGTAGAAAGGAACACAACAAGAAATAAAAATAGATATTTATTCCTCATCTTCCTCGACGTCTCCAAATTCGAACATCCCTAGACGGTCCCGTTTAGCACTTAAGACTGCATTTTGCAATCCCTTTACAATTTGAGGATAGACGGAGAAGTATTTGCAGCTCTTGCGGTCTAGTGCCGCCAGTCCTTCGCGCAACAAGTCTGCGTTGATACCCAATGGATCGTGAGCTATTGCTGAGTCCGAAGGGTCCATGAGACGTAAGTGAAGCAGAGATCCCTCCTCCTGATCAATGTTTGCCACTAGTTTACGTCCTTCGCACAGCAAACGGAAGCGGTCGATAGCTTCTGTGTGGTAATCACTCTCGGGCCCAACGAGTTTGATAAAGCTGAGGAAGCCCATAAGTAAGCAATAAACCACAGCTAACAAGTAGATGCGAACCTTAGGCGCGCCTCATGGGCCTGGCCAGGCAGGGAGCGGAACTTGGGGTCAAGTGGCCTTACATCTTTGAAACCGACTATATCTTGGTTACCATAGTCGATGAAGGTCACCTCAGCCTCTTTTTTGATAGGTGAAGCACGGCGAACTCGGGCACGATACCATGATCCGTCAGAAAACTTTGCGGACACTAGGTCGCCACCCTTTGGAACGAAACCTGCAGGTGCAGCCGCTGAACGATGGTGCAAGGAAAAGTCGCGCATCAGCTGTTCGAGTGATGCAATACCTGTTGCGAGCACATATCAAACGGGTGTTCAGTTTAGTAAGGGCTGCGCTGACCTTCAGTATTCAAAATTTGAACAGAGAAGCTGAAACCATTTTTCGTTCGAACATCACTGACGATAACATCTAGATATTCCTGCTTGAGGGGAGCAGCATCAGTGGCAGATGGTTCAGCTTCGGCCGCTTTTTCAGCTTCTTCGTCAAAGTCTTGCCATATCTTTAAAAAAATAACTGAAATTGAAACTTCGTGTTAAAGAAGTTAAGGGTTAGACTGACGTTGCGTTGAGCCTGTTTCGCTTCAGTCTAAATGGATCGTCTGAGATGTGTGATCCCGAATGCAAAACACAGAGGGCTGACCTCTGCATCGTATAGTTGTCGTGCCCATGGTAGGCTATCGGCAGAAAACGAGTGGACAGTTGCAAGACCTTCTCTTGCTAGAGCCACAGCTACATTTTCTCCTTTTACATACAACGCGCCGATAAAACCACCAGATTTGTCGACAGTGTCAACTTCAAATTCGACATCACGCTGCATATATCTTCGGTTAGCAAACTCGGTGGCTTCTGCGCCATAAGGGTCGCTCTTCTCTGACGGGTTCCTTGCCGTACGAGGGGCTCGAACACCTTGTTCCAAGTTATAAACTAGTACGCAAAGTGAGTGTCAGGGGGATAACTCACCACCCAGTACTAAAGTCAGAACCTGATTATCCTTAGGTAATAGAAGTCTAGAAGGCAGGCCATGAGAAAGATTGAGCTAGTGATGTTTCTGCACGCACTTAAACCGTGACCCTGCTGCAACATAGTCAACTACCGCAGGGATCTTCCCTTGCCTCTTAAATCCGCTGAGGAACTGAGAAGCACGAGTGCTCGTCTGTAAAAAGATCAGTATATCATATCGGAAGAGAAGAAAAACATTCTCCCACATCGGAGACGTTGAGAGGTTGTTTGTGAGCAGGTTGTTCTTTGCCAGAATGTATACCCCGGGTGTCTGCTACTGCGCTATCAAGAGCGTAACCTGCCGCGTTAACCTTTGAGAGTAGTACTGATAAAAGAGTTCGCTTACGCTTGTTCTGCAGCCATGAGCTTATCGAAATCAGATGACCGGTCCTCGTCGTCACGTTTATGCCGTACGACGCTGGCAAGGCCTTTTTCGATCAGCTGTTCAGCGATATTCCTGCAATTAATCCCAATCATTACAGAAGAAATGAAAAATAACGAGACAAGGCTTACGATTGCTGCCCTCCATAACGAATGGTAGCACATTCACGTTCCTCATATTCGCCCTCACGAGGTCGCACAAAGTCTATAGTGACCTTCACATGTTTACCAACAAGTCGCTTGCGCAAGAACTCCCTCGCTTCATGAGCATAAAATGCCTGTTTAGGGTCAGCAAGTCTGCAAAAAATGAGCTTTCGGGTGTACGCGTGAGCTTTTGGGGACTTACTTGGGTCCTCTCGTGGAACTTAGTTGTAATCTCCGTTCTTTGTTAGTATCCCTGTCGAGAACAGAAACCTGGTCACCACTCCAAACTCGAATGACTGTGCCATCAAAGACTCGAGTTCCGCCATGTGTTGTGCTACCGTTTGCATGTCCAGCTGCAGACGCAGATGGAGCAGGAATATTGGCGTATAAACAGACACGCTTCTCCTTGGCAACCTTTTCAGCTGCGCGGAGACGCTCCATACCTCCACCACTTGCGAGCATACCTGCGTGCCAGTCAACTACGCGAGCCAAGCCAGCAGCAACCAAATGTTCGGCAACGTTGCCTGCGGGGTGTAATACTAGGAAAATATGAGTATTTTTGCGTTTTATACAGAAGCGTCAAGCCTACCTGTTCCAATCAATATAGAAGCTGGCGAAGGTGCAGTATTACTGGTAGCAGTTTGGAAGGGTGTAGCAGTAGAGGTTGGGAGGGAAAGAATCTGTACGCGGACTGGACGTTGCAATAGGCGTGATTCTGTAAAGAACTTGGCCTAGTTTCATTGCAGTTAGTCGCCAAATATGCAAAATCAACCAAACAGATGTAGCAGGCTTACTTCTTCTGCCCATGGCTCTGAAGTTTCCCCCTCTTTTGCTGATATCCTTGCACACCGTACACCTGCGAGGGCAATATTGATAAATTGATGTTCACCGTCAGGCATGAACAGTCGGACACGCAGAGTCGATCCGTCCCGTACTTGTTCAACGAGAGCTATTCGTGGTACTTCTTAACATGACAGCCAACGATCAATGTGACAATAAACTTTACCATCTATCGATTTCCCTTTCCATTCCGATACGAAGGCTTGGGATTCAGTGGGCATCATATAATGAATATCGTGAGCCTAAAATTAAGGCCACGTGACAATATAGTACATGAGCTTTCCCTACGGGACCTGGATAACAGATAACAGAAGTAGCAACGTACTTTTGGACCATGAGGATTCCAAAGGCCTTTTCCAGAATTATTGGCTTCAGTTTCAGCGTCCCTTTTCTTGTTATCCTCCTCCGTAGGATCCCTTTTCAGGTCTTTTACTTTAGCCCATCCGTTCTTGAGCAACTCCAAAGCCACATCCTGCCCACCGATTTCGGCAGTTCCAATATCGCGAGGTACATCCTCATTTGGGGGCAAACTGTGCGTGGATGTGAATGAGATTTCTTTGCCCACTGCGAAGGCGCGCAGGAAATCACGGGATTCGAAAGCCCAGGGCTGAAATTTTTGAAATGAATAACGGTCTATACCGGGGAATTGTGTCTATCACCTCATCGTCCCGAGTAGAGCTTCCTACCCTCGGTGCTGTGACATCTGCGATATGAAGAATTCTAACATGATCGTGATGCAGATGTTATATTACTAGTGGAAAAATGACAAGCGTAATACTCATACCTTTCTTTCGGAGGTTGACCCTGAGGCCCTGGACGGCCACGCAAGACGATGGTATCACCAGAGATAACAGCTGGCAATCACAGTCATTAGAAAAATCGATGAAAAGAGCTGACGAAACTATAGCGCACATTTCACAATCTGTGCTGAGCGTTTGTCAATTGATCGATTGAAAAATATGGCTTAAAACAAACATACGGCTTTCCCAGACATGACTTAAGTTTAGTAGATGCGTTCAACGGTGATTGCTAGAAAATGCAGAATTTTTTGTGTGGTAACAGGAAGGACTTTGACCTTCCAAGCCTCTGGATGCCAGCAGATGCAATCGTGTTGCGTGGGAACTGTTTACCATTAGTAAACTGCATGGAAATGTACGTACTGAGTTGCCTGGTTCTAACCATGACCACAGGACCCTTGAGCACGCAAATGCAACATTGGATAGTGCAGAGCACCCCATGAATGTCTCTACGCACTATGGCCATACTATGATTTCTCGCGTTCACTCAAGTCGCCGCTGATTCCAGCATGGTTCCACCCACATAATAGCCTGGCCTCGATCCGGCTTGTTACAAGCCACTATTAACGCGGTTTGGCTTCTCCTTCTAGAAACACCTGGATCAAAGAACGCAGCGTTTGAGGAAATGATGGTAATGGAGGGTGCCCCTGTTTCCCCTCAAAGTACTCGATCTATCCATCAATGAATCCTCCACGAGGCTCACATCGGTGCAGCTGACTCCATTCTACTTGCCATATCAGATACCTGATCTCTTCACACCCATTGAGTTATGGTTGTAACTCATACAGTATCGTTCTTCCCTAGACCTTGCGTTTATGCCTAACTCGTACACTGTATAACTTACGCTAGTGCCGCGCCACAAACACGCCTTTATCTCATGCAAGTTCGGTGGAAGTATGTCATACGTTTATAGTGTCTGTAAGTTACAGTAACTCGTTGGTCCATCCGCTACAGAAGTCCCTACGTAGTCTGTTTGCCAGGTACGGTGCGAGAGTCTGCAGTACAGCTATCTATATCTAAAACACGCGATCGGCACGTTGGAGGCATGACGATGTGGTGACTGCTACAATCTCCGTTAGGTGGTTCAGGCGAGCACTGCGCAATAAGAACCGGACCAAGGTACACTCACCTTGCTTCTCGAACTTGAACTTCCCAGTAAGACATCAACGTCCCCGTCCACCCATCCTTAAACTTAATGACGGTGCCGCCGCTCGACTCTCCACCTCCTGCCAGCAATGTGAGCTACCACGAGCCTGAGTAAGTGTGTAATCACATTGCGCGTCCTCTTACCGTCAAGCTTACGAGTGTGTCAGAATGGATGTGCTGGCGCAGATCAGGGAAACTGCGTCATCGTCGACTCCACTTGCAGAATTTATGCTGGACCCAACGGTCATCAGCACACTCACGAGTACAGAGACCAAGAGGAAGAAACACAGGAGACAGTCGTCGGGTACAGGCTCCCACCGCCACCACGAGCGCCAGTCGCCGTCTATAATGGGCCTTGTCTTGGCCGAGGAGGAACGCCAGGCGCAACATCTAAAGTCCGTACTAAGGGCCACGGCAGATAGATTGGAACATGAAATCAGGAGAGCAGACAAAGCGGTGTCGAGGGCAGAGTATGCGGAAATGCGTGCCCGCGAGATGACGACTCGTGTGACATCTGCAGAAAGTGGAAAGCAAACTGCAGAGCTTGACGCCACGCGTGCGAAGGAAGAAGCCAAGAGGTATCAACTGCAGTGTGAAAGCTTGGAAAGGCAGCTAAAACGCATGCAGGCGGATGCCTCATCATTGCAGAAGCTCAAGGTAGAAGCTGACGAGAGTGCATCAAGAGCGCGAGATACGGCGAGGAAGTTCCAAGTGGAATTGAAGAACCTTCAGGAGAGAGAAGAAGGGCGTGAAGAGAGTCGTAGATTTGGTATGCACAAGTGGTTCAAGAGTGGAAGAGCCGAGGGATTCGATGCTGGTCATCTTGAAGGATTTGAGGAAGGTCGAGAAGAGGGCTTTGAAGAAGGGAGGGAGGTGGGCTTTGATGAAGGGCTGAAGGCGGGCAGAAAGGAAGGATTCAATGATGGTTGGGAACAAGGTCTGCAGGACGAGCGTGAGCATGCTTTGAAGGCTTTTGACAAGTTCCTCGTCGCAGAGTTCAATGAAGAACCACATGCAGTGAGTACCATGATAGTATCTGCAATGTCCTTTTTCTGAGGCCTCCACAGGCGCATGAAGCCACACGACAGTGGGCTGAATCTACATACCCAAGCCAATCTTTCGAAGTAGAATCACCGAAACCGAAACCTCGATCCACGTGGCTCCGTCGACAGTTGTATGGTGATCCTGCTCTTGATGGCCGTCATGGTTGAAGGACACAGGGGTGGGACTGGTATTTAGTATATTTAAGAATTGGACATACGCCGATTGCGAACATTGGTTAATAATTGTGTATGGACACTGGTCATCCCTCCTAACTTGAAGAATCCTACGGCCTTTACACTCTTGTAGTTGATCGTTATCCACTATGTGTAATGTGGCAGGAAAGCATAGCATCATCTAGGACATCTGCGCAATTATATTGATAGCTGGAGGACTGTTCCGCGGAACAAGATTTAGAAATACCCATCTTGCGATCACGAAGATGTGTCCACTTGAACTCCGGATGTTTGAAACCAGTGTTGATAGCTGCACAGACTTTCACGTCCTGGGATTGAATACTGCATCATGATGCTATCATCACGATTCACTGATGGGGTAGTGCCTTCGGATGTATCACTCAAATCGCAAGTCCAAGAATGCAACTTCGACATCAAAGCGTACAGAACGGTGATGCAGTAAAGGGGCTACTGCTGTCAATGGTTATCGTAACGGTTTAAATGAGCTGCATCAGCGGTATGTGTTGGGACTGCGATGTGGTTATGGGAGAGAAATAACATAACCTCATTGAGCTCGTGGGAATGGGGCAAGAGATGTCTGTTATCTGGATCCGATGAGATTCTGATAACTATTCGTTGATCGTTGCATCCTGACGTCGACAGTTGCAGCGCTCCTTGTCTCTTGTAAACTATATAAGCTTCTCTCTCTCCATTTGTTTTCCTTGTATCGCCATCATGGCTTCCTCCCAATCTCTCCGTCGCAAAGGCCCTAAAAATCTTCCTAGTCTCCCTTTGTCTGCATTCACACCACCAAACACCGGCACTTCTGAAAGATTCCCACTACCACCCACACCAGGTGCCATATTCCCAGACATCATCATCGACTCAAACGTCGCGGCAACAGCTGATCTGTCCAAGTACAAGTCAGATGCAGCCCAACTACTGGAAGGGAAAGTGGCGGGAGTAGTCTTGAACTTGCAAGGCAAAGCACCCGAGGATGTCGACAAGTTTATACAAGGGTATGATCGTTCTCGCGTCGCTAGAGATACTCTGACGGACTATTGCTTCATTCAGGTATCAGTCGAACCCGGACTTTCCTGTTCTTTCTTTGCTCGTTCCATTCAGCCTCGATGGCCCTGTACCTACCGAACCTCCTTCCCATTTGTCCGATTCTGCCAACGTCCCTACCGCTCTAACTACTACATTCGTCAACGCTGCCCCACAAGGCATAGATAACTTGCGATGGGCTCTCAAGCACAGCCGTGTCGTAGACATTGATGTTCAGGGTGATATCATGGGCAACGAGACGGTGTGGGAGACCTTTGAGGAGCTGCTCACCAAGGCCACAGTAGATCTTGATGTGAGGGGAACTCCGATCGTGCTATGTAAGTAGATATCAATTTTGGCTTTATTCACTGAGGCAACCACTGACAAGTCCCATCACAGCCAATGTCCTGCCTCCCCCTCACGACCTTGATCTCCACATTGTTACCTTGATGAAGCACCCTACATACCGGATGTACCAGGCACATACTGCCGCCCTCTCTTTGTTCCCTAATCTTCATGTCAAGTTTATCCCTCCATTATGGAACGCGACCACGCCACCGACGCCACACGTTGCTCCCAAAGCCGAAATTCCAGATACGGAAGACAAACAGGAGTGGAAACGCAGAATAAAAATGTATAGTACGTGATTTTCGATTTCTTGCCACGTAGCGAATTTTAAATGCTGCCTTCCACAGTTGGACCCGTCCTAGAGGCTTTTGGATTCGAGCGCATCATCTTTGGCTCCTCTCCTTCTCCTATCTCACAGTCTACCTCTAATGTTTCCGATTGGTACGAGCTCGTACGAGAGGCATTTGCAGAACTCGGAGTCGAACAGGAAGCTATTGACTCTGTATTTTCTGTGAATGCAAAGAGAGTGTATGGCTCGTCATAGGTCGTCGATGATAAAAGGAATGCATTTCTCAACTCCTCTGTGGTCTATTTTCCTTCACCTGCTTCTTTTCGCACTACATTAAAGCCACAATCTTCAATTTCGCCACGTTCAGAAAAACTGTTTCCATGTAGTACCACAGGGGTCTTGTGTGTTGTTGTACAAAAGCTATTTATCCATGAATACCATAGCAGTGCCACATTTATTACGTGATATTTGTTCCTCGGTGCTACCGTGACCAAGTCCTGTGTTGGTCTACAGTTCAACTACAGGGCCAAGTCTGAACACTTGAGTACTAAAGCTCGCTGAACGAACACCCAGATTTATTACTAACAACCACTCCATTAATATCCTCAACGCTACGGCATCGCTTTCTCCATCTGGCCCTTCTACTTAATTTCCTTGTTCAAGTTGACCTGAACCTTCAAACTCACGCGTGTACTGACACACTTCAGCATATAATCCCTCAATTTTGGACGATACCTGTGGACTAGTTTTGAGTATACATGGCAAATAATGATAACGGAGTGATAGGTATCGGAAGAGCAAATGACTCCTCGTGAGTGGTCCCTAGGCTTGAAAACATAACATGTTTCACTCAACCCATTTGCGCGGTTAGGAGTAGCAGAGAATCATCCCCAGCAATCGTGAGTACATATTCAATCACTGTTGAACGTAGTACATGCCGCTCCTCGCTCGTTACCTTCATCCCTGTGGACGTCTTCTTATAATTCTGCCATTCATCTCTAGAGAAGGCAACCACGCTCATTCTCGCCTACCTCAGACGATGGAGATCTTGCCGTCCCATCTGTGCCACAAGATGACGACGTAGACACACCTCCTCCAGAAGGCGCATCTGCTCCACTCATCCGTCAAGCTGTCGGCTTCTCCTGGGCTCCACAATCATCTGCGAGCATCACCACATATCAGGCGACGCTTCCCGCGAAACCAGTCCCTCACTTTCTTCCCGGGCAAGAAGTCCTCGCGTCCCAAACTCGCTCTCAAACTCCCCAGTCCAATACCACAAAGAAGGCATCTTCTGCAAAACCGAAGACAACGAGAAAGAAGAAAGCTGTTGGCGATGCATTTTCTGCGCAGACTGGGAAATTTAGATTGACTTGTTCAGTGAATGAGAACTTTGGACGGCCCACTCCCGCTCCCACTCCCACTCCCGCACCTTATTCTAGTTCAGTCTACCCTGGTTCCGGGCCATATTCCTCCCTTTACCGCCTTGGTACTGGGTCTTCTAATGCCACTACACCTTCAGGAAATTCTATGGCGGGGAGCATGTCGCCCGCTCCTGGAATTTCTTCTCCCGGAACCTCTTTTTCATTACCCCCAGATCATACATCTAGCACCTCGCACAACAGGAACGACTCAAGATCTGCGCATACTCCCAGATCAAATACGCATCATCAATCCTCTCGTTCTAAAGGTAAAAGACGCGACAAACAACCATCTCAACCAGTTCCTCGTGACGTGAGACATTCCTATCAATCTACAACGACCGATCCACAGCCCGGTCAGTCAAACTATTACAGACGAGACTATGAGAGAGACAGGGACGCAAGCGATATGCATGACTCTCTCCCACATTCGGCGCATAGTACAATGCAACCCGCCCCTGCTCATCCAAGTTCTTCCTGTAAGTTTGTGCCATCTTTATTCCATAGCATCAGCTTAGAATTATGTAGCTGCACCCGCCAATAATGCTGCAACACAACCTCGACCGATTTCTGGGCCATTACGTATGGTCACCCTCTTAATAGAGGACATCAGAAGCGGTGTGTCAGACTCGCAGCTTGCAGAAGTCAAAGTACCTCTCAAAGTTGCGACGGATCCTGAGTATGGGTTTTGGGCGATCGCTAAGGATATCTGCGAAGGTCTTCAAACAGGCCCGTCGAGGATTGATGGTTTGTCGTGATGTTTAGAGCTGTGTTGTCTTCTTTTATCTAACAAGCGGTCTAGGACCTGCTAAAGTATATACTCTACGTGGAAAATATCGACAATTCTTTATGCGAGTGTCAGCCGACAACGTTTTCGAGGCTGGCTCGACAAATCTTGGAATCTCGTCTGACAGAACGCTTCAGATAGTAGTGGAAGCTGTATGTCATTCAGAACTCATTCGATTATGCAGTTCTCTGACGTAACAGTTGGTATAGCCTGTTCCAACTGGGCGGCTGCCCTTACCACCCAATATTCCGCAAAATGTTATGCATGCTTCAGACTCTGACTCAGATGGAACGCATGCCCCTGGTGAGATCCGAATTATGGTAGGAGGCTTGACTAGAGACGCACAGGTGGAAAAATTAGCGAAGATGGATTATAACACTCTTCCTCAAAAACGGGACAGGTCCCTGTCATCAGATGACTCGTCGAACCGTCATTGGGTCAGACCCATCGCTCGCATCTCGCCCTATTCCTCCCCATCACCCCGTCCTTCTCCTTCGTCGAAAAGAAAGAGGAAGACTGCACGCCGTACAGAAGATATTGCGCGTGCGTCAGTGTCTTCGCGTAGTGATGATATGAACCAAGCTGGCCGTTCTGGAAGACGGGAACACATGGCGTCTCCTGGTTTGGGCCGTATCGCTGAATCTTCGGAAGAAAGGGACAACGTCATCGCGAACTATATCAGGTCATCCATAGAAGGCGACCCAGGATGGATACAGTACATGCAATCAAAAGCAAAGCCCCAAAGGGTCTCGGAGGTTCTCAAGCAATATCAATTTGTACAGTCCAAGGTCCAAAAACTGGTAGGCCAAGTGACTCCAATACATTTGGATGGAGCGCCAAACTGTCCAGTTGAAAAGGTACGCTCATTTGTGAATCAGACTCCAGACTACGTCGAAGTATTGATATCTTCGAAGGAGCATGTATGGCACGTACTTAAACTGTCTACACAATGGGGTTCGGACTGCCAAGAAACACTTTCGTTGGTACATTTCTATGGTCCGAATGGTTCTCGATACGAAGATTCTCGTGTTGTTGATATGATGAACGACACTGCTCCACCAAGAGACAAGGCGATGAAGCGGTTTCTTAAGTTCTTGCGCGAAGTTGACATGGATTGGGCTCGAGATCACACTGCGTCACCAGATACAACATGGGAGCAAGACTTCACAGAGGCAGATTCAAGGCTGTCAGAAGGCCCTCGTGAGACTCAAAGCTATCCCTACCGCAGCAATGATACTACCCCCTCTCGGCATTACAATTACTAGACCATCAGCGGACGCAAACCATTAGAGTGCCCATTGCAGGAAAACGGTTGCTGAAAATCTGGTGTTCCCCGTGTCCTCGGGTATACAATTTCCTGTTAATATTATTTTGCCAATTCATCCTTCCTGAACATGTTTTACGGAACTTTGAATGGGTATATCGGGAAATGGGTACAGGAAAAGCGTGCTAGGTTATAATACAACCTAATAATACGACGTATATCGCCACCAAAAGGAACGATGTCCTCTGAGGAAACGGGACCAATCTTGGTGCGCTACCAAAAAAACAATGTCAGGAAAATTGGACATGGTTAGAGAGCACTGTACATCATTCTTTTGTTGACCTCTCTATTCCCAAGGACATCAACTTTGATACCGACGCCAGCAGGGACGCATCCTTCCCCGAAAGCTGTCTCGAGAGCTATTTTCGCTTGGAATCCGGAACAGTGCATAGGAAGGATATACATGGGCGCCGGTCTGAGCTCCTGTGATAGGAACTCCACTGTTGGAGAGATGCGGTTGGTTAATTCCGGTCCTGCGAGATGTAACCCGCCTATGATCTGGAAAAGAAAGGTAAGAATGACGGCAGAAGAGAGGGAGCTGATAGGCAACGTTCCATGTGAATCGGCCTAGAGAACTTCGATGTAGCATCCTTCACGACATTAACAATACCCGCATGAGAACACCTTGATGGCTTACGATCAGAAAGAGAAGCTCCCTTTTTTTATTATGGGAATTAACTCACGCGCTCAAAATCACCAAACCCTTTCCATACACGTCTATGGCAACGTACCGTTCATCCATAATATGCTGGAAGAGATGAAATGCGCTTCCGAATGGATATGCAAAGACAAAGGACGTACGTGTTCCTGTACCCATCGACCTTCACCTTGTTCTTCTACCCACCTCATGCCACCAGGCAACCCATCTTCAAATGGGGTTAATCTGGGTATTTCCCCACTCACCCAAATTGTGTCATCTGCTACAGCATGACCGTCCGTATGATACTCGATCTTCCCACCGGCTTCTTCGATAAGGGCGAAGGTTGGGTCATTCGGTAGACGGCCGATAATGCTCTCATACGCGGGTGGGGGCGCAATGCCTCGAGCAATTGGTCTGGATGGATGGGCGTCCACAATGCAAGGAGATGGCTCCTGCCCTCGCAAGCGTAGGAAGGACAGGAGGCCACCAGTGTGATCACTATGCCAGTGTGATAGGACGACTCGGTCGATTTCGTTTACGGGGACCCGCATTGAATCTATGTTTCGCACTAATGAGCTGGAATCTGGACCAGTATCGAATAGAGTTAAATGGCGTTTAAAGCCATGTGTTTGCGTCTCCTAGGTTGCTTTTCTTGTCTAGGACAGACAGCATAGGAGGGCAGGGAGTGCTTACTATCAGTGCGGAAAAGCCATGAGCCCCTATCACAGCACAAGATAAGACTTTTGTGTCAATGAATACGAGATCCAGAAAGGCTCACCACAACACAGCCTTTCAAAATCAAGCATTGGGACACCTGTGCGTGGGTCTTTTGGAGGACTATGGTCAACCAAGTGCTGACGCATTTCATGCGTGAAGCCAGGTGGTAATTTAGTCATCCTATAGAGTGATTAGCAGGGAAAGAAAGAGGGGTTCGATGGAGACATACCATTCTATGCAATTGTCGACGAGAAAGGTGATTGTAAGTGTGTCCACAGATTGGATGAATGCTTGAGGACTGCTTGAATACCCAGCAGATGAAGTCATTATCAGTCCGAATAATAACCACCACTATTCAGGCAAGAAATAGTCTCGGCCCGTGAGAATACTTCCCGTTAATATCTCGGACTATGATGCAATCACTTAGCGCTGAAATCTCTCAAACCACGAAATTCTTAAGTCGCACAATGGACATACGAGATCGTAAACCTCAGATATGAAAGGTTCAACCCTCCACTCCACCAGGGATGCGCTAATATACAGGCCCCAACACCAACAAGATAGCCAGTATCCAGAACACGAAAGTACGAATGGTACGATAGCATAAGTACGAGAGTAAACTCCAAAAACGTGTTTACCTGTCAACGCTAAATTTACCTAGCCCGACGTCACCATGATAATCAGACTTACACTTTGGCCATACCACCATATCCCATCTGTGCACCCGACTCTGCCAACTTGCGTTGCCTGAAAGCCTGATATCATTTCAATGGATTCAGTTGGAGGTGCGAACGCGTAAACATGCAAGGGTCTTACCCTGCGGTACTTCGTGCGTTCATAAGTGACCAGTGCCACAATGATAATAGTAATCCCCATGACACCACCAAAGATACCAAGGCCAACAGGTAGGACCTTCAGCGACCTTCCGGGCATGGTGAATGCAGCTTGAACTGTGGGAGTAGCGGCAGCTGATGAAACGTTCTGAAAAAGAAATTGGTAAGGTAAGTCCCGAAGCCGGCGGTATGTACGCGCATAGCTCATACACGCAGACTTTTGATGCAAGATACTCACGTCGCCGGAATTGTTAAGAGGCACTGTACTCGTAGATACTGCAGTAGACGCGGAAGTACTGTTGGTGGTGCCCATGGACATGGTGCAATTTTGCACTTCTTGCACCATCTGGCCATCCGGTGTGAATGTCAGCACACATGTTTCTGTGACAGGGCCAGCCGAGCTAGTGTATATATTCGATATGTGTCAGATTGCAGAAAAGCAAAGGTGCGCACGTTTGAACAACGTTTGTGGTAGTAACCGTGGTCGGCGAGGCGAGAGAAGCAGCTGAGACTTGAGAAGCAGCTTGACGGCGAGCGAGGGGGGCGTCAGGGTATGCATCCAAGTCCACGACAGCCGAGGGGAGTGCAGCCGCAAAGCCCAAGAAGAATAGCACCAAGGAGAACAGAGCGAACAAAGAAGATCTGGACAAAGAGAACATTGTTGACTTAGAAAAAATAAGTTTTGAAAGACTGTTGGGCCGAAAAGAACGTAGAGCCTGCTCTTGAGAAGATGATAGTGAAGAGAAAGAACGCGCAGGCCACCAGGGCGAAGAAAACGAAGTAAAGAATTGAACGGGAAAGAATAGAAATAAGACAAAGGGCTAGCGACCAAGGCGACCTTCCAGAAATAACTCAAATCCTTTTGTCGACTAGATATCGAATATATTTCGTGCTCCGACTCAAGTTTACGGTAAGATACCCGCCAGGATCTCGATACACTACCATAAACGTTCAAACCCAGACAGAGGCACAGCTCGGCATCATGAATCTGTCACATCGCACCAGCAACGTGTCACAAAGGCAATGCCTACCTTCCATTTATAGTATGATACAAGGCGGCAATCTAAGTATGTGGCTTGTCAGTCACTGCATTCCCCCTTCCACAGCTTTATATGCTTTCCCTTCGCGGAAACGTCGCTTCTCCTGGCGAAGGTTGAGAAGCGCTCCAATCACTTTGGATATCGCCTGGGTTGCCCACTGCTCGAATGCCAGTGATAGCACAACATTCACCACCGCAAAGACGACGAGCCACATTCGTGCCGATAGGGGAAGCGGCATCAATTCCAGGAGTAGCGCGAGAGATTTGAGAGGGCTTAAGGTGACGAGCAAATTGAATAAGGAAAGAGCTACGATCGAGACCATCAACCAGCCTGTGTTCACATGTATCATTCAACAACCATCAGCCTATCCGTTCGCTGGTGTTACTCACCGTTTGTCCACATCGATTTGCGATAAGGGGGGCCGATGCTGAATACCGCAGCAACCAGTATATACTGGAAGCAAGATACCAAGAATAACGTGGAGTTCTCGTAGTTCGTGGACCGTAGATGATTGCCCCTGCCGCTCTCTGGGTCGTCGCCCAGCGGCGGCGTGTACCTGAACGCAGGAAATACGTGAATACTATCCGCACAAATCGTTGATGGATGATTTACTGACCACTCTTGACGTCTAACCCAAAGAAAGGTCCAGGCTTGCACCGCACTTGTTATGACAATTTGCCCAACCAGGCTCGCCAGGACTTTTTTCGATATAAGGCTGGCAGTCGGTCGTTTTGGATATATCCGAGGGAATGGCAGCGTTCTACCCACTAAGAAATTTATCAAAATCATAGGCCCATCGTGAGTGGTATTGCACTTACTTGTAACAGCAACAGGAATGATAATGAAGAGATCAATATACAAAAACTGGCGTATCATCAGCCAGCTTGTTCCGCATCATTCAAAGAATACACATTACCTGGAAGTCACCTAGGGATGATGCAAATGAATATAACAATGTGATTGTTGTAAATTGTATTAGGGAATATAATGCCCTGTCCGAAAGTCAGGATCCCAAGGATAGGATATTACGACAGTGGGACTCACATATATTTGAAACAAGAAAAGCTTGTAACTAGAGCAGCTCTTCCTTCTTTTATAACTTCGATAACGCAGCCGATATCAGGGGTACTGCTTGTAAATGGAGCAGCAACAGATGCCTCCGCCTCCGATAGCGAGATACCGACGTCTGCAGCTTTGAGTGCAGCACAATCGTTCGCGCCGTCTCCGCACATGAGAACAGTATAGCCCAAAGCCTGAAGCCTTTCAACCACCTCGTTCTTTTCGTCAGGAGACATTCGAGCAAATATTTGAGTCTTGACGAGCATCTATACCAGCGATACAACTTCAGTGAGTGGTTTTACGCCAGAAAGACATGAATACTGACCCGCTGCAAAGTCTCGAGAGGAGCGTGGTTGATCATCCACCGAAACACGTCACCTGTAACTACAAGTGCATAATCTTGATATTGTATTTCTTCTGACTCAACTGTATGATGAGGTGGAGGTGTCAATGGTTTGAGGCTATAATCATCCAACTTCCAAGAGACGTCATCCATGCACGACCATTCCAGCTTTGAAAGGGGTGTCGTGGCATTTCCTAGAATCCTTTCCAATTAGTAACATAGCATACCAGCTAGTACAAATCGAGAGTAATCACCACGTAGGAATACAGGGACAAAGACGTGAGCAGCTTGATTCACCATATTGCACTCTCTGGCAACGCTGACTGCCGTTAGCGGATTATCGCCAGTAATCATCCTGCAAGCGAGATGGGCTGCTCGGAGTGTTTGGATTGCGGGTGCAGTTCCTGGTTTTAGTTTATTTTCGAAAATGACTAAACCTAAAAACCGAAGGTTTGATTCAGCTTGCTCTCTGAAAGGGGGATGAGTAAGGAGTAGCAATATCAGATATGTGCACTACCTTCTTAACTTCTGGGCCTTGAGCCAAGAGAGGCCCTCGATGCTCTTGCCAGCAATAGCAATTACTCGATAACCACGTTTGGTATAGTAAGATAGTAGGTCATCGTAATCATGGGGAACTTATACACAATGTCAATACGAGGAAGTGTCATAGAAGGAAAGAAAAACGTACAGGATGCCTTGTCGCAGATCTCACCCATGACCTCGGGAGCCCCTTTGACATATATTTCCATACTATTGCTCCTAAGACGTTTGACTACGACACTCATGCGCCTCAGAGCAGAGACAAACTCGAATGTCCGTATCACCCCTAGCTCAAGAAAATGGGCATGCTGAACTTCAATGTAAGTACATCGAGTCCTCCAGCAGTTAATTCCGGTGTTCTTACTTTGGTCCCTCCTTTCAAAGCATCTTCCAACCGGAATTGTGCACTCCCAGGAGGTCGCACAACAGTTTGGACCAGAGCAGCAGGTCTATCCGACCCAGAGCGTCCTTTAATGATACCTGTTCCTGCAACATGGCCTTCTTCCAACGTCCATTTCGTAAACTCGAACATCTTCACGTCCAAGGGGTCGCCAATGATCTGCTGGTCCACCATTTTGAGCGAATGACAGGTTGCAAGAGCATGTAGAAAGCCAGCACGATCACGACTAGATGGCAAGTCATGGACGTTGTTAATAAGTTCTCCGAAGCGATGAGCGTTCCGGTCGAGAGAGCGCACGCCAAGTATATCAAGGCCATCTTCGGTGAGTGTCCCTGTTTTGTCGAAGCAGCACAGATTAACCTTGCCACTAACATTTACACGCGTGGGTGATATGCAGAAAATGCCGAGCTTGCGAAGACGACCTAAGGCAAAGCTAGTGCCTATGGACAGCGTCGCAGGGAGAGCCGGAGGCACGACGATAGTTATCAGGTCCAGTGCTCGTACCAAAATTGTTTGCCATTTAATCTTGTTTTTTTTGGGGGGATAAATAATAAGCAGAAGAATTCGGAGATGACCTTGCAAAACCTACCCCAAGTCTAACGAACTGAACAGCACTTGCACAAAAGCCAAGGCCAGCGATTCCAGCAAGGACACCGATAAACCGTATTGAATCACGATAAAACTTGAAACCCATTGGTTTTGGGAACAGCATAGATCTAACCAATGCACCCTTCGTCGTGTTGAAACCTGTCCTCACTACCAATGCCAGGGCAGGTCGACCTTCGTTTCCGTCCATGGCAAGTGCTCCCCGAATCCTCACGATCCTTGTTCCAGCATATATAAAGCTCTTCGAAATCTCACCTTGCACATCTTTGAGGTCTCTCCAGAGTGCGATGCTTTCGCCCTTGACAGGTGTCTTGGAGACGGGCACGCTCTCTCCGGTGAGCATACTCTCGTTTACAATGGCGTCACCAGAAAGTAGTAGCATATCAGCTGGGAAAAGGTGGGATCGTAGGTCGGATAGATTGACAATATCACCCGGTACTAAATCAGCCGAACTTTGCTTGAGCCCTGATTGAGATAAGTTAATAAGTTCAAGAGAGGAAAAAATGACAACTAACATGCGTTATCGACAAAAGCAACGACATCGCATGAAAATCGAGACATTTCACGCATTCGTTTAATAGTCTAAACGAATCAAGAATAATCAAACGATAATTTGTTCTGCGAGTGTCTTTAACCTTACCTTCTTAGTGTCAATGAGTGTAGTTGCTACACTCAGTGTTGATATTAGTGCAATACAAAATGCGTAATAGTAGTAGTCATCCAAGGACCACAAGATAATACTGGCAACTTGGAAGACGTAGAAGGGATGAATGACCTGGCATCTAGTAAGATTCGTTCCACGCTTATAATGAAGATGCACTACGCACTTCATCTATTAGGAGGTTGATTGTGGATTTCCCTGCTATGTCGATTACATTGGCGCCGAACAGAGTAAGTCTTTGACGCCTCGTGGAGTGATCAAGACCATTCTGTACGGATTGTAACCCTGTCCATGTGGGATCTCGCCAGTCCCTACGCATAGCTTAGTCTGCAGCAATGATGTCGTGGTAGGTATCACTAACCTTATTACACTAAATAACCCTGTACGGACGTCCAGTGCAAATCGTGAATAGCGGTAATCAACAACCAGCAGATCTTGTAGGACATGGGCATCGTCATGAGGCCCATCAGGAAGCTTGTATTGAGAGGAGTGGGTTCTATGTAAGGAAGTGAGGCGGTCATTTGACTCTGTCATCACAGGAGGAAACACCGTTGATGCAGGGTACGGATAATCTAGACGTTTGATAGGAAACAGTGTCACATCTCTATGTGCTGACTGAGGTGCATTCAAATAATGCCCATTATAAGGTGGGAGACGTAGTACATACCTCGACGACGACGAAACCATGCTTCAGATCCTTGAAGGCCTTCTCTTTGGTCACCCAACGAAGCCAGACGCGAGGAAACCAGTGTCCGAGTAAACCAAATATGCCTAATGAAATGGTACATGCTAGTCTCCAGAGCCATTGACGCCAAATGATTACTTCATAGCCCACAAAGCGTATAGTACTGTCTTCATCCGCAATGTATATTGTTTGCCGGCTTGGAGGACCAGCAGGCGGTGCTTCGAGCGCGTCGAAAGGCATGTCTATATCTATGCGCAGTTCATCACCGAATATGGGGTCAGAGGAAAGAAGAGGAAGGGTTGAACCCCCTGTAGGTGATGGGGGATACGACCCATAATCTATGTCACTGGGACTGTGTATAGAGCCATTTATATTCAGTTCTTCGTCGTCGTCGTCTTCTTCCCCTGACGAGTAACCCCAACGATTATCCTCTTCATCGTCGGTGTCCAAGGCGTAGTCCGAGCCAGCATCAGAATGTCTGCTTCTGCGAGAACGCCTCGTAGAAGACGCAGATGACCGCCCTGAGGGAGAGCGTTTACGACTTGATGAGTCGCCAGTTGCAGACCTCCCAAAAAGTTGGGCTATGTTCTCAAAAACAGTTGACCGTTGAGCCGGCGGAGACTGGGACCTCCTTCGGCGTCTGCCTCTAATGCTACTGCTCGGCACGGGTCTTTCTTCCTCGTCCCCAGATAACTCTTCTCGTGCGTCGCTTCCGTCTGCAACATGAGATCCTTGACTGTCTCCGCTCGTTCTACGGTTCATCCAGCCTTTCCCTGTCGACGTCTGACTATCTTCGCTTCTCCTTCGCCTCCTCGACCACTCGCTGCTTCTTCTTCCTGCGGGTCCCATCTCCCGATGAGACATCCGTGACATGCTACTGGGTATCACTGTGTGACCTGGGCCGTCAAACATTGCGCCCTCGCCGCCTTCTCCCCCATATGCGTCACTGAACTGTGAGTTGCGTCGTGCGAGCGTACTGTGCTCAAGGACATCCTCGATGTCGACAACTGTGGCGCCCTCTGTGTAGTCGTGGGCATTGCTTGGGCCTGCAGTCGCCATCGATAAGGCCTTGAAGCTTGAATGTTTGGACTGCAGAGCAGAGATAACCACGAACTGCAAGATATTCTATGGCTCGCGGGCTGAACCGAGTCACGGTACCGGAAGAAAAGCAGTCCGTTTATGGAAATTCGCGGTATTCCTGGACGCGGCATTTGCCTTGACCATCGTCGAGACTCAGGCTACCATCACTCCAAACCCTCCTCAAAATAAAGTCACCCTTGCGGCACGCATATATCGCTCATGAGTACTATAACTGATGTCTCCGGAAAGCTTGGAGAGTACATGCTGAAGGGCTGGGTAAGCCTCACTGGTTGTCTATCATGATGAATAGTTTCTGAGTGCTCATTCCATACTTGAAAGATCCTCACAGATACATCCTGCCCTACACCCGGCTGTAGGATCCCACTCATGCGTTCACCAAATGGGACAACTCCACAAACCTATTTTTGCGCCAACTGCGATGGATTTTCTCAGCGTAAGCTCTCGATATTGATACTTCCACTATTGTTGTCTTCAACAGCATTATAGCATCAACCTCAGCAGTATCCGATGCTCTGTCCCAAACCTCTAGCAACTCGTCTCACTCAGAGTATAATCGCTCTTCTACCCCTCCCACAGAAGTAACGAGCGCTCTCAGCTCGCCCACATTCGCGCCTGGAGTAGAAACAGAGGAGGCACTGCGTCGTAGACAGCAATCAGACTTCGCTTCGGCGGAAATTGGCAAGCGCCTTCTGAAAGGATGGGCCATGCTTGGAGAAGAATGTCCCAACATCAGATGCTATGGTGTGCCTCTCGTTCGACCCCCTAGGACGGGCGGCGACAGAAGCCCACTCAAGGTGAGCTCTGCTGGCTTACCACGTTGGATTCCCAGATCTGTTCTTACGATTTATAGGAGTGCGTGGTGTGTGGGACGTCGTATACAACCCAAACAGATGAACAAGGTTGGGAGCGCTTGGTATCCGTCAACCCCGCGCCTCAGGTGACCCAACCACGGGGAGAGACGTCTGCATCAACGCGAGGCTTGAACACACATATGTCTGACCACGACAATGGATCCTCTGTGCGCAGATCTCCTTGATTCTGCGGCAATTATCTGATTGATGGACTGATTTGGCTTCTAGAACTCTCGCGTTGCTAGACCTTCAGTACCCCCTATTAATATAGAAACACAACAGGTGAATACATACATTGCTTCACTGACTACTCGCTTCAACCTGCGGTCTCAATTTAGGATAGCATGGTTTCATCGTTGGCCGTTCAAAGGCCACATGCGGCCTCGACACAGGATGTCAGTTACAATCACTGGAGCAGATGTCATCGTGCTGATTTTAGTAAAACAGATACAAACTTCAGTCTCTGCTACGGCTTCTGCTCTAACTACATCATCACGATCTTTGGAAATGACTCTCCAAGTTCTCTCGCGAAAACTCAATTCATTGTGCAACGACCCTGCAATGGTGGATCCTTCTTCCGTTTCAGTGACCGCTGATGCTATCAGCAAAGTGACCCAAGCTCTTGCATCTGTCAAGCAACTGCAATGGAGTGAAAGCCAGGCCCAAGTGATGTCATGATAAAAATAGACTTCTCGACGTATGGTTCGCCATCCAAAAATTGCTTGACATGTCTGCCTCTCATCAGAGTTTACTGCCACTATTTTCTAACATATCACGGCTGACTGCTCCCTAACTGATATATGAAAATGGTGCCTACCTTCAGCATTTCGTCGTGATTGATATATCTCACTCGTGAAAATACACACGGCGGGGGAAATGAATAAGCAGCTACAAACGATACAATAAAGTGTCCAGCATAGCAAGGGTCAACCCAGATATCTCAATATCAAGAAGAAACAAATAAACGTAAAAATAGCGCCTCCAACGAAAATGTACATGTCCTGTGTGCTGTATAGGATATGATTAAACATGCAGTTCACTGTGAGAAATACAAAGCGTACCTTCGTCTTTCAATCCAACCAATAACGTCGCGACTGAACCCTAGGGTGTTGGCAGCATCGAGCAGCCGCCTCTGTGTTCCTTTCATCATGTTTCTTTGATCCACGAGGTTGTCCAGAACTTCTCTCCCTTGCGCCAAAAAGTCATCAATTCTTGCTTCGGTGTTTTGAATGAACGTGTGTTCGTCCAACGCATGACCTTCCCGCAGCGTTGAATGAGGTAGGGGTGTTGGCATTCGGAACGGTGATTCGGAGTGTTGTGAAGTTGATGGGTCATTCAAGGCATTAGGGGTGAAGCGCCGTCGCGTGTCAGAGTTAGGCGACAATAGACTTGACGAACTCTGGAGAAGTTCATTTCGCTGTGACGCCGCTTTCTGTGTCCTAGTTAGTAAACCATGACTGTCGAGAGTGGCCATTGGAGCTTCGTACCTCCGCCTTGACACGCTCAAACTGGCTTTTCAGGTCCGAGTAATCTGACCTGAATTTATGTACTCGCCTTGAGAGAGCTCATCACGTCAAACAGTATAGCCGCATATAAAGGAGATTCTTACATTTGTGCCTTCTCCTGCTTCGCCTTTATGATTTCACGCTTCGCCATGGAGTCATAGTCATCCACTGTCCGCTGCATAGCAGCCAGCGAAGCTGATATCTGCCCTAACGAGAGTACAGTTGCTGAGCTACCGTCACTTCACCTGTGACTGTTAAGAATGATTGACAAACCTAGTAAAGAGACTGAATTGTCGCCATTGCGTAGACGCTCGAGGTCAGCGTGGAGTGAGTTTGTCTGGCGAACACCGAGGGTGTACAGGGAATTCATGGCGGGGCTGAGCAAGACGTTGACGGAAGACGAAAGCTGATTCGTGCCTGTATCCGACAGTGCTCGAGTCGCGTTGTTCCCTGACGTGCTCGGCGACGTGTCTGCCGACTGTGCTGATTGGGCCGGCCGGCCTCTCGGCTACCAAGGCCGGTGTACAATGCAGATCCCACTGCAACCTCCATCGCCAGTATATACAGAACATACGTGGGGTCACCGACTGGCTGTGGTCACCTCGCTAGTAAGTATATATTGAAGCAACTCTATCGCAGTGCTGCACGTACATCAACGTACATCAAGGGGATATCATTTATGGTTGGAAACGTAGATGAGAACCGTTGTCACCGTCTCTTCCCCTTTCTCGATGCTTTACCACCAGCCCTCTCAGCCTTTTCCGTTCTCCTCGCCCTTTGTTTTGATCTATCCGCCTGACGCGCAGCTTTTGTCTGATACCTGATCTTCTTCACCTTTTCGCTTTTCTTTGCACTACTCTTGAGCTGTGTCACACCGCCTCTGTCTTTCTCTTTCCCTTTTGATTTAGTGGTCGACGGATTTGGTGCGTAATGTGGTACGGATTTTTCTGGTAGGGCAGATGTCGAGGGACCATGTATGAGTGTTTCAGGCTCGAATTCTTCCACAACCGTCACCGTGGCAAACTGTTCTTCTCCCTCATATTCTTCTTCCTTTTCCATGTCCTTACCGTCCGCATCATGCTCCAATCCTGACCATTCTCCTGTGTCATCGTCTCCATCATCTGTTGGACGGTAAGGGGATCAACGTAAAAGGCTAGACAGTATAGCTCATCACCAATGATAGCACCATATGCTCTTTCTACTTCGGCAGCATTCTGAACAGCACGCTCTGCCAACATACGTCGCCGCTGTGGAGTATTGACGCGATCAGAAGTGATTTAGACATCGCATCGCATTGTGGCACGTACTTCACGACGCGTCTCCAACCTCTCTTGCTTCTCTCTAGCCTGAGCCTTTTGTTTTGCCTCTTCCTTCTTGGCCAGTTTTCGTTTATGAAAGCCGGTCAAAAACTCCCTGATGGAAGGTGAGGCCGGTTAGTGGGATAGAGGGAGTGATATACCTGCGTGCGTCTTCATCGAAGAGCACCTCCTTAATCTGTTCTTTCCTTGCTCGTTTCTTTGCGGCTATTGCCCTGTGGGACTGGGTGAGTACCGCATAGTTTGATGGTTGCATGAGGGGGAGAGGCAAGAAAATGATACCGGCGGGTCCGGGGTCGGTGACTAAAGCCGGCGGGATGAGCAAATAATATATATAATAAAGGATTGTTTGGATTCTCGTTCCTCAGAAATGGAATAAGAATCGACTCTCAGGCGAAGACATTTGTGTTCGTTTCCCTCCCTCATATATAACGCACGGTCTTGTCTCTCCTCGCTGTCGAGCCGCTCAATGCCCGCCCTCACCCTCTCCCCCTCACAGCACACAAGCACGGGCACGGGCCATCTCCAAAACAGCCCTTACCACCGCACACAGGCTCTCCAAAGAGGACTCAGACCCCCGCCCACAGACCCCTTTTCAAACCACGCTCTTTACGACAGCGGCACAACAAGCCACCTCTCGCCCCAGTACCAACAGCTTTCTTATATCGAGCGGGTCTATCCATCCCCAGCACACTACTTTCCAACAAACGTCCAGACAATCCCCCCCTCATCTGCCATGTTCAGCTATTTTGCTACATCTCCCCAAATCTCTTCTACCTGGCAGGCCCACCCCTCCATCGCACAATCTAACCCGTATCCGCCGCTACCACCACCCCCGCAGCTGGTTCACAAAGTCTGGATCTTGGATTGCAACTCGTGTGGAACTTTCCTCACTAACCGCGGGATGAAGGTGAGTGTCACTCCTTCCTCAGTATTCTTAGCATACACCCATGCTCTTGTGCATGTGCTTCTCTGTATGATAATTTACCCATATACGCTCCCGCTATCTTGCTGGTGATGTTCATGCCAACAATTTCAGGCTGTCTTGCTTCTTCGACCAAATGTCTCTCTTTTCTCGACCGATGCCCTTCCTATCAACTGCTCGGCGTATACCACAAACCCGGATGCTCTTCGGCCATCCCCTTGCCGGCCATCTACACAAGTACCTTCCCGAACGTGCGAATGCCTCACTCAGACCCTGTGCTGTCACAGCTGCGGGAGTGCAGTCGGATATATGATCGTCATCCCAGTAAGATCATAGATCTCGTGCATCGCTTTGCGTTTAGACTGTCTAAATTTTCACCTAATTTGATTTAGTGCTCTCGTTGCACATCGTCAATCAGTGCCACGAATCGCGCTACAAATGGGCACCGTTTCGTATTTCACTCTAACGAAATCAAGGCATCTGAACGACACTATGTCTCGGGAGAACCTGGCGTGATCCCATACGATGTTCCCGTACCGAGTGCTGCCCCTGCCTTGACGCATGCATACCATCAGTCTCCGACTCATCCCACAACGCAATATAATTACAGTCATCCTCGCAACCCGCAGGCTCTCCCTCCCCAACCTACTTCCTCTCCCCCACCGCAATCGGAGTACTTGCCTACGCCCCCTCTCGAGCTTGCCGAGCTGACGCCTCTTTCTGCATCCTCTTCATCAGAGTCTCTGCCATTTTCTTTCAGTAGGGCTGCCTCTCCCTACCGTTCCCCGCGGGCTCTTCCCCGTTCACCTCCGCCTCTCCCACCGGCTGCTCAAGTGGTTCCCATGTCAATACCGTCGCAGCCGGCTTCTGCTTCTTCATCTCCTGAGCCGCGGGGAATGCCTCTAGAACAGAGAGAGCAAACAGCACGAAAACTCAAATCAGGAGAAGTTTTATTTTGGCACCATCTTTCCAGAAGCGGCGAGATTCCTGGAGTGCAAGAGGACTCACGGGCCAGAGTGGCGAAAAGGAATGACGGTCCGACTTTTTTTGATAGATGAGAGTATGTTGTCTTGTCGGCCATCCGCCAGCCTCCATGGCACTCGGGCATACCACTGGGCAGTGCCTTTAACGAACGTTACGACTTGTGCTCTATTGATATTATATGTATCAAGGTTCTTTTCTTATCTATAACCATCGATATGTTCCGACATCCCTGTTCAAATCATGACTTTACGCCTTGCTATACCCTCATTCTGTCTCGAAGCTGTTACCTGTGGACTACGCACATTTTTCAAGGTCATTCAATCATACATACTAGATCCGGTCATTTTATTCTTGTCTAGGCCGCCAATAAGGCAATTTGTTTTGTACAAAAGTTTGTACATTGGAGTGTATAAGACGCGGAGGTATTTTTGCACTTTTGACTTTCCGCTTTTCTGGTCCAGAATACCTGCAAGTGCGAACTACAGAAGCCGGTGCCGAAGTCAAATTCCCTCGGTCCTCGAAATCTCCACAGATACACGGTCTTCGACATGTTCGGGCGACACGAGAACTGACACGGATAAATCTCGGGGCTTGGAAGATGGCAGTATTAATAACACTACCATCTCATGACCTTCATCTCCAGGCTCGGCCCGCCCTCACTTGCATGAAACGGTAAATATTTAAGTCAAACCGTAGACGGCAAGGCGATGGTCCGTCCGCGCCCTTTGCTCTTCTGTCATCCGCATTGATTGTTAATAAACGTTACTAAAACATGTCTTCTTATCTCAAAGTTTCAGGGACTAAAGTCGTCGATGGCGATGGCGCAGAAGTCATTCTCAGAGGAGCAGGTCTCGGGGGGTGGATGAAGTAAGTATCAAAAATCCGATAACCTGTGCTGCTGTTCTCGTCATGTGTACTGATAACGCCTTTTCTTGATAGCATGGAGAACTTTATTTCGGGTTATCCTGGATGTGAGTTTCAGATCCGTGAGGCTCTGGCGGAAGTAGTGGGGACATCCAAGTCGGAATTTTTCTTTGACAAGGTGAACAGGTTTCCTGCTACTCCGGTTCGGCGGGATATGACACCGGCGTTTTACAGTTCTTGCAGTACTTTTTCGAAGATAAGGATGCTGCATTCTTCAAGAGTTCGGGCCTCAATTGCATCAGGCTACCTTTTAACTACAGACACTTTGAAGGTTAGGAGTATCGCACGTTTGTTCGACTGGCGGCTGGCTGATTAATGCTTATCATCAAAGATGACATGAACCCACGTGTGCTCAAGAGCGAAGGCTTCAAACACCTTGATCGTGTGATAGACCTTTGCGCACAACACGGCATTTACACCATCCTCGACTTACACACTGCGCCTGGTGGCCAAAATACCGACTGGCACTCAGATGCCGGCACTCACATGGCGAATTTTTGGCTCCATAAAGACTTTCAAGATCGCACATTGTGGCTCTGGAAAGAGCTTTCCAAACACTATATAAATAACAAGTGGATCGCTGGCTACAATCCCCTGAATGAGCCGACAGATCCCTCGCACACGCGCGTGGTTGAATTTTATGACCGCTTGTACAGCGCCATTCGTGAAATTGACTCTGAGCACATCATCTTTTTTGACGGCAATACGTTTGCCTCTGATTTTTCTCACTTTGGGGATATCCACAAGAAGTGGGCAAACACGGCATACTCGATCCATGATTATTCTGTCTTTGGATTCCCTGCGTCACCTGAGGATTATGTAGGCTCGGATGACCAGAAAAGGAGATTGAGGAGAAGTTACGAGAAGAAGAGGGAGTGGATGGACCAGCGCGGTTTATGCGTTTGGAACGGCGAATGGGGCCCAGTGTATGCAAGGACGCAATATGAAGGTTCGGCGACGGATTCGATTAACGAGCGGCGATACGAGGTACTTAAAGATCAGTTGAGCATATACAACAAGGTACATTTCATTGTCCGTCCCTTTCTCTACTTTGATTGATATATTCCGAAAGGACCGCCTGAGTTGGACTATCTGGTTATACAAAGATATCGGTTTCCAAGGGATGATTTATGTCGCACAGGAGACGCCGTACATGACTTTGTTGAAGGACTTCCTCGCCAAGAAACAGCGCCTTGCTGTCGATGCTTGGGGCTCTGACGATTCCCACGTTCGCCACGTATATCAACCCCTCATCGATCACATCACTAAAGAAATCCCACTGGAGAACCAGAAAGTTTACCCATACCCAGTTTGGAAGCTCTCCGACCGAGTTGGACGCTTGTCTCGCAATATTTTGGTTGCGGAGTACCTCGTCAAAGAGTGGGCTGAACACTTTAGGGGAAAGACGGAAGAAGAACTAGACCATATTGCAAAGAGTTTCAAGTTTGAAAACTGCGTGCATCGCAGTGGCTTGAACAAGATTCTTGCGGAGAATGCAAAGCTGGAAAAATGAGAACCCGGGAGTGATGGTGGCTAAGTTGTATTGTTCGTTACCTGTAAATATTATTATCCACGGAGTTCACAGTTGATAAGGTATAAAAATTATGTTTAGGACGAGTTTCCATCGTTATTATTTGTTGCAGCCTGCGGGTCTGAAGATTGTAGTTTGTCATCGCGGAGATCAAAAAATCATAATCGCTCGAATTTCTACCAGTGATTCTGAGTCGTACTAGGTCACAGTTGAAATTTTGTCTTGGGCTGGAGGGCCTCAAGCTATGGTCATAGACAAACAAAGTTGGGCTTGCATTCCTGGCTCTGACGTCATTTGATGGGATTTCACAGTAGAGCACATTCTCGCAGTTATATGTTGCAAGGTGAAATGCTTACTGTAAATGAACCACACGATTTGAGCCTCGGCGACAAAGATGAAGACGACATTGCGTATGCCTCACGTCTTTATTACAAATGTGAAGACGAGCAGAGTTCAACGCCAGCAGTATTTTAGTTCTCTTAAGATCACGGATACAATGTCATTTTCTGATAAACCTTACACACTATAACTTAGTTATAACAATATACACCATCATACAACACTAATCCCCACCAAACACGCAAGCCAATACACTCACTTTCCTGCCCAATCCAAACCATTCTTATACAGCTTCGAACACCCACCCTTCGCTATCATGGGACGCTTGACTGTACCAGCTCGTTCTATCGCTAGTTCTACTTGCATCTCGCGGCTCCCCCTCTGTCGCCATTTGCCCTTCTATCGTTGCCTGCCCAAAAATATTTGCATGTTCTTTCGCATTCTGGAACACCACCGTAGTCACTGTGGACAGCGAAGGGTGGGACGCAGCTGACTCGGGCCGCCTTGGCAGCTCGGCAATGTCAAGAAACTCTTTCCCTACAGATCTTTCGTAGAAGTCGGCCGGGGCTTCTGTTATGGTAGATGGACGGGGCAGGGAGATGAGCGGTCTTCGCATTATGGAGTCGGGTGGAAGAATGCGACGTGTAGTTGTGAAAAGAGTCACATTGACAGCTCCGGAGAATAGGAAAACTGCATCGCTAAAGAAAACTATGGAGTGGCGTTTACAAAGGGCTGGAGAAAAAACAAACCAGAATATAGTTACTGCAAAAGGCACATCTTTGCCTGCCCAAGAACTAAATCGAGCAGCGGCTATTGGGAGAATAAGAATAGTATATGCTATCTGAAGAATATATTAGAGTCAGCATTCAAAGGAAAGTTTACGTATATGACGAACGTACTGGGTATCTTTGTGAGGATGTAGTGTGAGCATTTACTTTTGTGAGATATACCGGTGCAGAGACTTACAATAACATCTGTTTCGCGATCATCATCATTTGATTGCCTGCAAAATCTCGACCACGCCATGATGATGATGTTCGCTTCCTGAATCGGAAGGTGATATGCCAGCCATGGATGATTATGTTTCCTCGCAAGCGAAGAAAGATCGAAGAATATAGTATGAAACTAAGAACCGCCGAAATAAACATCTAATGGATGATAGAATGAGCGACAGGCACTCAGGTTAAAATTTCGTGACTCACGATCATGTAATCTAGTCTATGATAGCTTGAAGGTTAAAATATATCAAGACATTGCAAGTAGGCAGTAGCTTACGTTATGCGCTCCGTTGCATAATTAGCCGAAATCCAACACCAGTATCCTGATATTCCATCTGTTGAAAGAACCGTATGGCTCGTAATGAAGCTTCAACAAACATGATGCAACTTACAGAATGGACCACGATCAGAGTTATCATAGGCGAGTGGCCCAGATATAACGATTCCAGCAACAACACTCCAACCACCTAGTAATGTCAACCATAACGAATAAGGTCGCATTTGCATTCGCAGGAATAGAATGCAAAATGTGTGGATAGCGATGATCTAAGCTAGAAGTTACTGAAGTGAAGACCTCGCATAATCAAAAGTACTTACTAAAGACCACATGGCTGTGCCAACGTCTGCAGCTTGCTTGATCGCACCTTAAAACACAGATGATATAAAATAACGTAATTTTGAAAGAAGAAAAATTTACCTTGTGCTACGCAGAAAGTTCCGGTGGTAAGAACGTGCTGCCGGATCCACTCCTCATTCATGATCGAGCCCACAGCTGGATTGAGAGATGAGGATAAGAGACTCTGTTATCGTGCTTCATGTGTGGGTTTACCTTGTAGCAAGTCTGAACATAACAAAGACACGAAGTATGCCGCGACATGAGTCCGAACGAACAGATTCTTGTCACTCGACGCTCGAGTATTATACGCAGAGATCTATACCCAAATTCAGTTTAAAGTAACGCAGAGGTAATACAGACTTATGATACGCACAGAAATAGCGCAGAGAAGGCCAACAACGGCTACTACTGAAACGCACGACACTACGATAAGCGTCTAAGCAGACGACTTAGTTCGTATATGGCAACGGGATATTCCAGTAAATAGTACTCACAACGATAGCATGGGTTTCTGAAGTCGTATACACGACCTCCAAGGAAGACCCTGTGAAACTATCCGACATCACTCGATGATTAGTGGTTAGCGACGATGAAGTCGAAGATAAGAGCTTAGATTAAAAAAATCGTAAGCGGGTAGTAAGCAATACAACAGGAATATTTATACTGACCTGCTATGCACAGCAGATTAAGAAGGAGGACCTGCCTCAGCCAAACAGCGTCTATGGGTGTACTGAGGGAAGAAGCAGCAGGGGTGCGAGGAGTTGCCTGTTCACTATTAGAGTGGACATGCCTGCCATCACTCCTGACATTATTGACGAGAGCCCTGGGATGCTGTGCATGCCATCGAAATTGTTATTGATGACTGATGCCGACCGAAGAGGACTTGTGTGTGTCGGGATTTGTACTGTACTTACAGCAACTGGCTATGTCGTTATACTATGTTTGTTGTTTACCTCTATGATATTCTTTGCCACTGAAATACGCTGGATGACAGTCAAAGATAAATGCAGAAGCCCTGCAGAAAGACGCTGTGTGCTGTAGACACTGCAAAATGTCAGGTCGCCGTCTGCCTTCAGCCAGGAACAGCTGTCAGGCCTGTCAGGGACGTAGAGTTACGTAAGACCTCTATCACGTGCCACCGACAGATAGGTGAAACTGGAACCGACGGATGCTCCTCGCAGTGGGGGACACACAAAGTATATGTGCTGGATGAGCTGGATGACGGTCTCAACTTTGTCCCGAGGGCGGCCGTTCTCGACTGAAACAATAACTTAGACGCTGTTATACGCTGTTTATTATGCAGCTCGCCACCAATCGGGGTGCTCCTTTCTCAAAGATTTCCTTATTCGGGGTACGCCACTTGGTTCAACTTGAACCTGCCAATACAGCATGCTCTGATTCAGCTATCTATATAGAATACGTTGGAAAACATGTATATGCGGAGTACGTTACGCTACGCATTCCTCGGCCGAGCCTGCAGTTCATTTGAAATCATGGGAGCCTGCTTGACGCCGTTTCGTACTTTTCGATTTCATGGACATCGGCTTCATCATCACGTATCAGCCACAGGCGGCCATCCAGATCGCATCCAAATGCAGTCTAGGGAGCCAAATCCACCATAGATGGTGACTTAGACTGGTATGACAAACAGGTTTGGGACCATCGGTGGGCTGAACCAATCTCCGCTGAATAACTCATTCCCCATTGAATTCAGGATGACGCAGTATCCGATCACACTCTCCTAAGATCGTGTCCTGCAGACCTATAAAATCCCCTTCGTCGTGTCCACTCTTTCTCAAGCTCCTTCTCCATTCACAATGCGGTCTCTTTTCTTTGCAGCCGCTGCCTTATTTTTGAGCTCGGTGTTGGGAGCACCTCCTCCGCCTCCTAATCCCTCTGGAGGTGTGGGTGTCAATGCTAGCGACCCTCCGCCTGTCTATCACACTATGACAGATTTTGACTTCCAGTCATTTGTGCGTTTACTCCTTTTATTCCCCTAGTCTCAAACTTGACAAAAGCTCGTTCGTAGAATTTGGCTTTGAATCAAGAGTACATAGAACTTGATCTTTTCCACTATGGACTGGCAAAATTCTCTGCCCAAGATTTCGAGGACGCGGGCATCACACCGGAGTATCAGTTCCTCATAGAATATATGGCCGATCAAGAAGTTGGACATGCTATTCTAATCTCTGATATTTTAGGACGTGAGTACTTTGCTTCTACTTCTATCACCTTCTTCACGCTTATTTGCCTTGCTTCGTAGCCCGCGCTGCTAAGGCATGTGAATATCAGTATCCATTCAACACCGTGCGCGAATTCATCGACTTCTGCCAAAAGGTATGCTAGTATTTGTTTACATATGCATCAGTTGGTTGACCCACCTCTCAGTTGACTCGCTGGGGTGAATCGGGCGTATACGGTTTCCTTCCTCACTTAAACAACCGCGCTCCTGCTGAGTTGCTCATCAATTCGATTACGACTGAAGCTCGTCAACAAATGATATTCCGTCAACTTGAGGGTGTTTTCCCTATGTCGGTACGTTTAAGCAGCATGGCAGTTCTATAAGTTCCGTCCCGAACTTTATCTCATATCATATATTCAACGTTAGGTATACTTTGAGGTTGGTATTCCCCAAGCATGGGCATGGACTCTGTTGGCCCCTTACCTTACGCATTGCCCTGCCGAAAACCCACACATTGAGTGGCAGAATTTCCCTGCCCTTGACATAAAGGTAGTCATTTCTTTTATGCACACAACTTTGTAATACTCATCGATATTAGAACAATCCCAGTGCTCTTTACAATGACAGCAAAGCTGCAATCGCTACCAATGTATCTGCGATTTCCTACCCGGGCAGGGAGGTTCAGTTGTCTTGGGAGGATCCTGGAAAGACTGTAAGTTATGACGGGAAGTATGTCACTACCACCAGCGCCGGTGCTCCCAAGGTAAAGCATAACGTCCACGCCAACAACATTTCATCTAACGTAACAATTTCAGTTCGCTCTATGGGCGTCCCAACTTAACTCCACATACACGCCGTTGTACAACATATCGAACAATTGTGCTTACACTAAGCAACCGGATGGTCGTGTCTTCGGTGATGGTACTGCCCCAATCTGGAATGACACAATGTGAGTTGATTAGCTTGTACTATCGAGCTATCAAACCTTATAGCATTTGGTAGGTTTATTGCGATCACGGATAAAGATCTATATGTCACTCCTTACAATCTATCACTGGTCAACCCCCACATCGTCGCTGGCCCTGCTATCTACCAGGCTGGCTAAGGCAAAGGAGAGTAGATGTATTAATGGTTTTGTTTGGACATTTTTCATTGACTGGACAAAGAACTGTAATTTCTTGTTGTATTTAGCAAAATTTTATTGGATTGTTGTTGTATGAAATAGCATACGTGAAGGGCAAATCTGTGTTGAGAGAATATTCACAGTTTGTGCTACTGTGCATTGGAACCTTGAGAAAGAATTGCAGTCTTAAAATTTATTTGCTTTGATCTTCTTTACACTGTGTAGAACTTGCGCATCTATTTGGTGGAAAATCCGAAGATTTCTTAATTACATACATCTGCAAAGCGCGAAAATTCCCTTAAACCTCGCCTAGCGTTAGGCTCATTTCAAAATTTAAATCTTCTGGCGCCGATGTCTCTGATTGGTGGAAAAAGTCGATATTTCCATATATATCCAAAGGATTGATTTTTCAGAAGTAGATTGCGATGAGATTTCAGATATCATAGAGAGCGTTTTATCAGCGTGATAAGATAGAGATTGCCAGTGGTGGCTGATTGTCATTATCATATCAGAGAACAATAACTAGGAGCATGAATATCTACTGTACAACAATCAATCTGCAAACTCGGTCAGAAACATATTATAGGTCTCTTTGTCTGAGAAATTATTGACATGGAAAGTTGTTGGAACCTTCATAGAGTTGCTGGAATTGATGTCACGGTTCATAACTGCACCAAAGACGGGTATGAGATCGACAGGCAAGTGTATTGAGTTGAGAGGAAACACATTGCCTACCCGGATCCTTTCTCCGGTTGTCGAGTTGCGGAAGAGTCGTTCAACCATGTACATATCAACGTCTTCTTCTACCAAAACATTCCCTTGGCCATCTCTTCTCACTCCTGTATAACCGAAATTTTGTGCATAAATAAGCACAGGCAATAGACATTGGTCGAGGACAGTGTTTCACGGCACTATGGCCTGAAATATGATACGTGTTTGCACCACAGAAGTAGCTAGATAAAAGCAACACATCAGTTAATGTTACGATAACACATTTTTGGACTTTTAGTTTTCATTCTCCTCTTTAACCTTCTACTGTAGTTTTCACACTCCGTGCCATGCGGCACTTTCCCTTTTATTCAAACCCCACTTTCTCACGCTGCACTGCCTTTCTTTCTATTTTAGATACAAGTCTCTCACGCAGTGGAGCTGGTCACACGGGCTGCGCCCTCTGACATCATCAGCCACTACCTTCATCAACTGTATAGTACAACATGTACAAACAACCTGTAGTAGTATATATACCACAATAGATCCAGGAGACTCCTCAGCGAGTCCTCCTGTTGTTTACCCGCAACTAACTCGGTCCTATCCTATCCTAAGGGTAACCACTCCCCTCACTACCTTCAAAGTTGGTTCTAGTTGTGCGCCAGAGTATACAAACTCTAGGTTTTTACACCGATACTCTTCAACCTCAGTACTCTGATTCACTGCCCTCTTCAGGGACTTGACCAGACATCTGTTTTTGTTATATAGCTTCGCATTCGTTGCCTGACAGAATATTGAACTCACCTTCAAATCCTTTTCCAGAGCAACCCTTTGGAAGACCATTCCGCTATACCTTGAAAAAGACTGTCGTTGCCTTTGCACCGGTCTAAACCCTCATCGTCACCTTCTTCGTACCTCCATCATCCCTATCCCTCTCCTCACCCTCGCCATCGGCCTCTTACTATCCATACCACCACACCTATTTGTTAGTTTTGGTGATTCTGCACCTAGTTGTGCTATCTATTTTCCCTTCTTTCTAAATCACTTTTCTCTTTATTCTTTTTGCTCTATTGTTCAGTATTCACTGAGCATTCTATAATTTTGCCTTTGTGGCTGATTTGTTTACCTTTGTTTACAAAACTTCAGACTAGTGTTGCAGAGTCCAGTATTCCTATTCTTTAGTTACTCATACTGGACTCTAGTTCTGTCCCTGTTAGCTCTCAGCAAGTGGCTAGACACTTCCCAGAAGTTCTCAATTGAACACTATCACCATCCAGTCCCCTCAAACTGAACATCTCAATCTCATCTACCATCACCACTCTCGTCCAATTCCTCGCACTCTTTGCCATCATCCGATATCTTCAGACCGAGCTCATCAGTGACATCATTTACCTTCACCATGTCTACGTCCCAACAGCACTCAGAAGAGTGGGTGTCAGAAGCGGACCGCAGACACCAGAGAGACTTCCTTGCAGCCCTCAACAAGCCGCTCCCGGTCCTCTCTGTCCCTACCGAAGCTCGTACCCCAGACGCAGAAGGAACGGTCGAGCAGATCACTGAACTTTATCAAAACTCCTCTGCTTCGTCTTCTCCAATCGATCCAATCGAGGAAATCATCCTCGACATAAACAACACCCTTGCTCTCACCCAATCTGTTACAATTGACATACCAGCACCTACTTACGCTTCACTTTTTTGTACTTTTACTTTTACTTTTACTTTTTCCAAGTCATATGACCAGTCATGTGACCATTTACTTTACTTTACATTTTCAACTTTTCATAGTCACATACCAATCATGTGACACATCACCTGACCAGTGTCTAGACTCATCATGTGACCAGTCACATGCTAGACATCGGACTTTAAACTTTATTTACAACTGTACAGTACCTCATGTATTTTAGTATATATACAGGAGCAATACATGGGGAAGGACTCAGCGAGTCCTCCTGTTGTCTACCAACAACTAACTTGTTGAATCCTAATGGGTAACCACTTCCACCTCTTCCTCTTCTTTTGAGTGTTGTTTTCATTGTGCTCCAGTGCCCCAAGACTGTGTCTTGTTGGTGTTGTCACACAATCTATATTTTACCATTCTGCCATCTGTAGGAGAAATTCTAGGAGCCTTGAGGAGGTACTCCAACATCTTAGACAAGGCATGGAGAGAACTTTTAATCTTCATATTCCTGCAGCACGGACAAATTCCGTTGAGTGACTACTTCGAGAGTCTAGTAAGCCCAAGTTACGAGAACACTCAGAGGGTTAAGCTTTTGAAAGGAGCAGCCAACGTACAGGAACGAAATTTACATCTCATTTCACAAGATATATATTCCCTCTCTCCTCGAACTTTATTGTATTTGCCCTTTTTCATTCCCAGACATACCCAGTCGACTCCTCCCCTACAATTTTGAACACACCTTGCTTTGCGGTATTGTTCTAAGGAAGAGGCCCTACGAAGAACCCACCTACAACATCCCTTCTTTGTTTTTTACCGAAGACTACTACAACATCTACTCCGCCTCTCCAGTCCATTATCAACCCATCCAGTACTTTTGTATCAGCAACCACCTCAACAATCTTTCTATTATCCATTATTTGACATGACTCCATTGTACTCTCTATCTCCCCCAAGTCGAAGATCTTGACGCATTTGGACCACATTTTGGTCTTCAACATAGTACTTCTATTGTCATTGTTACGTCTTCTACCAAATATCACATTCAACGAGTTGTTGCTGGATTAGCTCAATTTGATCAGCTCATTGCAACCGCACAGAGGAAATTCTGTGACAGAGAAGACTACACAACCAAAATCGACAATATCTGATATGTCTCGGAATACATTGAGAAGTATTACTGGGTCTTAGAAATTCTCACACTGTTCGTCGTTAATCAGCAATCAGACTACCCCGAGCGCTTCATTGTTACCGTTATCCAAAGCGACCTCTGAGCCGTTGTTAATCACAGTCCACAAACTTGTATCTACTCGCAATACTCATACACCTACCAAGGTCGAAGAGGAGAGACACCACTCATCCCATCAGTCAAGCAACTTTTTGCACCTTGCACGGAAAGAATCAAATTAGAAATGGGAAGCTCATTGGAAGATATAGTTGGAGACGGATCAGACGAAGGGACAGAGTCAGAAAGCAAAGGGTCTACTGGAAACATAGAGTATTGGAGACCTCAAGAAGCAGAAGGAGGAGATTTTCCCAGTAACTTTGTATTTGACCCTGACTTTAATTAAACAAAGACTCATTATCTAACTTGTTAAAACTGGAGCCTTATTAAGAGCCCCGTCCTCTTGTCACTCCCGGAACACCTCCCCCACAATCTTTAGGAGCTGCCGCAGAAGCCCTGGAACCTGACGATCTATATCAATCCGCAGGACCGGAAGACTTTCCTCCCCCACCCCAGAATCCATTACCCGAAAACCAACCTGATAATTGGTTCGATCAAGAATCTCTGGACCTTGAACCTGATCTAGCAGCAAGAATGACCGACGAATCCAATCAAGGCAGCAAGGCTGTCCTTGCTTCTCCTCCATTCAAATTCATTGGCAAAAAGAAAATATACCATGACTGGAAAAATGCATTAGCAAACTACTTTTTTGCTTATCCCAAAAGTTTCCAAACCAACTCCTCCAAAATCCTTTTTGCATTATCTCAAATCTTGTCCGATAAAGCCAATGACGCCTGCCACACTTAGAAGGCAAATTTCAACGACAGAACCACGGTACTAGGAGACTTATTTGCACCACTAAATTGGGAAACTATCTCGGAGTTTATCAAGGAATTAGATAACAAATTCCTGGACCCTCATCTCAAGTTGAAAGCAGAAATTGCGCTTCATAGCTACAAGCAAAGAGAGATGATGGTTGACACCTACTTTGGAGGACTTGAATCCAAACTTATGGAAGCAGGATTGCCACCAAATGCACATGAAAGTTATCCATTCATTCACAGTATCCTTCGCCGCAACCTCTCTCAATTCCTTTGTGATCGTATTTTGCAACAAGAAAACCTACCAACCACGTACTCAGAATGGAAGGTAGCAGCCAGGAAGTGGGAGCAGCAAAATGAAGAACTTGGTCTGGAAAGGAGGAGAGACAGACCCCCACAACAGAGACTACCGCCACCTCAGTACCAACAATATCAACCGCGTTATCAACAAAATTGGAACTACCCGCCGCCACAGCATCAACAAGCAGTACCACGTACAGAGACGCGAAGACCACAGTATATCCAACAACAATCATATTATACTCCACCA